CCGCGGGCACACCAACGGCGTCACCTGCTTGCAGATCGACGACGTCATGATGGCCACGGGCTCCTACGACGCCACCATCCGCATCTGGAATCTCGAGACGGGCGAGCAGACGCGTGTCCTGCGCGGCCACATGCAGGGCATCCGCTCGCTGCAGTTTGACGACAAGATTTTGGTCAGCGGCTCGCTCGACGGCACCATGAAGATCTGGAACTGGCACACGGGCGAGCTGCTCAACACCCTCGTGTGCCACCAGGGCGGCGTCATCAGCGTCCACTTGGACGGCGCGTGGCTCGCGTCGGGCTCGACCGACAAAACGATCAAGGTGTTCAACTTGAAGACGAAGGAGTCCTTCACCCTCAAGGGCCACTCCGACTGGGTCAACCAGGTGCGCATCGACGGCACGGCATCGCGCACGCTCTTCTCGGCATCCGACGACTGCACGGTCAAGCTGTGGGACCTCGAGTCCAAGCGGTGCATCCGCACCTTTGAGGGCCACGTCGGCCACGTCCAGCAGGTGCTGACCCTGCCGGCGGACTTTGAGCCCGACGAAGACCCCGTGGCCAGCGGCCACAAGGACAAGGCCGACACGTCGTCGGTCAACAGCGGCCGCGGCGGGTCCCCGGTGGGCAGCGGCGAGGTGCTCGGCGACGACGAGTACGCGACGCGTGCCGCCTACGGCCCCGGCTTCTTGAGCAACCCCAACCGCCCGCTGCCCAACCGCTACATCCTGAGCTCCGCGCTCGACAGCACCATCAAGTGCTGGGATACGGCCACCGGCAAGTGCGTGCGCACCTTCTTTGGCCACCTCGAGGGCGTCTGGGCGCTGGTGGGCGACACCCTGCGCGTCGTGTCGGGCGCCAACGACACGATGGTCAAGGTCTGGGAGCCGCGGTCGGGCAAGTGCGAGCGCACGTGGACAGGGCATAGAGGCCCGGTGACGTGCGTCGGCCTCAGCGACTCGCGGCTGGCGAGCGGTAGCGAGGACGGCGAAGTGCGGCTGTACTCGTTCCAGGACCGGGCCGGTCTGGAGGAGTACGGCACGCCAAGCTGAGCCTCGGCCGTTGTGGGACGATGATCTGTGTTGATGTTGCTTTGTTTTCCTTCTCTTTTTCTTTTTTTTCTTACAAACGCGAAGCGTGGCGTTGTTTATTTGGGACAGGCTTGCGGCTGCTTTTTTTCTCTATGTTTTCCCTGTGTTCTTATTCCCTATTGGCACTTGCTCTGTTTTCTCGCCAGGGTCGGCGTTGTGTTCCAAAAAAAATATCAGTTCATTTTGTTCCATTTTCCTTTCGTCCTATTCATCTTGGCTGCACTTTTTCTTGCGACGGGCTCAAGGAGGTAACAAATTAGAAAAAAAAAGCAATGGGCTTCAGAACAGGAAAGGAAACGATATGAAAAACGGGCTCGGTCGCAGGACGGGTACTTTATGTATTTATTGGAGCAAGGCGGCTTGCTATTTCGGATGCAATTGATTCGGCCTTCCAAGTCTTTCGTTTATAATACTGCAGTATTTTGGTGATTTCTTTTCAAGCGAATTAAATGGAATAAGTTAGTATAAAAAAACTAATAAATATCTGAATAATAATCGTCACGAGGATATCACGAAACATATATACCAGAGTTATCTCCCACGAAATATACGGCCTACCAAAGATGTAGACCATCGCTCAGATGCTAGCCATGTTTCATTCCCATCGTCATGGTCACGCATATATCAGGCACACGCCAGACACAGGGAACCAGCTTTTCGTGTCGGTCCTCGTTGACGTCGATTGCCTGATTAGGACAATTGACACTCGCTCGACATGTGAAAGTCAGGTCGTCGCCAGTACCAGAACACTAGAGGCAACCACCAAACGGTGCCGCCAATCAACGGCCTGCATTTGTGGCGTTCCAGTCACCTCTACGACGTAGACCGTTCAGAGTACGGAGTACATTGTGAGCGTTTTGCCACTACCCAAGCGAGAACGGTTGTGAACTCATTGGCATGGAACGAAATGGTCGCATGACCGTGTGGCCGAGAGGCTTCCAAAACGGTGGCCCATGTCGTCATGCATGGCCATGTCTCAAAACGGAGGGCCACGAGAAACACAAAAAGACCCGGAAAGAATGTTCGTCTTTCCGATGTGCATGGACAGCTCAAGGGCATTGGGAGTGGGGGGTCGTTTGCCGTTTGCCTCGCTCGCCAATGCTCCGATGGCCAGTGGAGGGGCACTGCAGTGAAGCAGGGGGACGGATAGAGACTGCGGGCGACGATGGGACGGATCCTCTCTGACTCGTATCTTGACGTCGTATGCGCGGTCCGCGGTCCTCGTCCTCTGTATCGTACTTGGTACGTGGTGGACCAGCACTTTTGGCAGCCTCGGTTCTTTGCGGGCCAATCAGTAGCACCTCCTCTTTATTGGGGTAGGCGGCGCACAGGGGGCCCCAATGCGCACTGCCGGGCCCCACCAGTGCGGTAAGATACAGTGCAGGCTGCAGGGACGTCACCAATGACCACAACGCGAAAACACCCGTGGCTGCCCCATACTGGAGTGCCGTCGTGGGTGTTTTACGGTCTGGGGAAAGCATACTTTGAAGGCCGTTTTCCGTTCCATTGTCTGCCCATCCTGACGTCGTCTGGCCCTACTGGACTGGACCCTGGAGAGAACATTGAATATTGGCTCGCTCGCAACCGCGCGTCAGCTCGTAATTCCTTCGTTTCTCCGTCGCACAAAAGGACCATGGGACTGGCTTGTGTGCCCTGTAATTACTCAGTTGGGCCCTGTATTTACAGCGCGGTCTTTCTCCACAGCGGAGAGATCCACAGACGACGACAAACTTGCCCACAGAGAGAGCAATCACAAGCTCGGCTTCCAGCTCGGTTAAGGACGGTCGCGTCGCCAATGTTCATTTTCGCCGTGCGGTCACTTGAGCTGTGCTTTCCTTGCCAGAGGATGCAGTCTGGAGATGTGCCGGTTTGAGCCAACTCTTCAACACAAACGTCATTTTCACAAGCTTTTCTGGCTGACCCTCTTCCGTTTTGCCTCTGCCTCGTCCTGCCTGATTCATACGGTTATCAATCAGCTGTCCGTTTCTGGCTGCCGTCTTTGTGTCTTGTCTCGGTTCTTTGATGACCGGTGAGATAATGTACGAATTCGGCACCGTCACGTGTGAACTGAGTGCCTTCTGCATGCGGCTTTGTTCTGGACTCCTCTAACCGTTTTAGGTCTACGACACTGTGGTACACACATTCGGCACTCACAACGCGCGAGACTACAAGTCACTTCCACTGTCACAAGCTTTTCTTGTCGTCTTTGTCTCGACAACCAGCAACGCCCATTCTGTGCGGATGGCTCAATCCCATCGTCGCATTGATGGCTTCCTGTCGCCACGTCATGGCCAGAGCATTGAATTTGGATGCGTAGTGTGGTGTTTTGCAGAAGCGCAGGCCTTGCCCGCAACTGCATTTTTGTAGTTACTTTGCGTGTAAGTCGCGTCTGCGGCTGCAGCTGCTCAGTTCTTAACTGGGCATTTACAGAAACCTCCGCTGCACCGAGGGCCCGGCTTTTGGCCGCCCGGCACCAAGAAGGGAAAAGACAGTAAACGAGCCCCCCAATATGGTCCAGGTCAGGTCCAGGTTCAAACTTGGATGCGACTGTAGAGCCCAGCGTTTCAATTCGTCAGTCCGTCCTTCCGTCACATTGTCATGTAAGCCTCGACCTCAAGACGACCGCGTGAGCGCATCTTCTTTAACAAGTGAGCAAGTGTACACACATGCAGCCGTACCTGTCTTCTGCTCCCTGAGATTGGCAGCATCATCGGCAAGAAGTGATAGCTCTTCCGTTTGTGGTCCAGTCACATACCCTTCCGTTTTCCCTGGACTTTCACACGAATCGCAAAGATTAAATCCAGCAAATGACCTCCATCCCGAAACTAACTGTGGAGGAAATACTTTGTACCTTTCCTCTTTCTTCCACAAGGCCCAGACAAAACGGCACTAAATTGGTCTTAGTGAAGGCAAACGGGACATGCAGTATGAAGTACGACATTCTTTCTTCTGTATTTCCCGTCCGCCTTCTTTGCGCCTCCTGTGCGCCTCGTCTTTCACCTGCCGTCGTTCTTTGACTCAGCCGATCTGCTCCGTGCAGCCGCGGATCGGCCACCTGGGAGCGAGGAATCTCCCCTCTCCATTTCCCACCACCATTAGACCATTCCATTCTAGTCCAAAGCCAAAGCACCCATTTACCCCTTCCTTGCCCACTTACACCGTGGGGAACATCCCCATTGAGGGGAGTCATGCGTAGTCTTGTCTTGTTGGACGCCTTCCACTCAAACCGTCGCTTCCTGGCAAAGCGTGCGGCGAAACGCGGAGGGCAAATTGTTGATGATCCCATACAAAGTATGTTGTGCTCCGTAGTGAAAAGCATGTGCCGGCTAGTTTCTGTCTGTATTTGGTAGTTCTTCTGTTGCAAAACGGCGCGGGACTGAAGCTCCAACGACCTTTCCGATGAAGCTATCGAACTTGGACTAGCTTGCCCTTTCTGCTCCCAATTCTCGGTTGTTCCTTTTCGTCTACTTGTTTCGTCTTCCGTTTCCTTATTTTCTCCTTTCGTTGGAGTCATTCTTTTCATGGCTCCGTTTTCGTTTTAGGTCGTGTGTTCGTCTTTCGTCGTTCCTTTTTATTTTCTTCCTCCTTTCCTTCCCCTTTTTGCTTCGTTTCTTTTTCTTCCTTGCCCCCTCCCCTTCTTTCTGTTGTCTCTCATGTTCATATCTGCGTAGCATCACACCTCGACTTTGTTGATAGTCTCTCACACGCCTCACGTCCATGAACTGGTTGTCGTCAAAACCCCATAGGATACGAAAGGACGAATTTCGAGAACCGCGGAAGCCCTGAACGAGACATCACACGACACGACTCACGATTTACGACTGTGGAAAAGAACGAGAACGAGCCGCCTCGTCCCAACGTTTCACGTTTCTCTCCTCCCCTGCCCTTTCTACGCACATCTTCTCCCAGCATGTCAAAAGACAGCAAGAAGCCGGCGTCGGCGGCCATTAACCTGGTTGGTACGTAATCTTTGTTGTGGTTTTGTTGTTTATGTTGTGACCGGCCTAAACGCCGACGGCCGAGACCCTTCCCGGCGCACGATACCCGGCGCAATGGCTACGCGTAACTAGCATTCCAGACCAACCGCTAACACGCACAGCCGGCGGTGGTGCCGGCATGATGGAGGCCCTCGTCTGCCACCCGCTCGACACCATCAAGGTCCGCATGCAGCTGTCCCGCCGCGGCAAGGATGCGCCCCGCCGCGGCTTTGTCCGCACCGGTGTCGAGATTGTCCGGCGCGAGACGCCTCTGGGCCTGTACAAGGGTCTCGGCGCCGTCCTGACGGGCATCGTGCCCAAGATGGCCATCCGCTTCACGTCCTTTGAGTGGTACAAGCAGCTGCTGGCGGGCCCCAACAAGACCCCGGACGGCGGCAAGGTGTTTATAGCCGGCCTGGCCGCCGGCGTCACGGAAGCCGTCGCCGTCGTCACGCCCATGGAGGTCATCAAGATCCGCCTGCAAGCCCAGCACCACTCCATGGCCGACCCGCTCGACATACCCAAGTACCGCAACGCCGCGCACGCGCTGTACACGGTGGTGAAGGAGGAGGGCTTCGGCGCGCTGTACCGCGGCGTGTCGCTGACGGCCCTGCGCCAGGGCAGCAACCAGGCCGTCAACTTCACGGCCTACACCTACTTCAAGGAAGCCCTGCGCAAGTGGCAGCCCGACCTCGACGCCAGCGCGCCCCTCCCAGGCTACCAGACCACGCTCATCGGCCTCGTGTCCGGCGCCATGGGCCCGCTGAGCAACGCCCCCATCGACACCATCAAGACGCGCCTGCAAAAGACGCCTGCGCAGCCCGGCATCAGCGCCTGGAAGCGCGTGTCGCTGATCGCCGCTGACATGTTCAAGCAGGAGGGCTTCCACGCCTTCTACAAGGGCATCACGCCGCGCATCATGCGCGTGGCGCCCGGCCAGGCCGTGACGTTTACCGTGTACGAGTACCTGCGGTCGAAGCTGGAGAAGAGCGGCCCGCTGTCCCTCAAGGCGGACAAGTACGAGGAGTAGACGGTTGGGGTTGTCTTTCTTTTGTTTCTTCCTTTTGTCGCAGCTAAAAGTATGGTCTTGGGGCGGGATTTTGCCTTTCTCGTTCCCTTGTTCCGTTTTCGGTCAGCGGACTATGCATATAGAGTCGTTTCTCATCGTTTCCAGTTGCCACCCTTTTCATTTCCTTCTTTTCTCTTTATGTCTCGTTTTGACGTCTTGGTTATGAAATAGCATTCCTGGCTTTCCCTTCTTTTTTTTGTATATAAAAGAGACGTATAAAAGCAATTGAAAGTCAAATAACATAAACTGTGCCTGAACGTTGCTTCGCCCACCGCGTCGTATCTCAAGACCTCTACCGACCCGGCCGCTTCGGCCGCGAAAACGCCTTGCGCGTTTCCACCTGCGGGTGCAGCTCCGCCAGCACAGTCGCCTCGCTGATTTCCGAGGCCTCCTCCACCTCAAACTTCTTCTCCAGCGTCAGGCCCGCCTCGCCCGTGGCCACCTCCAACACGGCCCGCTTCATCAGCGGGTACATCATCCGGAACTTGATGGCCTTGGTGCCGGGGGACGCCGGGCACGTATAGAAGAAGAGCAACGGGCTGGACTCGGCGCCCTCGTGCGTGTGCGTGTACCGGAAGAAGGTGAACCGCGGCTCCGTCGCCGACACCGTGTGCACGACGTCGTCCACCGTCGACACGCCGCGGCCGTCCGACACGTCGTCGAGCTCGACAATCTCGGTGTCGGGGTTGATTTTCAGAATCACCAGCGTCCGTCCGCCGTCCAGGTCCTTGAGCGCAGCCAGCGCGCCCTCCGTCAGCGGCATCTTGAAATGGCTGCTCAGGTGGATCTCGCGCGTCGCCGTGCCGCGCCCCGCCTCCTGCTCGGCGCGCTTGACCGCCCCCAGCTCGCGCTCTTCCTCCGTCAGCGGCGCGTCCAGCGCCTCGTGTGCGTCGTGCTTCTTGAACCCGGCCCCCGTCAGCTCCTCGGCCGCCGTCGCAAACAGCTGCTTGCGGAAATGCTCGCTGCCGAGCTCGCGCACGAGCGCCAGCCGCGTCGACGCAAACAGCATCTTTTGCCGCACCGGCGCCGCGTCGGGCACGTACGTCGCGGCCACCAGGTACGGGCTGGTGTCGTAGCGGCGCAGCAGAATGTAGAGCGGCTGCTTCTCGTGGAGGCGGGGCACGAGCAGGGCGTCGACGTTGCTGGCAAAGGACGCCTCGGACGCCGGCGCGCCCGAGGACGGGGTCAGCAGCTCGAGCGGCGTCAGGGCCTCGCCCGTGATGGTCGCGAGGAGGCCAAAGTGGCGGTCGGACTCGAGCAGCGTGTTGAACTGGGCGACCAGCTCCTTGGAGGCTGTGGGAGGCAGGACAGCATTAGCAAACGAAGGACACGGTAAAGACACAGTTGTCTGTTTACGCACCTGAGATGCCGGACTGCATGGTGACGCGTGAGTGGAATGTGTCGTCGGAAAGGTAGGAAAGGTAGGAAAGGTCAAAGCAGCGCCGGACCAGCCAGCAAGCCGAATGCGAGGTCGGTGGACAATTAATGTGCGATGGTAGTTGGGCGGCGTAGGATCAAGGTGGAAAGGTCGTCAAGGAGGAGGATGAAGACGACCTGAATGGCTGTGCTGAGACGGACCCCGCGCAAGGCTAAAGTGGGCTGCGGCGTCAGGGGAGAGCAGGGCCCGGGGTGTTGGGGAGCCGGTCCACTGTAACACACCAATCGATAGCGGCCGTCCAGGTCTCGCCTCTGCAGTCAATTCCTCACCAAAAGCGATCAAAGTTTATTGTAGAACCCTTTTGTATATTCCCCAGTACTCCCGTATTTAGTATCTAGGCAATTGACCAGCCTTACAAGGGGGTAAAGAATGATAAGAACAAAGAAACAAAGCCTATGATAAAAGAACAGCAACGCCGACGCCAAACCAAGCAGCAAAATGCCAGAAAAGCGGCCCTTTTACATGTAGATCAAGGGACAGCCGAGTAGATGAAAGCAAGAGAAGGAGACGACAAGGACAAAGGGACACACGCCCCACTCACACGAGCAGCACGCTGTTCACGCAGCCGTCGTTCTCCGGGTTGTTGGTGATCTGTGCCCACCGACCCCAGACCACCTTGCCCGTCGTCGTCGTCATGCCCAGGTCGCTGACGTCCACCTCGATGATGGTGCCCTTGGTCAGCACACCCAGCCGCGTGTACATGGGATCCTGCGGGTTCTTCTTGACGCTCAGGATCGGCAGCAGCACCGTCACGCCCAGCCCGGGATGCGTCACGTTCGCCTTCTTCTTGCGCAGCGCCATGGGCCGGATGAAGCGTTCCAGCTTGACGGGCCCCCGCGTGAAATCCGGTCCCACAAACGTCGGCTTCGTAATCATGCGCTTCCACGCCTTCTTCTTGGTCTTCTGGCCCGTCTTCACCACCGAGAAAATCTCCTCCTCCGAGATGCCGCGCACCTTGGGCAGCGGCACCGCAAACCGCGCCGCCTTCTCGTTGCGCTTGTTCTTGATGGCCGTGCTCAGGGCCTTGGCGTTGCGCTCGCCCGCGCGGTCAAGCAGGTAATGCGGCAGCGCCTCGCGGTCCTCGTCGTCGTCGCGCGGCGCGTCGCTCGACTTGACGTTGCGTGCCTCGTGCGCCTTGATCGTCTTCTTCATCTGGATCTTCTCCTTGCGGCGTGCCTCCTGCTGGCGCTTGGCCCGCAGACCGCGCAGGTTCTGTGCATCCTTGGACTTGCGGTGGCCCTCGCGCGCCGTCTTCTTCCGGAGGCGCTCTTCGTGGTCCAGTCGGCGACCATGAAGCTTCAGGTGCCTCTCCATGTAATCGTTCTGGGTAACAGCTATGTTAGTATTGCGTCGGACAATGGGCTGGTTGACATCAAAGCCCTCTCATCCACCCCGCGTGGGAAAGCGTACCTGAGGCATCTTGGCGGTTGCTCGGGTGGTCTCTTGCTAAGTATCGATAGAGTTTGTAGTTCGGGGGAAACGTCTATTCGTTTCAGTTTGTCTTTTCGTCGTGTCGATCGAGTGTCGCTATCGCAGAAAACGGCGGGAGGACAACGAGACGTGTTTCAAGACGGGGTAAGCGGTCGTCGTCCGAGTCGTCTGTTGTGCGCGACGTTGTTGGCTGGCAAAAAAAAGATTCGACAAAGTACGGTATACAGGAACAGTTATTGTGGAGCCCATGGAAAAATCTCAGCCACCGAATGCTCTCCTCTATCGCGATAAGATAAGGTAGTTCGATATGTTAGGTATATGCATATGATGACTAATATTCATATAAAGGCACACAATGAACTGTTATTAGTCAGCTGTCTCCCCACATGTTCACAACGAAACAGTAACAGAGCAGCTCCTCTTTTTGCGCGTAGTTTGTTATCCTCCCCCAAAATGGGAGTATGTCTGTGGCATGTTTGTCGTGTGGTTGGCTGTGCTCGCGCATAAAGCCCCCCTTTCTCCCTCACCGTTGCCTGTGGCGCCTCCCGCCTTCAACTGCGTGGAACCCTCGTCGTGATCATGCCGCATCGCAAGACGCCTCTTTTGCATGGCTCGCCGTCCTGAGTTTCCCAGCTCCGCGTTACCCGTCGATCTCAACTTTACTTAAGCACTTTCGCACAATACTCGCGAGCTCCACTTCGAAGGGGGCGGCGCCGCTGGGAATCTGCGGAATCCCTCCCCGCCCATCCCCTGTCTCTCCATAGCTGTCATGGAAATATCCGCCGTGGAACCCAAGGCGCCGCTACAAGGTCAGGAGAAAAAATGGACGGGACCGTTACGGATATTGGTGCAGACAACAACGAGCCTTGTGCCAGGGAATGATTATGACGAACGAGTCGGGTTCATGAAAAACCTCATCTGCCAGCACCACTGGAACCGCGACTTCGATTGGCATCAGGACCGCTGGAATGTCTACGGTCACGAATTTGGTTATGCGAACCGTAACTGCTACTTCCTTATCGATCATGGCCATATCGAGCCTCCTGCAGATCCGCCAGTTCTGTGGTATAAGTGGACAGGAGAATCCCTGTAAGCAGAACCTCACAATGTTGTGAAGTTTCCGTCTACTAATGCTTGAACAGTATTGCTGTTCAGGAAACCTTGCCTGCGGAAGTACAGTCTAAATTGCGAAAGTATCCCTTCTCGAGGCGACCGGTTCGACGCCTGCCAGGCAAGAAACCTGCACAGCTTGATGCAGCAATGCATCGCCGGGTGATTCGGTCGAAACTTCGCTGCGATATGACCATTATACCTGAGGATATTCGGTTCCTACTGACACATCCAGAGGACGCAAGGTGGCTCAAAGATAATATCGAGCCACGATTTTGGGCAAAGCTTCATTTGGAACAAAATGAAGCATCATTGGAATGAGGTGCTCTCTGCTGGGCTGAGAGTGTCGCCACATTCACTCATTTTTTGTTTGCTACCGCTACTTGCCGTTGTCGTATCAAGTTCGGTTGGAAGCGTCTTAATGCTATCTGTAGACGCCATCGACGCGGTTGCTATCTCCTTTCTTCATGGTCATGACCTAGCCTGGTCGGTACGCGGGTGTACATCCCGCGGCAGTAGGGAGCTAAAGTACCTTGATGGTATTAACGGTACTGGGCCCTTACCCTACCAGTTGTGATGCAGAAGAAAGGGCCCTTACAACGGACCACCTCCTCATTGCGCTTTTCTTATTCCGACCGACGGTTGTATTATTTATCTCCGCTGTCAAACCGCGGTCGCTATTCTCCGTCGCTACTCTTCGTCTTCGTTCTCGTCTTCGTCTTCTTCATCAGTATCCCTGCCCATCTCGGCCCTTTCCCTCTCCTCCTCCTCTTTAGCTGCCCATTTTCGTCTCCTCTGTATGTACCTCTCGGACGGCCGATTCGACCAGCGTCCCGGGTACGAGGCATCCTGCACGGCCCAGTCGAGATAATCCCAGATGCGGTCAAGGCTGACGTCGTACAAAAGTTCCGCTTCTGTGCGTTCGTGGCCTGCCTTCTTGTGCTTCCTGATGTCCTCGAGCATATCGGCCACCTTGTCTTCCGAGTCACGTTTGGCCACCAGGCGCGCGGCCTTGAGAATCTCCAAGACGCCGGCCGTCTCCCGGATGGCGGAGTACGCCCGCTGCATGACCGAGGAGTAGTCGAAGAAGTAAGAACTGAACCTTTCCGGGTGCATGGCGAGGGCCTCGTCGGGGTCGCAAAGGAAGGTAAAAAAATTGTAGTCGTTGTCACATATAGCGCGACCGAGCCGGGCCACCTGGCGCGCCAGCTTAACCTCGATGGTGTTGAGATGCGAGGTGGGCTTGCGGACAAGCCGTGCCTTGGCAATGGGACTACGGACCACATCCTGCGCAATAGCTAGGATCAGTTCTGGCGGTAGCGGGCTGTTGCGGGCCAGGATCCAACGCGTGGTCTTGATGCCGCGAATGTCGACTAGTAGCTTCATCTTCAGGAGCAGCATGCACGCCAGGTGGCTGACTCTGGGAAATCTGTGGATGACAAAGTTGGGGTCTTCCAGGACGTCCTCGTCCTTGAGATTCATGAACGGCTCGCTCACGGCGCCCCAGTCGTAGTTGTCGTCCTCGACTAGCGTCGAGCACCACTTCATAAAGTCGTACGCGTCTTGGTCGCGGTCCAGCCGCAGCAGCACGGCTGGAATAAAGTGCTGCACAAACGTGTAGTCGCCCCGGTTCATCCGCAGCATGTCCAACATGTGGTCGGCGGCCTCGCGGACGCCATCGGGCGTGCCTATGAGGCGCAGATGGTTGGCCAAAATGAAGCGATAGTGTATGTACTTGAACACGTCGTGGAGTTCGGTGTGATGGTCGACATGTATCTCTATGGCCTGGCAATCGAACTTAACGTGTAGCTTCTGTTTGCAAATTATGCGTTCCCAGTCAGCGAGGTTTTCGCGGTCACTTTCGATGCGATTGCAGACAGGCTTGTGCGACGGCTGATGTTCATCCTGGTGTGCGCGGCTGCAGTAGCGGACAGCACGGCATCCAGAACACAGAATCAGCCCGGTGCGTTCGACGGAGCAGAGGGCACAGCGGTCGCGCAGAGGGCCGACCGGGCCTTTGCACAGTTTCGCGCCACTCGTGAGACATGGCATGGTGGGTGATTAGGGAGGAGTCAATTCAGAGCTGTTGTGGTGACGGTAAGATGATGAGATTGCTGATGAGATTGCTGCATTATTTTTCTGGTAATAGAATGAAAAGAAGGCCGACGGTGATACGTTATTATACACGGTAGCACCTTTCCTTGCGACAGAAGTCTAGCGTCCAAGGGCCATGACTGATCACTTCGATTACACCAATTGCTTCAAATGACTAATTGCCACCACTCGTTATTCACGCCCAGATCACATGTCCTGCCTCCGACGACTCATATGCCGAGCAGCGCCCCTTTGGTCGACGCGGCTAGTGTGGCCCGCCACAGCTTGTGTTCGTTGAGAAGAAACAGCTCGCCGTTGCGGCCGAAACACAAGTTGGCCGCGCCGCCCGCGACGAGGATCTTGCCGAGCAGAACACCGCCGGGCGACCAGATGTTTACGCCGTCGCCGCAGCCGCTGTAGACGTTGCCGTGGACGTCGCACTTGATGCCGTCGGGGATGCCGGTGTCGGCCATGGCAAAGAGGCGGCGGTTGACCAGGAAGGGCTGGCCGTGGTACGTGGCGACGTCAAAGGCGTAGATGGTGGACGCGCGCGACGGGTCGGTGGAGCCGTCGCCATGGATCCAGTCGGTGTCGGTGATGTAGACGACGGACTCGTCGGGGCTGAAGCAGATGCCGTTGGGGCGGCCGAAGCCGTCGGCCACGGCACGGAGGTTGTCGGTGGCCGGGTCGTAGCGATAGACCTGGTTGGGCAGCTGCGAGAGGGTGCGGATGCCCTGCTCGAAGCCGTAGTTGGGGTCGGTGAACCAGACGGCGCCGTCGCGGGCGACGACCACGTCGCTGGGCGAGTTGAAGGGCCGGCCGAAAAAGGACGTCACGAGCGGGCGCGTCGCATAGGGCGGCGTGGTGTCCATCACGACCAGCCCGCCGACGCGCTCCTTGCTGCCCTGCGCGCAGAAGACAACGCTGTCGTCGCCGTAGTGGGCGCCGCCGCTGGCCATCGCGATGCCCTCGGGGTTGATTTCTTCGCATTGGACGCCGTAGGCACTGCTGTTGCCACCATGACTGCTATCGCCGTTGGTGGCCGGCGGCAGCCGGACCTTGGTGATCTGGATGGCCTTGTTGCTCGTGTACGCGGCCGCAGCGACCTCGTGTGACCGCGCTCGGTATAGGTTGCTGGTCACGAACAGGACGTTGTCGCGGGCCACAAACACGCCGGCCCCGTGCGCAAATGGGTAGTCGTTGTTCTCGAACAGCATCTCGAGTTTCGGTTCCGGGCCGAAAAGCGACCGAACCGCCTCATTGTAAACGGCAAATGGCGAGGTGCTCATGATGACGTAAAGGTGGGAGCGTTGTTGGCCTTGTTAATCGCAACAGTGTCTTGGCTGGTCAAACGTAGCAGCGATGTTATGCCAACGGCGATAGATGCTTTGCATTGCGTTCGGAATATAGACGTAGCGCCGTGTCGTACGACTTTGTACCTGGAGTCGAGCTGAGGTGGTTGCTGAGTAGCGTCCACCGGGTGGTCCGTTGCCTGTTGAAGCTAACATCTGCTGGCCATTGATGTACCGTTGGCGTTTGCCGTTTGTGTGGGAGGACAATCGGAATTGTCTTAGCTGGCATCTGCGCCAGTCTATTTGCGACGGAATCGCCTGGCACTTTCGGTGAGCAGTTGTGACGTACGGGGATTCCTCCGTATATTCTTTGCTATGCAGCAATGGCTGACAATGCACATATTGGTTTCCGCGACGACTATAACTTTATGATCAAGTGCTCAAGATTTGAGTCGTGTTATTTGTAGACATTTTCCAACGGCTAAGACGTAACAATATGACAGACCCGAGAACACGGGGACCTCGTACCGGTCTGTTTTCTACAAACGGCGGGTTGACCGCATCATCGTCAAGGCGGGGGTGGCTGGAGTGACGGGTCATCCAGGCCCAGGGCCGGCTCGAGAAGCGAATACGTCCCGATGGCGCCCCACAGCTCGTCCATGGAAATGTCGTCTCCCACGCCAAACAAGGAAAAGTCCGGCGTGATGCCGGACATGTACGGATCCCGCTCTCCATGGTTCATGGCATCCAGGTCCGGCCCCGGATCTGACGGCGTCGACTTTGCTGGCCCTGCTCCTCCACCACTGCCGGCACCACTACGACGCTGCTCTTCCTCCACGCTGCTGCTGACGGCGGCCGCCACGCTTGTCCGCAGCGTCTCGAATCCGCGCACAAACGCCGGATGCTGGCCGCCGCGGGAGAACTGCAGCTCGAGATGCTCGGTGGCGGTGATGAGCAGCTCGAGGTCGGCGCGGACGAGGCGCTTTGTCGGGTTCTTGACAATGTGGAGAGCCAGGACGACGGCGGCAAGGAAGAGCTGTGTGCTCGACACGAGGAGCGTCGCGGCGGCGTCGTGGCTGCGCCCGAGGTCGTCCTCGCTGTCGCTCAGCACACGGTGGATGGTGGCGCGCGCGGTGGCGGTGCAGATGTTCTCGGCCTGCAGGAGACGGGCATACGAGGGCAGACGGGGGCCGAGCCGCCTGACCTCGTCGACAAAGAACTGCGTGGGGAAGACGAGGGAGGCACGGAGCAGGGTGGTCTGTGCCTGATGGTACTGCAGCGTCAGAAAACTCGAAATGTGCGGCTGGTGCGGCTGGTGCGGCTGCGACGGGCTGGCGATGCCATCTGCGCCCGGCAGGCCCTTCTCCCACGCCAGCAGCTGCTGGTCCAGGGCGCCGATCTCAGACAGGAGATGCCACGCCGAGGCTGGCTTTTGTCGGTACAGCTGTCGGCTGATTTGGCTGAAGATGCGTGCCAGAGCGACCCAGAGCGCGAAGACGTTGCACGCCTCCTTTGACGGGACGGCTTGGTCGATGTCGTCGTCGGTGATGGCCGACGGCCGCCCCGTCTCCAGCTCCATGAGCTTTTCGAGGGCATAGCATGACCACCAGACACGGCCGTGCAGATCGACCCCTGCAGCCCCTGCAACCCCGTCCTGGTCTCTCCGGCGAATCTGTCGGTGCAATCCAATGGACTGCGCCACGCGGACGGCTTGTGCGACGACGTGCCAAGCCTGCCCTTCCTTGCATCGGCACCGCAGCGCGACGGCCAGGAGGAGCAGCGCCTGCACGCTCGACAGGTACGGCGTGCCCACGAGATGGGCCAGCAGGCTATATGCGGCGGTGACAAAGGTGCTGCCGAGCTCGGTGGGCGCGCCGGCCGCCTCTTCGGTGCCGATGGCCACGATGGCGAAGACGATGACCAGGCGGGGCACGTGGGACTGGGTCAGCTGCGTGTGTGCGTGTGGCGCGACGTAGTCGGACCGCTGGAAGAAGAGAATGTCTGCCTCGACGGCGGCGCGATCGACGACGGGGTAGATGGGCCAGATCCTCGTAAAGTACGTGTCGAGACAGGCGACAAGGGCCGGCGGATCCGGCAAAGGCGGGAGCCGCGCGGTCAGCGAGAGCGGGAACGGCAGAGGAAACTCCTCGACGTGGCGCATGCCGCCCAGGAAATGCGAGGAAATGCTCTGGAGCCCTTTGCGGCGGAGGTAGATGTTGACAAAGGCCGACAAGCACTGGACACTACTGCCGCCCATGTACTTGGAGAGGGGGAGCAGTTACGTGAGCAACTGGGTGCGAACGAACACGGGAAGCAAGGAAGGGCTCACGCTCACCTTCATTCTGTGTGACGTGCTGCTCTCGGTGTTGACAGCAAAGTCTGCATCGGTTTCGGTCTCGGTCTCGGTCTCGGTCTCGTTGTCATTGGCATGGATGCCGGTGTCGCGTCCGCCGCCCGCACTGATGCTGCTGATGCTTGTCTGGTATCCCCTGGACACCCACGACACGGTGTCGGCCGAGGCGCTGCCAATGCTGTTCATGCTTCCCATGCTGCCAATACTGCCAATGCTGGTTGCGGTACCCGCGGGACTCGTGGACAAGGCATGCCTCGTGGGAGTAGACGCGTCGGCCCCGCTCCGAGCGTGAACTGGGCCGTGTTTGGGAATCTGCGCCTGGTTGCGGTGGGTTGCGGCCGGGTTCTGCCCGGGCATCAGGCCGTCCTTGGTGGCCCAACGGCGCACGTTGGTGGGCCCGTTTTCCGGGTACCGCGGGTCCGTGGTCTCGCACTCCTCGTCGCGCAGCCAGCAGTTGCGACATTTGGGCGTCTCGGTGTCGCACCGGACCTTGCGCTTGCGGCAGTTGTTGCACGCGAGGCTCAAACGGATGCGCTTGCTGGGTGCGGCGGAGGCAGACGACATGGGGGATGTTTACGGGGGAAAAGAATAATAGAACAAAAGAATAATAGAACAAAAGAACAAAAGAACAAAACGAACAAAATAAAAACACTGAAAAAAGCTCGAAAATAATGCGGTTGATTCACTTCACAGCTGGAGAGCAGAAGCGGCTCCTCAAGGACTAATATCTTGTGCCATCGCCTTCGTTCTCGGTGACCCAGGACGCAAGCGGGGTATTAGTCTTAGTGTCGCAACTCTTTATTCTCCGCGAGCTGGTGGACCATGTCGGCATGTGGAGACGGATCACGGTGTAGTCCGGAAATCGTTACGAGGCATATTTTTTCATCTTGCAAAAGTACGTGTTATCAAACTTGTGTTTTGTTGTTAAAAGAAAATCTATGGTCTCAATTTAAAGTCCGTAAAGCCGTCAATGCTACAGTCTGTTCCCCCGTTACACTTTAATGTAGGGAATGCCCGTCAATTTAAAGGCCCTCTCGCTCAGCACGGCGTCGTTGAGAGGCCTGTCTCTCTTTACGTGGTCGGGCTTGCCATTACGAGTGGCCTCGTTGGTGCCCGAGTGCAGGGCATTGGGCCAGTGTGTCGTCCCAACTCTCTCTGTTGTTTGTTAGCCGTGCATACTGGTGCGTTGAAACGGGTTGCAACCACTACGTTTGCTTACTCTCGTAGGCCGCCTTTTTGCGGATCAGATCTTCCTGCGAGGCATCGGCCACCGGCATGAAGCACGTGTACGTTGCGAGTCTGTCCTGCGTGCCAGTGGCGGGCACGTTGTAGTGCGGCGTCCGCGAGTCCCCTGCCGACGGTCAGTCTTGTACCCCCAAAATTACGAAACAGCTACACACCAACACCAGGAAGACACTGCGACGTACACAAAATCAAGTCGCCGGGCTCGGCGTCGACCTTGATCCACTCGAGCTGGTGGTCTTTGAGCCACTGCATGCCCTTGTCCGTGAAGCCGTACCACTCCTTGGTCCACGCCGGGATGGGCTCCTCGGTGCCGCGGATCTCGTTGTGGAACTGCTCGCTGAGCGCGTGGCCGCCCCGGCAGACAATCAGGCCGCCGTCATTGGGCCCGTTGGGCAGCAGGTTGACGAGGCCCTGGAGGCAGCGGAACCCGGGCCGCTCGGGGTCCTGGTCCTGGTGCGGCCACGGGTTGTTGGGCGGAAGGTGGGCCCGGTGGCTGAAGCCGTAGTTGATCGTGTCAAACGACACCAGCAGATCCTCGGTGCCGTACACCTTTTCGAACGCGCCGCACACGGCGGGCTCCGCGCGAATCGCCCACACAAAGTCCTCGTGGCAGGCGCCGTACGGGAGCAGCATGCCCTTTTCGTTGATGACGGGCAGCTTGTCGGGGTGGACCGTGGAGGGGTCGTTGCGGTCGTAGCCAAGGTTGCTGTCGCGCGTTAGTGATGGTACAACGTATTGTAAGGTATGCATGCACATAAGGAAGACACGTACAAGGACTCGAGCAGAGCATACATCTTGTCTGCATACGCGAGGGCTCTCTCGCGCGGAACAGCGCCCTTGACGACCGCATAGCCGTCGCGAACGAGGTCGTCGCGAAAGTCGCCAAACGTGGGATCCGTTCCATCGCATTTCATGCGGTAGCCGGATGTGGGAAGGGTGACGACGGGCGCAGTGCCCGTCGAAGCAGTCACAGTCTCAGTCGTAGTCATTTTGAATTTTGCGTGCACTGGAGTGGATGTGCCAATGATGTGCCAATGACAGACGCACGAGTGTCGAACAGAGCGTGCGTTTATACTCGCAGAGGGTTTTCTCTCATTTATTCCACTTGCAGACTGCTCCTTCCGAAAGTGCACATGGCGCTGAACCGCCTCCCACGCAATCTCGGCCCGGCTCCGAAGTGGGTCCGGCTCGGTTCATGCCCTGACCGACTAGTCTGGCAGTTTGTGCGGGGAAGTGACCAGCGCTGATGCTGGGCCTAGACCCATTCGTTTTCCGGGGTGCGTTTCGTGGAGCCGAGCTCGTGGTAACTAGGGGTCCTTTAGTTGCTTAAATAGGAACGTCTGGCAGAGCACTTGCAATGCAAAGGATCTGCGTCTGCCATCGCGGAGGGCAAACAACAAACCATCCATTCATCTGTCTGCCGCCATGGCCGACGCAGAGAACCCAGAGAAGCCGCAGCTGGCGCACGTCGTGTCGGACATGCACTCGGACACGTCCAAGGCTTCCAAGGCGGCGGTGGCCCACGAGCACATCGAGGGCAATGCGCTTCTGGTCGGCCGAGACGGCAAGGTCCGCCGGCTGCCAATCCCCTCGACCAACCCCAACGATCCTCTCAATTTCAAGACGTGGGAGAAGGCCGCCGTCATTGTCTGCTGTTGTTGGTTTTGTACGTTGCCTTGACTGTGTGTGTGTGTGTGTGTGTCTCCTTCTGTGCAAGGTCCACTGCTAATGTTTGTGTTTCCAGCTCTTCTTAGTCTTGCTCTTGCTGGCGGCCTCGGCCCCATCCTGGGCATCTTCTTTCAGCTGTACATGCCGCAAGGCTACGACGCGAACCACATCACGTTCCTTCTCACCATCCCGAACCTGTGCATTGGCCTCGGCAACTACCTCATCCTGCCCGTCTCGCTTGCCTTTGGACGCCGGCCCGTGTTCCTTTTCTCGAGCGTCGTGCTCTTGGCCGCCACCATTGGCTCCGCCGCGCAGAGCAGCTACAAGGCGCACCTGGCCACGCGCACCATCCAGGGCCTCGCCACGGGCGCGTCCGAGTCGCTGCTGCCCCTGATGCTCACCGAGGTCACCTACCTGCACCAGCGCGGCAGGGTGTTTGGCCTGTACTGGATGGTGCAGAGCATCTTCAGCGCGGCGCTCAACATTGCCAGCAGCTACATCGGCGCCAACCTGGGCTGGCGCTGGTACTACTGGATTTTTGCCATTCTCGTCGGCGTCGGCATCGTCCTGACCTTCTTCTGCGGCTTCGAGACGCGCTTCAGCCGGCCGGCCACCAGCATCGACGGCGTCGTCGTTGTCACCGACGAGTTCGGCGTCACGCACGTCCTCCCAGACGGCCAGGCTCACGTCCACCTCGCGGAGATGCAGCAGGATGGCGCGGCGCAAGACACAGAACACCCCACCACACGCCGCAGCTACTGGCAGAAAATCAAGCCGTGGTCCACACCGCACCCCCGCCCGCTCCGCATGATTGTCCTCTCGTGGCTCCGCATGGCGCAGTGCATGACGTCCCCGGCCATTCTCTTTGTGGTTCTGTCGGCCTCCATCACCCTCGGCTGTGTCGTCGACATGTCCCTGACCTACGACGCCGTCCTCCAGGCCAAGGGCTGGGCCGCCCAGGACGTGGGCCTGGTCAACGTCGGCTCCATTGTCGGCGCGCTGCTGGGTGCCGCGTACGCGACGCTCGCCGGCGACCGGCTCGTGCTGTGGCTGGCCAAGCGCAACGCCGGCGTGCACAAGCCCGAGCACCGCCTCCTTGTCCTCGTCCCGCCCGCGCTCCTGGGCATGGCCATGCTCCTCCTCTACGGCTTCACCGCGGCCAGCGCGAGCGCCTCGTCCTGGGGCATCGTCGTCGCCTACACGCTCTACTCGGTCGCCTGGGTCACCGTCCTGATTGTCACCACGACGTTTGCCGCCGAGGCCGCGCCCAAGCACCCCGGCCCGGCCCTCGTCATGGTGGTCGGCACCAAAAACATCATCTCCTTTGGCTGGACCTATGGGCTGACGCCGCTGATGGACAGGGGCGGGTACGCCTATGCCTATGGCGTGCTGGCCGGCGTCTTTGGCGCCTGCTTCCTCCTGGGCATCCCCGTCTACGTGCTGAACCCGCGGTGGCGTCGCTATGCGGCACGCATGGACGAGCGCCGCGGTGTTGTGTCGACTGACTGATGTTGTGGGACAAAGGCGGCGACGAGATGTACAGTAGGAGTAACTACATCTAATTAGGGAATATTCATACTATCCGTAAAAATTATGATCGAATGAACATACAGACGTGGGCCTGCTGTGAGAGACTGCGTATGATGTGGCGATGAGGATACAGGCTAAGCTGTGCGCCATATAGATGATCCGAACCGAGGACACTTCAATACGTTCTTATTAAACATAATCCGTTACGACAGATTCATTCAGTGGGAGGAGTCACGCGTCACAGCAACTGAAAGCTGTTGACTGCATTTGGGAGGGCAAATATATCTATTGAAGGCTTCGTCCAGAGCCCTGGCCTAAAGAAAATACACCTCCATCTCCTCTCAGTACTCCTCGACTTCACTAAATGTCTTGTACGGCTTGGGCAGCGGAACGTCCAGCTTGCGGCTGCGGTTCGGGCCAAAGATGTCTGCTGTCTGATTTTGTGAGCGGTGTGACGGCATCGATCAGGTCGTCGTGCTTGGTGCAAGCTTACCTTCGTCGCCGGCTCGTCGGGCGTCGGCATAAAGACGGCCTTGCCGTCGTCGCCAAAGTAGGCCAGGTCCTTGTCGAAGGCGACCTGGTTCTTGGCCGCGAACGTGATCCAGTTCTCGCTGAACGGCGCGCGCGCCACCTCGAGGCACCGGAAATGCCAAATCTTCCACGCGCCGTCCTGCTTCAGAAAGTCCAGCGCGTACTGGCACCACACCCAGTGCGCCCACACGCGCTGGCCGTCCACGTTCTTGTCCTGCGGCTCGTACAGGTCCTCGGGCATCGCGCCGACGTTGCCCGGGTCCGACAAGCCCGACTCGACGCCCGCCATGAGCCAGAAGCCCTTGGCCGTCTCGCCGTCCTCGGCCACCTCGATGAGGGGCGTCGTCGTCTCGTGCAGAATCAGCTTGCCTTTGGGCGACGGCCGTCCCGTGTGGTACTTCATGACGCTGTCGTAGTCCGTGTACACGCCGACGTTGGTGTACTGCGCGTGGATGTCCGGCGTGCCGCGGGCGACCCAAAGCGGCTTGATCTGCTCGTCCTCGAAGACGTTGTGCAGGTGCATGTACTGGCTAAAGACGTTTTCCACGGCGCCGCGGTCGTGGGCCTGGGCGTGTTAGATTGTATACTCCAGATAGTCTCGTGAACGTTGCACTTACGCGCTGGGCTAGACGCTCGGCGGCCACGACACGCGCCTCGAGGGCTGCAAGAGCGTCTTGGGATGCCATGTTGCGCAGCTGGAAGAGGTCGATGTTTGTTCCCGAACGGGCAATTGTATGCGTTACTCCAACTGATGTAAAGTGGCAAAATTGCCTCGCCAAACAATACGCGCTTCTTATAGATGCTCCTCATTTGGACATGTGATGTGGCCACTCTCGTCTCGCCAAACCGAGGAGCATAGACCCGGCTGGCCTCCGAGCCGGGGGTTCGGTGCCCGGAAAACAGAGTCCTCCCGGGAAGGCGTCCGACGATCTAAACAATGTGACTGTTCCCCAAATTGGAATAACACCAAGAACTTGGCTGCTCACCCTACCGCATCGAGACATACCCCGCATCAACACCATGTGGGAACCCCAACATTGCGGATTTCTACGCCAGCATAACACTCCACATCCCGCTCCTCGGGTTTTGCTGCACGCGGAATGTGACGACGGCAGTTCGGACAGGGTGTCCAGACTGTGTATTTGTCTCGATGAACTAGGGCTCGGTCGTGGGTGACTACGTCCAAGTTTTGGTATGCAATAGTAACAGCCAGAAATATCGTAGATGTCCACCCTTGCCCACAATCAGCGCGGTTGTCTTCCGAACGAGCAGTGGTGGCGATTCGTTCCTTCACTCTAGGTATGATAGGGTGTGCCAGCCCCAAACCTTGCCCGCCAATCTTCTCGGATCGATCGAGAAGCTCTCTCCACATCTGCGCACCGGACACGAAACCGGATCTCGCGGGCGATGTTGAGCCCGTTTAGTATCGGCATCTGGGCCTCAATGATACACAGGAGAGGCTGTAAAGAACCGTGGCACTCTTCGAGGATGGCTGCCGTGTACGCTATGCACCGTGACACGGTTAGTAAAGGTCCGTCGTCGGTGGGAAGGCATCGGTGGAGGATGGCCGGGCTCTGGGGTAAGAGTAGGAGTAGCGTCCTACGTCGGTCCTTGCTCGTCCTCCCAACATTCAAATTTGTCGCGCCACGTGTTGTATATCGAAGCTACGTTATGAATTTGGCCCTGTCCTTCACCCGCCTGGTGTTTTCTCGCGGCGTCACATTTGCAAACGCACATCGTTGGACATACGTCGTACTATCCACTCAGTGACACCTTGTTCCAACTGCTAGCCCCCACTGGCCCAATACGGAGGAATATGATGGTGGCCTGTTGGCTATGCAGTCTCATGACCAATCGTATCTCGGGACAATATGACGAGACTGGAAATAATCAAAACCAACAGACAAGGAAAAAAAAGTTACCCACTCAGTATAGGACGCAAGGTAAGGGGCTATCAGAAAATAGATGTGTATGGCTGACGAGGGGTACTTGTCGGATGCTTCTTTGTTCCGCGCGCCCTTTGTTTCGCCGAGCTGAACCAACGAGGCAAATGAAGTATTCACCTTTGGTCTTTCCCAAGCATTTGCAATTCGCCCGGTTTCTGGTTTCTTTTTACAGCCAGCTCATTCCACATCATTCGCTGCAACATGTTTCCGACAAACAGCACGGGCGGCGGTCCGGTGCGACTGCAGGCTGGGCAACATACTGCCCTATACTTGATTTCGATCGTCCTTGTCAGCGCCGTTTCGTATTTTTTTATCAAGAGACAACAACAGAAACGGGCAAGTATCCGGTTGGGAATACGGGAATATCGTGCGTAACAGGGCGGCTCGCTAAACAAAGGCATACTCGTTCCAGGTCGAAGCCGCAATGGCCGAGCAATACAATTGTGCGCCTGTTCTTCCGTTTGTGCCGTACAAGTGGCCCTTGGCGCTCGACCTTCTCATGCGGCAGTACAAGATCTTGTGCGGCGACCATACGTTTGAAGAGCTGACGCCGTACTTTGACATTGCCGCCACCGCACGTGTCCATTTCTTCGGCGCCACCGGCTATTTCACCACGGACCCGGACAACATCGAGGCCATTCTGTCGACAAACTTCAAGGACTACGGTCTCGGCAGCCGACGCCTGGCCGCATTTCCGCTCTTGGGCGAGGGCATCTTCTCACAGGACGGCCCAGCTTGGAAGCACTCGCGGGAGCTCGTCCGACGCCAGTTTTCGCGTGTGCAGAAGCTGGCACCGCATGCACTGGCGGAGCACGTGGACGAGCTGCTGGCCGACATCCGCAGCGCTGCCGTGTCTGCGGATGGCGTCCGCGTCGTGAACCTAAAGCCACTCATGTTTGAGTACACACTGAACACGACCACGGCGCTGCTATTTGGCGAGCCGCGCAGCACGATGGGACAGGACATGGACATGGGCAAGGGGAACGCCGTGCGCGACGACTTTGACGCGGCGTGCTTTGCCTTGGGCATCCGCGTTCGCCTCGCCGATGGTGCCTGGCTCTACAACCCGCCCAAGTTCCGCACGGCCTGCAAGGCGGTGCGGGACTGGGCCACCTTTTTCGTGGCCAAGGCCATGCAATACAAGAACGACTTTGGCGAAGACGCCGCCGCCGAGAAATACGCCTTTATCATTGACCTGTGGCGAGACATGCAGGACGTGGAGCTCGTCCGTGACCAGCTGCTGCACATCCTGGTGGCAGGGCGTGATTCGACAGCCATCCTGTTGTCATGGACGTTGTGTAGTTTTTTTTTTTTTTTAAATTTTAAATTTTAAATTAAAAATCAAAATTTTATATTTCTTTCCTTGCGTCTTTTCGCAGTCGTTAACGCACATAGTTTTCATCTCGTTCGCAACCCAGATATCCTCGACCGTCTCCGAAATGAAGTTGCCTCCGTCCAAAACAATATCCCGCTCACGCGCGACCAGATTCTGAAACTGCCCTTTCTCCGGTGCTGTTTAAACGAAAGTGAGTTTTCCACCCTCCTGTCGCACTGATTCCTCGGCTCGGCTCGTCCCGTTAACTCACCGCACGCCTCAGCCCTCCGCCTGTATCCAACTTTACCAATGAACATTCGCTTCGTCACCGAAACTACTATTCTGCCGCGCGGTGGTGGACGTGATGGTCGATGTCCCGTTCTCCTACCCAAAGGTACCGGGATTGCCTTTTCCATCTACCATCTTCATCGCCTTGAATCCATCTACGGGCCAGACGCCAAGGTATACCGCCCCCAACGCTGGGAGAGCGGCGAATTAATCAAAAAGGCTCGTCTCGGCGCCGGGTTTGTCGACTTTAACGGAGGACCGCGAGTCTGCCTAGGAAGTATGCTCTCCATCGGTCCCTCTTCACGTCAAGGGTCGTGTTATTTCGATTCGTAGCTAACGACCCGTAGAGGACTTTACTTTGATGGAAGCGAGCTGCGCCGTCATTCGCATTCTCCAGACATTTCCCAATCTTCGACTTCCTCCGGGGGTCGAAGCCGGCCCAGTTGGATCCGAACGCCATACGTACACGATTGGCCTGTCGCCCACAGATGGAGTACATGTTGCACTCTGAATTAGGAAAACGATGGTTATTGTAGCTTGGAATAGATAATGAACCGTGGAGTACCAAGAGTCTGATTCACGAAATAGACCAAAACACAACCAATCAAAACACGACCAGCCATATACACGTATGTCTCCCGTAGACGACACAACCCTACTGGCTCTTGTCTTCATTGATTCCCCGGTCATTTTCTCCGTTGGACAGCTCGGACCGCACGTCCCGCACAAGGCTCATGGCCATGTCGGCGCTAATGGCCGTCAGGACGTGCCACCACCCGTGCAGCTCCAAGAGCCACGCCCATGGGAGCCCCATCTTGGCCCGTACCGAGCGCAGCTGGGCACAAAACTCGAGGTCGATGTTCCAGAGGCCGTAGCCCACGAGGAGCAAAATGAGCGCCTTGCGTCCGCGCACCCGCCAGCCCGCCAGCTTGTGCGGCGGGAAAGCGCCGACGCGCCAGTGGAAGAGATAATGTCCGCGCAGCACAATCAGGGCCAACACCGTGCCAAAGGCAATGGTGTGGTACAGGATGTTGGCCGTCCAGACATAAAACACGGCAAACAGGGGGAACACGACGGCGAGGCTCACGCGGACCAGCGTGTAGTGCGCAGACGTGCGCTGCAGGTTGAGGGCGCCGAGGAGCAGCGACCAGGTCAGGCCGAGCATCGCCAGCTCGTCAGCGAACTGCATGGTCTGACGCAGCGACGCGTGGAAGAGAAACGACCCAACGCCCAGCAAGAACAGCGACACGGCCATGAAATCGATGTTGGGTGCGAAGAGGCCACGGCTACCCGGGCCGTACATGTAGCGAAGCGCATAGTAGACTGGGGGGGAGGGGGGGTGGAACGGATCGCACGGGTAAGCATCTCTGTGTTCAAACGGTTCAGGGCAGAGACAAACGAACAAACAGCAGCGTACCATAGGCCAGGTTGGTCAGCGAGTTGATGAACTCGGAGAGATAGACCGAAACGGCGTAGTCCTCTTCACAGAAACTGTGCCAAAGGTGAGTGATGTTTTCCACATGAAGTACGACCGGGCAAGGTAGTGCCCTCGAATGCCCTCGAAACGCCGCAGATGCTTACTTGGCTTTGCTCGTCGGGGGACTCCACATCCCATCCAGGGCTTTCGGGTCGCCATAATAGTGAATGTTGTGATGTCCCATCCTGATGGAATCTGTTGGTCCTCTTCGACGGCTTGATAGATCCTTGTCCGTGCCACGGCGCGTTGCTCTCTCCCGTCGGGATCTTTCGCGTTGGAAGTAGGGATGAATGTGAAAGGTGAGCTGAAGACAAGATGAAAACAGATGGGGCTGAAGCGGAAATTTAGCCACATGATATATCACGTGAATATCACTGTGATTAAAATTCAATGGACTTCGGAGACATATGTTGGACAACGGCACTTCAGACCCTGTTATCTAGCGGTAGCGCTAGAGGGCTCTCTATTTTGCCAGTTGGCTTAGTGTAGCGGTCTAGTTCCTATATGTGAACTACGGCAAGCATCTTAATCCATTGTCCATCCGGTGGCTCATTCTATGGGTATTTCTCATGTTGTCGCCATTCCCTGCAGCGAACAGTGGTCACGTCGCCTCTCTCTTTTTTCTTTCAAACCACAACTCCATTCCACCATCCGCCCATCCGCAACGCAACCAGTTTGCCCAGGTTGGTGGTCCCATCCTCCTCTATCACCAGTTCCTCCGTGTCCCGCAAGATGTTTTCACTGTACGCACCGGCTCCACACATATGCAACACCTTAGTTACTGCCGCATGGATTGCCAGCAGCCGAGGTAGAGGAGCATCAGTGGTCCGGTTCTCCGAAAGGAACAGAGTCCTGACCACAGGCGCTACCGGGCTAAATATGGGCTCCGTTGACTGTATGCGATAAGTGTGCTGAGGCGCATCGACCAGTGGTTCAAAGTACAATTTAAATCGCCCAAACTCATTGTGCACTTCTTGTGTCAGGGTCAGAGCGTTTGTCGGCCGATCAATGTTGAGGCCTTCAATCAAATGGCGTATACCGACGTCGAACATGTCGAGGATTGCAAGAGCGTTCTTGCGAGCTTGGATCTGACACTTGTTAGGCCAAAGAAGAAAAGGACGATAGCAGCGAACAGGGACGACCGAATTCGGGTACACACCATGTCCGAACTGCCTTCATGTGTCATGAGTGAATGAGGCAAGATATGAGCCACTTCGAGATTAGCAAACTGCTGCATGTTGTCCTGGGTCAAAATGTGCCCGTCGTCGTCCTCGGCGTTTTCGCCGTCCCGCTCATACCGTTTCCTGGCCTCGTTCCGGTCAAACTTGCGAGTCACAACGCAGCGGTGCCTGTCGCGTATCAAGCAGTCGCGCCGTAGCGCTTTGAGCCGGTGACCGGACCCTGGGAGGACGGCGTCGGCTGGCAATGATGGTACAGAGAGGGACGCCGGTGTTGGTTGCGGTGTCTTTGCAGAAGAGGCTTTCACTTATCCTGAGCGTGAGCAACAATCAAAACAGCAGAAGCACGAGAAATGGAGGTGGGTGCCCACGGCAAACATACACGGGAGAAAGAAATTCGCAAATAGAAAGTCTGTAAATGCGACCACCTTTGCTGCTACCGATCCCATGTCAACCTCGTTTGTGGTAGGCAATATGTCAACATCAATGCTGGAGAAAAAGGACTGGAGGATCAGATCCTTGGACGGCTGAGTTTGTGAATGGCGATGCATGCTGCGTATCATCTCGATGCGCCGGAACGGCGTCGACAGGAGCTCGTTTTGGCTGGCATCTAGCTGGTCCAAAACGTGGGTGAAGAGGTGCAGAGCGTGATCCCTTGCGGCATCGGACGGGAAAATCGGGGGCTCGGCTGAAAAATCCAGAAGGTCCTCCAGAGAGGCCTGGTGCCTGTGGAGTGGTGAGGACATGATGGATGCGTCCTGCTGGTTGATCATACTGCGTCGCAAATTCGGTATTTGCTTGTTGTCCCATGTAGGCAGGGAAAAGGTGGGGGAGTCGACGCCTAGAAACAGCGGAGATGTAATCTCGCTTCATTGGTTAGAACAGATGATAAATATGGGTCTTGCTAGCTCTCGTGTAGAGTTTACTGGCCACGTGACTTTTAGAGGATAAATAAACAAAATCAAATCAATCTACTGTTGATTTCTTACCATGTAAACTCAAGCAAGACTTACCTCAAAGTTGCTCATATGTGCGCAGTGTCGTCCTGTGCCAGCCTCACCCGTGTCCCGCAATATGGGGAGGATCGCCAAGAGTTGTCGAGCTCCATTTGCAGAGTGAGAGGACTTTATCCGCCCTCTTGGCGCTTGTGTGGCTGTTGATGGGTTATCCTCAACCTCTCACCATTTGCCCTCTATTGTGGAAAACGTGCGTATCCTGATCCCTGGGAAGGATTGTTCCCCAGGGGAAGAATATTAATGAATGGTTGCGATGCACTTTAAACCGTGGTCTGCTGGTCCAAACGCATCACGAATGCAATTAATTACAAGCTCAAACGCTCTCACCACTATTGTAGTTATCCGCCTTGGTAGCCATGCCGCTTCATCCTTCACCTCGGAGATCCGTAAGTCTGCTGGATTGTCTGAAATCGCAGCTTCGTGAGTAGACATGCCCAAATCGAGAACGACGTCGCAGCGAAAAGCAAATCGTTGTCCTCGAAAGTATATATAGGAGCAGCGTCGCCTCGAAGCGTTATGTATACTGGACAAGCAGAAACAGATATCGTCGTCGGCATAGTATTGGAACAAACTCACTCTTAGCCTCGGCAAAATATATCGAAAATGAAGACTTTTGGCAGATCCTCGCATGTACTGGCCCTCGGCTCACTGCTCATGGCTGGCCAATGTGGCACCGTCCGAGGCCAGACAGAGGCCCAAAAGGCAAATGCAAACCGAACTCTGTCTGTGGGCTATGTGAGTTGCGCAACATACACTGACACATTCCGATGTTGGCAAGTCCTAATTTTGTGTGAGCAGATCCTCTTCCCTGGCTTCGAGCCTCTGGACGTGTTTGGTCCGCTCGAAATGATATTCGGCATGTCGTACTACATGAACATGACGCTGGCCACCATTGCGGAGACGGTCGGCCCTGTGTCGGCGCGCCCGCCCCTCCACTACATGGCCCCCAACGAACCGCCCATGGACTTGAGCTACATGATCAATCCCCAGGTCGTCGCCACCCACACCTTTGAAACCGCGCCCAAGCTGGACATCCTGCTCGTCCCCGGCGGCACGGGCAATGTCGCGCTCGAGCAGAAGAACGACACCAAGGTCGAGGACTTTGTGCGGGAGCGGTATCCCGAACTCGAGTATTTGTTGAGCGTCTGCACCGGCGCCATCACGCTCGCCCGGTCGGGCGTGCTCGAGGGCCGCCGTGCCACGTCCAACAAGGGCGCGTGGGCGCAGACGGCCACGCACGGCAAGAACGTGACGTGGGTGCCGAGCGCGCGCTGGGTGGTGGACGGCAACGTGTGGACGAGCTCGGGCGTGGCCGCGGGCATGGACATGGCCTTTGCGTTCTTGCGGGAGCTGTATGGAGACAGCCCGCTCGATACGCTGATGAGCAATGTCGAGTACGCTCCGCACACGGATGCCTCGTGGGATCCGTTTTCGGTCGTGCACAATGTGAGTAAAAAAGGACGGGTACCTGTCTGTGATGAAGCTTCGCTAACTGTGGATTAGGTCCCGGGTGCGAACAAGACGCGCTCACTAGTCGATTGTGTTGGGCCGGCTGGGTTCTCGGAGTAGATGGAAAGCGACAGCACACTGCTAATTACGTCTGGCGACGTGCCAACGGTCGGAGTGTATATGTAACACGTTTCATCCGGGCTGACAAGACATACGAATGGAGGTGACGAGATGCTTATATGTCTATCCTCTACTGTGTAATTTCATCAGTTGTCGTATTCATAATACCTCTGCCCAAGTTTTAACCGAAGACCCAAAATACTTGACATGCTTTATCCTGGCTCCGTATCATAAGTCTCTGGGGATGGAAACCATTCTTTCCATCTAATTACCTCTCTTCTAGACTCGAGGTCGGAACGTAACCATCATTATTTTCTCCACAGTGGACGCCATATCGGGTGCACTTTCTCACACACCCTCCTTGCCGTACACCTTCTCAGGTGGCGGCGGCGTCGTCACGGGCAGCCACTCAAACGACTGTTTCTTGGTGGACGAAGCGTCGGGTTGCTTCTCCTGGACAGATGGGATGTCGTTGCGGTAGGTAACGTAGTCAGTAATGTGGCTGTTGTTTGCATTGTTGTGGTTATTGTTGTTGTTGTTTGTCAAGCCGCCTGGGTAAAAGACTTGGGTGCCCGTCAGCGGCGCAGTGATCAAGAACAGAGCGGCCTCGATTGTGCCAAACGCAATGGCCAAGTTGACGGAACCACACACCCCGTCTTCCAACGGGCAGTCGTTCTGGCCCACGTAGGCGGCCGACGCAATGAAGCCAATAAACCACGACAGGAGCGCTACGACTTCGAATACGACGCGAACGTAGCCGAACGAGCTTTGGATCGGGTAGCGGATACCAATGAAGACGACAAACACAACGCCCAGCGCGGTCCAGAAGGCAGTGAACAAAAGGTAACCCCACGGATCGGGAAAGCGGATGTGATCGGTTATGGTCTTGGAGCCTTCATGTTTGACGACGTCACCATGAAAGAGATGGAGCGCTGGTTATGTTAGTTGGAACAAAATAGAAAAAAAATATATGACAAACAGGAACGGCACGGAGAACACACATCGAAAAAGGGCAACAATGACGACAATGGCAAAGATAAACTGCAGCGTACGGACGCTCAAGACGAAGATGGGATGGGAGACGAAGTTTGCACACTTGGTACGCTTGGATTTCTTGGTGTCGGACATATTTGCCTGTTTGAAGGTGGATGGGACGTTGATGGCCTGAGCTTGTTCCTAATAGAAGATACACTGAGGACGTAACGTTGGTATTCGTCGCGTGATGATGGTTGAATTGAATGGATATTGTTTCGAGTTTTGGAAAGTGAAGGTCACCAACGAAATCATATATACACTGACTGGTGTTACTTATAAAAATGCGTACGTGACGACATGATGGATGTTTCCATCGTAAACGCTTGGCGATGCTATTCTTGGTTCATCAATACGATCGATGTGTTTGACCCAACGGCCATAAGAATATGGCAGCCTGGACGAACAAGGCAAGAAAGTTAGCAAGATAGGTTCATTAGGAAGTTTTCCTTGCTGCCAGCAGACGTAAGGTGGACACCAAACAAAGTTTGGGGTTTATGGCCGAGCCGTAGCGCTGGGACGGAGCGATGCATTTCGATTCCGAATTCCTAACATACCACAGAATCCCTGTAAATTGGTCAAGCCAGCGCAAGAAATGACCGATGCTCCGGGCATGACCACCAGTCTGTTTAGTCCATTTGTGTCAAGTGGACGTACAGTGTGGGAAAAGTTAATTAATTTTATGATAATATAGACGATGCAAACCTAAAAAAAAGTATGAAGCAGTGGGTGTTGTGGGGACTGGATATGATGTGTAAACAAACAGCTGAACAGGGGCTAACAAAACAGCACCGAAATCCTATTTTTAGTTTGACAGATGGGCGATCTGGGAAACTTTATTCTGCTGCCTGCGACTAGTCAACACACCAGAAAACCGCCGATTAACGTACGCACCGTCATTTGCTGACCAAACGATGCAACTACGGACAATTCCCGAAAAGTCCGTCGCGTGCTTCACATTTAGACTTTCAAGGTGAGTGCTGTTCTCTATGCGCATTTTAGCGAGACGCAAAAACGGAAGAATCGGACAATACTCGAGACAGGTTTACTGCCAGCTGATTTCCGGCCAAGACGCATCGAACGGCTAACGTCACCGCATGTTTTTTAGGCCGACACGCAAGTCCGTTGTCCATTTGTCCGCACGGCGATGTGCAATTTGCTTTGTGCGCGGCAAGACGCCGCTTGCCTTTTGTTTATTGAAAATGTCCAACTACGGCGGACTGCTTCTGGGTCCGATGACGTGCGTGACGTATGGCGACAAGTTTGACTGGATCAAGAAGGAGGAGAGGGAGTGACATGTCAGCCAAGGTATCCAAGTATATTTTATAACCAGTCAACTCCATCAATTGTACGTTTTCCAGGCCAATGTTTTCTATATCCTATCCGGGATCGAATCCATGATCCATCTACACTGTACTCCTCTTTCTAGTTTGTAACCAGCACCTTGATCACCAGCTTGCCGTCGTCGTCCTCTTTCCGGCTCGCCATTGCAAAGGCATCCTCAACGGCCGCGAGGCCCTTGAACTCGTGCGTAACCAGGCTTGCAAAGTCGGGGCCGTCGTTGTTCGTCTGCGACAGGATCTCAATGCCCTCGCCGTACGTGTTGGCGTACCGGAACACGCCGCAAATGTCCACCTCGCGTAGCGCCGCCGCCGAAATGGGCAGAGTCTGCACCGGCGTGCCCATGCCGATCAGCATCACCTTGCCGCCCGGTCGCGTCGCGTAGATGGCCGTCTGGACACACGAGGGCACGCCCGTGCATTCAAACACCACGTCGACCTGTCCGACCTTGTCGCCCTTGCTCTCGAGCGCGCCTACTGCAGCGGCCGTCTGCTGCGCGGTGGCGAGCGCCTCGTCCGTGGACGCCGGGCGCGGGCCCATGGGCACGACGAAACGGGTGTCGGCAAACCTGTGCTCGACGGCGAAGCGCGCGCGGTTGGCGTCCACGTCGGCAATCACCACGTTGGGGACGCCGGCCACTTTGCACATACCGGCCACCAGCAGGCCCACTGCGCCGGCGCCCAGAACGAGCACCTTGTCCGTCTTGTGGCCGGCCGACAGGTTGGCTCGCCGGGTCGCCTGGATGGCCACGCTCAAGGGCTCGAGCAGCGCCGCCACGGCCAGCGGCATGGAGGCCGGCAGCTTGTGGCACCACGCCGCGGGGTGGTTGATGCGGTCCTGCAGCGTTCCCTGCGCGTGTGGAAACGACTTGGCCGAGCTGCGGAAGCGCATCTCCGGACAGATGTTGTAGCGACCCTCGGCGCAGCGCGCGCAGGTGCCACAGGGCTGGCCGACCTCGAGAGCGACGAGGTCGCCCACCTTTAGGGAAGAAACGCCAGGACCGACGGCTACGACCTCACCGGCCGACTCGTGGCCGAGCGACAGAGGCTCGCGCACGAGAATGTCGCCGTTGCGGTAGTGGCCGTAGTAGTGAAGGTCGGAGCCGCAGAGGCCGGTGGCGCGGACGGCGACCTGCACCTCACTGGCGGCGGGGGGTTCGAGGGACCGATCCTCGAGACGCAGGTCCTTGGCACCATGGAGAACGGACGCCTTTATAGTTTGTGTTTGTGATGTCGACATGTTATGTGCGGGCGGAGGGGAGGGCATGAAGCTGATGTCGTCGTCGTAGAGTTGGTCAAAAGAGGGAGGATGTTGCAAAGCTTTAGAAGATTGCAGAGAAACAGGACCGTGATGGGCAGAATGAGGAGAGTCTACCAGGGATGAATCGCTTGTTCGAGAAGGAGAGCTGTTGTGAGAGATGCTTATTGTTCGAGGAATGAGCCAACGGCAGCCATCGACAGCACTTAGCGGGACAACAGTGCGTCTTGGTTCGTGGTAAAATATGGGCCGGTTGCGGAGGCCCGCTGTGGGACAGCTGGGGACAGTTGGGATAGCTAAAGCTGGGCGGCTGATTCGGCGTTTGCTTGTCGCTGTGGTTTGAGAAGGAAACAGGCAAAACCCGCGAACCTGCCAGCTCTCGAAATGGTTTCAATAGCCGAAGGCGGCACTAGTGACGAGCACCGCCTTTTTAGCTCCCCCGCACTCCAAAAGCAGGAACACTGCTGCTGGTGCAATATAGCATGATTGTTGACCACTTCGAGACTACAGAGCCAGAGATCAACTCGAGCGTTACCAACGGCTACTGCATCACACTCGAATCTTGCTTCTAAACCATAGCACCACATCAAGCAGCATGGATTTGTTTTCGCTCGCTGGCAAGACGGCCCTCGTCACAGGCGGCACACGGGGCATTGGCCAGGCGATGGCCGTCGCTCTGGCGGAAGCTGGCGCCGACATCCTTTTGGCATTGGTGTGTCCGGTCCCAAACAGCAACTGACAGCACCTTCCAGTCCTCTCTGCTAACATATTTCAGCGCTCTGGCGCCGATACGGCGACCAAGACACAGGTCGAGGCCCTCGGCCGGAAGTGCACGCTCTACAACGTCGATATTTCGTCGCGCGAGTCCGTCGCTGCCCTTGTGCCGGCGGTCCTCAAGGACGGACACCGAATCGATGTTCTCGTCAACTGTGCTGGCATTCAGCGTCGCCACCCGGCCCACCAGTTCCCCATCAACGACTGGGACGAGGTGCTCCAAGTCAACCTGGGCTCCGTCTTTGAGCTGTGCCGCGACGTCGGCGCACACATGCTGGAGCAGCCCTTTTACGATGGCACGACCCGGCGAGGAACCATCATCAACGTGGCCTCGCTCCTGAGCTTCCAGGGCGGCATCACGGTGCCGGCGTACGCAGCCAGCAAGGGCGGCGTGGCGCAGCTGACCAAGGCGCTGAGCAACGAGTGGGCGGGCAAGGGCGTGACGGTGAACGCGATTGCGCCCGGCTACATTGCCACGGACATGAACTCGGCGCTGATTAGTGACGAGTCGCGGGCGGCAAGCATTCTGGCGCGGATCCCGGCGGGGCGGTGGGGTCTGCCGGAGGACTTTAAGGGGGCCGTGATCTTTTTGGCCAGTCGGGCGAGTGCTTATGTCAGCGGCGAGATTCTGACGGTGGACGGCGGCTGGATGGGCCGGTAAGTGCCAGCGGGAGACAAATTGTGGACAATAGATTTAGACTTGGTTTCATTTGACGCAACTAGATTCATCCTGCTCGGAAATGTCTACATATCCAACCTCACTGTCCGCTATAAACTCGCCTTGAGCACCGTCTGCTCAGGCACCTGTGTCAACAATCCCTTCCCTGCCACGGCACTCTTGATATTATCAATCACTAGCACCTCCATCCGCCTCTGTGTGTCCACCGTAAATGTGCCCACGTGTGGCAGTAGCACAGCACGCGGGTTGCTTAGCAGACCCGGATGCACCTTGGGCTCCTGCTCGAAGACATCCAAGCCGACACTCCACACCTTGCCCGACTCCAAGTGCCGCACCAGCGCTGCCTCGTCAATGATGGGGCCGCGCGCTGTGTTGACAACAATCACACCATCCTTCATCTTTGCGAATGCTGCCTCATTTAACAAGCCGATGGTAGCGGGCGACTGCGGCACGTGCACCGAAATAACGTCGCTCGTGCGCAGCAGCTCGTCAAGCGACACGTACTGGCCTAGGTTGCCGTCGGGGCCGGCCACGGGCTTGCGGCTGTGGTACTGCACAACAAATCCAAAGGCGGCCGCCCGGCGGGCCGTGGCAGCCCCGATGCCGCCCATGCCCAGAATGCCCAACCGAAGACCGTTCGGATCTCGGCCCAGCGGCGATGAACCGCGCCACTTGCCCGCACGGATGGCTGTCTGGGGGATCCATGCGCGGCGCAGGGCACCGAGAATGAGGAACAAGGCAGTATTGGCGGTCGCATCGTTGACGGCACCGGGCGTGTTGGACACGCTGATGCCGCGGGCCGTGCAGGCACTGACGTCGATCTGGTCGTAGCCGGCGCCATTGTGCGATACAAATTTCACCGACGGCGGTAGATGGCTCACGAGTTCCTGGTCAAAGCGGCCGGTAATCGCCACCGAGTCGTAGGTGCGAGAAATGGCGACAATATCGTTGTAGACACCGGCGTCGAGGTCGCGGAGGAACTCCTTGCGAGTGCCGGACGTGACAGAGCGGACATTGGCAACGTCGGACAACGCTGCAAACTCGGCCTTGGCATGGACGACGTCGCCCAACATAAGCACGGCAGGCTTGGAAGAGGAGGCCATGTTGTCTTGTTGTCTGCGACGGTGCGTTGTGTCTTGGTCGGTAGTCAGCAGTCTGCGATGTTCTTCCGGTAAACGGTTTCAACAACTGACTTGCTGTGCATAACGTTAGAACTGGTCTGGCCCAAGCCGGACAGTCGACCTTTGAAATCTTTTCCCCGCCATCTCTTCACCGTATACCGAGTATCTCTCGGCATAATTGACTCCGTGAGGTGTCTTGTTTACGCGAGCATCGGAGTGCAAAACTCTCAATCCAACTTAGCGGGGTACTCTGTACTCCGTACTTCAGTTGCCGTTCATTTGCCGACAAGTTAATCTTGACCGCCGTTGCGGGGAGGTCTGCAGAGGCACAGCGCATATGACCCCTGAGGAGCCCTACAAATTTGCGGGGCCACCTGAGGATAGACACCAAAATGTCTAAAGCCGAATCCTCCTTGCGAATAGCCGATGCCTGGGGGAACTGCACCTGCACCGCAGCACCTCCAAACACAGCCCCGTGCCGCCACCGACTTGCCAAACGACACACAATCCACTCACGCAATGGACAGCCGATCTCCACCGTCGTCGGCCTCGGGCTCTGGCTCGGCCAAGACTACGGCAACCATCCGAGCCGCCGCCACAAGCACTTCAACAACATCAAGAGCAACTGCGGCAATCACAACGTCCAGTCCTCTCAAAGACAAGCACCGTGTCTCCCGTGCTTGTATATCGTGTCGCCAGCGCAAGACTCGATGTGACCTCTATTCGCACGGCACGCCAGGCCAACCACCATGTACGCGCTGTTTCCAGGAGCGTCTGGAGTGCACGCTGGCGACGTCCCGACGTGGCGGACGCCGGCCGAGGCGGACCGATGTCCACCAAAATCAGGGGCGAGCTCACGCTCCGCCTCAGCTTCAGTCTCATGGACCCGGCTTACCGCCGTCCAGTCCCCATTCCGGTACACACGCATCGACGCGTCGGGCGACGGTGCACATGACGGGTGCCGACATTGACGGCGACTTTGCGGCACGCGACCTGCTGAACCCATCCGACGCCTTGAATTTGCTGGCCCAAGTGGCCGACCTCGACGGCGTTCACGACGAACAGGACCAGAGCCATGGTCGCGCGTACAATGCAGGTGATGGGCACGACGGTATACAGCCAGGGACACCGGCACAGCCCCGCCGACATCCTCACCCCAATAATTCCAGCCAAAACACCAACCACAGCCACAATCCCAATACGTCCTTCTACTACCCGCCCATCTCGGACGGCCGCCTGAGCCTCGCCGATGCATCCTACCTTCTGCAGCACTACCACGAACACTACCACCCCTTCTTCCCGGTTGCCGACAAGCACGTATTTGACGGCCGTAGCATTGCGAGTCTCGTCCAGGCAGAGCCGCACCTGTTGACGAGCATCTTTACCGTCGCCTCCAAAGACGACCCAGCGTGGCACGGTGTGCACGAGGCCTGTGCCAGTCATATGGACAATCTAGTGTCCCGGTTGATCAGTCGCGGTTCGTCGTCGGTTGGGGCTGTGGAGGCCTTGTTGATCTTGGCGGAATGGGCGCCCCAGCTGCCACAGCCGACACCACAACCTCAATCGCAGTCACAAGGACAATCACAGAACAGGGTCCCGCCCGACGCAGCGCCGGCGCTTATCGGCCGCGGAGAAGAAGACCAGGGCGCCTGGATGCAGATCGGTGTCGCCATCCGGCTGGCCTACTTGCAGGGCCTCGAGCAGACGGGTCTGGTCCTCGGCAGCAACAACAAACCCACCGACTTTGAACGCAAGCGTGTGGCCTGGGCTGCCTGCTACATGAGCGACCGCGAGGTATCGATTCGCCTGGGCAAAGGCTTCTGGTCGCGCGGACCGGGACCGTCGACCGTGTTGAGCGCGGGCGATTTTCCGACGCTGCGTGCACAACAAGCCGGTGCGGGCGACCTGGCTCAGCTGTTCCAGGCTCGCCTGGAGATGACCCAGCTGTTTAGCAACGCACACGATATTCTCTACTCGTCGACGACACATCGTGAACAGTTGTTTGTTGGCGGGGAGTACGTCAGGTACATTGTGAGTACAGGCTCTTTGTAAACCAGATGTCCGTTCCACGTCTATCGATGCTAACAACACACGAAGGATGACTTCACTGCCGTTCTTCGCAAATGGAAACTGGTCTGGGGCGGTCTGAGTTGTATGGCAGTCTTCTTCCACGTTCTTATTTGTATAGATCTCCACTAACAGCACAGTGACACCCTCTGTCAAAGCGGCCCTCATTCTGTCCTACGAATTCCTTCGCCTCTACATCAACGCGTTTGCTTTCCAAGCCACCATCAGCCGTGCCATTACACGCGCCCGCCAGTCGCCGCCGGCCTCTCGGACGGCCGTGCGCCCCCTGTTTACCGATCTCGCCAGCATCCCCGACGCCCGCTTCATCTACGAGTCCATCGATGCCGCCAACACCCTGTTGAGCACCTTGAACGACTTCGTCGACCCAACCTCCGCCCTCCGCTACATGCCCCTCAAGTATTATCTGTACGTCATTTACGCTGCCGTGTTCCTGTTCAAAGCCAGGGTGGCCGGTGCCTTGGCCGGCGACGCCGGCATCAGTGCCCGCCGCACCATCAATATCACCATTGATCGGCTGCAAAAGTCGTCCGTCCATCCACACGGCCTGGGCCAGCGGTATGCGCGTTCACTGTACCTGCTTTGGCGCAAGTCGGTCGACCGAGCAGCCGCTCAAAAGACCAAGAAGACGGAGAAAGCGGCTGAAAAGACGGCTGCTCCTGCTGGCACCGCCGTCAACACGCCTGTCGGACACGACCATCACAGCGATCGAAACAGCAGCGGGCCGCAGTCTCCGGTTCCGTCCTCCACTCCCAACGACGCCATTGCCAACGGCATCCACAGCAACATCACCAGTATGGACGTCAGCAGCATACCAACCGGGACGACCATGGCTGTTGACACGGAAATAGTGGCGAACGGCGTAAACGATACCAACGCAAATGCAGGCGTTCCTCCCGACTATGGCCGCCCTCCACCGGCCGAACTGCTCGACCCGCTCAAGGGCTTCTCGTGGCGCGACCTCGACGGCCTGGGCCAGTTTATTGGAAAGGACATGACCTTTCTCGACATTACCTTGGCGACACCCATGTCGGACTCTGACCACGGCGCCGCGGCAGTGGATACAGTGACGGATGCCTGGCAGGACATATTGTGGTCGGGCAACGACGTCATCTTTTAATGTTGGTAGTACAGTCATCACGGCACGTGAAGGAATGAGAAAGCAGTGTTTCAAAATAACGACATGTGTTGAGATACTCACCGTACGGAACGCATACCTACCCGCATTCCCATCACCTACCAGCCGCTTAGAACGAAAAGTCGGCAATATTGATGTTGTACGAATACCGCACACCATACGCCCGGCGCGGGTTCAGCTTGTAGTAGTAGTCGACGTCGAACCGGACGCAAAACCGCCCCGCCCGGTTGATGGCCAGGCTCCAAAACTCGAGCTCAAACTGCCGGCTGCCATCCACGCCCATGCGCAGCAGCCGGGACGATGTTCGCTCGGGAGCAATCAGGCGCGGCGCCGGGTCCGCGTCGGCATAGGGTGTGATGGCGGCGTCGGCATTGTACAGCGTCGCCTTGGCGGTGACCATGTCGGCCTTGACGTGGGCCGGGAAGGTGATGCGAAGTTTGAAGCAGTGTTCGAAGCGGACGCCCTTTTTGCCCTCCATGGGGTGCTGCGCAAACGAGATGCCGCCGGTGGGCGTGATGCGGCTTGGTGCGACCATTTTATTTTATTTTATTGTACTTTGTTTTAAGAGAAGCTGGCTCGCACCGATGTAGGCAAAGGAGGCGAGGAAGTAAAACGATCATTACAAAGACAAAAACGCGATCGTGCGTGGCTTATTTGTATGTCTCTACACTTTGCGAATGACAGCCACAAACGTGACGCATTCTTTTCATACCATGTTCAGTACCAAACAAGTGAACAACCAATGATGCGTCACAATAAACACCAAGAGCTTGACGTGAGTAGTTGTGACGAGATAAAGGCAAGTAAATGTTATCCGGTCTGCATTTTTTTTTAAAAAAAAAGAAACAGAAGATCAGAGAAATATTGTCATGAAAATACCAAACTATTATGCGAAAAATGTATAGATCGCAGATGTCTAACGTCCAAGATGTCCTGGCAGGGCTTTAATATAATTATATATTTACGATGCACTAACTGAACTAGTTCCCTCGAGATACATCAGCCGACATACCACGGCCAACAGACGAGCAAACAGTCTCTCCCACCACCAATCAAAATAGTGACGAGTTGGCCGCCGAACAGCTGACGGCGGGGTATCAAAACACGCAACCCACTCAAAAGTGCAGTTTTGTTCCCTTTCATGGCCAGAAGGCATACCATGCAAGGCGTACCACGGCCAACAAAGAACGTGCCTAACGCAACGCAGCGGCGACGGTAAAGTGCACGGACAAGGGACTGTCATAGGTTGGATCCTGACAAGCTCACACACCTAGCAGCTGCTGTGCAACACAAGTTTCGGGCGCAGCTCGCAAACGAGGCCACAACGTTTGCTCCATTGGTCGACGGCTGCTTCTGTCACGTTGGTGACTGCGTCTTCTGGCTCTGCCTATTGTCTCATTCGTTCACTTCCATTGTCTCCTTTGCTCACTGGTCCGTTGTAGAGATAAAAGACGAACGGCAGCCACCCCCGCCCATCCGGCTTTGCCTGTTGTCTTTTGTCTTTCGCCTTTCATCGTCTGTCTTTTACTCCTTTCATTTCGTATCGATGATCATCGATTGCATCGTCGATAAAGCAAGCAAAATACCAACACAATCCAAAAGAACAAACCAATTCAAACTCGGACGAAAACACTCGACAGAACACCTACCGAAGAACACCTTATGTCGGGCCGTGGACAAGGATATCGAGGCAGCCGTGGAGGAGGCGGCCGCGGCGGTGGCGAGAGCCTTGCATACCGACCGCGCGGTGGGCATGGTGGATATGGGGACGGCCGGGGTGGAGGTGGAGGACGCGGTGGTAGGGGCGACTTTCGAGGCGGCCGTGGCGGAGGCGGCGGAGGAGGCAGCAGAGGCGGTGGCCCTGTCAGTGTCGTGACAGGCGCCCCGGCGCCTGATGCTGCCGTCACCAATTTGGAGAACGCCATTGTCAAGGCCAAGCCGGCGAGCGGCGGCAAACTCGATGCGTCCCGCCCCTTTCCGATGCGGCCTGGCTACGGCACCAAGGGTCACCCCGTGACACTGTGGGCCAACTACGTCGTGTTGACGGCAGCGGCCAAGCCCGAGCTTGTGCTGTACCGCTACGACGTGTCGGTGACGCCGGCTGTGACGGGTAAGAAGCGGGCCCAGGTGCTGCGCATCTTCCTGGAGGACACGCCGGAACTGGCCGGCCACAGGGGTGACGTGGTAATGGATTTCAAGTCGACACTCGTCTCGCGCGTGCGTCTTCCGATGGACGAGACCGATTCGCTCACAAGCACCATCGCCTACCGTCTCGAGGGCGAGGACGCCATCGAAGACGACGGCGGGTCTGGGCTGCCGGCGACGCGCAGGGAGTTTGTCGTGCAGCTCCGGTACACAAATGCCCTGCCCGTGGCCGACTTGCTGGCCCACCTGTCGTCCACGTCGTCCTCGACTGCCGCGGCCACCGACGCCACGACGGCCTACACAGATGCGCTGCCCACGCTGCAGGCGCTCAACATCTTCTTCCACCACCATGCCAAGACGTCGCGCGATCTGGTGGCGGTCGGCGCTGCCAAGACGTTTTCCGTGCAGTCGGACAGCAACGCATGGGATCTCGGCAGCGGGCTGACGGCACTGCGCGGCGTCTTTGCCAGCGTGCGCATGGCCACGGCCCGGCTGCTGGTCAATGTCAACGTCACCAACGGCGCATTCTACCAGGCCGGCCCACTCGACCAGCTGATCCTGGCGCGGACGGGCGGTGCGGGCGTGACTATGGGCACGGTGCGCCGCCTCGAGACCTTCCTCAAGCGACTGCGCGTGCGCACGACGCATCTCAGGGACAAGACGAACCGCAAGGGCGAGGTCATTCCGCGGATCAAGACCGTCTTTGGCCTGGCGACGACCAACGACGGCCATGGCCAAGAGCACCCGCCCAGAGTGGCTCGATTTGGTGCTGGGCCCAGGGACGTGCAGTTCTGGCTGGACGGACCGGTGGGTGGAAGTGGAAGTGGAAGCGAACCCAAGGCACAGGCACCGCCACAGAAGGGAAAAGGCATGGGCAAGGCCAAGGACAAGGGCAAGGCGTTGGGTGCGCCTCAGCCCGCCCCCCCTGCCACCGGAGGGCGCTACATTTCCGTGTATGACTTTTTCGTGCAAACATACAACCGCCACCTCGCCAGCCCTAGCCTGCCCGTGGTCAACGCCGGCACCCGCGAGCATCCCACCTACCTGCCGGCCGAAGTCTGTGTCGTACTGGCTGGCCAGCCGGCGCATGCCAAGCTCGACCCCAGCCAGACCCAGCAGCTGATCCGCTTTGCCGTCCGTCGGCCGCAGGAGAACCAAGCCTTTGTTGCGGGCGAAGGGCTGGTGATGGCCGGCCTCTCGTCGTCGACCAACGCGCGCCTCGGGCCGTTTGGTCTCGACGCGGCCGCACGCCTCATCACGGTCCCCGGCCGCGTTCTGGCCAGCCCGCGCGTCGGCTATGGCCAGAACAAGTTTGCCAGCGTCTTCAACGGCAGCTGGAACATGGTGCCCCGCGACGCCCAGCCGCTCAAGTTCTCGGCAGCTGGCTCCCTCCGAAATTGGTCGTGCCTCTACATCGAGCTGCCCGACGCCCACTCGCGTGCCCAGACGTTTGCACCGCCCGAATTGGCGCGCACGCTTGCCCAGTTCCACAAGGTCATACTGGATTCGGGCGTCACAGCCGCCCCACCGCTGGAGGCCAAAATGTTGAGGTTGCGTGGCGACGGCCTCGACGACCCCCAGTTGCCCGAGATGCTGTCCCGTGCCAGCGAGAAACTCCAGTTGCTGCTGGTCGTGCTGCCCGCCTCGCCCATCCCGCTGTACAACCGCATCAAGCAGCTCGGCGACGTCCGCTACGGCATCCACACCGTCTGCGTCGTCGGCAGCAAGCTGGCCAAGACCCAGGGCCAAGACCAGTACATGCGCAACGTCGCGCTCAAGTGCAACCTCAAGGCCGGCGGGCGCAACCAGGTGGTCGAGCCCACCCGCCTCGGGCTGCTCGCAGAAGGCAAGACCATGGTCGTCGGCATCGACGTCACGCACCCGTCGCCGGGCTCCTCGTCGCGCGCGCCCAGCGTCGCCGGCATGGTCGCCAATGCCGATGGCGGCGCGCTGGGGCAGTGGCCCGGCGTGCTGCGTGTGCAGACCGAGGCGCGGCAGGAGATGGTCGCCCACCTGCACGAGATGCTCGTGTCGCGGCTGCGGCTGTGGCAGACAAGGCAGAGGGCGCTGCCCCAGAACATCCTGATCTACCGCGACGGCGTCTCCGAGGGGCAGTATCCGCTCGTCGTCGCCGAGGAGCTGCCGCGCCTGCGTGCTGCGTGTCGCGACGTCTACCCCGCCGCCGACCAGGCCAAGGGTCTGCCCAAGATGACGCTGGTGGTCGTCGGCAAGCGCCACCACACGCGCTTCTATCCCACCACGGCCGCCGACGCCGACGACCGCACCGGCAACACCAAGCCCGGCACTATCGTTGACCGCGGCGTCACCGAGGCGCGGTCGTGGGACTTCTTCCTGCAGGCCCATGCCGCGCTCCAAGGCACGGTGCGGCCGGGCCACTACGTTGTCTTGCTCGACGAGATCTTCCGCCCCAGGTACGAGCCCACCGGCAAATCCGCACCTGCGCCCGCACCCGGTGCCGTGGGCGTCGCCGACCGCCTCGAGGACATCACCCAGAGCATGTGCTACGTCTTTGGCCGCGCCACCAAATCCGTCAGCCTCTGCACGCCCGCCTACTACGCCGACATTCTGTGCGAACGTGCCCGCTGCTACTTGTCGAGCGTCTTTGACGAGTCGACGGAGGCATCGACTGTGGCGTCTCAGGCTGGAGGAGGAGGAGGAGGAGGACTACCATTGGACCAGGACGTTCTGATCCACCCGAGACTGCGGGACAGTATGTTTTACATTTAGGGGAGGAGTGGCTAAAATACTGAAATATGATGGTAAAATGATAACGTGGAAATGGAAGAAAATTATGTTTATAAATTCGAATTATTTAAAACGAAAATACGCGAAACAGTGACCGAATGTATGGTAGGGTATCAAAATATGACGAGGCAAATTAATCTCCAGACCGAAAAAATTGAAAACGGGCTTAACCAGTTCCTCTCACGTTCCACTTTGTGCCTTCTCTGCTAGACGGTCAACCGTTCTGATCCATGTCATGTGCGCGTCCGTCGTGCTCTGCATTTATATTTATTAGCATAATTTTCGATACCAAACTACCAACGTCCGTATCCCCACTTGGATGCAGCCCACGACAGTCGAGAAAACTTGTTTCGTCTAGAGCCCTCCGAATCTCCGCACCAAATCCACTCGCTTGGAGAATATGGCAGATGGTGAGGTGGACTTGAAGAAACACCGGATTAGGCATCTCCACAGCTGTGTCGGAGCAAGTAAACTCGACGACTGCCATGCCACTTTTTGAGGAAACACCCAGGTTCTGGCCGGTGAAGTTGACAACCTCGTACCGGTTCTACCAACGATTAGCTTTAGACGATGTAATGACCGGCGCGTACAGAGCACACGGATCTTGACGTTTACTTTTTTGTCGGTCGTGTGCGTGTTGGGGGAGGAGTTAACATTTCATCTTGTCCCACATACCGTCGCTTTTGGTCGAGGCGAGAACCCAAGCCGATAGTTACCGAAATGGTCGTGCACGTCAAGGCTCAAGGTTATTGCGTTACCCCGTTGGTTGACGCTTCTAGCATCAATCAGGGCCTGGGTGTCCGAGAAGTAGCGGTGGATTGCAAACCAGATCACGGCCCTGTTCCGTATCTGCACCGCATCGGTGTCGTCGAACGACCCAAATGCGAATGGGATAATGTGTGCACAGTCTGTGTCCGCCCAAACTTCACCAGGGGGTGGCTGGACGACTCCATCAGCGGCCTTGTTAAAGTCCCAGATGCCTGTGTAGACGCACCGGTATCCGTCCCGACTCAGACAGTCGTTTCGAAGTCTCGTTTGGTCAGCTCGTGTCGACCATTTGCATTCAATGGAAGGCTTGACCATGTCGATGGCATAGGATGTGCCATCGCTCGACGGTGTTGCCAGTGGCACTGGGGCTTGCCCGCCCGCCAGTACAACTTGAGGGGAGTCCTTGTCAGTATGGATGTGAGAGTTTTGGATCCCGGGAAGGTGCAATTAAGCCAATGGCAACAACACGACAGCGAACATACACGGCTTCAAGACGGCGTCCAAAATGTGATTCGCCAGCTGGGCGAGTTGGCCGTTGCCTTCGGCAGCAAGGATGTCGACGGCCAAATTTAGCTTTCCATCACCAGATAGATCTTCGAGAAAACAAGAGAGGAGCTTCCATGTCCGGTAATAGTTCTCTTTCGCGTGATCCAGTTGCACAGACGCATCCAAAAGAAGCACGCTGGGGTCTGACAGTGTTGACTGGAGGGATGGCAACGCGGATGGATGCTCGGACAGCGGCGGTAATTGTCGTAGAGGATTCCAGGACATGGCATAAGCCGAGAAATAGTGAACGGCTGCCTCGCGGCCTGGATGTGAGTATAGCTGGAGCAAGGGCGAACAGCGGGCGATGATGCTGGAGGTGGTTGTTGCCGGTCAGACAAGTGTCGTAGTGTGATATGTCAAATATTCCATTGCTAAAATATGCCTAGGAGGATGTAAAAAAAAATCAGAAAGTCGAATGTTAAAGGCCGCCGCCAGGAGACGCCAGCAGCGATAATCTCGAGGAAGGTGCGACGCACCCGAGCACAAGGCTGTGTTGGGAAGGTGCGACCCACAAATCAATTTGAGACTATGACGTTGTCCGTAGACTATGGCCACCGCACCAAGTTGGTTACTACTTGTGTTTGTACGTGGGGCAGGGGTTTCGCTGTAGGTGACTCAGCAGGCGCGAATGACCACTCCCCAAAACACAACAACGCAACACACCTCAAAGCATCAACACATCTCAACACATCTCAACCCATCTCAACCCATCTCAACCCATCTCAACCCATCTCAACCCAATACCTATGTATTTGCACATGCAATTAGCGTACGCTCTGTTGGAGAAGGCACGCGTGCAGAGCGCGTACGATGGTGCATTTACTTGTCTATCGTCGTCAACAGGCGCTTGCTTCGATGTTGGTGCAGGCCTGCTATGCCACGCAGTTGTGACTACATTTATCACAAATGGCGATACTCTTACCTCGCACGTACATTTTATGACGGAGGAAACAAAACAGGCAGTGCAGCCATCACACGAAGACGGCGGCGAGCAGGCCCAGGTTGTCCGCAAGTACCATCAATGCCGGGTAAAGACCACGGAGAGCATGGTGGATACGTACGACGGTTTCAAAGCGGGCCTACGACAGTTGCGCAATCAGCAAGATTATGCCTGCGAACGAGCCTACGAAATCCGCGACCACCTTCAAACGTACTGGGAGCAGCAGGAAAGCGGCTCCTAAGGAACACTAGAAGCAGAAGACGTCTATATCGTCTGGTTCACAACATGTAGTTGCTGCGGTGTAAGATGAGGGGCGTCGGAGAGAGCTGAGGAGGGTGAGAGTTGGTACAGTTCGCCTTTTTTTTCCTTTATTTCTTTTTGTTTTTATTTGTAATTTGTTCTTGATTTTTGGTTCTTTCAACTTATGTCCCTCAATCCCTCACCCCATACCCCATTCTCTCTTGTACATTTTATTAGCAACGTCTGCAGTAGATTTTAGCCAGCATGCATTGAGTGGCGACCACTAAACGCGGAAATACGACGTAAATCAACTTTTCTTGAAATAGAATAAAGAAAACGGTGAACATAACGAAAGTCGTTAGCGAAACCGGTAGCAAAACTGGGCCAATTTTTCTACCCGTTTTGCTACTGGTAAGATCGGGATAGGTTTGGGTAGTGGGATCACACCCTGTCTTCATACATCACGGCCCCTTACGGGGTAGTAAACATCTACAACCGCGTCGTTAAATGCTCTCTCTCTCCCGCAACTACTGATCATTGACTTGGCTCCTAAACAGATAATCCGTGTAAGAATAACACCTGCTACCACTCATAATCCTTGTTAAGATGGAAAAGTTAGTCATTATCGACATCCTCCCAGTATGTCACTTATTGTCGTCTCCCTCCCAGGCGTATTATTTAGTCTGTCGTCTATTTACAGTACGGTTATAAGTCTTAATAAATTCGTTTATGGTTATAGATCCACCTTGTTAATATAAATTTAGGCTCGGGATATGCGCCTTGTGGATCCCGACTTGTAAAATGGTTACTAGTTTAAAAGTATACCGTCGACCAGAATGACGGCCCCGGATGCGGCAGTCTCCTACATATTATTCACTTCCGTTTACGATTTCTCGTTCTCTTGGTCACCTTAGTCGTGGTTATAATTAGAGACGGCTTCTCCATCTCCCTTCATTGCACTTCTTCCAACACCTCTGGTCCTCAAATGACCGTCGGAAACATGCATCACCGTTTCTGTCCTTGAGGATACACAATCTCCAGGCCGAATATCCCGCGGCGTTCCACCATTTAACCACTCGGCCACTACGATCTCCCTCAATACCCACCAACATCCGCAGGTTGAGGTGATCCGTGCACATAAAACTGTGCATGGCGGACCAATGGTCAATACGTGACATTCAATCAAAGCTTGCACCAGTCCAAGTACCACTCTCTCACCCGTATTATAACGTGTATCGTAATCCAACAACTTCCATGGCATGCAAGAGCTGAGCGAGCCAAGAGCCTGTTACTTCACGGTGGCTCTCTGCCGCTCAAGAGCGTGTTTGCTTGAACAAGTCGCCCATCCCGATTTCCTCAAACATCTTCAGCGCTATCGCATTTTTGCTCGTGAACTCGTTTTTCGTGGACTGTACATGCCGATGCGAAGAAATCGTTTCCTTGTCCTTGATCATCGCATCTTCAGCTTGGTGGTCTTCAGTCACTGTATTTTTTTCAATTTTGTCAGATTTTCTCGAGTCAGATTTCATATGGTAATGCCTTTTAAGGACACTGTCAATTCCAAACATACGCTGTTCGACAGTCTTTCTAGTCGAGGCAACAATGGTCGATTCAAAAATCTGTCTGTATTGTTCCTTGGTCGCCATATGTTCCAAGTGCAGGTCAATGGTGTCTTCCAGACGGTGGATCGCAAGGCGCTTTGCTTTACTGAGAGAGGGCAACATAGGCTTGTTCGCAAATGGATGATTGACCAGTTCGTTCAGATTGTCAATGACGTTAGCTTCAGCCTCCTCTCTGCCGATTGTTATTACCAGACATTCGCCTTTTCTCTTTCTCTCTTTCTCTTCTTGCTATTCGAATTTCTGATGGCGTCCAACAGGTTGTCAATTGCGTGGTAGAGGTTCTGGAACTCGATATTTCCCAATTAGCGGTTTCGTCAGCCATGATCACATGCAAGAGCTGCGACTGGGTGAGGTTGGATGTTGGACTGATTGTGGATGGTAGCTCGGTGAAACGAGGAGATGAATGTGTACACCGAGGGGTACTTGTTGCTAAAAACGGCGTCATTGGGCGCATCGTTCGGAGAAACAGCTACGTCGATGCGTGTCGCTTTGGTCAGGTAGTCTTCCGGCGGGCTGTCTAGCATATGCTCTAGCTTGGGGCCCGTCAGCCTGTGCGCAGCCTTGTACTCGCCGACGATGAAAGGTACTTTGACCTTGGTTTCCTTGTTGTGGTCGTACACGCAGATGCGGTCGGGGTTGCTGGCACCGCCCGTGCTCGATGCGAGTATGTTCTTGGAGGATCTCGATGTCTGCGTTGTCTTGTCTTGGTCTGTGAAATGGACATAATCGCGGGACTTAGTGTCAGGGCTTTCGGACGCAGCGTGAAGGTATTCATTCACAACCGTAGCGGCCGGCTTCTCGAGAGCAATGCGTAAAAAGGGGCGCAGCGTTGCCTCGTTCTTGGCCTTTGGGCTGAAGGCAGACAAAAAGCCAGAAACATCGTGGGGCGACGAAAAGCACGCATCCACGGGATTGAGGCGATCTTCCAGCTCCTGGAATTTCTGGTCATGCAGTGCTCCAAAGCTGGCCCAACGACGAAGATGCCGGGGACAAAACTTGCCGGCCACCGATGTAGTTCCCAGTGCGAGCTGTGACCGGTCCGTCTCAATCGTAAACTTGTCGTAGACGCGCTCGTTGACGAGATGAAGAAATTCGAGAAATTTAGTCTGAGCAACGTTCTTCTTTTGCTCGGCGATGGTTTTATCATTCTCAGCGATGGTGTTGACCTGGTCAGCGATGGTGTTGACCTGGTCAGCGATGGTGTTGCCTTGCTCAGCGATTATTTTCTTGAGTCTCGCGATGATCTCGTCTTTTGAGGTTGCCGACTCTCCCTCATCCACAACGAGTATGTCTTCGGGAGGAGAAGGCGTCGAAGGTCCCTTGTCCTTCTCCATTGTCGCGGCGCAGTAAGCTGGTAGGATGGGCGGGTTGGTGGTGTCAGACGTGCGAATCGCGAAGGGTATGGGCGTGGGCGTGGGTAGTGTTTACGTGGGTATGGAGTGGAGTCACGGGACATAGCATGTGACTAACACACGTGACACAAATTCAGGGGCTAAAAGTGTAATTACTCCGTGGGGTGAGTTTCTCATATTGGACGAGGCCCATACAATCAAGAAAACGAACACAACTGTCCTACTTGGCCGTGTCTCAGTTTCGCGACAATTTCGATACCTGCGTCAGGGACACCATTTGACAACACTTGGCAGGATGGTTTTGGCTTGGTGTCGCTGCTTCGTGGTTACCCATTTTCAACGCTCCCCTTGTTCGTCAACACATTCTCAGAAAAACCCAAAAATACACGGCATGTGAGAGTCCCAGAGGGTGATTTCCTCGATAGGTCGATTCAGTTCTTCAAGGTGGTTTTACTGCGCCGCCCGCAGTCGACCATCGACGACCTCCTCCCTCCCTTGACACGGCACGGGATAACATTTGCCCTGCCAGAAACGGATCTGGATTTATTAAACAAACTCTTCGAAGACTTCATGGATGCCGCCCCGCAGCTGGTAAAGAGCGAAAAGGACGGAAGGGATCAAAGAACAAACAAACATGGGAAGACGCAACTGCCGCACTTTCCTTATTGTTTCAATGCCAGCAGATAGCGTATCACCCCGCGTTGTCGAGCGTCCAGTGGCTCGAGGATGGGCTTCTCGACCCTGATGACCCCGATGACCCTGACCCTGACAACCTGTGCTGCGACAGGGGCGCCAGTACCAAAACAGAGTTGTTGTCACAGCTGGAAGAGGGCGAGGGCTGGCGGTCAGGTCGCGTGGAAGCCGTTTTGCGCACGGTTATGCAACATAGACAAGCCCGCCCCAGAGACGCCATTCTCGCCGTAGATGAGTACGTTCTGTTCCTTTCGATCCTGAAAGTCGCATTTCGAAGGTTGCATCCAGAAACAAAGGTCTTTAGCTACGATGGAAGCATCCCTGCCGACGTGCGTAGCTGCGTCCTCCAGGCGTTCCGGGAGACGACCGGGCCCAAAGTGATGCTTCTAAGCCGCGGTGCCGGGGGGGTGGGACTCAACATCCAATGTGCAAATGTGGTCATTCAATGCTGCCCATTCTGGAAGCAAACGTGGGAGGACCAGGTTATTGGCAGGGTGTACCGACCTGGCCAAAGCATGCCGGTATTTGTGTATGCGATTGTGGCTGAGGGTTGTAAGATTGAGGAGCACAAGGAAATGCGACGAGACGAAAAGCATGCAATTAATGAGAAAAATATTAGATGGCGTTACCTCAAAGTAGGGTGCTATGGTTCTAAAGCAAGGGGCAAGTATGATTTGTTATCGAAGTATCGAAAGCGAGGGAGAAGTACAGTGTGGTGAGTTTCATTTAAGACTTTTGGGGTCGGGGGGGAACGAGGCAAGGGCGCATCAGTTTAGTTTTGAAGTTTACGTTACCGTATTAGTTGACGTCGCCGAGGCGAGATAATCCATTCGGCTGCTTGATTGAAAATGAAAATTTATAACATTTAAAATGCAATGGACATGTCTGTAGAGTCGCAGATTTTCCGTCGTTGTACACTCAGGTGCTGTTCGCCCTATGCTTGGCGTCCACGTCCCCCGAAGTCCGAAAATGGCACTTGGACCAACGTCCCCCGATGCCGAAGACTCCATGCATAAATACAGTGCTCAGGCACATCTTTCTTCGTCTTTCTTTTTTCCTGGATTTAAATCGTACAAAGTCATTTACTGTTCATTCCTGCCATCTAAGTAAAAAGCAACTTTGCTCGCCGCGTCTCAAAATGTCCCCACCGCCTGTCCGCGTCGCCATCATCGGCCTCTCCCAATCAGCCACCACGTCATGGGCATCCGCTGCGCACCTCCCCAATCTCTTGACCGACGCCGGGCGTGAGCGGTTTGAAATTGTGGCGCTGTTGAACACGAGTGTCGCCAAGGCCGAGGCGGCCATCCAAGCCTACGGACTCGACCCGAAGACGACCAAGGCGTACGGCCACCCCGACGACCTGGCGGCCGACCCCGACGTCGACTTTGTGCTGTGCTCGACGCGCGTGGACACGCACTACGCTGCCATCTTGCCCAGCCTCCAGAGCGGCAAGGACGTGTATGTGGAGTGGCCCATTGCGTCGAACCTGGCGGACACGCAGGCGCTCGTGGCGGCGGCCCGGGCGAGCGGCGCCGGCACGGTTGTGGGCGTGCAGCGGCGGTATGCGCCGGTGGTCCTCAAGGTGCAGGAGCTGCTGGACGCCGGGGCGATTGGCAAGCTGCTGAACGTGCAGGTCAACGTGCACAACGGCTTTGTGAGCTCGGACGTGAAACCGGCCGGGCTCAAGTACTTTGCCGAGCGCGCCGTGGGCGGCAATCCCATTACGATTGTCATTGGACATTGTGAGCACAACATGGAATGGACTTGGACCTGTATTATCGAACGTGGCTAACCCTTCGCAGTGCTGGATGCCGTTGAAACAACTGTCGGCAACTTTATCCCGGGGACTTTGCACTCGCACACGCAGCTGCAGAAGCCAGACATGAAAATCATGGATCCAGCCACCAAGGAGATTATTGAGACCGTTCGCTCCGACGTTCCCGATCTCCTCTCTCTTCATGGTAAGCCACATTCCGCTGGAACCAGGACATACTCATCATCGCCGGCCATTGCTCACTCTCCCTCACAACACAGGCTTCGTCAAGTCGGCCCGCACCCACAACGAGCCGGCCACGCTCACCCTCCACTACGAGCGCGGCTACCAGTTCTCCGGCCAGCCGTCACTAGAATGGACGCTGACGGGCACCGAGGGCAAGGTCCGCCTTGTGGAAGCGGCCGGGACGTCCTTTGAGACGGATCCGGGCCCGAACGGCCTCGCCATTCAGCTCTGGACGTTTGACACGAACAAGGTCGAGGACGTGCCGTGGGGCTACAGCGACCTCCAGCTGCAGGTGAATCCGCGGGCGCGCACCACGCAGACGCTGCTGTACGCGTATGCCGACGCCAAGCGCGGCCTGACGAAAGACGACATCCGCAAGAGCCCGGCGTGGCCGACCCTGGAGAGTGGTGCGGCGCGTGCGGCCGAGATGGAGGAGTGGCTGCGCTCGTTCAAGGCGTGAGCAAGACTGCGACGACGTGTATGTAGCGAGCTTAGGTTGAAGCATCTGCCGGTGTGCTAAGCAGTGTCTGCGAGAACGTGCATCGCTGTGACGCAATGTAGAGCGGGCTGACGGAGAGAATGAGTCGTGTGAGCTCGGGGAGCCGTGGAAATTCGGTGGTGATCCACGGTTCCACCCCGTCGGCTACGCGCCGCTCTGCCTCTCCCAGCTTGAGGCCCGGATCCGACGGAGGCTGCAGTGCCTCCGCGTCCACGGCCCGCCTCCATTCTTCCTCGCTTGCTGCCTGCCAGAGCGCATCGCTGGACGGAAGCACCATGTGCTCGTACATGCCGTCGCCGCCCTCGGTGAAGAGCGGCTCAAAGTAGGCATGGTCGAGCGTCTCGGCGCCGTGGAGCAGCTCGTGGACAATGTAGACCAGAAAGAGCGTGCGGCGGAGCGACTCCTGCACGACCCACGTCTTCCAGTCGACAGCAGAGGGCGCGCCGAGAAACGAGTGCGCAAAACGGCCGTCCGGGGCGGCGCCGGCCAGCTGCTGCAAAAGACGCCGTGTCGCCCGGACCAGGTACTCGTGGTGCAGCACGGCCGCGTTGAGCCGTGACGGGAAGCGGTTGGCTGCAATCAAGGCCTCGATGCCGTAGATGCAGAGGGCTTGCAGGACGACGCAGGTATGCTCGTAGTCGTGCAGAATGTTGGGCTGGGAGGCAGCGTTAGCAAGCATATTCTCAACGGAAACAACTAAACAACTAAACAACGACTTCGCCAGACGACGCACCAACTGCTTTATCAGCTTGTCCTGCTCGTGGGACATGATCTCGCAGACAAACTCCGTGCCCTCGCTCTCCATGTGCATCTTCATGCTGACACACGCAAACGCCACGGCCAGCGGCGTCGGCGGGCCTCTGCCGTCGGCACGGCGGCGGCACAGCGTCGGGTGGATAAACGGCGAGCAAAACGTCGGCTGCAGCATGCGCATCGGGTATTCCCCCACCAGCCGGGCCAGCTCGCCCAGGCTAAACATGCCGTGGTAGAGCCGCGGCCGTTTTCGCAGGCGCCCGTGGTCGCTCGGCGAGCGCTCAGCAGCGGCCGTTGCGGCCAGCGACCGGGCAATGAGATGGGCCAGGTGGTCGGCCGGCTGGAGGATCGACTTGGGCTGAAAGTGTAGCGAGAACGGCGCCGACAAGCTGTTGCTCTGTTCACTGCTGGTGTGTTCCCTCTGCTGTTCGGTCTGTCCTCCAGGGGTGGCTGTGGGAGTCTGGAGTGCGGTAGTTGTGTCAACGGCACAGTCTACGCCCTGTGGCTCGCCCGGGCCGTTGAAGAGATCCGCATCCTTCAGAAAAAGATCTCCACCGAGTCCAGAGAGGTCCAGCTCGTCCCATTCGCCATTTGGATTGATATCGAAGCCCGCGATAGTTCCAGACGGGAGTGTATCAGCATCAGTTAATTGGTGCGAGGGTATAAAGTCTGGTACTTCGTCTGCAGCGTCATATTGCTCATATTCGGGCAGGTATTCTCCAGGAACATCGGTCATCGCCGTCATAGAACCCTGCCCAATTCTGTACTGGCAGGCGACAGACCGAGAAAGACACCGGCTGCCTAAGAGAGCAGGCGTCAGTTGATGAAACGGGTGGACTGAGCGGAACAAACATACAAGATGGCTTTTCATAGTCGCATTTGAGCTTGGATGCCGTACATCTCGCGCACGCTCTCTTCTTGGGCGGCCGGATTTTGCCAATGGACTTTTGGCACCGCCGCCTGTGCCTGTCTCTGAGGTCTTCTATACGTCGGGATAGAATCAGTGGTTAGTGGCAACGACGAGCAAAATGAAACAACATGAGCGACAGTGGTCGGAAGAGCGAATAATGAAAATCGTACTGCGACTAAACTGTTTGCTGCAGAGAGGGCAGGCATGGAGCGTCTGAACAGTGTCCAGAGTGCCGACACCACCTCTGCCGCCAGCGAGTAGTGGTCCTGAAGCAATGCCCTCCATAAGTTTTGCTGTAGTGGTATTCGAAGGAGTCTCTGGAGTATGCCCCGTGACGTTGTCAGTTTGGAAGAAGTTTGGTTCGTGAAGGTCGAATGTGAATAGCGTACTCGATTTGTCATCAAAATGCCGTAATTACGAAGGTTGCTCCAAACCCCACACAATCCTTCAGCACAAGTACACCAGCCAATTCACCATCAAATTCGTCCCAGTACGGAGTATATCGTTTAATGCCCGGCTTGCTCGATCCAGCGTCACGAAGGCAGAATTACCTCAAATGTACCGCAAGGAAAACGTAAGTGATACGGAAAACTAAATCGGAAATTGCCATTTTGTTCGACTCACAAACGTGCTAGAACCTCCTTAGCATTTATGAGAACATGTACAATCACACGAATGCATTTCTCATTCTATTTTCTTTCCGTACTACCTACATAACTTCACCCCATAATGTAGCTGCTTTACGCTTCCACCATCGTCTTCCGTCTATTCCGCGTGGTCCGTCGACCGCGACACGTCCTCCCATTCCTTGAGCGACGCCTCGCGCTCGGCCCAGGTCTTGCGCGCCCGGTCGACGCAGTCGGCCCCCAGCACGAGGTTGACGGGCGCCTTGCGGCCGTGGGCGACGCCCGTGCGCGTCAGCACGTCGACGATGACGCGGGCCCCCTTGACCACGTCGCCAATCTGCTTGTTGTTGACCGCAGCCATGTCGCGGCGGGCGGCCGCCGCCGGCGTCCCGTCGTAGACGGCCAGGCGCGTCTTGGGCGTGATCAGGCGCGACACGCCGGAGCCGGCGCCCGTGTTCAAGAGCTCGGTGCGGAAGTAGCCCGGCTCGATGGTGGTGACGTCAATGTCCCAGGGCGCCAGCTCCTGCGCGATGGCCTCCATCAGCCGCGACACGGCGGCCTTTGTGGCGCTGTAGTGCGCGCCCGACGGCGCGGCCGTGTACGAGGCGAGGGACCCGAAGCTGGCGAGCGCCGTCTGGCGGCCGGCCTGGCTGGACGCCCGCAGCAGCGGGGCGGCCGCGCGCGCCGTGGCCGTCGTGCCCAGGACGTTGGTGGCGAAGATGGCGGCGACCTCGTCCTGCGTGATCTCCTCGACGGCGCCCTCGAGAACGTAGCCCGCGGCGTTGACCACGTGCGTGAGAGCGCCGTAGAGGTCGACGGCCGTTTGGAGGGCGGCCGCCACAACAGCGTCACCGGCGGACACGTCGAGGTCGACGACTGCGGCTCCGGCGGCCTTTAGCTCAGACAGCTTGCTGGCGTCGCGGGCGGAGGCGACCACGTGGTAGCCACGACCAAGCGCGTCGAGTGCAACGGCCTTGCCGAAGCCGGAGCTGGCGCCGGTGACGAAGAAGACGGGGGTGGACATGGTGGGAAAATGCTGCAAGCGAAGATAGAAGAGAGAATATTAACTTGATTGCGTTGAAGAGGATTGAGAATTGAAAGTTGAGTGTCTGTGGGAGAGTAAAAAGCAACAACTTCCCCAAGGACGAACAGCCCTTTTTATATTTCTCGTTGTCCGCATTGTCCGTCGCCAATGTCCAAGATGAATGTCCCACGAGGTAAAACCAGGCTGCGAACACACACCCACCGGCCCTTAAGTCCAATGGCCGACTTACTTCGCTAGCAGAAACGAGGACGACGGCTGTTAACGCCAGCGGCCGATGGCACCACCAAGTGGGTCCAAATCACTAACACCGACGGCCGATGAGCCAACGAGCAAGTTGGGTCAGCGTGTTGTCCGGTAAATCCCAGATGCTATCATTTACTTGGGAGACACTGACGTGCGGCTGAAAGGCAAGAAAGTGGTTGTAAGAATTATGAAAGTACAAGACGAGTTCCTGAATTCGTTCAAGACAGCTTAACATCCCTTTTCAGTACATACAGATCCAATAAAAAATCGAAGGCGTAATGACAAATTGGCCAGCAAATTAAAACGTCTCGGCATTAGTTATCTCTTTTGTCCCTTTCTTCCCCCCTCCCCTAATAGGCCACCAAAGTACTGAGGCCATCCATCTCGCGGTCAAAGCTTCTGTGCTGGGCAATGCTCACGAAAAAGGCCTTGGCAAAGTCCTTGGAGGGCGCCGGCGCGGTCACGACGCCGTAGCTCTGGGCCAGCTGGCCGCCCGCCTCGGCATCCGCCGTGGAAAACTGGATGCTGGGCACGCCGTGCAGCGCCTCCTGCAAGAGGGCGATGCCCTCGCCCGTGGCGCCAACGGTCTTGAGGTGCCCAAACGCCTCGCGCAGCCAGTGCAGCACGCGGCCCTTGACCTTGGGCTGGACCAGCGCCTCGATGGAGGCCTTGCCGCCGGGCACGAACACGGCGTCGACCATGGTCGAGCGGAAGCCCTCGACGTGGTGGTCGGGCGTGACGGAGGGGCTGCTGCGCAGGGAACTGCCGGCGCCGGCCCCGGTGATGACGCTGCGCTTCGTGCCAATGAGCAGCGGCACGCCCTGCTCGGCGGCCAGGCCCTTTTTGACGAGGTCGACGGCGGCCGCGTCGAAGCCGTCGCCGACCAGAATCGCCACGCGGCGGCCGGCCACGGTCGGCCGCTCCGGCAAAAAGTCAAACTGCGAGAGCCCCGGCGCGATCGTGCCGTCGTTGGTGCTGGCGCGCCCCTCCTCGTCTGCCGCCTCCTTGGCCTCGCCGCCGACCATGTCGCCGACGGCCTGGGCCAGCTGCGCGTCGATCTGGGCGAGCCGCTGCACGATGCGCGTGTACACGATGGGGTCGTCGCAGTGGTCCAGCTCAAACGCCAAGGCGCTGGTCAGGTGGCTCTTCTCGACGCGCGAGAGGCTGTTGTAGAAGAGCTGCGCCTGGCGCACGTGCTCGCGGAACTTGGGCGTCAGCGTGCGCGCCTTGATGCCGGCGGCCTTGGCGGCGTACTCGGCGTAGACGTTGGCGGCGGCGGCCTTGCCGTCGACGGACGCCGGCGGGTGCGCATGGTAGCGGTTGGGCCAGTAGTTGACGTTGCCCTGGGTGATGGCGTGGCGCAGCGCGCCGTCGCGGTTGAAGTTCATGACCGGGCACACGGGCCGGTTGATGGGCAGCTCCTCCCAGTTGATGCCGAGGCGGCTGATCTGGGTGTCAAAGTAGGAGAAGTTGCGGCCCTGCAGCAGCGGGTCGTCCGAGAAGCCGATGCCCGGCACCACGTGGCTCGTGCAAAAGGCCGCCTGCTCCGTCTGCGTGAAGAACTCGTCGACGTTGCGGTTCAGCTCAAACTCGGCAAAGTAGCGCACCGGCACCCGGTCCTCGGGCCAGACCTTGGTGGCGTCCAGAATGTCAAAGTCAAATGTGTGCTCGTCGGCCTCCGCGACCACCTGGACGCCAAACCGCCACTTGGGGAACACGCCGTTGGCAATGGCCTCCATGAGGTCCTTGCGGTGGAAGTCCGGGTCCTGGCCCGCCAGCTTGAGGGCCTCGTCCCACACGAGCGAGTGCACGCCCAGCACGGGCGTCGAGTGGAACTTGACAAAGCAGCGCTCGCCGGCGGCGTTGACCAGCGTAAACGTGTTGACGCCGAAGCCTTGCATCATGCGATAGGAGCGCGGGATCGCCCGGTCCGACATGGCCCACATGAACATGTGCGTCGCCTCCGGGTGCATAAACATAAAGTCCCAGAAGTTGTTGTGCGCCGTCTGGGCCTGCGGCACCTCGTTGTGCGGCTCCGGCTTGCCGGCGTGGATCACGTCCGGAAACTTGATGGCGTCCTGGATGAAGAAGACGGGGATGTTGTTGCCCACGAGGTCCCAGATGCCCTCGGGCGTGTAGAACTTGATGGCAAAGCCGCGCACGTCGCGCACCGTGTCGGCGCTGCCGCGGCTGCCCAGCACCGTCGAGAAGCGCACAAAAATCGGCGTCTCGCGCGTGGTGTCGGTGAGCACGGGCGCCGTGGTCAGGTCCTTGATGCCGGCATTGTCCAGCACGCGGAACGTGCCAAACGCGCCCGTGCCGCGCGCATGCACGACGCGCTCGGGGATGCGCTCGTGGTCGAAGCGGTGGATCTTCTCGCGCGCAAACGGGTCCTCGAGCAGGCTCGGCCCGCTGCGGCCGTTCTCGTTGTCAACAATGCGCAGCCAGCTATCGTTGTTGGCCTGGTGTACGCCGTAGTCCGAGGTCAGCGTGGCCGACTCGCTGATCTCATGCGTGTTTCTCGCCAGGTCGTCAAACTTGGCGTTGGCAGACGTCATAATGGGTTGTGGGTTGTGGGTGTTGGCTCTGGACAGGATACGATGGACAGGACACAAGATGCGCGGTGCTCATTGATTTCGTCTACGTTTGACGGGTAGGAGGACAACCCCTCCTCAAGTCTTATATCTCGAGCAGCATACGTGCATTTGTCGCCTCCCACAGTAGACGTGCACAATGCAATACCATTTCTACTCGTCAGTCACAATCCATCGTAGTTCTCAGGCTATCGTCGGCCGGCCGCCTATGACGTCGAACAAATTCAGATGCAACATTCTGGCATCCATGACCCGAAGGGATAGAGGGGGGGTACAAGAATAGCAAGGAAACTAGGGAGAGAACTGGTGCTTTTTGCTTCAAAAGTGCTTCAAAAGTGATCAACAGTAACGTCAACAGGTGTTACAGCTGGTGTTGCTCATCTCGATTTAGGGCCCTTTTGACCGTTGCACGGTTACAGCGCCGAGACGTCGATGACGAGTGGTGGTTCTAGCCTTTGTTGTATAACGGGCAACGGCTTTTTGTGGTTGAGATGTAAGTTGACGTTGAAACTAGCGGGACTGGCTACTGAGAACGGCACCGCTTTGGAATGGCTGCATTACGTCGAGTGGCGTCATGGATCCTAAACTCCGAATATATTTCATATGCTGTGGGGCGACCTCAACAACGACGTCGCGACCACACATCTACCGCGTAAACCATACCTTTATTGAAATACGAATTTGTTGAGATTAGCAGATCGTTTCACTAATTAAATCACAAAATAGTTTCATTGGGTGGTCAACTGATCCATTAAAGTAACACTCACAAACCGTTTTCTGTTGGAGGTTTGTCTTGCACCAGATATATTTCATTGATTTTATTATTATTATTAATATTACTATTTTCCCAAACTTTTCGGTATATAAATCTGTAGTATCCCACCACCTCACTAGGCATCACGTCATCGCTACCATATATGCCAAGGACACTTGCGGGACTTGCGCAGACAGCAGGTTGACGAGCGCGTCGTGATCGGTCCGCGTCGCGACTGTCTCCATTCCACGCACATACCGACTCTAGAAGTATTTCTTCGTGCAGAGCGGCGACCAGAAACGTACAAATCACAAAATAAATGAAATAAACGATTTGATGTCGACCGTCTGGGTCCGTTGCACGTATGTCGATCGTCACGTCATAGACCGTTTCACCGAACTGAGCCTTCCGTAGCTTTGCAGAGTCTATAAAAGATGCCGTTGCTCGTTGCTTCTCAGTTACGCTTGTCCTCGAGATCATTATTCCGACTTTTAATTCATTCAACTGATTCAGTCGTATTTCACACTATTTCAACTGTATCATCTTTCTATCAAGCAGAACATATCACCCATATCACAATCGGCATCATGACCTCCGCCCTTGACAAAGCCAAAGAGGTGGCACACAAGTTTTCCGTGCCGGACAACAATGACAACACCAACACGAACCCCAACCCCACCACGGACACGGACAACAACACAAAGTTCTCGTCCGACTACAAGATCAAGCAGCAGACGCAGCCGGCCCCGGGCCTGGAGCGCGACCTCAAGCCGCAGCCGGTCAAGACGCACCTGCCCTCGGAGGACGAGGGCTACCAGCTGTACCGCCCGGCCGGCAAGCTGCAGGGCAAACGCGCCCTGATCACGGGCGGCGACTCGGGCATTGGCCGGGCAGTGGCCATCCTGTTTGCCATGGAGGGTGCGCACGTGGCCATTGCGCACCTGCCGAGCGAGCTCGAGGATGCAGTGCACACCAAGGCGCAGGTGGAAAAGAACGGCGGGACGGCACACTTGATTTCGCGCGACTTGCGCACCCCCGGCGCGCCCAAGGCGGTGGTGGAGCAGGCCGTGAGCGCCATGGGAGGACAGGGCCTGGACGTGCTGGTGAACAACGCGGCGTACCAGCAGGAGCTGGGCGATATCGCCGACGTCTCGGAAGAGCAGTATGACCGCACGCTGGCGACCAACCTGACGGCACCCTTCTTCGTCACCAAGTACGCCTTGCCGCACCTCAAAAAGGGCAACAGCGGCCACGGCGGCACTGTCATCAACACGGTGTCGGTGGACGCCTACGTCGGCCCGCCGACGCACCTCGACTACGCGGTGTCCAAGGGCGGCCTGGTGACGTTTACGCGCACGCTGGCCAACCAGCAGGCCAAGAACGGCATCCGTGTCAACGACGTGGCGCCCGGCCCGATCTGGACGCCGCTGATCGTGTCGTCTCTCAGCAAGGAGTCGCAGAAGAGCATTCCGGACAGTACGCTCCTCAAGAGATGGGGCCAGCCGGTGGAGGTGGCGACAAGCTTTGTGTTTCTGGCGTCGCAGGACAGCAGCTACATGACGGGACAGATTCTACAACCAAACGGAGGGATGGCGACGATTTCGTGAGCCTGGTAGCTGGTAGACGTTCTTTGAAAAAATAATAAAAAATAAAAAGCAACAAGCAAGAAAATCACAAACAAAAGGAAAATATGATTGACACAACTTGTTACATGTCTTGGAAATAAATCAAAGCAAATACATAGCAAAGACACTAAACGGACGCTTCAAGCATTCTACATTTAATATTTTATTACATCAAAGTACCATTTCTCACGGCAGTCGGACTAACTCTTACCTTATAAGCACACATCGATCACAATCTTCCACGTACGGCCATAGATACAGGAGAATACGGGATCCCGTCCGCTCTCCCCTAGTCAAACCTGTAATCGGCGGATTAGTAGTTGGGTCGGTGACGACCAGCGAATACCCGCTGCTGTACGTTGATTTTTGGCATTGTGGAGGTTTTTTTTTGTTATTATAATTATAATAATAATAATTATTTTTTTGGTCCGTGTTGGGTCCGTGTTGGCTTCTCACTCACGTCTCATTAGCAAAGTTTTCACTCTTATAATCTAATTCTACTTTTCAACGTCTATATACAAAATATCCTCCTATAACCCTCGCCCACCCCTATGGGTAATCTGGGTCCGGCGACAGCTCAATGCCCCAGAATTTGTGCATTCGCTCTCGTATCAGCTCGTACGACGATCCAACGCGCACCGTCTTCATGTTGGCAAAGTCAATTATAGACGAGGCCCGGCCCTTGTACACGTGGTACCGCTGCAGGCCATAGTCGACGACAATGTCCGCTGCCTCCAGGATTTCCGGGTCCATGTCTTCGAGCCGGAACTTTTGGCCCGTGCCCGTGATGTTGGCGCTCGATCCCAGCAAGAGTACGCCGGCCGCGTCGCTGATGCGTCCCAGCTCCAGCAGCAGCGCACTCCCACCCAGATACATGGCCACCGTGCCGTCGGGCTTGGTGACGTTGGCCAGCGTGGCCTCTGACAAATGGGACAGCACGGGGTGGTCTCTGCGGAACGGCGCGACGACGCCAAACGACAGGTCCAGGTCCTGGTGCAAGACGCGGATCATCTCGTGCGTCTCGTCGGGCAAGACGTGCAGTTTGCGGTGCAGGCCAATCGTGCCCAGGATGCCCTGGGTGTGGTTCGGCGCGCGCTTCTTGGCGGCAAAGGACCGCTCAATGGCCTCCTTGGACGCCGAAATGAGTCCGTAGCCGACCTCCGTCGGCATCACCGCGAGGCCCCCGCCGTGTAAGACGTCGAAAATGCGCTGCGCATCGGCCTTGACGTCGGGACGGGCGCCGGGCGCGGGGATGGTCTTTTTAGCAATGTCGGCCATGGGGGCGGTATATGGCGGATGTGGTAGATGGCGCGGGAAATGGCAATATGAATGCGCGCAATGTTGACGACTCATGAAAGACGATGCACGTTGGCTAAGAAAATGGAAAAGAAACGGCGTACAGTTCCAGGGGACTCTATATAGTGCCAAGATAAGGTACCCGCTGACCGACCTACAAAAAAGCTTGTCGGCGGTACATGTCCGCGTAAACTCCATCTCCGACAAAACCCTGTCATCAAGGCGAAGCTGTGAGGCGGAGGCGGAGGCGCGACGAAAGATCGACATCGACGTAATACGCCGTATCCTTTGTGCGTGTTCCGCACCCCACATTTGATGACCTGCGCGTCCGCTGTACAATGACGACACAAAACCCGGATTGGGGTCATTAGAACGTATGACCTTTTTATAACAAAATAAAAACATAAATAAATAAGACACCAAGTCAATCTTTGCAAATTCACACGTTACACAGAAAGTCAAGACAACGTAAAGTTTTATTCGCTCTAAAAGAAAACACATTGCTACTTGTTGACCGTCGGGACGATCCGTCCAGCACCAAAAAGGTCCCTACATATAGCCATCGCATTGTGGCTAGCATTATCGATCGCTGCTGCCGGAAGCTATTTCCATGAGGAATCTATGGCACTCGCCCCTAGGATCACTGAGAAGACGGGTGCGGAGTCGGAGGCCGCGGGGGCGGCTTCTTGACGGACTTATCACCAGCCATTGTGTGTTTGTTGTGCCGGGGTTTAAACGTCAAAGTGTCGTATATCAGTCGATTTTTGAGAGTGACGATAGTCTTTGGGTTGGTAGGGGAATTGTTTGATGGATAGGGTGGTCTGGCGTCTACTTGTCGTTGGCATGGGTGGGTATTTATACTTTTTTGTAGACCTTGAAAAGGCGAGGGAAGTAGGGAGTCATAGGTGGATAACGGCTTATCCGTGTCACGATCTCGACGCTGTCACGCAGGTAGCGACGGCAGTGACCAAGGCATCGAACGAAGAGGACGAAGGGCGGTGTCAGTGAATAAGACATACTTACGCACCTTTATGAAGACTGACTGTGAAAATATCTTGTGGTCGTAAGCCAGAGAATTCAGTTGCAACAGTACGTTGGCACTATATCACCTGCCGAGGAACCAAAAATCGGCGAATCACTTCCACTTTTCTTCAATAATTTGAATATCCGTTGTACTGCACCTTAGAGACCTGTTTTTGTATTGAATAGCGAGTGTGATATTGGTTGACGAGGCTGAAACTCTACGATGATGACACAGTTACTTCAGTGAGCTGTTTCTTATTTTATCTTCGGCTGAGGTCTGTCCAAGTCCCGAAATATACTGGCAAGACCGGTGTGGAACGTTAAGTACAACGTAACATATCCGCCGCAATATTGATACTTTCGATTCTATCTGTGAAATATCTGGGTAAAATCATCGACAATGAACTTGCACAATCAACGCATCTCTTGTCTCAACATTCGCCGCCCGTGCTTTTCCAATCTCGCGTGCCACCTATTTCTGATGTGACTCTACTGTGGCACCGGAGGCAGAGGCGCGTCAGGCGGTGGGCCGGGACAGGGTGGGATGGCCGGCGACGGGTCCGGGTTGGACGATGCCTTTTCGATGTGGGTCATTTTGGCGTTGGATGCTGGTTCACTGTTTCGTAGCTGTATGCTGTGGCTTGTTGTGTACTTGTCGTGTGCATGTCGGTTGCACTGAGTATTGATATTCGTACGTGGTAGGCTTGTCGTATTATAAGGAATGCGGCTATTTATACTTGGGGAGTAGCACCAAGGAGGCACACCGACTCCTTCGGTGACCATGAACACGCGAATTCGGTGGCAAAAGCCGTGATGAGAGCTGTTGTTAATAAAGTTGGAGTAGTGCCCTTAACGAGGACCATCAAGGTAAATGGGTGACACCTTAGCAGGGCAGCCATTATTTAATGATGCTGGTACATTTTCAGGCATATTATATCCCAAGCCTGCGCGTTGGTTAAAAGGCCCATTGTGTGAATGAAACGAATGGCAAAAGGTGAAGGTCGTTGAGAAGACTCGAATGTAATATAAAACAAAGAGACCGCTTCAAATCCATTCAAAACGTCCCGATGCCTCTACTTTCCTTTTACATGTACATGATTTGCTGAGCCGTTGTTTGATTTCATGTTTGCCAATGTCGACGCAGTACATTCGCTTCTTTTACATTTTCTTGTTATTCTTTTTTTTTTTTTCTTTTTTTCTTTGTTAGTTTTATTTCCGTCGACGTTCGCTACCAACGCTCGCTTCTTTTATTATTTACGTCAACTACTTGATCTGCAACCACTCGTTCTGCAACGACTTTGAAATTAACGCCGACATGGACGAAAAGACCGAAACGGCCGTCGCTGGCCCGCGCGACGATCCTTGACCACAGCCGCGACAGCAGTCAAGATTCTGTTCACGAGACAGCCCAAACGGCGCAGGCCAAGCGATCTGCGACGCCAACTACACCGCGTCCGGCCCACAGGACATTCCCGCAGTCGTCGTCTTCGTCGTCGCCCAATGCCTCGCGGCGCCCTCGCCCGGCCCCAGTCTGCGGGTCAGCGGTCTGTACGACGCGTGGGCGACGTCGACGAGGGGAGCATAATGCCGACGGTCGATGTGTTTGTGACGTGCAGCCGGGAGGACGACGACGCTCTACACCTGTTTGATTTTTGCGGCGTCGTTGCTTTGTAGGCATGACTTGGCCCCCGACATGGCATTCGTCACGATTTCGTGTCGTTTTCCCCTCGTTTTGCGTTGCTTTGCGTTCCCGTTCTTGTTATTTATTGTTGCATTATTTTACTAACCTTTTAATGATCACGTTCGATGGCGGCTTAATATTGTTTACTTCTGGGCACTGGGTGTCAGGCCGTGGAAGGGATTTAAGGTCATGCGCCTCGATATCGTCGCGGACATCGAGAGCGCGTAGAACCATCAGCATAAATCAATTGACTCCAAAATGTTACCTCCGTTTAACATGTCAGCAGAACCTCCGCGGCGAAGAGCACCGCGGAGCTCCGCTGTGCCTCGCGGTGTGGCACTGCAAACGATCCGTACGAGACTCCGCCTCTTAGGTTGACAGGGCCCGTTCTAGTGCGTTGAACCACCGGCGATCGCATGAAGCTGAAACGATCGAGGGGAACGGAGGAGAGAAAGAAGCTATTGGAAGATGCGCGGCAGCATTCGTTCTTTTCTCTGTTCCTCCACATGCCATAGAGTACACGTTAATTGCTTTTGTTTACCATTTTCTCAACGCATTACCACATCGCATAACACATCGCATCACGGCCATTTCACGTCTCCCCTCTGCCCCCTTCTCCACCTCCACCGCCTACAGAAAACAGCGTCGCTGAACAAACCCACAACATGGCGTACGCACTCAAGCCGCTGCCGACGCATGTCGGCGTCTATCCGCAGTACACGTCCGACAAGACCGAGACGCTTGTCCTCAAGGAAAAGATTGTGCCGCTGCCGGGCGACTCGTTTGACGTGCTCCTGGCCGACGGCAGGCCGTTGCTCAAGGTCAAGGCCAAGGTGCTATCGATGGGCGCGCGCCGGTCGGTGTTCGACGCCGCCAACGGCACGCACCTCTTTGACATTTACCGCGAGCTGATGCACCTCCACACGACCTACGTCCTGGAGGACCCCAGCGGCAACAAGTTCTTTGAGCTCCGGAACAACATTCAGTGTGAGACGACGAACCAAAACAATGTCCCCTTGCCCACCCACCGCATCAGCTAACCGGGACCACCACCCAGTCTTGGGCACCTCCGCGACGGCCAAGTTCGCGACCAAGGCCACCGGCAAGCCCGAGGCCCTGACGATGAAGGGCAGCTGGAACGACATGCGCGGCGACATCAAGGACGACACGGGCCACGTGATCGCGCGCATCGACCGCAAGCTGCTGAACGCACGCCAGCTGGTGTTCCACCAGTCCTCGTACGCTGTGGTGGTGGCGCCGGGCATGGACATGGCCATTGTGGCGGCCATGTGCATCTGCCTGGATGACAAGGCCACGAATCGTTAGACGTGAGCGACCACGACGATGCGTCGCAGGCCGTGTTGTTTGTGCATACGCACGTGCACACACACACACAAAAGTATAAAAGTATAAACGGTGGATCGTTGTGGAATTACGGCTGGTGGGGAGATAAGGATACCCCGTGTACCGTTGTGAATCGCGTTCTATTGGTGCATCGTATGGTTTTGTTTCTCACTTCACGTGCTGCTCGTGCATCCCGTATTCCTTCATCACTTGCCCCGAAACGCCCTGCTGGCCTCCACAAACGTCATCCCGCCCTTGATCGCCTCCGCCATCTTCTGGTCGGCCGCCACCTGCGGCGCCATCAGCGGCAAGGCCTCGGCTGCCAGGGCCTTGGGCAGCACCACGACGCCGTTCACGTCGGCCACGACGTAGTCGCCCGGCGCAATGGTGACCCCTTGCCGGTACGGGCCCTCAAAGGTCACGGGCACATCAATCCCCACCACCTTGGCCACGGCGTTGGGCGACGTCGTGCTCACGTCCCGCGCAAACACGGCGTAGCCCAGGTCCCGGTGCTCCTGCAGGTCGCGCAGGCGGCCGTCGATGACGGTGCCGGCGGCGCCGCTGGCCTGGGCGCGCGTGGCCATGAGGCCGCCGAAGACGGCGCTGGGCGTGTCGGGGCTCGAAATGAAGACGACGGCGCCCGACGGGATGCCGTCGATGTAGTGGCCCGGGACCTTGGGGGCCGGGTCGCTGTTGAGGGCGTACTGGACGGTGTAGGCCGGGCCGACAATCTTGGTGGCGCCCGCCTGGCGCTCGGGGGACCAGAGGGTGATGCCGGCGAGAAAGCCGCCGTTGGGCACCTTGAGCTTGAGGAGGGCGTCGGCGACGTCGCACCTGGAGACGTTAGTCGGTGAACGATGAACGCGTATTGTTTCGTGGAGGGGGCGACAGACTTACGCCGTAAAGTTCTTGAGCTCCTCGACAATGGGGTCGGCCATGGTGGAGGAAAGTCGAAAAGAAGCTCGAAAACTGGGAGGGCTGCAAACAAATGGAACGGGTGATATGAGAGAACACCGAGTAGGCAGTCTATGGGCAGTAGTCAAGAGTGTACACGCAGCTCGGAATGGCACACGAAAGGACATTCTTGTCTTTGGGGGGAGGGGGTCGAGTTGTTGAGTTGTTGAGTTGTCGAGCTATTGAAGAAAGCAACTTGATAGCTCATCTGCTCTCTGGACCTGTCCGATGACGGCACCGATCCCCGAGAATGGCCTATTCTACCCACTGCGGAATGCCCGTAGTGGCCCGCCCACAGGCGCCTTCCAGGGCAAATGGAAGGCGAGCGCGGTTGGTTTTGGGGCGAAAAGCGTGGGGGCTGTTGGCGGGGATGACACGTGAAAGCATGCACTGATTAATTCGTACAGCCATTGACAACAAACAGTGGGAATACCATGAACGACACAGAACAGAAACGACTTGCGTCGATAATTCGGATGCCATTGCATTGCTCTTCACGGAATACACTGAGGCCGTAAACGGGCGCATTCCCTCCGTGAACAGCCATCTTACACTTCTCGTGCTCTGCCCATTGCTCTGCCGGACGATGCTTCCTCGACTGCGCGGCGTGTTAGTTACCGCTAGGCTACAGCGCACTACAGAGGCTGTATGCTTCCGCTACGGCAGTGTCGTGTAAGACAGGAAACCGGCCGCGGAAGTCGACCGACGGACGTGTCTCATCCATCGAGGTCAAATTGCTCGTGTTCTCATACTCAACGCGTCAATCGTGGAGCAGCTGCGAGATAATAAATAATGAATGCGGTCGATGTCACCATATGAGCTCAGTCATCTGCTTCATGCGTAGAAAATCCGAAATATGAGTGCTCGATAGTTTGCAAGAATAAAGTTGACGCAGCTCATAAATACCCGCATAACGAAATTACGCATGTCATGTTCTCGATGTACGTCAACGTAAAGTTAGCATGAATGATTTAGCCCACCAGCTACAGACGCTGGAAGTCGTCAACAAGCTATCCCGCCAACAGACGTTTGCACGATGCACAACTCCTTCGAACCCCATGGTCACTCGTTCACTCGCCCACCTCGTTGGAGCTATGTACGACATATGTATGCGTACTGTTGCATTGCTACTGCATGTCGTAGCTTGCCCCGGATTCCAACCATCGCCCACATGGCCTCAGACCCCGGTCCTTTCCCCAAGCTCCGTATTAGCCCCGGTTGCTTGAGCGGAGACGCAGATTTCTGAACGTTTTTTTGTATTTTTTTTATTTTTTTTTCATGTATCTTCTATTTTTTGAACGTCGTATATTTCCCCATCTTCGGAGTTCAATCATGTCATGATATCTTTTCGAGAGGAGCTTCCGTCCCTGTTTCTGCTCTTCCCGCCATGGCCGGCCGAAAAGAAGCTGTAGGCCCAACCGCAGGTCCGACCTCGCCGTCTGCATCATCGTCACCAATGACGGGCGCCACCAAGACAAAGTCGACCGCATCTCAGTCGCGGGCACAGGCGCACACCCGCCTCCGCACCCACCGCGGCCTGACCTGCGCCAACTGCCGCACACGCAAGACCCGCTGCGACGGCAGCCAGCCGACATGCAAGACGTGCGAGGTGTACCGGGACACGTGCCGGTACGAGAAGCCGCCGCCCATGTCGCAGATTGTGACGATGGCGAGACGGCTGCAGGAGGCAGAAGAGACGGTGGCGGCCTTGCGGGCGGAGCTGGCGGCGACAAAGTCAGCGGCGCAACCGGCGAGAGCCATGGCGATGGCGATGGCGGCCGAAGCAACTGCCACTGCCCAACAGGCGCATCCGCTCCCAACATCACCGCACTTCAAACACGAAGGCAACACAGATATATCTGCATCCACATCCACGGCCGACCGACCAACACCCACCACTTCCCGCCGGCCCTCCCAGGACCTCTTGTTCGACCTCAGCGTCGACAGCAACGGCAAGGTACGCTCTGCCCTCACTGTTTTTTCCTTGTCCTCGCTTCGCTCGCCTCTTCTTTCTCACTTTGCTTCTTTTTCTCCCCGTCTTCGCTCCCCTATCTTGTTGACCGACGTTCAGCTCTGCTATGTCGGCCCGACATCGGCCGTGCACAACCCGCCCGACATCGAGGCACACACTTCGCCCATTCAGACCTACGACGATGCCCAGGAGGATGTGTTTCGGGACACGAGCCGTCCCATAGGCAGCAGCCACCGTCTCAAACGAGCCCGTCTACATCACCAGACACAAGAACCACGCCCGTCGAACAAACAGACCCCGGACAGAGGCGACACCGCCCCCACCACAAAGGCCGACGTCCGCGCCCTGCTCACAACCAGAGCCATCGAGGCCCGCGCCTGGGAGGCCTTTGCTCTGGCCAGCGCCGCCGACCAGACGGATCTACCGCGCGCCGCGCTTGCCCGCCTTCTCCAGATCCACTGGGTCTGGATTGCGCCCATGTTCATGTGGGTGTACCGCCCGGCGTTTATGCGCGACATGGCCCGCGGCGAGGGCAAGTACTATTCGCCGCTGCTGTTGATTGTCCTGTGTGGTCATGCAGCGAGGTTTGAGGAAACCGCCGAAGCAACGGCGGCGACCGCCGGCGGCGGCACCCTTCTCGGCGATGCTCTGATTTCTCGCGCCCGCCTCCTCCTCGGCGCCGAAATCCACAAACCCAGCACCATCCCCACCGTCCAGGCCCTCCTGCAGCTCTCCGCCCGCGACCTCGCCTACGGCCACATCTCCCAGGCCTGGCTCTACAGCGGCATGGCCTTCCGCATGGTCTCCGACCTGGGCTTGCAGCACAGCAGCAGCGGCCAGCTGCTGGGCCTGGGCCAGCTGGGCGCCGAGGACCTCGAGGTGCGCCGCCGCCTCTACTGGAGCTGCTACTTCTGGGACAAGGCCATGAGCCTCTACCTGGGCCGCATGCCGACGCTCGTCGACCTCCCGCCCGACGCCTCGCCGGACCTGCTCGACGACTTTGCCGAGCACGAGCTGTGGCGTCCTCCCGCGCCGGCCTCGTCCAGCCCCTCCGGGGACACAAACTCTGGAAACCCGCTTTTTGGTCGAACATTGTATCCCCCCGTAAAGTCCCACGCCATCTCGTGTTTTGCCAACACCTGCCGCCTAGCCGTGATTCTGTCCGACATTGTCCTGCAGCTCTACTCGAGGCGCCGGCCGGCCCCCAGTTCGACGGCGCCGACCTCTGCTGCCTCCATTGCCTCCGTACAGCGCCTCCGCGGCCGCCTTGACGCCTGGCGCGCTGCCACCCCGTCCCACCTCTTGGTCGCCGACCCCGACCGCACCGCCGTCTGCCCGCCGCCTCACATCCTGACCCAGAATCTGCTCTACTACGCAACTCTCATCCTGCTGCATCGCCCCTTTTACTCATCCGCCGTCCACCACGCCACCTGCCGGGACGCCGCCGACCAGTTGGAGCGGCTGCTGCTGCTGCTGGAGCGCACCTTTGGATTCCACCGCATCACCTACTTGATGGCCTATTGTGTCTACACGGGCGCGTCAGTGCTCGTGCAAGACATCAAGCAGAGCCGCGGCAGACGCAGACAAGATACAGCCACCGCCAGCAAGATCCAGACGTTCCTTCGCGCCCTGCGCCAGGGTATGGCGTCGTGTCCTCTGGTGCGCAGGAGCCTGGACATTATCACGGCCAGTCTATGGAATTCGCGGGTGGTCAGCATTGATCGTGACGAAGACGAACCGGCGGCCACCGAAAACGACGACGTTGCGGCAGCCATGCCACCTGCCACCGTGGTGGATTCCGTCATGGCCGTTCCACCACCACGGCCACTACCACCAGCACTCGACGACCCAGCCTCCTCATCCGGCTCTGTGCCGCCAAACCTCCTTTCCGTGCGCAACTATCTGCCTGCGTTTCCATACTACCACTCCCAACTAGGCTTCTTCGACGGCGCTGGTAGTGGCGTCGGCAGCATCCCGACAAACGCAAACACCGGCTTCAACACGGTTGGACGCATGCCGCCCGCTATCGCCAACGGGCACACAAACCCAACCACCAACACCACTGCCACATTTAGCCCAGCTGGAGACACCTATGACACCTATGACCTCGCCGCCATGGACATTGATGCTTTCTCGCTGCTGGATTGCTTCCCCGAGAACAATGTCGACAGTGCAACTGCCGCTGGTTGGTACATGTCGCCGTGATGGTTGAAGATGCATAAGCATCTAAATTCAAATACATTTTATTATTAATAGGGACTTATTTTCTTATCTTTTTCTTTTCTTTTCTTTCCTTTTTTTTTTAAAAAAAAAAAAACTGAAACAAATCTAGTGGCGGTTCACAAGTCGACATTAAAAACCATGCATTGGAATTTTTTTTTCTAATTTTGTAATACTTTGAGACGACACAAAAGTGAAGCAGACATGACAAAAAATTCATTTTCAAATACCACGAGGACAAAATCAAAGACGCATACGATCCATAGCTTATTCTCACAATGCCACACGTGAAACTCAACCACGCACATCTGCTATCAATAATTGCATTTCGCCAACACCCCAAAGAAAAAGGCTACCTACAGAGAATAAACACACGCAAGACAAGCAATGCTCCTTATGCTGCCCGGAAAGTAGGAAAGTAATATACAAACATCGTGTCCCTCCATCCTCCATCATCCGATACAAATACATTACATTATTGTTGTCTAACCCAGTCGTACACCTTGCACACGTCCCGGGTATCGAATAATAGTCCTGTTACAGGCCCTCCAAATTAGGCTGATGAGAGACGAGCACTGGTACGTTGAGAGCGCACACTGCGGCGTGGTCCGTGGAACGCCTTGGCCGTTCGCACTGGCCGTGCTGTGAGGCTGCTGGTGGCAGGCTTCACCGCTTTCGTGGTGGCCTGCACCGCCCGCTTCTCCGTCGACCGTTTTGACGCACTTGACGCCGCAGTGGCAACCTTAGCAGCCGCTGACTTGATTGTCTTCCTCACCGTCGCGGTCGTGGTGGCCTTGGTGGTCTTGGTGATCTTGGTGGTCTTGGTCGTCTTGGATACGGTCCCCTTGACGACCTTGGTGGTCTTGGTCGTTTCCGTCGTCTTGGCCTTCGGCTTCGGCTTGGCCTTCGATTTCTCTTGTTCGGCCTTCTCCTTGTTGATTGTATAACGGAGCTTGCGCCAAATGCCGGAGCCGAGGCTCTCCTTCTTCCCAATATCACCACTGACTCCGCGCCGGTCATCATCGGTGGTTGTAGCATCTTCGCCCAGCCACGCCACCTGCTTCCGGCCACGAATCTTGGCCTCATCGCCGGCGTGCAGGAAGCGGTGCACAAGCCGGTGATCAAGGACGCGCTCTTCTTTATCCCACTTGCCCTCGGGCTCTGTCTTCGGCCACATGTAGCCGTACAACTTTGAGTGCCGCTCGCACCGGGGGCACGACATCCGTGTAAAGTACGCATCGCGCTGGACAAACGCCTTCGAGCACACGGAGCAAATAACCCAGGCCGTCTCCGGTTCCGCCAGCAAAAGAGGTGTCAGCGTGTAGTCGCCGGGCACACGTTGTCTGGTTGGTCCTGAAGTCTTCTCGGCCTCGTTATCCTCGTCCTCGGCGACATCGACCTCGGCCTTGGCACGTGGCGTAGTTTTGGGTTTCGTCGATACTTGTCCTTCGATGATTGGGTATTTCCGCGGCCGTCCTCGCCGCGGCGTATGCACGGCGGGCAGTGCATGGTCTCGCGACTCCTCGGGATCCGTTGTGTGATCGGCAGCTGTATCGGGCTTCCCTTCCATCTTCTCGTCGGTCTTTTCGTCCTCCTCACTATCCAACGACGACTCCGGCGTCGGAAGCGTCATCTGGTCTATTGAGGTCGACTCCTCCACTTTGAGCATTGTGGTAGTTTCTGTCACAACTGTAGTCGTGAAAGTTGAAGCAACGACAATGGAGTCCCCCAGATCGGACTCGCACACATCGGAATCCGCAAGCTGCTGTGACGGCTCAGGCGTCGGCATTTGGTCGTCATTTCGCACCATCTTCTTCTCCTCTGCACGGTTGCTTGGTACCGCGCTTGTTTCTGCCGCAGTGTCAGGCTTAGCAGTGTGTGAAGATCCGGCGTCCGAGAGTGCTGTTGGTTCCCTTGATGCGGTCGTGTTGGTCGTTGCGCGGTCGATCTCAGACATGGTCGTCCTTTGCCTCTTCGCCGGGGTTACTGGTGGTGTAGCGAGAACCGAAGAGTCCCTCTCTCTCTTTTGGCCCCGGTGAAACGCTTCATTGTCCAACTCCATCGAGCCCGACTTTGAAGATATGGCATCAGCGGCGCCCCGCAACAGCTTTCGTAGGCTCGCTTTTGACACCTTTGGCCTAGCAACTGGCGTGAGAGACGGTGTTTCGGAGTTGCCGCGGTTGAAGCTGTGCTCTTCTCGTCGGCGAAGAGAGTAGCCCTGAACGGGTGTCTGGCTGCCGTCCTCCACGCTCTGCTTGACGGGGACAACGCCATCCGCTGGCGCCCAGCCGTTCGTCAAGTTGTCCTCGCATGTCTTGCAGAGACACTCGCAGTTGTCCTCGCCAAAGTAGCTGTCGCCGTAGGTGACCGTAATCTCCTCGCCCACGGCAATTGGCTTGGTGGCAATGATCTCGATGCCGGCCTGGCCGGTAGTCACGAGCCGGGCATTCGCGTCGCAGTCGTGGTTCGAGAATCGAGCAGGGCCCATGAACAGGTTCACCTCCTTCTTCCGCGAGCTGACAATGATGCTGAAATCTTTCTTGCGCTCCGACAGCTCAGCTTCTTCCTCCGCCGTAATCACCACCTGAATACCTGCCAGGTACTTGATTGTCTCGTTGCTCTTGATAAAACGTCGGGCGCAGATGCATGCCTCTTCCTGAAAGATGGTGTAGCGGTTCGTGGCGGCGACTTCGAAGGGACAGTCTGGAAGGTAAATTTGCATGTAACGGCGAAGATGGCGCCGGAAGTCTTCCTTTTCGCATTCGGTCTTTAGCGCGCGGTAAAACTTTCCGAGTCCGTTCGTGGCGAGAAGCTTTTCTTCGGTGAGGTCAAGGTCGGGTTCCACGACCAGGTGGTCTTGGATGATCTTGGTGATTTCTTGCTCCTTGACTCCGCGTGATGGTAGGTAGGACGGTCGATTCTTGGGGATTGTCGTCCAATAAAAGGCCTATGCAGATGTACATCGTGGTTAGTAGATATCGAGGCAGAGGCGCAACTCATTCCCCTGACGCACTCGCTGTCAGGCTTACGAATTGACTCGGACAATACAATACGTACATGGTCGACAAGCGAATCAGTCAAAATATCGTCGTACGAAGCAATTTGCGCCAGCGTGAGAGCATGCTTCTTGGGCGGCGCAGTTCGTGATCGGGCGGGTGCCATTATGACAGATTTGGGTGGTGGACGGGAAATGGTCCTCTTGCAAAAAAAGGGAGACTCTGTCCGGGTGAAGATGTCGTAAGAACGGCCCAGGTAGACAACCCGCTAAACAAGTTTTCGGCAATGTGCGGATCGCCGTGACGAAGGTATCGTAGTTTCAGAATCACTGCTTCAACCAACAAAGCGAGCCAAAACAAACGCTCCAGAAAAAAAAACGAAAACAAAATAAGAGTCGGTCAAAATGTGCAACTGAAAAGAGTGGACAGGCGCCTAGCCCCAAAACAGACAAAAAAGAAAGGAGAGGAAGTCGGGGCCCTGTGATGCTCCTCCACCTTGCCGTTCAATTTCGCCGTGGCAATTGAGATACCCGAGAAAGACAACTTTCAAAGGAGCTGAAGCGGACGAGGCGACAGAGCCTGCAGGCTAGAAGTAGGCTGGGAAAGTGGTTGGCTGAGTGAGAGCTGAGGTGGCCGTGTCGTCCTCGAAGCTGACCGTGGAAAAGGGGTGTGCACCGCCGGGCTGGACCAACAACAAACGGACCGTTCGCTGTGCAATGGCCGGATAGGATCGATCGATCGGACAGGGAGGCTGGCGAGGGCTATGACAGGCGTGCCGTGCAGAAACAACGGCAACAGGAGCAGCACAGGGACAACACGATACTGTCCTGCTGCAGTTGGTCGAGTTGGATGAACGCAGGGTCGTCGTTTATTCGCTCTGGCCGTATCCGCCTCTCCTTCTCCAGAGGAGCGCAAACACAAACACGAAAGCCAAGTAGTCGCTTTCAAGACTCCATGGAGGGCGTTGTGAAAACGCGGTCGTTGTGGACTGTTAATTTTGCTTATGTTTCTTCAGAAAAGAGAAGAGTGCACCTCGTATGTGAGAAGGAGAAGGTCACGGAGTAAGAGAACCAAATTAAGATGAGAGGAATTGCTACCGGGTTGCTAGGGGCAAGGCAGAGCGGAAAGGGAAAGAATGTGGAGCGGGGAGCGCACGCTACCTCAGCAGCCAGACACCCACTAGCCAGCCGCCAAAACAAAAGAGTAAGGGAAAGAACGAACGTGACCCCCAAAAGGAGACAAGTAGAATATTTCTCGAGAACAAAAGAAAGAACGACTGATGCGGACGTTTACAGGAAGGAATGATCATCATGAAAGCACATATGGCAGGTGCGACCAGGTTGTGCGGAGGGCAGGGACGACAACGACTCAATAATTCGCATGTAAGTACACTTGTATGTCGTAAGATATGTCGTAGGCGAAACAGGGGGGCCTTTCATCTCTTCGTAGCAACCAGAGTACGAGCATTCTAGTTGCTGTGCTTGGCTTGGGCCGTTCGGGCGGTAGCGTTCCAATCAGAATGGAAAGGGGAAGGGAACACTGGTCCGCGCTGGGACGGTCCACTCTTAAGTATTCCTGATTGGTTCTCCTGATGACTAAGACTACAGCGAACTTTCGAACCGCAAACGACACAAAATTTTGGGGTAGCGTTCGAAGCTTTGGCAGAACGACGTTACGACAACCGCAAACCGGCGGACACCACAGACACACGGAGGAAGCGAACCTCACAGCCACGATGATTCAATTAAAAGTGAGTCAATGAGGGCAATCTAGACACACGATCACTTGCAGCGTTTCGCACTAACCACAGTGCTCTAGTCTATGCTCAACTGCATCGACAACTCGGGCGCCGCCCTCGTCGAGTGCGCCATGGTCATCGGGCAGAAGCGGCACGCGGGAATTGGCGACCGCATTGTTGTTGTTGTGCAGAAGCATCGCAATGCGGCAGCGGACGGCTTGGCGGGCATGTCGGCGGGTAACCGGGTGAAGCGCGGCGACATCCGGCAGGCGGTGGTGGTGCGGACACGGTACCCAGTGCGGCGCAAGGACGGCAGCGTGCTGCGGTTTGATGACAACGCGTGCGTGCTGATCAGCAAGGCGGGCGACCCCGTGGGCACGCGTGTCAACGGTGTCGTGGGCCAGGAGCTGCGGCGAAAGAAGTGGAGCAAGATTCTGTCGATGGCGACGATGCACGCATGAACTACGACCTAGCCGCTGGATACCGACGGACGATGGCGACGACGGGGACGACGAGGACGTTGAGGACCACGATGACGACAACGGTTGCAGAAGTGCCATGCCTTCCGACGAGAAAACTCGAGACTCGACAAATCATGTAATCCGCACAACTCTTTTAGTCGACTGGCGTGAATCACCGACACCGAACTGCGTGGATCCAACAGAGATTCCCAACAACAGATGGCGCAGACTTCGAGATGCTAGGATGTTGAGAGTATGTGGCCTGTTCTATACATTACAAGCAGGTTTGGCGTTTACATGATCTTGGGAGCACCCTGCATTAAGAAAGCTCATACAACTACAAATAAAATCCCCTTGTACATTACGTCACATATACTGGGAAAGGAGAAGCACACACGAGACAAACGTTCAAAATGTTGTAATTTTTATCTGGAACATCCTAGGAAATAGATATGCCCAAGTAGACGCGATATACGCCAAAGCTAAGAACAAAACACCAGTATGTTCAAGACGTACACAGACACAAAAATAAGATACAAAAGCAAATAATGAAAAAAGTACAAAACAGCCCCGAGTTCTAACTAGACTCCAACCAGGAAATGCAAGTAATAATGCCGCAAAAAAGAACGCAGATGGTAAATAATGTCAAGCAGAGGTCTCGTTCTCGTTTCTCCTTCGCTTGTCATTCGCTCGTATTTTTGTTTCGAAAAAATCGTTCGTCGTAAAAAAACAGCTCCTACTGGAAAATGAAACCGCATTGGCAGCACACATAGAAGAGTTTCTATAGACCAAAAGAACATAGGACGAGAAATATGCGATTAGCCACCTGATGTACCTTTGGGGGCCTTACGAAACGAGAGGTCGGAGAAGGACATACCATTCCAGTTTCTGCGCTCCGCTGCTGGGATTGAAAGAAGACAGCCTCGCCGTTGGAGCAATCCGGGCACGACTTGTTGGAGCGCGGCAGCTGTGGCGAGTGGTAAAAAAGGAGCCGTGTTAGCCAAACTGCGAATCTTGCCACGGTAAAATGCAACAGAAAGACATGCAGCAAAGCATGGCAAAAGGCGCTGTGATGGGACAGCATGGGGGGCAAGACGGATGGGAGCGAAAGCATCAAAAGGACGGTGCAATGACAAAGGTGAGTGATTCAATGCATAGGTTCGGCTCGTCTCATATCTCATGTCTCATGTCTCCGATGGTATCGTCGCTCTCGGCACGCATTTGTCGAGTACAGCTCGGGCGGTCGGTGACGAGGATGGTCTAGGTCATGAAAACGCCTTACCAGCGTCGTTTCCGAGAGCAGAAACCGTCTCTTCGCAGCCGTCCATGAACTCGTAGTCGTTGTCGTAGTCGAGACAGTCGTTCTCGGAAAACATGCCAGCGGTGTTTGTCACGTCTTCAAAATCATAGTCGTAGGGATACAGGTCGAGGTCGTCGAGATCGCGGAGAGAAGGCGAGACTGTCGGAGTGTCGTCTGTAGAGGCGGCCGTTGTCGTCGTCGTCGTAGCTGCGCTCGTCGCACTCGTCTCGGACGGCGAAGACGCAAGTTTGCAAAACACAACGCCACAGGAGCGGCACGCAATCAACGCACCGCAGCAAAAGCAAAGCACAGCCTTGCTGTGGGGGGAGACGCTGGAAACAGTGTTGGGGCTGGGGGGGGCACCAACCGTTGGATCAGAGCCGACATCCTGCGTGACACCGGCCGTCTCGCCGGCGGCGTTGTTGAGGACGTTGCGGAAGACGCAGGACGATTCGGCCGCTTTGGTGAAGTGGCAAGTGCGGCAGGTGAGCTGCAGCTTACGGGAGTCCTCGTCTTCCTTAGGGTAGAGCATGTTGGAGCACTCGTCGCAGAAAATGAACGTGATTTGGCCGTCCTTCTTGTCGCCGTCGCCCTCGTGGGATGTCGTCGACTGCGGGGTGGCCATCGCGAGGGTGGAGGAAGAAAGAGAGAAAGGCTAGAAAAGGGTCGGAGATGCTGAGAGGGTCGAAAAAGGACGACGGTTGTCGCGCGAAAGTGTCGGAGTTGGTTGTAAGTAGGAGAAATCGAATTTGGAGGCAGACAGTGGAGAGCGAAAGTTGTGGTTGAATTTTAGATACGCAATGGGAAAGCGTGGGCAGCCTTAGTGCGGCAGTTCTTGTACTCCCACGTTCGCCGCGAGCGGCGACGAGTCACAGCCAGCACTCTCAGTTCAGCGGTGTAAAGCAGCGAATCAGCCCCTAAAATGACTAATAATAGTGCCTTAGCGCCGTTTGGGTGTGACTGCCAGGCAGAATCGCGCAGAACACTGAAGTCAGAGGACGGGTTGGGTGGCGAATTCTAGCGGAAGTTTTGGTGGCCAAGCGGTATCTCGTGCTGTTCTAGTTCCCTTGGTGCTTCTAAAGCTGTGGTTCCTCAGCCTGGACTGTATCCGTAGATGGTCTCTGTGTTTCCATGTGACGCGTCGCATTGACTGATTGAGGGCGTCAGAAGCGATGCTTTGTCGGGCAGGTGGACAATGGAGCCCGGGAGTTAAGGGAGCATGCACTCGAGCACGTATGTCCTTTTACGGGAGCTTCTATCGTCTTCTGTAAACAAAGCGTTGGATAACACGGCGCATCGTTGAGGCTGATTGTCGACTGACCCAAAGACAGTGCGTCGTATGTTGACACTGTATAAATGAGACTATATGCACAGTGCGTATTATGAATAGTTGTGGTAGTGCGTTTTTCACGGCAACAAAGCCATCAAAAGCATACCTTGTCTTCATAACTGCTTTGTGATACATCTATTTACAGCTTGAGTATAAACAGCGTACTGGTTTTCACTGTCTTTACGCTACCGTCTACTAGCTACATCGACGTCCGTCTAATTTGAAGTCAAATTGGCGGTCTAATGTACGCCGTGCAGCAGTGCTCATCGCTGGACTGTGCTGTTACAGGCGCCAACGGTGCCCTGACTTCCCCGCTCCCCGCGCCTTACGGGTCCTACTACGCAAGGCTGGGCGCCGACATGAAGCTCGTGCCAAGGTTGCGCTAGTCCTGGTTTAGGGGACTCTATCACCTATGACGCTGGCCCCTCTTTCACTATTTTTCTCCTCACTGGCGCCGCAAGCGTGGCAGGTGCCCGTCTCCGTCGCAACTGCAGGCTCGAGTTGACAAATAAAACTCGCCGCAAATCGCCATCGCCAAAACCCAATTGTACCTCGTACCTTTTCTTTCCGCCCTCTTCGTGTCCCATTTCTTGATTCTGCGACATTTTCTGTTCGATGTGAACGGGCCTTTTTCTTCTCCATTCCTTTCCGACACGACAAAAGCATACCCGAGCACCGCTTCGCTTTCGCATCCAAGACCAAACAAGCCGCGACCATGTCTGGCGAGAACCGCGTAAGTTGTGAGAATGACGGGAACAAATATTTGGACGGGATGAATTGAAGGTCGAAATTTGCAGACGGACGCCTCTGACACGTTGTTTCTCCTCTCCCTCCTCCCCCTGTAGGAAGAAACTGGCCTGCCGCCCAACTGGGAGGTCCGCCACAGCAACAGCAAGAACCTCCCTTACTACTTCAACTTTGTCGACAAGGCGTCCCGCTGGGAGCCGCCCGCCGACACCAACACCGAGCAGCTCAAGCTGTACATGGCCAAGTACCACTCGGGCCACCCGTCTGTGCCTGGCGGTGGTGGCGATGCCGCCGCCGCGCAGCAGCAGCAGCAACAGCTGCAGCAGGCTGGCAAGATCCGGGCGGCGCACCTGCTGGTCAAGCACCGCGAGAGCCGGCGGCCGATGAGCTGGCGCGAGGCGGAGATTACGCGCACCAAGGACGAGGCGCGGAAGATTATCGAGGGCTACGAGCAGCAGATCCAGCGCGGCGAGGCGTCGCTGGGGGAGCTGGCGCTGACGGAGTCGGACTGCAGCAGCGCGCGCAAGCGGGGCGACCTGGGGTATTTCGGCAAGGGCGACATGCAAAAGGAGTTTGAGGAGTCGGCGTTCAGCCTGCGGCCGGGCGAGACGAGCGGCGTGGTGGAGACGGCGAGCGGGCTGCACCTGATCCAGCGGTATGTTGTACAGGGTGGTGGCGATGGCGGTGTGGTGACGTGACCCCATGTCGACTTTATGTGAATTTTGTGATTTTCGCGGCACGACCTCTAACTAAAACATCGCAGGCTTGCATGAGACAGGCACCGGCCAAAGGAGAAGGAGTCGCGTGCTTACGGAAACGATAGGTGCGAGTGCTGGTGCACGACACACGTGGCCGAATGGTGAGCGGAAATTTACAGATGAGCGCACGGAAAGCTCGGACGAAGCAAACGAGAACATCAAATCAGATGTCTGCCCGGGGGGGTGGCAGCTGGAACGAGGAGGGACCGAGTCGACGAACGGTCGACCAAACATTGCTTTTACTGTTATTGATTATTCTTGGATACGTTGAAATGTACAAATGTACGATTTTAGCCAACAATGACTCTGCAAGATGAAAGGTGCAGTGTGACGCCCCATTCTGACTCTACTGTTCATTTGCTTTCCTTGCCCGCCTGCTCTCGTGCGCAGCGTCTGTCTCGGATCCAACCCGTGGCCATGTGGTTTTTGTCTCTCTCGTGTCTCTCGTCTAGCTTGCCTGGTCTTTTGTGCTTCTCTTCTATCGTAGGTGGTTCCGTTTCCGTACCTCAGGTTTCCCTCGTGGAACGTCCGCCACGATCCTGTCTCGATCGAATTTGCCACGACGGTGGCACGCCCAAGTCACCTTGTTGCTGTGATTTGCTACAAGGTGAGAAGACAAGGGTAAAAAGGCAGGGAAAGGAAAGAAACAGTGTCTCGTGTACCGGACTCAAGGACCAGCCCCATTCTAGACGGCCGTGATGTCGGTTTCGATTCACGATGCTGTCTTACGCGCGAGTGGAATTTCTCAGTCAAGTCAGACACAAACCATCCCAAGTAAACAGACGATAAGTTCTAGCAACGTGGAAATAACCGAGACTACGTTCACGCCGATCGTTAATGTTGTCTGTTTGGAAGGTCTTGGATTTTGGTCTCAACGATTTGATTTTCTTGGGGTCTTTTTCGTCTTTCTATGTAAAATTGCTTGTTGGATATATATCTTCCACATCCCGCCTTGCCCACCGGGGGCATTTATTCCTTTGCTGAACTTTTCTCGAGACTCTGAAAGTCTCTCACCGTTTTTACTTCGCTTACATCCTTTTATTTCCCATATTTTGACCTGGCCCTTCACACCGACAGCCAAATTGCTTCCAACAAGATGAACCGACAAATCGTCCTATTTTCAAAACACCAGAGACGCCAAAAGAAAAAGAAAAATAGAGAAAAGAAAAGAAAGGATGCCTCGCAATGCATGTTGTGTCATGTGTCGTTTTCGTTATATCGTTGTGATCGTTGCCGCTAGGAGCAAAGAAGAAAGGCAGGAAACAAAAGGCGCCGTGCCCTTGAGACGCACTCACCCAACACGCGCAACAACCCAGTTCGCCAGCGGCTGGATCGAGGTCAAGACGACCGTCATGACGCCAAAGACAGTCATGGACAGAGCCGCATAGGGCGCCGCACGGCTGCCGTCCTCGTACAGGTACGCCGTGCCCATGGCCGCAGCATTGATGCCGACTGTCATGCCGGCGGCGACCGTGCCGGGCGAGTCGGTTTCCATGTCGGGAGAACGATTGAGGGCGTTCACGTCGTCGACAGAGGCAGCACCACCGCGCATATGCACATGAACCAGACAGGCGTCGCCACATTTTGTGTAGCTAACGGGTCGAGAGGCGGAGGCGGAGGCGGAGGTGGAGGATGGTGTTGAGCCGGCCGTCTTCTCGACGTCTTGAACGTGAGCTCCTTTGGAAGGGGACGGCGATGCGAACACGACGGGAGTTGGTCGGGCGACCGAGGTCGAGTCTGATTCCGTTTCCGTTTCCGTCTCGGCCTCGTCGGTGTCGCTCTGCGTCTCGCTCTGGCTCCGCCAGCAGCCACTCCCCATGCGGCAGCGGAACCCAGACCCAGGCTCAGGCGTGTCCTGGCGGCGACGGTGGGAGCCGTGCCGCACTGCCGCTTCGCCGCACTGCTGCCACCGCCCCTCGGCCGCCACCAGCGCCCGCGACGCCCACCGGTACACCCCCAGCCCCATGGCCACCTGGAACACGATGCCGTTGAAGACGACCATGGCCGCGTTGAGCCCCACGTCGCCGCCCAGGTTCGTCATCGCCGGTCCCGCCAGCGCCAGCGTGACGCTCCGCGCCGCAAAGGACAGCTGCTTGGCGGGCGACACGAGGCCGCTGCCCATGGCATGGACGAGCAGCGGGCCGCAGACAATGTTGCCGGCGGCCACGACGGCGCCCACGGCCAGCGTTGTGAGCCCGGCACGGGACAGCAGCTGGGCGCGGCACTCAAACAGCTTGAGGCCCCAGCTGACGATGCCGGCGTCGAGGACGGCCGCGGCCACGTCGCCGGCCCCCAGCGAACACGGCGGGCGTCCATCCGCAGTGCCGCCAATGAGGTCGGCTAGGCTTGTGCCGGTGGAAAAGGCAGACAGAGCATCGTCGACGGCGCGGTGCCGGGCCGCGGCCTTGACGGCGAGGTAGGCAATGGTGCCCAGAGAGGTCCACAAGACGGCGTTGAGGAGCGTGGCGAGGACGCTGCGGGCGCGGGCGCGGGCCTGTTCCGTCGCGAGTCCAAACGACAGCGCAGTGCGGCGGACGGCCGCTTGCGTGGCCAGCGTGCCCGTCCACAAGACGACGAGCAAGAATGTGTCGAGGGCCGTGTCGCTGTGAGCCACTACGGAGACCGGGATGCCAACCAGCGGGATGGCCAGGAGGCTGCAGCACATGACAGGACTGGCGGCGGCAAAACAGGCGACGCGTTGTGCAAGTATGCACAGTCGTTCCGACGTCGTGGTCGTCATGGCGACCTCTGGCGGCTGAACCAGTGGTGGTTGCTCCAACGGGGGCAGACGCAGAGCAGACGCAGCCTGCTCCACGTCGGTGTCGTCGTTCTGACTCGCCGAGTGCACGGAGGGGGCGTTGTTTGTGAGTGTTGTCGACTCGGAGACGTAGCTTTGCACACGGTCTTGGCTAGGAGGAGGGGCCAAGACCGCCAGAGGGTCCGTCGGGATCGGACGAGACGATGCCTGCCGTTGAAGAGGCCTGCTGAGCGAGCTGTAAGAGTCCACGCGCACCGCTGGGATGACGGGTGGAGCCAGGTCCACGGGAGATATCACCATGGCGTTGCGTCGGTTGCCAAGGACGGCCTTTTTTGCCGTAATGGACATGAGTATGGTTTGCAGTCCCAGCGAGAGGGCAAGCACCAACACCGTACTCAAAATGCCGGTAATGACTAGTTGGTTAGCAAAAAGATCAGGAAAACATGAACACAACGATACGACGGGAGGAGAGGCCTACTGTATCCAGCAATAATCAGTCCTATGCTGCGGGGCGACGACATGGGCCCGTCCATGATCATGGTAAAGGGCACCGTGAAGCCGATGGACATGTGCCGGTTCAGCAAGTCCGTGGGTCTGCGCAGGTACCGGCGGTAGAGGCCGTCGAGGTTGGGCACGCATTTGGACGCCAGGATCATGACGGCTGCCACGAGCATCATGGCCAGAATGGGCGCCGGGAAGTCGTCGATATCGGCCGTCAGTTGCTGGAGGCCGCAAATGAGGAGCTGCCAGACGAAAAAGAGAACGACGGACACGAGGCCGTCATAGTATGTCTGTCGATGTTGTTGGACGACAGAAGTAAATGTAGGGATGGAACGATCCAGTCGCCCTCGAGAGGAAGAGCCGTCCATAATATGTGATAATTGTGTGTTGTGTTGTTGCTGAAAAGAGAATAAGATAAGCAAAAATAAAAGAAGAAGGTTGCGATGCACCTAGCCAGGCCACCGGCTTCCGTGTACCGGGCCCGGCGACGGCAAGAAGCAGGATGGGGGACAAAATCGGTGAGACGGGGTCAGATGGCTATGAAAGGGTGGACGAAGCTGTGGATGATGGATCTGTCGTAGATGTCCTAATCGAAAAGTCGATCGGAGTAGATAGCAGTAAAAAGATGATCAAGTGGTGAGAAAAACGCCTGTATATGAAAAAACAAACGACGTCGAGAAAAGCACGGACGCTCGTTGGTTTAATAACTGAGGATGAGGGACGACAAAGGAGGACAAGACGGTGTAAAAGAGTTTAAGAGTGGTCCGTATATGAAAAGGGGACGCGGGGACAGGACAAATCCAGCGAAAGAGGAAAGAGGCCGCAGGCAATAAAGTGAAAGTTAAATGCTGTGCAGCAAGCGGGGAGGCGAGAACGGCGTGACGGCACGGATGAGAGGACGAAGCAAGACGACAGCCAAGAGCAAAGAACCAAACAGAATGCAGAAGACAGCACGACACACAAGGAGGCTGTAGGGAAAGAGGAACAGCGGTCGGGGACCAAAACAAAGCGCGATGCGAGGAGCAATGAGGGTAAGGAGAGATCGAAAACCAAAAACCAACGAGAAGCCAAAAGTAAGACACTGGAAGAAAAGAGGCTTTTGTGTAGTGCGTCGGGGCTTGCTGGTAAAACGGTCTCTCTTAGACGAGCGACGGGGCTTGGACGTCTGCGGCGAGATGGGAGTGAAGAGAGGCGAGTCAGGAGGAGCAACAGGCAAGGAGAAGAAAATACCAAGTGAGACGTCCGGTCCTAATAAAGAAAACGAAGAGGAAGCCGACAGTATCTTGACCGACGAGCGGATTGCGGCTGAAAGAAACCCAAAGTGAAGTGGGACTTGCTTGCAACAGCATCTTCGTCACAATATCGGACAGACGAAACAGAGCAGCAGAGAATCTATAAATGGCCTCTCGTGATTTACAATTATACGGGCATTTTTAAAGCGCGGACGTGCTTCCCCTCCGTTGTGCTTCCCGTCTCGGCCACGAACAGAAAGCAAAGATTAAATCGTAAATTTAAAACCAAAATAAGACGTATCCTGTGCATGCGGAACCAAGCAAACAACCTTCTTTACCTCCCGCCTTTTCTTATGCCCTTTTGCGCTTCTTATCACTGCTTTGTGCTTCCTCCCGCGGCCATGTCCCGGGTACGAAGGGCGGAGTAAAGTTTATTTGTTTCCGTTTTCATCATGTACCCGAGAAATGTGACAAGAAGGAGGCCGTCCCAAACAGACAAAAAATGAGGAACAAGAAAAGGGAGTAGACCGAAGGTCAACCTGAATGTCGGAATATTTCCTCGTCTCTGGGATAACGTGTCTTGTTGTCCGTTGGCAGGATCGTTATCGGCATTGGATAGCCCGTCGTGTTTGAGCAGCCGAGCTGGCCTCCCTGTCCACGTCGTTTTTCTGGCTTCTTGGTGGCCCTTTCTCCCGACTCTTCACTCTCACATGCACTTATCCTGATGTCCTTGTTTTCAATATGTCTTCTAGTCTTCACCGCCTGCGACCGTCCAAGACATTGTGGGATGTGTCTCTGTCCGTTGCCTCACCTCTCTTTGCATTGTGCATGTTCCATTTATCACCCGTCTGTGAACCAAACATACGACAGAATACACTGTAGAAGAATAAATGACATCAACATAAAGGGCGGAGGCCGGTGTGAACGAGGTCGCCGTTTTCCGTAGTAAGGCGATTTATGGCCCATTTTCTATTCTGAGAGAGCACGAAAGACAATTAGAAACCTCCAAGCCATCACCAACGCCATCATAACCCAGCTTCAGGCAATAGCCGCCGACATGATCGTCTGACAGTTTGTTGATGTAGGTCGTGAGAGTAGTTTGGGGGTAGAGGGGAAAGGTTATTTGTCATGATGGCATTGTAAATGAGGCTTGCTTTCCAGCCGCTATTTACGCAACATCTATTGTCCTATTGCCATTAAAGATAGACCGTGAAAGATGAGCACTAAGCGCTTGTAAATCTGATTCTCGTAGCTACCGGTCGAAATTATTACTACAATATCCAGTATACCGGTTATGTGTTCTTTTTCCTTCTTGCCAACCCTTATGGATATTAAACAAACGGGTGTCAAGCAGATTACGTGCAGGAGCGGAGCAGGACTAAAGTGGGAGACGATGAGAAACAAAGAAAGCTGGAGCAGGGGTTATATGTTGGTGTGTTCTCTACATTGTGGAAGCAAATATTTCAAAAAGGCAAAAACGAAAAGCATTACAAGGCAATAGAGGCAACACCTTCATAGACGCGAGCCAGGCTCTCGACAGCACCAAAATGAGACACAATAAGCAGGAAGCCATATTAACACAGTCCACTATTTGAATAAACAAACACACAATTTAAATAGGCGGTGACGGCAAACAAAGGAAATGCGAGGTGAGCAGGGTCACTGAGTACTGAAGAGCATAATAGTCAAACGCAACAGGGATGCCGACGGGGTGATGTTGTCAGGTACAAAGAAAAGACAGTCAGGACTCCCGGACCAATAAGATGGACGCAACCGGGGGGTTGCTTTCTTCAACGACACAGCAAGGAGCTGTGTTGCAAAGAGGAAGCAATACGAACCATGTCGTAGAAAAACAGCTGACCACATAACGCAATAAAACGGGTCACGCAAAACTATGCAAGGTAACAAAGGAGGAGTCGTAAGAATAGAATACGATGTGAAGGCAACGGAAGTGCACTGAAGATAATGGGGCCATCCGATCTCGACGAGGTATGCCATATGATTCAAATGAACCGGGCACAGCACTCGTATGAAGACAGCACTCGTATAAAGGGATAAAACTGGTATGAAGTGCTTTGCTGCTGTCCATCGTTCGGCCTCACGTACAATACACTTTCAGAGACGGCAGTGTCCCAGTCCAGCTCTGATTGTTTATACTCCTTGCCTCCAACCTCTTTCTGCGTCCGGTTCCTCTTGATTATTTTTGCATCGGCATTACCCAAAAGAGCAAAACGAACGAGAGACACACATTGAGTGCAACTTAGAGGGCCTAAGGTCAAGGCAGGGATCCGTCGTCAACCAAAAGCACACAACGTAGCACGAATCAGACGACAGCAGCCCTAGAGGGAGAAACAACACGAAAATAGAAACGAGTCAGAGAAAGGAGGAAAGCGAGAAGAAACGAATGGCAGAGAAAAAAACACGATACACAGCCGGCGCCGTGTCCGTGTATTGTGTTCTATATGCTTTTATTTTCAGATATTAATTTTGATCGGCGACCTGTCTTTTGCTTTGTCATGTGCTCTCAACTTTTATATTCGAACGTGGCCTGTGAATCTCCCGTCGTTCCTTCTCCAGTCATTTTCCGTTCTCCAGGATACGTGGACCTCTTTTTCCATGGCCTTGAGGCCTATTGGACTTTTATATCGTTAATGGTCTCTGTAGCGCCAAATTTCGACGGAACTCAATCCTGCCGGTGACTCGGCCCTTCGTTTTTCGGGTTCAGATTAAGCTCCAACAGGCTTGGACAACTTGAGTGGAAGTGTGCATTCCCGCACAGAAAACAAACTTCAAGCTTAGAAAATAGGACGCAAACAGCAAACGATGGAATTAGTGTTTGTCAGATGATAAAAAACTGACAGAAATTGTGACAGTCTGTTGGGGTTGGAGCGACGTGAGAAGTGACAAAAGTCTCTGCAACGATGCAAACAGAATCAGAAGTGAAGGAGAATGGGCAAAGTGCAAACACAAACACAACAGACAGCTGCGGGGGAAGAACGAGTCCAGAGTACGGGAGTGGGAAGGACGGGAAGAGAGGGAGGCACCGTGGCAAATGGTTTGTGCGTTCTGGTAGCAAGTTGCACGTCGCGTTTGCTGCGATAGCTGTGCCACCACTATGTGGCTTTTCACAGCTTTAAATTTTGTGTGCGTCGCTCTATTGTGATAGCCGAGAAGACAAGAGGCGAGTCGTTCGTTCAAATAAGTTGTACATCGTCTTACTCTGCAGTGTAAACAACAGGTGCAAGGGCAGGCGAACGCAAGCGTCGTATGGGTTTTTGTTTGCATGTGAGTTAGGCGGGGGACGCAAGCCGTTGTTTACTCGTGCTGCACATGCGTGCAAATGCTCCTGTTGCAAATGGCAATAAATGTCTTTAAAAAAGGCACTTACCAGGAGACGGCAGACTGGCTAACCCCCTCAGTTTTTGTTTTCGTCAGTTCTTCTCAGCCATCCCTAAATTTTGCAAGTCTACGTTAATTCTGATTCTGCTTCATTACTTGCTGTGATTGCGGTCGCTCCAGTCTCCAACATGAAAATGTGCGCATGTCCTCGGCCAAATGCATGACGACGCAGCAACCCGAGAATTTTTTACAAAACTTCTCCCCATCAGCGACATCAGAGACACGACACGACAACGCGGAACCATGAGGCCATGGACCATGGTTTGCTTTGATTTCCACGTACATCGTAAAAAAAAAAAAAAAAAAAAAAAAAACGGTAGAGGCTGGCAGCAGAAAGAGACAAAAAAAATGGCAAAACATCGACAGACGTTAAATAATCACTGGATTATGGCACTGGGCCGAGAACATGTCCAAATACAGTTCAGGATTGGCCAAAAACGGAACCCCATGTCCGGGTTCGCATTGTCCAGGGCAGCCAGCCACTTTGGCCGTTTGCCTGTCTTGCACTCTATTTCGTACCCAAACCCGGGGTCTTTCTTTGTCCATTTTGAGCAGACAGGAGCCAGACGCAAAAGTACGTCGCCAGGTCGTATGCTGTGCTCTTGAACAGGGTGATTGGGAAGGGGGGGTGGCGAATGGACATGGGTGAAGATCGACTTGTCGACATCTTGTTGGCTGGATGCCGTTGCAAGTGCCGTTTGCAGTTGTGCTGTCGGTATGAGCTGTCTGAAGGTGCTGGCGACTCCTCCTGCCGCACTGTAGATAACATGCAGCATGCATCTGGGAATACATGTACATATGCACCCTGCCTTTCACTCCTTGCCCCTGAATGCGTGCCCCCTGGCTCCCTGCTGTTTTGGTTCCTGGCACGGCTTTTCCGGCGCGCAATCCTGCCATCCTGGCTGCAGTCCAGTTGCTCTGGGCAATTACCAGACCACGCACCCTGGCTCGGACAGCGATTTTGTGCCACCCCCGCCAAGCGCAGAGACGGGACGAGGCAGAAGGACGAAGCGAGGGCTGCAGAGGGGGGGGATATGGAAGAAGGAAAGAAATTACAAAACAGAGACAGAAAAATGAGACAATAGAACACTGAAAAACTAGGAATAGAAAGAAAAATGCAGCCGGGTTAGAGAGACGAGCTAGTCCAATATATATGCAGTGCGTGCGGCTGGTGATTGTGTTGCTGGGTGTCTTATTGCTCATGATGTCCAAGAACCCTGTTACATCTTAATGCAACGAAGCAAGACACAAATCAGCACATCTACTTTCACTTCTCTGTGTGAAATACCCTTTTGTACACCTTGGCTCGTGCGGGTAAGGGGATGACGCGCATCCCGGGGAGGTTGACTGGGGGAGGGTAGGAGCAAAGACATATCGACGGTGGATCGACAACAAAGACCGGCTTGGACCGAAAGATGGTGGTCAGCACAAAACGGCGAGAAAAGATGTCCAGGGTGCAAGAAGTGCCGGTCGATGGTGTTTCCCAAGTTCCTATCGATGCACTCGATGCTCCTTTTTGGGGCTGCATTCCAACTTCCATATTGCCTCTCATTGGCTGCTTTTGACGAGAAGTACAGGGGAGCTGTAGTGTGAATAGGCTCGAGACAGGGGTAGCTCTTCAGCGACAGGTGAAAGGGACAGCACAAGGCAAACAGGACGCAACTCGCGTGGCCGTACGGCGTCTGGTTGCGCCAAGCGCCTGCTGTATTTCCACACCTTTATGCTTGTTCGCTTGATGACACCCACTCCTGTCCATTCCTGCCCACTCCTGTCCATTCCTGCCCATTCCTGCCCATTCCTGCCCATTCCTGCCCATTCCTGCTTCTAGCATGGATCAGGGGTTGCTGGATGTCAAAAACAGAACGGCATTTTGCCCGTGTATGTTGTGCAATCCTTGCGCTGTTCACGTCTTCATGCCTCTGCGTTGTCGTTTGATGCGCCTGTGATGTTGCGCAGCAGGAGGCCAGGCAGGTTAGTTGATGTAAACGAATGAAACATGTAGAGATGGGAGCAAAAGACTCAACGATGCAGGAAAACAAACCATGACGCATGCTGCCTGCCCTGCACACATCATCTCATCCCAAAGGCAATATACGTGGTCCTCTCTTATTCAGGTAGGAAACATTCTGGGCTGTTTGGTTTAATGTTGGTTTCATTGGATGCATACCTTAGTGGCAACTTTTACCGCAACAACGCACCCACCTTCTACTGTGACGACAATCATCCTTGGAGACCGAGGGACAGTGCTTTTGAACTGTTTCCGCTTTCCAAGACATGAGCTACCGAGACACTTCTCTTTTCTTTCCGCACTCTGTTTCGCCCTTTTACGAGCCGCCTTACTTCAGAGTCGTTGTATTCCCCGGTGTAAACTTGTGAACTAGAAACAGCCTGAGCAACTTGCATAACATAAAAATAAGACATTCGCGGTAAAGCATTGTTGGTAAACCAAAGTACTATGTCGATATAGGCAACAAACCGTGACAATGCGACCATGCATTGCTTGTAGTCAATAACTTGTGGCGATAGCCTCGAATAAAATCAAAAGAGTGCGTGCCAATGATCAAGGTGATGGCATATTGTATTGTAAAGGAACCAGAGCCATTCGAGAGCGATGATTACGTCTTTCGTACACAAAGCCCGTTTCAGTATCTCGCGTCGCTGCTGCTCGACCGTACGAATGGCCGACATTGCAATGGCGACGGTCTCGTGGCATTGCGTGGCCAGCTCCACCGCTGCGGTGCATCCGTACAAGGAATCACGCATCTTGTCGGAAGTCACTGAGCTCTCGTCAGGTCTCCAGTCAGTTTCGATATTATGCACCACATGTCCACATCAATGTAGTTGTCGTCCTTGGCTCTGAGTCATTCCTATTCGGACAAAAGCCTTACGGGCAATGACAACAGTGGGCTCGCAGCGCTGCCAACTCCTTCCTTACAACATAATAGAGCATTGCCATGTCACTCAGCGAGACACTCGTCGTTTTACTAATTAGGAGGATAACCGATAAAAGAAAAGATACATAAGTATAGAGAATACAAGGTGAAACACAAGGCCATTGGTCCGTCATGGCTCTCGCCCACCATAACCTACAGTCTGCCAGTCGCCGCTGACATTCCAACTTGATCAAAAGAGCGCCTGGACGCAAAAAACAAGCTCGCCGGCAGGCCAGCTCAGCGCCACCGCTGCCGCTACCACCACGGCGTCGTCGCGCCACCCAGCATCCCTACTGCACGCTGCTGCTGTTGCGCGCTCGTTTGCGTCCGCTGCCGCCGCCGGGCTGCGGTGACGACAACGACACAGACGTGTACTTCTTGTCGTCCCGCTCGCGCCTGAGCTTCTCGTCGAGCACGCGCGTGAGCACGTCGTAGGCAAACTGCGGGTGCTCCAAGCACAGGGCCTGGAACTCGGCCTCGGCCTCCGCCCGCAGCGTGTGGCTGCGCGTCGCCCAGAACTTGGCCACCGGGTGCCGCACCGTCGTGTCGTCGGCCTTGGTGCAAGCGTACACGTACCGCGCGTACGCAATCTCGCCCTGTGCCGTGCTCTGCACGCAGTGGATCTTGGACGACGCGAGCGTCTGCAGCTCGGCCATGCCCAGGACCTCGGCCAGCGTGTAGACGCGCGCGTGCTTGAGCAGCTGCGCGCCCGTCTCGTCGACGGCAGGCACCGTCGGATCCTCCTCGAGCGCGTGCGCATGGCCGGCCAGCTTGCGCGGGAAGTAGTCGCCCGTATACAAATATTCCAAAAAGCAGCCGACCGCATCGAGGTTCTGGTCGGGCAGGGTAATGGTGCGGTCCTACACATACATCCGCCGTTAGCTTGTTTGTCCTCTTTCCTCCTTTTTTTTAAAAAAAACTCTTTGCTGTCCTCACGCCACTTGACATGCACGTCACCGCTCGCACGCGCTACTCACATCGCCCAGGTCGGCGCACAACTTTGCAAAGTATGGGCTCTTCGTCAGCAAGCCCTGGTGTGCCGTCAACTCCATCGTCTCCTTGGTCTCCTCGCCCTCGCCACCGCCCACCACCAGCGTGACTACCGGGCTGCTCAGATACGACGCAAAGGCTGTGCGTGTCGGCACCGGTGTCGGCTCCCGGACTTCCTCGCCGGTCGCAGCCTCGCCGTTCTCGTCGCCCTCGGCATCTGCCTCCGCTGCCGCAGCAGCTGCGCTGCCGACCTGCTCATCGGCTGCCGCCTCAGTCATATCGATATCGACCGCCAATGCAGCACCGGCCTCGTCGGGCTCGTCGTTACTGGACATGTCAGTATCCTGTCGCCGTACGTGCGCGAGTGTACGAAGGTGGTTTGAGGGGATGGTTGGTTGGCAATGTAAGGGTGGCTGTGCGCAATGTCGAGGAATGACAGCGATTCGGGAACGGGCACAAATTCGGAGAGAGCCAGAAATGCAACGGAAGTTGCGACAATGTTTGCGAGCGGTACAGACTCGGCGCAAAAGAATGAATTGAGCTTCCAAGCTTAGGAACCAGGAACAAAGTACGGAGTACCTGCATTAGCGTCCTTGCCCGGAGCAACACTCTTATCAGCCTTCTCGCCGGTGGGTCACGTGTAGATAAAGGTTCGCAAGGAACAGGGGGTATTTACTTCAATGGAATTTTAAAGATTCAAAAAGTGGATCACTCTTCAAAACTCATCAACCAAACGAAGATAACTCGAGGCCTCAGCTAATAATGACAGTATCATATTTCTGTGAGTGAGAATAACAAACGTATCCGACGCCTAAAATGACGAGCCTGTACAAATATGTACGCCTAATGTCGAGCCGTATGTCGTCCATCTGGGCAAAATATGAGCTGAAAATAAATATACGGGCAACGACGGGACCAAAACCGCTTATGACACCAATCGTTCTGCCTTCCTGCCTTTTAAGCGCCTGGAAATAAACATGGTCAACAAACCGACCGCCACCGGGGAACAAACCAACACCACAATGTGGCCAAGATTCAAAAACACAATATCTGTGATAAAGACCAGTAGGAACGACAGCACCATGGAATGTGGGACCAACCTGCCAGCCGTCGTCTCCGCGCACTTGCACTACAATGGGCTGCTGGGTTTGCGTCGCAACCAGCCGGTCGTCGGCGGAGGTTTTTCGAGTCGCACTACCCACAAGCACCAATCCTCCAGGGGATAGAAGTTGAGCAGCACGCGGTTGCAGAGGAAGGCGACCAACACGCACACTGTCGCCACAAGAGCATCGAGAAAATAGTGGTTGGCAGTTGCCACGATCGTAAGCAAAATCCAAGACGGGTAGAAAATGCCAAAGAACAAAAAGAGGCTGCGGGAAACAACCGACTTTCCCTGGCCAGCTGCCAACAGGGGCGTGGGCCGCGTAAACCCTTCCGGCACATCGTCCTCGCTCGGTGCATCGGCCAAGACGTCGGGTTCGCTCTCCTCCTTGTCGAATACAAAGCGCCACTTGTTCCCGGGGAAAAGCTGCTGCAGAAACCCGGACTCGTAGATAAACACGCAGCCGATTGCGAACGCATAACCAAAGTGCATGCTGGGCATGGCCGCGAGCTTGTTGACGAACTGGCCACTCATCCACACACTCCGTGCATCTTCGGCGTTGACAGTGTCAATGAAGCCGAATTCAGAAGGAAGAAATCGCGGCGGCATGGTCGGATAGAGCAGGAAAATGAGAAACGCGCACATATTCAGCAGCGTCATCATTCGGCGGACTATCGCAAAGCGATTGAAGTTTGGTGCGTACCAGTAGTAAAAGGCGATGAAGCTGCGACAGTTGGGGGTCAGAGGGAGATGAAGACGATTAAAAATTGACAACACCGCAGCCTCCGTTGATGGGAAGAACATACCCAGCTGTGCCCGGAATGTGAATCAGAGAATACCCACGGTCTAAGATCGTCAACCAGAGGCCGCGAAAATCACCGCCGTCAGCCCCGGTGAGGTACCATTGCTGGATGCGGTACTCGGCAAAGCGCTCTTTGCCTGTATTTTCGCCGAGGCCAAAGATCCGTGACTCGAGTTCCAAAATGGCAATACCGTGACCCCGAGCGACATCCCACAACTCTTCGGTGCCGCCGTATTGAATTTGTGCCATGACACCGGTGAGGCGGTAGAAGAAAAATGAGATGGTCCAGTACAAAATTTCCACAACAAAAGGAAACTTGACGAGAACTCGGCTGTGGAAGTGGTTGGCAAAGCGGGACGAATTGGGCGTACGCACTGTCCAAAGGCCGAGTATGCGCCGGTATTTGGCAGGATAGTCCGTTTGCCAGTCGGTACTGCCGTCGTGGACACTCGACGTCAGCGATGGACTTTGAGGCAGGTCGCCTTGACTGGGTTCGTTTGAGAGGCTTAGAGACGCCCGGCCAGACCTTGGTTGTTGATTTTGTAGCGGCGCATACTGGAATCGCTCGGATTTAGTCGAGTCGCCCTTGATGATGGAGTAGTTCTTTCTTCTCGTAGTAAACATGGCTATCAGGAGGATCGCAACGATGAGCTAGTCAAGAGAATGGATGGTCAGTGTGTGTTGCCAACATGTCCAGGGTACAGAGGGTATCACATAGCATACGACAGACTCGACCTCGTCAGGCATCTTCCATATATGCTTGCTCCGCCATTTTGAATGCGGGTCTTCATGCTGTCCCGACATTGTGAGTTGCTAAACGGACAGACACGCGACCAGCCGCTAAGAAGACAGAATCAAGTCTCGTGCTCTGTTGAAACGCGTAGCAAGAACACGACAAGGAGATAGATGACCATATGGACGGACAAGAGCGTTTTTTTTTTCGATGTTGTTGAATCCAACCAAGGATGGATGAAAGGACCTCGCGGAACAGCGACGAGGATGCCAAAGGACGGCCGCGTGAGCTAAGTGAGAGCACGGGCTAGGAAAAAGAGACAGGTCAAGGTGAAACAGAACCCGTGTAACAATGGCAATTGCTTGCCGATTAACCTTGCAGATTGTGAGAAAGGGATAGAATGCCGAGTCGGGGCGGGAAACGACATCATGTCGATGATTGTAGTGTCCGAGATGACAACAAAAATAGTAGAATTGGTAGGACATAAATAAAAGGAGGGCAAAGATACGCATTGGCGAATCAAGGAAACGGAAAGAGCTCAGTTAACTGGCCAGTGAACAAATGCGGAAACTACGAACGTGACACGGAGTGGGAAGTAGCGAAGCACAAGGCATCTGAAGACGGAAGGAGGCTTAGAGTAAGCGGGACACATCTGAAGGCATAATAAACTTTTGTAGGCGTCGACGTTCAATGCTAACGACACGTTCGTATCACATACACAGGGTCTTGTCGGGGTCTAGATTAGGGCAGGAAGACCACGATGAAGGCTTATGGGAAATATGAAAAACTGCTGTTTTCTTTCCGTCACACGTATTTTTCTTTTCATGTCCAACGTCCACGTAAAACATTATATGCTCATAGTCTTCATAGGTTACTTGGTGACGGGCCGTCACTTCTTTTCAAAGCCAACCTTCCTGAGGCCTCTTGTCGGTATGTTCCGCCTCATCAACCCATAACCAGCTCGATCGCAGTGTATAAAACAGTTGCCTTTTTTTGTGTACATGATAAAAACGAAATCGGGGTAGTGTCTGGTTTGTGTTTGTTGTGTATGCGAAAAATGTGTCTAGTGTGTAGTATGTAGGTTTGGTGCGAGTTTTATGGTTGGTGTGCAGCTGCTGCAGCGTCGTAAAACATGTACGGCTGCTGCTTCCACCTCAATTGGCAAAGATCTTGAGTGTCATATCTATGCTTCCTGTCGCAATAAGGCACCGTATTTGCGCATCGGCGCCAGTTGCCGCTGCACCTGCTGCCGCCGACTTGCCGTTGGGCGTGCCTCCACCGTTGATCTCCCCATTGGGAGTGCCTGCACCGCCGTTGCTGTCTTCGAGGGCAGGGCCCTTGGGAATGCCAGGAGCCCACCGCAGACACGAGATGAACTGCTCGTGTGCCGGCAGCACGCGTACGCACTTGCCCTCCTGGCTCAGATCCCAGCACCGCAGCGTCTTGTCGTCCGACACGGACAACAGGTACTTGCCGCCAGGGTGGAATACAATGGCGCGAATCCAGTTGTCGTGGCCCACCAACGTGCGCAGGCAGATGCCCCGCGCATCCCACAGCTTGATCGTTTTGTCGCGCGAACCCGTTGCCATAAACTCGGCCGCACTGGCCGCAGGTGGTGGCCGTTTGAGGCCGGCCAGCACGGCCAAATGCGGGTACGCCGTCGGCGGCGCTACGGCGCAGCACTCATTGTAGTGCTCGTGGCCAATCATGGTGGCCTTGACCTCGGCGCGGGGGCTCGAAGAGATGTCCCAGAGGCGGGCGGTCATGTCGTCGCCCGTGGACACCAGGTACCGCCCGTCGTAGGTTGGCGCAACGTCACGCACCCAGGCCGTGTGGCCCTGGAGCGTCTGCAAACAGAAGCCCGTGTTGACGTCCCAGATCTTGAGGGTGTGGTCGCGGCTGGCGCTGACGAGCCAGTTTCCCGTCGACGGAATAAAGCGTACCGCGCTGACGCTGTGGTCGTGCCCTGCCAGCGTGCGGATGTTCTTGTAGTCGCCGAGCGGGTCCCAGATCTTGATGGTGAGGTCGGAGCTGCACGAGGCCATGAGGATGTTGCCGCGGGGTCCTCCAAAATCGACGTCTAGCACGGCGCGTGTATGGGCCTTGACGGTTCGCTCAAGCTCTCCGACCTCCCAGTCCCAGATCTTGATGGTGTAGTCGTCAGAGCCCGTGGCAACGGACGAGAAGACGGGGTGGAAGGCGATGCAGTTGATGGCGCCGCGGTGGGATTCGAGAGTGTATCGTGGCGGGGCCTTGGGCAGCCAGGATGCCGGGTCTTTGTTGCGCTTGGAGAGAGAGTCGGGGGTGAGAGAGTCTAGTTCGGATTGCAGAGCAGAATTTCGGGACTCCAGGTCCATGATCTAATGAATATGAGCGTCTGACCGCCATGACGGAAAGCCGAGGGTAGGCTCATGCCGTCACTCACCTTCTTTTGTAACCGCACAACACTTGTCCATTTCTTCTCCAACAGTGTCTCGTACTTTTTCGTGGTGGCCGCGTCCAGAACATCTTCGCCGAGCTGGGTCTCTGTTCGGAGTGCGGATGCTGCGCCAGGCAGCATATGTGCTTCCAAGTAAGCGATGATGGATTTGTGCCTGCAGAAACGACGTTAGTTACGCAGCTCCTCAGTAGTGCAGCCCCCACGGAACAATGCCGACAGCACGTCTTCCTCCCGAAAGAAAACCGTACAGTTCTTCTGCTTGCCGGCCCGTGAGGGAATGGGCCATAATGATGCGGGGGTTGTGCGACGGTCCCCGGGGCCCGTCTCGGTACAAATTTGGGGGAGGATGTTGTGAGGTCAGCAAAGAATCGACTGCAGGCGCAGATTGTGTGTCGTAAGGAAATGTGAAATGTCGTCAACCACTTGGAGAGCGCCTCCTAAAGGCAAAGTCGTGTGTTGTTTGCCGTCCCCTTAAAGGGGGGTAAGGAGAGGCTTGTCGTAATGATGGTTCCTTGCAGGCGATATGCGAAGAGCTAGAGAGAAACTAAGCGGTACGAAAAGGTTGCGTTTTTGGTTATTATGGCCCGCGTGTAGCGTGATGGGCGGCTGCGGAACACGATATGACGCAAACGCGGCGATGTCGTAGAAAGGAGAAGACAAGGCTCCAATGTTTTCTCCCGCCAACTATCACCGCCGATTGCCCCTCTGGGAGTTTTTGGTTTCGGGCTGCGTTCTGGTACCTGGATTTGGCGGGCGCTAAGATGACTAATCTTGAATATGGGGCACCTAAGGGCGTAACGTGCGCACGTGACCTCGTTTTGACCGGTGTTTGGATTTCTTTCTATTTTGATGAAACAGAGACAGGTTAAGGTATGGAATGCTTCTTGTATTTGATGCTTCACACATCTTGTTTATAAATATGATAAATATCTGAAATATGGTAAGAAATGTTTGAAATAACCGTACTTTAAAATATCGTTTCGTGCTCCCAACCAGTTATGTACGAATGAATTGAGAGTTTTTAGAAAACTCAAATTAAAATTGTAAAAGAATTGAATAAATTAAAATATACAAAAAGAAAAAAAGAAAAAGAAAAACACAAACATAAGTAAATTTCGCAATCATGTAAATTCATTAATACAAATACAAATACAGCTAGTCATGCAGGTTGAGTTGGGATATATGAATAGAGTTTGAGAGACACTCTATGCTGGAAAGAGATGGGTCTGAAGGACAATTCGAACTGATGGTAGTGTGCGCCTGGCATCACCGTTTCAACAGCGCCTGGATGCCGTTCGCGAAGAGTGCCTTTGCGTAGAGGAAATGGAACCACTGGATGGGTTCAGCCAACGACGGCACATTTTCTCGCGGATTGCACCGAAAGTGCTCGAGGTCGATTCGGATTTGGGCATCGCTCGTCTCCGGCGTGGGCGGCAGCCTTGTGACGCGGAAGCGATGGCAGCCGGCAAACCGGGACGTGTCGGAACCGAAGCCGTAGTCGACATACGAGTTGACGTCGACCGTTTCGACAGGTTTGGACGGCGTGGCGTCAAGAGCGGCGATGTGCTTGTCCACGAGCAGAAAGGAGTTGAAGAAGAGACTGCCAACGGGGAGCAGTTGGCGGCTCGGAATGGCGGACGGTCTCCGGATGGTGACGGCTTGCGGCTCTGGCTGGAAGCTGGTGTAGCGGGCGGGCAAGAAGCGCGCGCCCGCCATCCTCAGCAGCCAGCTTTCGATGCGGAAGACGAAGCCGCCAAAGAAGCCCCCGGTGAAGAGAGACAGGATCTCTTCGTCGCTCAATCCTGCGGCGGCACTGGCCGGGATATGTTGAGAGACCTTGTCGGTGTTGACGAGATGGTGTCGTGGGTTGATGAAATTGAAGGTCGGTGAACTGAGAAGGTCTTTGCCGACGGGGATAGTGTATGTAGAGTGGTAAAGCGAGTGAAAGAACGCACCACGCGGTACGACTCGTGACAAAAAATCTGACATGACGAAATAATAAGAGTAAAAAAGTAAAAGATCAAAGAATTGATGGATGAATGATACTGCAAAACTACTGTAGTTAATGATCAGCGAGAGATTTGTCAAAGTCTGCAGGGCTCAAATATATAATATCCAGTGCCGGATAATTAAAGCAACTTCTCGTACTGTATGTATTGGGTGGATGCTACACCTGGTATCGCAAAAATAGTTTTTTCGAAATAAATGCAACGCGTACAGAGAATTGGCAGTTTCATGCAACCTACAAACGATTTACTTATATATTAGTTGTATAGCATTCCTCTTCCCTGCCCGCCCCGATCCGCCGCCCGCTTTACCAAAAAGGGCGCTAGGAGGATCCCGGCGGATTATCGTTGCGGGCGCCAACAAACGTCGTGCATGACAGTGCATGCAGCGCCGTTTCCATAGATATTTAAACGTACGACAAATCGTCGTCGCTTACTCGTCGTCGTTAATGTCGACAATCGTCTGCTTCCACTTGCGCGCAGGGACCTTGCGCTGGAAGAGAATGTCAATCTCACGGAACGAGCGATCCTTCATCTCCGGAACGTAGAGCCACGACATGACGCTGCAGAACAGGGCAGTGCCGGCCCAGACGTAGCCCGACTTGGCGCCAATGTTCCACTTGTCGGTGTTGAGCATGTAGCTGGCCAGGAAGATGCAGGGGATGTTGACGACGTAGTAGGCGCCACGGCCGATACCGGTGGTGAGGGGTCGGAGACGAACGGACGGCGTCTCACCGATGATGACCCACGAGGCCGGTGCAGGGCCCAAGCAGAAGAGCACGGACACAATCAGACCGAGCGAGGCCTGGGCGTTACTGATGGCGTTGCTGGTGCCGACCGAGCCAGCAATACCGAGCGCCACGAGGAAGGCGCAGTTGATGAACTGGCCGTAGACGTAAATGGTGCGGCGGCCGAGGTAAGTGGTCAGGATCCACGAAAGCATGACAAAGATCCACTGGAGGGCGGAGGTGATGAGACCGAGGGCGAAGGCGGTGTTGTCGGCCATGCCGGCCTGCTGGAAGAAGAAGACGGCCTGGTTGGCAATCAGGTTGCCCGTCAGGTTCTGGGAGGCGTAGACACCGCAGACAATCAGGGTGCGGTACAGATCGGTGCCCTTCCAGAGCTCAACCAGGGTGGGCTTGGCCTCGGTCTTCTCGAGCTCAATCGTGCGCTTCATCATGGCGACGGCGTCCTCGGGGTTCTCGTTGGCGCTGACACGGCCGAGACGGCGGACGACCTTGACGGCCTCCTCGAGACGGTCCTTGCGCACGAGCCACCAGGGCGACTCGGGGGCGATGAACAACAGGATGGCCAGCGGGGTAGGGAACATCCACTGCAGGGCAATGGGGATGCGGTAGGAGTCCGAGTTGTCATAGGACTGGTAGTGGTAGGTGATGCCACCGACGATGATGGAGCCGACGGCCCAGAAGAGCTGCAGCATCTGGGTGGCAGGGGCACGGAGGCGCAGGGGCACAATCTCGGCACAGTAGGCGGGGGCGTTGGCGATGAAAACACCCCAGGGAATGCCCTCGAGGATCTGGGCGGCGAAGAACATGCCGTTGCTGGTGCCAAAGTAGAAGATGAAGATGAAGGCATTGAGGAACATGAGGCCGCCAATGGTGGCCCAGCGGTAGCCGATCCAGGAGGTGATGGGACCGGCGATGAACACACCGATGAAGGCGCCAACAGGACCACTGCACTGGAAGGCAGACTGCCAGGACGCGGTGATGATCCATTTGCCAGTGACGGTACTCTTGATACCAAAGTCCTCCTTGAAACGTTCGGTGGCGACGAACTGGCCCATCAGGAACACACAGTACGACTCCATGATCTGAGAAGGAGGTTAGCGGGCTGCGAGCAACTTTCAGGGCAAATTAACCGGCCCCCAAAAAATGGTGTATCTACGGGCAGTATCTACGAGGACTTACAATCGTGCAGGACATGACAAAGGCCCAGAAACTGGCGGCAGGATAGGCCCGGACGGCCTGCAGCACGGTCATGTCATGCTCGGCCTGCTCGGCGTCGATGGCACCGGTGCGGTTGTAGTCGACCTTGTCATCGCTGTCGTAGACGGGGCCCTGGTTGCTGGCGGGTTGGGCCTCGATTTCCGCCACGCCGGACGGCTTCTCTGGGTTGATTTGGCTCATGATGGGCGATGTGTGTGTCGACGGTTGAGCGTTGTTGACAAGAAGGAGAGAAAAGAGGAAAGGAAAACGAAGGAGAGGAAAAAAAGAGAGAGAGAAGGAGAAAACGTGGGACAGACGCGGCAAGCAGGCGCGGCTGGGGGGGTTTTAATGTCTTTTGCCGCTCGGTATGGTGATCGGCATCTGTGAGCTTCACCACGAGTTCCTTCGCACAGAAGACCCCTGCCCCATGTGTCTGCACACGCTACCACAGTACACGATGTACGGGGATACTCCTGTTCGCCTCCACGTATTCACGTATTCAAGTAGTTCATGTTATCCTACCCCCTCCTTGTCCCGCACAGAGGGGCCGTTTTAACCGGAAGCGCGAGCACCGACTTTGACATGGGACCTTTGACATGGGACAGCATATTTCGTGTTTGTTCTCCATCCTGCGTTCTCCATGTGGAGTACTCCCCAGCTCCCGTATGTCGCACGCCAGCTGTTGGTATGGGGTACTTGGTTGGTCCTTTGTGATGGCCCTGTTGTTGATGACTCCAGGAGGAGTCCGTCTGGAAATGAGCTGGCGTGATTGGCTACAGGTGCGATTTGTCGGTGCATCTCCCGCCGAGTGGCAAGCATGGTTCGCGTGTGATCAAGGTAGTGAAGAACCCAGGACGTGGACATGTGCAACTCCCAGGTGCAACGCTCCATTCCCCATTCTCCATAATTCGAACTCGTCAGACAAGCACAAAAAGAAAACACATTCGTACGGAGAGGCACATGTAACTTCTCGTCTCGAAAAAGGAATGTCTCGAGTACCCATTTACGGGCCTGAATTAATTTTCCAGAAACGACGGAGCTGTGTCGAGCATGTTGTACGAAGTAAGATACTCAATACTTTGCCCTGAGGTGCGGGGAGAAAACAACAGCCACTGATAGGTGCATAATTGGAGAATACAGCGTATGAAGTGCTACGTCGGGTACGCGCAATACGAAGGATTCAGCGCAGTGTCCCACAGTCCGGTCATAACGCTGTGGAGCTGCAAAGTAAACGGATCGAGGTTTCGTGCTGTGTACGATGTAAGAGAGGCGGTCCTTTCCCCTTGTCTTGGCATCTTCAGCACGTCGACTGGACGGATTTCGTCCCAAACCAGACTTGAGGCCGAACACGCACATGAGGCACTCTGTGGCGACTCTGTCGAGAAACCTTTTGACTGCAACCGTAAGACGGACCAGGGTTGTCGAGTCGAGAATCAGTGCGGGGGGGGGGGGGGGGGATTCGGGGAGTGTGTTCTATGAAAACCGGTTTCTGGCACCGTAGTGGAGGATACAGTGGAGGAGGATGGGTGACGCGTGAGAAATAGACAAAGGAGAGACAAAGGAGAGCACAGGACTGGGGAGAGGAGAATGTGCTGTGCTCCATCGTAAAAAGGACAGGCAAATAGAATGAGATCGCCAGAATACCATGTGGAGAGCCAAACCTAGTAACGTAACGTCGAAATGGTCGTGTCCGGGGTTTAGCCTCTCTGAGCATCGTCCGGCCCAAGCTTTCTCGACAAACTTGCATGGAGAGGAACAGAATTCAGAAAAAAAGGAATTCGCTTGTGTGGGTGAAGCCCATGGGGAAATGGCAGAGGTGGGTAATTAGCGTCTCTACCTTCCCGTTAAGGCATGGTGGCCCGGGAGAGGTGTAAAAGGCCGTAGTGCGGCCGACGCGGGGATTAGCCTGGGACTCCCTCGCTGCGACCTCACCAACACCCACTGCAACTCACTGCAACTCACTACAAACATCCACTGCCCGTTTTACTGGACGACACCCGCTTTCTGCTCCGTACTTTTAACCGGAGCAGTGTCTGTGACAGGCTTGCCACGGCACTTGTATGAATGATATGCCACTCAAATGTCCGGCGGAAAGCAGACACCATTCTGGCCCCGTCTTTCTTATATTGTAGTTCGTTCTGTTAGATGTCGCGAAGGCACAAACGAGCACAACAAGACAAAGTTCGTCTGCCACATTTAGCCGGATCCGTGGTCACGTGAATACCACTGTAAGCCAACGTTTGTAGGAAGAACAACGTCCTTCGTTGACGACCGGGTTGCAGATGCCCTTTTTCGAGCCAAAACGCAAATCATTTCTTCTTTTCGTCACGTCTGTCCAACCGAGGCCCTACCCCAGTCTGTTGGACCCCGTTCAACTCCATTCATCTCCCATTCATCCCCAACCCCAGTCATTCCATGAGTTCGTCTGCTGGCCGTGGTTCCATTCGATCCCTTGGTCCCTTGGGATTGCGAGCTCCTCTCATTCTTTTCCAGTCAAAGACGGCTCCACACCCGCAGTCTCTCACACCATCATCGCGCTGCGCTGTCCCGACTGGGCCTGTCAAACAGCACAGAGCCAAACAGTTGTCGTTGGCGAATGCCCTGCTCCCGTTATTGTGAATCAAAAGATGCCCCCGGGGGGGGGGGGGGAGGGTCGAGGGCATCTCTGGGACGCCACCACATGTTCCTTGGCTGCAAGTGATCACACTCCTGCCGCCCTACCTGGCCATAGCTTCGGAGCCCTCTTTTACCAGCTGCCTCGCTCTTTCGGAGTAAACGACGTGCAAATGTAAGACGAGTATTACTCTGTAGACGAGTCAGACGACCTTTCGACCAAACAAGGGATGCTCTGGCAATACCGGTAGGGCGCTGCGAGCCGTGTTTGTTCTTGGTACTAGGGATTTCCGCCATTTGGCATTTGGTTGTAGGAGCGAGAAAGACGAAGAATGAACAATGTCACATCAAGACTCGTGACAAGCGAGAGGACCGGAGACGGAGGTGGGAGGAAGTGGGATGAAGTGGGAAAACGGTAAGCTACCGGGAAGAAGTGGGAGACGCTGGTTCCTGGGAGCAGGAAGCAGGAAGCAGGTGTACTCCGTACGTCGTAAGCAAGTACAACATAGCAGAAGTGACAATACAACGACGCCAGGGAGAATAAATTACCCACGACTCGGAGTTGATAGGAGGACTTACGGCGTAAATCCGGAGCCAAAAGAAGAAGCAAGCAAAGGGTCAGAGGATCGACCGACGAAAAGACGATGAAACGAATGGCCAAAGGATGGAGACACTGAAGAGGACAACCGACATGAGGCCGTGCTTTTGGCCGACGAGCTCGACCAACGTGTAGCGCAAAATAACGTAGCTGCGGTTTTACATAGCAACTAATTCGTACGATGTAGTCGTCCATCAGCGTGTCATCCGGTCGCTGACCGTCCGATCACTCCCGAACAAGTGATCGTCGTGGTGATCCGCAAACTTGAACCACAGAACATGCCCGTCTCTTTTGGCCCTGTGGTGTCTTTTTCGTCTTCTTGTCTCCCCAGTCTCTTGGGATCCCGAAACCTCACCACGACCTCGACACGTGGTGATTCCGAGCCGTCGCCAAGATCAGCACCCCAGAAGTTCTCCAAATGCTCCAAAAGCTACCTCCAATGCAGCTTCCTTCCTCTTTCGCCCAGAAGGCCGTTCCCGTCGTGCATTACGCCCCGTGGGGAAATGTACCGAATCCCCCATCATTCCCCCTTGTATGCTATACGGACCGCGGTGGTGGCTGCCTCGATGCACCCATCACAAATGTACAACTCACGGCGAGCACGTATCCAAGCAGCCAAGGTATCTTGCAGTACCACAATGTAGTACGCCGGGGAATCGGCAAGCCCGCGCCAGGCGATCATCACCCGTGTGCATGCATCTTGGCAGAATTTCTGACGACAGGGGCAAAGTACCAAGAACACAAGAACAGGATGAGAAGGAAGCTGGGGTGTGCACATCTGGCAGTGCATAGCTGCGAATACGAGCCGGTACACCAAAAGATGGACAGGATGACAGGACGATCTCGCCTATCGCGCTTCGGTCGTCTTGGCCGTCATGTCGTGTTGTCTCACAGCTCGTCTGCAGTCGTGATGATCACTGACTTTCTCCACAGCGAGTCAATTATTTTGGGCCAGAGATCAGCATATTCGTAGTACAACGTTAGTCGGCGAATACGGTGTATGCCATACTTTGGCCTCTATGGCCAGTTCATCGTATGCTACGTTTCTACCGCAATTCAAACGGGACGATATGGAGTACGTCCGATGAATTGTACGTGTTATGTAGATCTGAATTGTGGACGTTATAAGCGACGAAACCAGCGTATGCCGCACTGCGTGAAATGAAGGTGTATAAACAGTAAGCGAGTAAATTAACAAAATAATAAAAATAAAAAGAACCCAATACAGACGGCATGCACTTAAAAGGACAAAACGACAAAAAACAACAGAAAACCGACAAAAACTCAACAAAAATTACCAAAAAGAAGCGTACAACAGCGGGTTTTCGCTGGCCGTCACCAACCGAACGACTAATCCGCTGATTGCGCTATTAACTAGTTTGCCGCTGCCAATAAGGCCATTTCGAGACTGCCCGGCGCCCCCAAAACAGCCCCTCTAAGTACATATTGCGTCGCGGACTCTTGACATATGGCTGGTACGTCGTGGCCTACAGCTGCATAGTCGTGGCAACCATCCGCTGTGCCTTGTCCACGGCCGAGTGTATAATGTGGGTTGTGCTTGCTGATGGCGGGACGGGGTGGACTGGGCTTTCCCCGTCTCTGTTAAGCGGGCTGTATACTCCACGCGCCGTGCCCGCGCGGGTTCCGTGATGGTATCGATCTCGGTATGTTGTTCGGCGGAACCGATGTATGGTTTGCCTTGGAAGACCTGTGTAACAGCCGTAGTATGAATATACCAAGTGAAGAATCACACTAGCTGGACAATCCAAGATGATACTAGTATGAACAAGGAAAGCGGCCAAGTATAACCATATAATATACCGGGGGTGAGAGTTATACTCTTGACCGGTCAGTCCGTAACATGGTTGGCCATTATCTTACGATATGAAGCCGTTAGTAGTATATTATTGTAAATTAGAGAATAGTTTTCTACGCCTGGGATCGACAGGATATGATTTAATCCTTTTTATATTTCCTTACCGACCGTATATTGACAATATTTCTGGACTGATTGTGTACCCTGAAAGTTGAAATGACATGGAGATTGTGTATCTTTCTGGAATATCTGCGTACTTACACATTTGACTCTTAATCTTCGATACGAGTTGTCAAAATTTGGACCCGTCCTTCCTCGGCTCGCCGCCGCCGCTCTTCCAGCAAACACACCGCAAGCACGACAAAGCAGCTCGCACCCGTCACCACATACGCTACGTGGGTCTGTACCGTGCCGTACCAGGCAAAGAAGGGCTCGACAAACCGCAAGGTCGGCCAGAGTTGGTTCCGTGGCACCCATGCGATGGCATTCCAGTCCCGGGCCGCCTGGAGGCCAGCCAAGACGACAAACAAGGCGCCCTGTAGGCCGAGGGATACTAGACTTAGGCTGCCGTGATCGCCGCTTGCCTTGACGGCGTGGATCTGGTTCACGGCGGGCAAGAACAAAAATGCAGTATTGGGAATGAACAGAAGCGTCATCCAGATACTGAGGCCAATAAGATAAACAGGGAACCCGTAGCTGCCGCTTTGCCACTCGTCCGGGTCAAACACTGGGTGTTGGTCGAGGCCCATGTAGGCGAAAGAGATGGACAGGACGACGGCGGCCGTGATGCCTACAGCGATTTGCATCGTCCAGGATGAAGTCGAGGGGGTGTTGACGTAAACAGCATCGGTGGATGGAGATACCGATACCGCTTCTCCTTCCTCGCCAGTCGCGGCGGCGGAAGCGCCTACAATCATCGCTCCTCCATTATCGTCACTCCGATAGGGAATGTACAGTTCCAGCAGGGTCATGGCAGACATCCACTGCACTATGGCCTGGAGGATGCAGAGCAGCGATGATAGAGCCTTCCAGCCGGTGTATGGCCCGCCGTTGACGCAATTGTACACGCTATAAAAGATCGGGTGGCAGACACGTAGCGCCAGCGTGAAGACGGAGAAGAGGCTGTGGAAAAGAATGTAGCGTGACGCTATGCCGTGCGTACCATGTTGAATAATGGCAATGTATTGAGGGACGTATGCGGCGACAATGAAAAAAGCAGAAGAGTCTGTTGAAGAGGTGGATGCGTTAGAAGTAATTGCTAAGCGCCTGTGATTGAAAGGCAAAGGAGGATACATACGCTTCCACGATCGTGCGTGGCAAAGACTGGTACTCGATGTAGCTGTTGCACCGCTCTGGATCACCCATGATGTCGACAGATGATTGTTGAAGTCATTGGAGACTGGCTGTGGACAGCTGCGACAGCTAGCGACGGCGATGGTGATGGTGGTAACGACGCTTGGCGCGACTTTGATTTAGCAGAAGAGTGCCTACAAAGAGACTCTGTAGTTGACAGTGATTAAATGCAGCTCTTTTTTTTATTTTGAAAAAGATCTATCTTGAATTAAAGACCTGCAAGGGCCGGCAAAATCATGTGCGCCCGAAAGCGAGCGGAGGCCATTTGCTGTGCCGCTTTGCGGCGCGGCTGCCCTCCCTCACTCTCACACCGATCACTGCGGTAGGGGAAGCAGGTACTAGATGACGGCATGCATGGTATTCTGTATAGAGGCCAGTCTACGGTCACACACTTTCCTCATAGCAGCATCAGCAAAAGTGTCGGCCACAGCACCAATGAGCGGCGACATCCTGCAGAGTACTCCGACGAAGCAGTGGGATCGTGTCCGCAGCGCCCACAAGTCCACAGCAGCCTCTCCCGTTGTATGCTCAGGACCCAATATTTCCAGCCACAGGCCAGTTCCTCCGATTCTCGAACGACCCCGTCCTTCCCCTATGTTACCCAAGATGCAGCCATTTGTCTCTTAAACCGACATTTTGTAGAGTAGGTTAACGGCTATATTAAATATACACTGTCATGTGACGCCAAACAAATACAGAGTCCCGTAAATACCGGTTGTAGATGCTGATAACGAGACAACAAGGTATATAAAGGGAAATAGGAAATCTAGAAATAAAATAAGATACACCGTGACCCTATTACGAATGCATAGCTTTGTTTACGGAAATCCGCAGCGGCAGCCATCGAACGTGACGATGCACTCTGGGCGAATCAGAAACCGGCCTCGTCAGTGGCACGCGAATTACCAGGTTTAACTCGCGTGCCGCTGTCTTACAGGCCGTTTCTGGCCTGCCCCGGCGCCAAGTTCCAGCCCCTAAAACAACCCCGTTAAGTACTGAAAACGGGAGCAAATCGGGGTGCCGGCTCTCGCGACCTAGCCGCATAAACGCAACACGAACAAAAGCAACACAAAAGCAACACAAAAACAACGTGTCATGTGACGCGTCCACAGGAGGGCAAATACCGTTGTCTTCTTTGTCCGTCGAGGTTCGAGTAGGATGGAGAAGGAGTAATCGATGCGATATTCGGTCTGATCGGGATCACGCGCATCGAACGGTGTCGTTTTTATTTTAATAAAACGAATGACGCGTCGTGACGCTGTCTCGTGACAAGTCAGGTGACACTGGACCAGAGATTTAGCCGCCTCTAATGAAATTTTTTTTCACTGGATTTTATCATAATCTAACGCAATTCCATGATAATTCGACTAGCATGGCCCTCCTGCCCTCCTTCGTCGGACATACGGGTGCACCGACTGCACGATATTTCCCACACCTTCTTCTTCACTGAGATACCATCCCTACGGTCGCCCCGTTTCACCCCTTTACACCTTTCCTATCTACAACACTGATTATCGTCAGAAGGCTGCGCTCTACGCTTAGTGTAGCATGTCTTACAGAGCTGTAGGTGATCTCCTTCCGAAAGGTTTTACATCTGGTAGAAACTAATCTCTCTCACACAGGTCGCCACTGCCATCCCTTTGGCTCGATCGCTCATTCGTGCGAGCCTTCGTCGAAGTCTTGAGCGTTCCCAGTACAACCGGCCCGCGTTTCGCTATTCCTCAACAACTGTTTCCGCCTTGCGTACGAACCTCCAAGGGCCAGCGCTGCCTAACATCGCTCCTGAAAAGAATGTGACAACGCCGCAAACGCTGACGGAGAAGATCCTTCAACGCTATTCCGTCGATCTTCCGAAGGGAAAGGTTGTCCGAAGCGGTGACTACGTCCAGATTCAGCCGCACAGATGCCTCACGCATGATAATACCTGGCCTGTGGCCATGAGGTTCATGTCCACAGGTGCTACCAAGATCAAGGATCCTGCTCAGCTTGTCTTTGCACTTGATCATGACGTACAGAACAAGAGCCCCAGTAACTTGAAGAAGTACGACCAGATACAGGAGTTTGCGAAGAAGCATGGTGTCAACTTTTTTGGCGCAGGTCATGGCATTGGCCACCAAATTATGGTAAGCTCCTCTGCGTCGGATCCATACCAGGGACCTTTCGTTTGCTAACAGCTGCGTAGGTGGAAGAGCTTTTCGTTTGGCCAGGAACCTTATGCGTTGGATCTGACAGCCACAGTAACATGTACGGAGCTCTGGGAAGCTTGGGAGTGGCCTTGGTCAGGACCGACGCGGCCGGAATATTTGCTACTGGGAAGAGTTGGTTCCAGTGTCCCCCAGTCGTGCAGGTGAATCTTCTAGGCACACTACCCCCAGGCGTTCGCGGAAAGGATGTCATTATTGCGCTTTGTGGGCTCTTCCCACTGGATGTGCTGAACCACAGCGTTGAATTTATGGGATCGGAGGAAACCATGGCTAGTATCCCCATGGACGACAGACTGACAATCAGTAATATGTCGACTGAGTGGTCTGCAACATCCGCAATGGTATGGCACCTGCACCTGCTTGAGCTACAGTCTGCATCTCCATGAGCCCGTCTAATTGGTCTTTCTATAGTTTCCGATTGACACGATACTAGAACGTTGGCTCCGATACAAGGCTACAGAGGCAGCAATGCTAGAGGATCGAACCACTCGACAACGAATTACGCACGAAATGGTGGACGAACTCTTTGCCAACCCTCTCCGAGCTGATCCCGGAGCGCACTACGCAAAGAAACTCTACCTTGACCTCTCTACTCTGTCGCCTTATATCTCTGGACCCAACTCCGTCAAAATCTCAACACCGCTGCATGACCTCGCTACAAAAAATATCAAGGTAGACAAGGGATACATTGTAAGCTGCACCAACTCGCGAAGCTCAGATCTGAAGGCTGCAGCCGAGGTATTTCAAGCTGCCGCCGAGTCAAATGGTGGCAGGATCCCCAAGATTGCAGATGGTGTCAAGCTATACATTGCAGCAGCGTCGGCCAGAGAGCAGGCTATTGCTGAGGATGAAGGTAGCTGGCAGACCTTGGTCGAGGCTGGAGCCACCGTTCTCCCGCCTTCATGTGGCCCATGTATCGGACTGGTAAGTAGCCACTGCTCCCCGTGTGGAATTTCGTGTGGAATTTATGCTAAGTATTAATACGCAGGGCACGGGTCTGCTCGAGGATGGCGAGACGGGAGTCTCTGCATCAAATCGCAACTTCAAGGGCCGACTCGGATCAAGACGTGTGTTCTCCTCTTCCTATTTCAATTGTGTTTGTAGCATTTCAGAGGACTAACAGCAGAAGTTGCTCATGCATACCTTAGTAGCCCCGAGGTCGTGGCTGCGAGCGCCCTGAACGGCGTTCTTTCAGGTCCCGGCGTTTACGAGGTGCCAGAGAATTATACTGGCGTACAGTACGGTTACGGCACCGGACAACCTGCAACTATCGAAAACGAGCTCGGCAATACTCTTGAACAGCTCGAGTCTCTCATCGACAGGGTTGAGACGAGTGCTTCTATCGGCGATGATGCTGCCCAAGCAGTCACGAAGATCCTCCCAGGCTTCCCAACCAAGATAAGCGGTGAAATCGTCTTCGCTGATGCTGACAATCTGGACACCGACAATATATATGCTGGCAAATTCACCTATCAAGACGATATGACGACGGCAGATATGGCAAAAGTTTGCATGGAGAATTATGACCCGGAGTTCAGGTCAATCACAAAGCCCAACGATATCCTCGTCTCAGGGTTAAATTTTGGTTGTGGCTCATCAAGAGAGCAAGCCGCAACAGCTCTTCTGGCTAGGAAAATCCCACTTGTTGTGGCGGCCAGCTTCTCTAACATTTTTGTCCGGAACGGCATTAACAATGCACTGCCTTGTCTAGAACTGCCACGTTTAGTGGAGCGTCTTCGTACCGTCTTCTCAGAAAACAAGGTACCTACCCGGCGTACAGGCTGGACCCTGACATGGGATATTACCAGGAGCCTTATTGAGGTACAGGAGGGGGAGAATGGGGAACGCTGGCAGGAGAAGGTTGGAGAGTTTCCTGAGAATCTACAGGAGATTATAGCAAACGGGGGCTTGGTAGGATGGGTCAAGCATGAGCTTGCGAAGGCCGGCCAATAGACCAGAAAAATAATAAATAAAGCCGACATGAAGAGAGACAATGAACTCAAATCGGACTGGTTGTTTAATCTCAATGGATGCTGTTGGACAATTTCTACTGCAGCCCTCAAGGGCTGATTTGTAAGGATCCCGTATTGTCTTGTGTCTATGGTCGTACGTGGAAGACTCGCTTTGGTTTGCGCTTATTAGGGCTGCTGCTTGGAATGAAAAATACATGATTGAAAACGAAAAGGTACTCTTATACAAGAAAATCGATTCTTTACGTCTATTAACCTATTTTGTCAAGATACCAAAATACCATACCATTAAGTTCGTCACCCAATTACCGCCACAATCCAAGAAGAAAAGGTAACAACGACAAACGGTAAACGTCAAAAGACGACACGTCCTCTCCGCACGGACCACTTTACCGCCCTGCCGAACACCCCGAGATCTGTGTATGGTAGTCTGGGCACGTAATCGGTACATACGACACGTTCCAGTTGTTGACGTCGCCCCGCGCCCAGTTCCACCGCCAGTAGCATCCGCTCTCCAGCGAGCTCGGCAACGACGCGCAGTCTTCGCGGCTCGTCACGCCGCCGTACGGCCGGCCCCAGTTGGCACCGTACTGCGCATTGCAGCCGCCCCCATTGGGACCCACGCCGCCGCCGGGCGTGACAATCACAAAGTCGCGGCCCGTCTCGGTGTTGACGTCGCCGCCCGCGTTGATGACCTGCACTTGGACGCGCTTGCCGGCGACGGGGCCGTCCTTCCAGGTGAGCTCGAAGCACTTGCAGCAGTCCGCCGTGCCATTGGTCACGGCGAAGGCATAGGACAGCTGCTCGTCGACAATGTGGGGGCTGTAGTCGGAGCAGAGGTAGGCGTTGCCCGGGGTCCTGCTGCAGCCGCTGTCCTCGCGTTGGCCGTTGGCGAGCGACATGGGTCTGTCGGACTTGTCACAAACACGGACGCTGCCTCTGGTTGTGTTAGGGAGAAGAAGGGGCATAAGATCACAAAAAAAAAAAAAAAAAAAAAAAAAAAAAAAAAAAAAATGGGAAGAACGTACGATGCACCGCCCTGAGAGGCCAGATTGGACCAAGCACACGCCGGTTTGCAGCTGCAATGTTAGTGGTACGCGCTGTGTGAGGGCAACACTCATCCCCGTTGCGCCCACAGATCCCCAATCCAACTTACCAGTCCCAGCCGGTCAGTGTACGCCCGGAATTGAGGGGGTCGACTCTCGCCATCACTGGCGACATCAGGCACGGGAGTGCCAGCAATAGGCGTATGGAGCGCATGATGTTGTAGCTAGGTAGGCGAGTGGGATGTAGGGTTGCTGTTGCAGTCAAACGGCACGTGGATAACACGACACTGCACTACACAAAGCTTGAGCTTTCAAAAGAGAGAGGGAATCTGCGGCGGCATTTATACGCATAGCAAGGAATACACCCTCGCAAGGACCAAGAACCCTGTGCCTGGGTTGCGCACATCGTCCCGCCCGAGATGTCTATATGTTGTCCAGTATAGCCATCCTTGGTTCAGTGTCTTGTACTGTCCCTATCGCGATCCCGTCTGTCCGCACGCCTCATCAATTCCGGACTCCTTTTATAACCTGTCTCAGCTGGCCATACCGTCAAGATATCATAACGTGTCGACCTCGGAATCTTGGCACACCGAGGAATGGCCATCGCGTCGCTGTACAGTCACAGATAACGCCCAAAGGCACATTGGCATTCTTGCATTGTCGCGACACAGCAGCCCCGTTTACCCGGAATTTGCTGGTCCCCATCGCCTATCCGTAGATTAGGAAGAAATGTAGATCGGGCTCGCTTCGCAGCTGCCAAGCAGGGGTCAATTCGAAAATGTCCGTCGCAAAGCGGTACGAAATCAAGAAACCATGCCGCAGAGCCCATCGTTACAAGCGAACGTCGACGGTTGCCACGCACGCTCACCGCGGCGGAAGCGAAAACACGGAAACAATCTTGGCCGTTGGTTGGCTATGTCAATCTATATCTGCGTCTTTTTTTGTCGTTGCCGTATCGGTGACTCCTGTACTTTGGACTTGAGACATTTGTTCCTGGTTTGGCCGTGATGATCTGATCCACGCAATGGTTTCTCGGGTATAGCAGCCAGGGTGATCATGATCATACCGGTTTGTTCCTACCGGTTTGTCCGAGGGCCGCGTGTTTTGCCATTGTCTCGGAATATCCTCTTCTATTCTGCTATCAGTCTTTATTTAGCACATTTCAGGGATTCTGCATCGTAATTTAGCCACGTTCTCGCGTTGCCGTTTGTCGCCATTCATCCATCGGCTCTCCGATACCATCTCCATATTTAGCGCGGGCAGATTTTCCAAGGCGTTCAGATCATACGTCATTCTCTCGATCTGGTAAGCAAAAATTGTTTGAAACAAAATTCACAAGATACACTGCCGGCATCATGGATCATGGCGTGCCGTCGCGATGAAGTTGGTGATCCAAACACGTGACGTGCCAGGTGTTACTGTGCTTCCTATTCGGGACTAGTGACCTGGACGACTGAAACGCCCACCACAACAAACGGTGAACGACGTCACAGCATCATACCGACAGCATTGTACCGGACGTACGTTCGCCAGTCAAACAAGCAGGCCCGGAGCTCAATTGGCCTTGGTATTGAATTTTTCGCAATCTCCATCGGGGCGGCCTGCCCAGATTGAAGAACCGGCAACAAGAGCCTCTGCCCCTGAATCTCGAATTCCGACGCGTCCTGTCGAGTTTGGAAGGACAATGGCACAGACAGAGCAGCTAGCAGGCATCCTGCGGGCACGCGCTATCGCGGTGGATGACGCCCAACTCGATGGCGCCCTGAAAGATGGCGCAAGTGGTCCCGAGCTGGTCGAATGGGCGGCAACACACCTGGTCGACGACACATTGCTGACCTTGGACGAGCTGGAATTGTGGGTAGCAGTCTTTCCATGGACGTTCCGTTCCGCGCCACCGCCCTCTAACCCTGGATAGATACGATGCCCTGCAGCGGAGCGGTCGGGACGAACAGCTGGCCGTCTGCCTGGACGATGCCCAGGGCGACGGTGTTCAGGTGTCTCTCCCCCTGTCGGACGACGACCTGCGCGCTGCCACTGCCGCGCTCGAGCGCTCGACCGAGACGATCCGCAAGCAGACGGACAGGGTGCGGCAGCAGCAGGATGCCGTGGCCAAGCTGGAGGCGCTCTCGAGCACCACTGGCACCGCCTCCCGCGCTGCATTTGCAGCCCGCCACCAGCAGCGATGGGACGCCGCCCGCACCGACCTCGCCGCCGATGTAGAGCGGCTGAGCCGCGCGCTGGACGACCGCGTGGCGGACTTGAGTCAGCAAAATCGTGCGCTTGCGCAGCGTGTGCAGCAGACGGTGGACGGTCTGTGCCGGTCCGACGACACTCTACTGGCGAGTCTGCAGAAGCTGGGGTGGGCGCTGCCGGCTGTTGCGTCTCGCGACGCGGCGCAGGACGCGGCGACGCAGCAGCAGCAGGCGAGCATCGCGCGGCTGCGGGACATTTGCCTGCACCTGATCAAGTATGCCGTCGAAACAATCCGCACGAAACTGGACCGGCTGTACCTGGAGGCGTTGGAGGCCGGCACCGCATCGGCGGCGACTGCATCGGGATCGTCCACACCCGACGACGACGTCGCCGCCTTGCAACAAGAGCTGGAGTCGCTGTACGCCGAGATCCTGCCTGTGGCGCAAATGTCCGTGGAGCAGCAGCATCTCGCACCGGCACTCAAGGCGCTGTCGGGCAAGAACGCCAAGAACTTGACGCGGTCGCTGCTGGCCCTCGACTACGTGGACGAGTGTCTGGTGTTCTTGCTCGAGCACCTGTCTCTCTTGACGACACGCATCGACACGGCTGCCGCTCACTACGCCACGGCTGACGCGCTCGTGGCCGCCGCGCGGGCCGAACTGGCGGTTCAAATCCCAACGGCGTCAGCTCGCGCCAAGGCGGCCCACGACCAGCGCCGCCGCCTCAGCAACTACGGTTCGCCCGTGCGCCGGCGGCCATCCACGGGTGCGTCTCACATGCGCACACGCTCCGGCACGGTCAGTGGCACGAGCAGCATGACGAGCGTTGACCTCAAGGCCCAGCGGCGCCGCTCATCGGGGTACGGTGCGGGCAGTTCTGGGCTGGGCGGCAGCCACTCTGGCAGCCCACAGGCGGCCATGGACCAGCTGCTCGAGAACCTGTCCCTCGTGCTGCCGATCGAGGACCCTCTCGATGCTGGCCTCGCCGGCGAGGGCGAGGTCTCTGCGTCGTCGGTCGACACGGCCACCCGCATCAATGCCCGCTTCTTGGCGGCGACTCTGGCCGACCGCACCACCAAAGCCCACGATGTGGTGGCCAACGCCCATGAGGCCTTTGAGACGGCCACATTTACACATCTCGCCGATGCCCGACGGGCCGAGTGGCTGGTGCGCTCGTCGGTGCTGGCCGAGAGCCCCTTTGGCGCCGTGCAGCTTGCGGACCCGGAGATTGACGGCTCCATTGCAGTCATGGCCGACGAGGTGCGACGGTTGGCCGAACGGCGCGCGGCCGTCGAAGCCGACCTGGCCAAGGTGCAGCGCAATGGCAGTGCCAAGAGGGACAGGATTATTGCACGGTGGGCGTAATATACCGTAACGACTCGTTGAATGGGAGCATCCCCACGCACGTCCGAAAGCCCGCGCCATCGGATCGACAGATCAAGAGTTCAACAGATTCAGCAGATTCAACAGATTGCGCGACGAAACATTGGTACGTACGCACCTACATATGTCCGACCCGCCCGGCCGCGTACAATTTAGCCTTTCGGCTTTTGTTTGGGCTGCCAAGAGAGTAAGAAACATCCGCCCTCTTATTGTGCTGCCAAGAACAAGTCCTCGTATGACGGGTGGTGGCAGAATTATCCAGATTGACGTGCCAGCAACAAGCTTGGGAAGACAAAAGACGGGACGGCCGAGGGCATGATATGATATGACTGTGAACGAAATATGAGACAATACGATCACCGAAACAATAACGGATAATCGACTACGACGAACCATTCAACGCGACTCTTTACCAGCTCTGGCGTGCCATGGATAAAACACGACGGCAGCGTCTGCTCGGCATGGCAACCCGGATTCTGGCGCCTCGTATGATGGATCATGCCGTCTCATCCTTGACCATGGGATAAAAGACAATCTGGGGTCGACTCAGGAAGGCAACCCTGAAAAGAAAGAAGACGAGAAATTGATTTTTTTTATAAACGCAATGACGAGAGCAACTAGAAAATACGTTTTGCATTTTACTCCCAGTCAATCTGCTGCTTTACTTGTTTGCTCGTCTGCTCAAACAATCAACAATCGGAGACGGGACGAAGCGAGGGCACACACTTTTCATCCTTTGTGTGCATACAGGAACAAGGCAGCAGGGGCAAAGGCAGGACAATAAGAAAATGCCATCTGTGCCATCTTTTCCGTCTTGGCTTCTGTCACCGCCCTCTATTCCGCATCCTTGCATCTCCGATTGACTCTTGAATCGTTGGCACGTCGAGACTACAATTGGGTGGGTGAAAGGAAGTGCCGTTGCCTGGTCTCATAAATATATACGTATCCTCCACAGTCTCCTTGTCCATCGGCTTCAATAGTTTTGGCTCGCTCTCGACTGTGTCTTCCGTTGTTTCCTCTCTCGCCTTCCCTCCTTTTCTCTCTCCCTCTTTTTTTATCGTTCTCGTCCTTTCATCAACCCCCATCTCAAGTACAACAGTCTCGTCGCATCAAAATGAAGACCCTCTCGACCACGCTCGTCGCGGCACTCTTTGTGGCCACAGGCCTTGCTGCACAGGACGCCACGCCGACCCAGACGATTTACGGACAATGTAGGTGATCACGAGCCACTGCACAAAGGAACGAGATGAAGCGTACGGGTACTAACAGAGCAGGCGGCGGCAGGACCTGGAATGGCCCGACGGCGTGCCAGACGGGCACCACATGCAACCCCAACAGCGAATGGTTCTACCAGTGCCTGGATCCGGCGGGCATTCAGTCGGTGCAAAATTCGAACGATGATGACAACGACAATGACGACAACGACGACAACAACAACAACAACAACAATCCATCGCCGGCGAGCTCTCAAGCAGGTCCGCCCGGCGGGTTCCGTGGCGGCGGTCCTGGCCGGGGCCGTCCAACCGGACGACCGGGCTGGGGTGGTGGCCGACCCGGCGGGCGGCCAACATTTACACAGCCGCCGCCGGCCAACACGCAGCCGCCAAGCAACAACAACGGGGGTAACAACGGCGGTAACAATGGTGGCAACAATGGCGGCAACAATGGCGGCAACAACGGTGGCAACAATGGGAACAACGGCGGTGATGTTGATGGAAACGGCAACACAGTCATCACTCGGACAATCACGACCATCTACAACGTGGGCTCTGCAACAATATCGACCAACATCCCATACCTCACGACGGCGCCAAACCATTAGGAGAAACAGCGTTCGGGCGGTTTCCAGTTGGGTGGACGGCCGGACGGGCACAATGCCTTGTATTACGTACTAGTTCTCCTTTAATTTCAATACATTCGTACTCATAACCTACATTGAACGTCAAGACAACATCACCACGCTCAACAGCCGAAACGACGGCGGCCACAAACGAGAGGGGAAGGGATCCAACACATAAGTGACAGCCATGCCGCAAACAAGCTTGCTGCTCGACTGTCCAATCAAGGCTGTGTACGGAAAGGCAGAATAGAGTGCCAGAGCAGCCGGCAAAAGGGGAGGCAGCACTCTTCTTGGGTAAGGTGTGTTGTCCGGCTAATAGTGCATAGTGAGACGGACAACAGCAGCGGACAAACAGGCAAACACAGCTCAAAAAGGGCAGTCGTCGGCGCTTTTTCGACTGCCGATGCAGATCAACCCCGGGTTCGCGGGGAAATAAGTAAAGTGCATGCATGTTGTTTGACCATCAGAGGGACGCGGCAACACAGCGTCCATTAGTCGTCCCGTCATGAGATGCGCTCTTTCGTGATGGACGCAATGTGCGGATTCTGATATACCTGGGCAGCGTCCAGATTGCCACACGGCGCTGCGTTTGCCAAGTTGCAACGTCCGTCGACAGGTCACGATGAAACCCTCCGTCGTGAAAGCGTTCTTGGTGGCCACCGTCCACGCGGCATCCGCAACAGCCCGGGTCTCCTACCGAGGAACACAGGTCCTCCGCGTGCCGGTGCGCCCCGACAACGTCGACACACTGAGCCGCGCCATTGCCGACCTTGGCCTGGGCACATGGCAAGATGCGCGCACTGTGGGCCGGTTTGCCGACCTTGTCGTGCCGCCCGAAGCGCAGCAGGAGTTGGTCGCGCGGCTGGGGCCCGACGCGGCAGACAATGCGGTTGTGATGCACGCCGACCTCGAAGCGGCCATCGCCCAAGAGACGCGCTATGACGCCTACGCGGCCGGCGCGCCCAATGCGACGTGGTTCCAGTCGTTCCATCCGTACGCGGACCACATGCAATTTCTGGAAGACGTGCAGGCGCGGCACCCGGACCACACCCAGCTGGTGTCGTCGGGACGGTCGCTCGACGGACGCAACCTGACCGGTCTGCGCGTCTTTGGCAGCGGCGACGGCCGGGCCCAACGGCCGGCGGTCGTCTTCCACGGCACGGTGCACGCGCGCGAGTGGATCGCGACCATGGTGGTGGAGTACATTGCGTTTACGTTTGCGGAGGCGGCGGGCGCGGGCGCGGGCGTGGGCGCGGGCGCAAACGCGCGGAGCGAGGCAGAGACGGCGCAGGACCTTGCGGCGCTGCTCGAGACGTACGATGTCTACGCCTTTCCGATTGTCAACCCCGACGGGTTTGTCTACACGCAGACGACGGACCGGCTGTGGCGCAAGAACCGGCAAGACAATGCGAATTCGACGCACGCGTCGTTGTCGCCGTCGTCAAACGACGCGGCCCGGTCCACGGCGCCCTGCATCGGCCGCGACATCAACCGCAACTGGCCCATGGCGTGGTCCGTCGACGGCGGCGCGTCCGCCGACCCCTGCGCCCAAGACTACCGGGGCGGAGCGCAGGCCGATGCGCCCGAGACGGCGGCCCTCTCGTCGTGGCTGCGCGCCACGCACGCCGCGCAGTCCATCCGCCTCTACATGGACTACCACGCGTACGGCCAGCTGCTCATGACGCCGTACGGCTACTCGTGCGAGCGCCAGCCGGCCAACGCGTCCGTGCTCGCCGACCTGGCCGCGGGCGCCTCCGACGCCATCTACGGCGTGCACGGCGTCTACTTCCAGACGGGCGGCATCTGCTCGATGCTGTACAAGTCGACGGGCAACAGCGTCGACTACGTGCACGACGTGGTGGGCGTGCCGTACAGCTTCACGTCGGAGCTGCGGGACATGGGCCAGACGGGGTTTGTGCTGCCGCCCGCCCAGATCCAGCCAAGCTGTGAAGAAGCATTCGCGGGCGTGGTCTACTTGTTGAAGCACATTTGAGTAGATGGAGTGGAGGGTGCTCCCAGACGTTTTTTAAAGTCAACTATTTTTGTCTCTTTATTTCTGCGCCGTCTCACAGTGTCTTGACACCTACTATTTTTAATCGTCGTCGCTGGGTACATAATCAGCCACACTAGATTGTTGTCCGCCCCCGAGGATTCGTAGATTGTCAAAGAGCAAGTTATTTTAAGAGTCGTATCACGCGTGGCGGTTTCTGTTTCGTGATGCCCATTTATTTTCCGTAACGCTCCGAACGTCTCATCCTTGACCTTTTTGCAGCACGCGTGCCGTGTGCCGTCCCGGTGTGTCATGAGGACGACCAGTAATAAGAAACTAAGAAGAAGAAAAAGGCGATAGACAAGTGTGGTGGGACAAGCCAGCTGAGTCAAGCCTTTGGTCTTTGCAGCGGAGCTCTTATTTTTTTTTTTTGTTTTGTTAAAAAAAAAAACGATTGTCAAATGTTTGGTCAGCGTCATTGTAACAGCCAAGGTGGCATACGCCGTTGACAAACTGACGACTCGTGCCTGCGCAGAATAAGTTCGTGGCCTTGAGAAGGTGGTGTGGCTCCGCCTCGCAGTGGACAGGAGGGACGAGTTGGGCGCAAGAAGGCGAATGGTGTGAATGCTGCGATAGTACTCCGTAGGTGTGTCAGTGGGTGCGTCAACAAAGAGTTGCCAAAAAGGGTGGACGTCGTCTGAGACATCGAGACAACCTCTTCAACAAGGCCACACTGTCAACACGAGATTTTGATTTTGAGTGTGCCGTGTCTTTTCTACCCTCTCCCGCAAACGACACGTAAAAGTAATGTCAAAGGTGCTTCGATTTATTTTGCATCACGACACAATTTTTGACAAGTTTGCTGCGCAAAGGCGTGTCCCGCATCGCATTGTGTGTTCGGATGCCGTCAACTGCACTGAGGTGCGACGCTGTCAGCTGCGCAGGGGCAACTGTCGAGTGAGTGAGTGGCCTGGCCCGTTGGGGAAAACGTCAACAAATCCACTCCTCCGCCCAGTTTTTTTGCCGTCGCTCCACTCACCCCAGGCCGGTCTCACTCAAGGCTCAACGCTCAAGGCTCCAGGTTCCAGGCAGCAGGCAGCAGCAGCAGCAGCCGTTCTTCGGCTTGAGCCTTGCATGAGGAGGGCGGTCAGAGGTGGGGGGGTCTGGTCCTCTCCCCTCTATCGACAGCACTCCTGCATGAGACTGCCGAACTCTTCCACCGAACTCATCCCCCCAAATCACCACCACCGGCACCGGCGAGTCGAGTCATAGGCAGCTATGCGGGACAAAGAGAGGGCAAAGAGAGGGCATCTGAGGGCAGGACTTTGTCCGATCAGTTGACTCGGTAATGACGAGACGTAGTTGTCGATACGATCGAGGATCGCGGTGGGTGTCGTTCGGGTGAGAAGCAAAAAAAAGAGTCACAGAGTCACCATTAAGGGGTCTAACAAGGTGTCCCGCTACAAATTATGTTGATTTTGAGGGGGTGCTATCTACTCGCGCGTCACGCAAAGGATGCATTTGACATTCAAAGTCGAGTAACGAAAAAGATATACTGGTGGTATTCAAAAGTAAACACTCTAAAGAGCAAACGCCAATGCCATGCAAGTTGTTCCGTAAATCCCGCGACCCATATCCTATCGTAAACCCAATTCGCCATAATTTTTAATTTTTTTTTTTTTGTGTCTTTCGTTTTCTGTAAGAGTGTGATTTTATGCTTGCCTGTTACAGACCAGCTCACAACGTAAACCTTGTACCATCTCACATGAAGCGGTATCGCCCTTCCTCGGGGTACCAGATCTCCGTGCGCCGCTTAAAGGCCCCGCCGGCGGTGTACCGGCGCGGCGGCATGCTGAAGCGGTTGCGGAGACGGTTGCGCTCGACGTCGTCCACGACGAGCTCGTCCATTGGTCCCGGGCCGGGCGGCGGTGGCGGCGGCGTCGAAATGTTGAGGCCCGACACGCCCGTGGTGAAAAGGTCGTCCAGGTCGCCAACGGGCCCTACAAAAGACGCGCGGCGGGACGACGAGGGCGGGCGTGATGAGGGGCGCGAGGCAGAAGGCGGACGGGTCGACGACGCACGCGATGAAGCGCGCGAGCGGCCCTCGGCGGGCGGGGCCGGTGATGTGCCGGCCGACGTGGACGTGTTCTTGAGGATGGACTTGACCTCGCCCTGCAGCTTGGGGTTGGTGTTGGTGGTGGTGCTGGTGGGCACGGGTTGGACGCGCGGCATCTTGGGCCGGCGCGAGATGCGCTCGTTGTGCAATCGGCGCTGCTCATCCTCCCAGCGCAGCTCCTTCTTGACGGCCGAGACGGCGGGGGAGGTCGACGCCGAGGTGGCCGCCGACGATCCCATTCCAGAGCCGACACCGGAACCGACACCCGACGTCGACGACGGGGACGAGCCAAAAACGTCGGTGGCGCCCATGGCCGGCAGCGACGAGGGCATCACCGAAGCGCGCTCGCGAGCAGCTCGGCGGCGGCGGCGGCGCTCAGCCCGCTCCTGCTCGTCTTCAGCACTACCGTAGCCTTGCGGGGAGCGATCGAAGCGAGCGCGGTTGGGGCTCAAAAAGGTATTGTCCAGGGGCGGCGTCGCAGGCTCCCGGCGGCGCAGCGACGAGGTGCGCTCCAGGCCGACGGGGCGGAACTCGCGCAGGTCGTTGCGCAGCTCTGGACGAAACTCGGGGCGAAACTCGGGGCGAAACTCGGGGCGAGTGTCGCGCAGGTCGCGGAACTCGCGAAAGTCACGAAAGTCACGAAATCCGGACGACGGGCGGGGTCGCCCCGATATGGTGGTGGTGGTGTGGTTGTAAATGTCGGCATGAGTGGGCAGTGGGATGGGCATCATGCGGGGCGTGCTCTGGTAGAGGGAGGGCACGCGCTCCTCGACAATGATGGGCCGGCGGCCACGCTCCGGCGGGGGCTCCATGCCGCCGTAGGTCATGGTGGCGGCGCGCTGGATGGGGATCGGCATGGTGCGCGGCGAGGAGGGGGGTTTCGAGGAGGCAGTAGTGGTGGAGGTCGACGAGACCTTGGTGCCGTTGACGTAGACGTCGGACGTGCGGCGTCGGCGACGGCGAGGCGGGTGGTCAGCACCAGATGTGGCGTCGCTCGAGCCGGCACGAGAGTCCGGGCTGGCAGAGGTCGGAGACAGAGAACGGGGCGACGGAGTCGAGGCGCCGGCAGCACTACCGGGCAGGCGGTCACCACGGGCTTGCGAGGCCTTGGCCTGGTCACGGGGGCAGGCGTACTCGCGGTCGAACTGCAGGGTGCGCGGGTTGGGGCAGATGTAGCCGGGTGTGCAAGATTCGACGCGCTCGGTGATGTCGAACTGGTCATCAGAGTACGTATTGTAGTAGACGTACTTGATGCACATGGTATGTCTTGGAGTAATATGTTCTGGGAAGAGTTGCTTGTTCAGGCCGCGGGGATGTGTCGTCTTATATAGAATGCAGAGTCAATGGGAGTAGGCAGGTTGGTTCACCGTAGTACTCGTAGAGGTGTGGTGAGTTGTCAGCCGGCCGCGTCAGTAATGAGAGGATCTATTGAAGAAGTTCTCGGCGACATGGGGGCATATGGGGGACCACAAGAGTGTGGGAGAATCCAGGCGACGAAGAGGTGCGGAAAGCGGGAAGCAGATGTGTGATGCAAGGGGAGCGAGTAGCCTGACGAATGAGTCAAGAGAGAATACAAAGAAGAGGAGAAGAGGAGAGGGAGAGTGGAAGTTGGGCTGTCAAGAAAGTACTATCGTAGGTGAAGCAAAAGGGTGGACAAGAGGGGTGAGTGGGCAGAGGAAAGGAGAAAATAAATAAGGTTGCGGACGAGGCTTGCTTTATACAAAAGGCGATGCGTTCGTCAGTTTTGGTTGGCTGCAGAAAAAAAGGCGAGGAAGAGCGTGTGTGTTTAAACATTTGTGTGGGTGGGACCTTCGACAAGGCCAGACCACCCAGACTTGGAGGGAGCTGCAGCCACACTGGAGGAGGCAGAAGGAGAGAAAAGAGGCCAGCCAAGGTGAGGAGGGGTCAGCCACTGTCCAGTGGGACGCACAGGCAGCGGACAGACAGACTGACGGACGGACGAATAGAGATGAACAGAGACGGACGAATCAAGACGGACAGAGTACAGGGCATGCGGGACGGACAGGACTGTTTGGCGACCTCCCCCGACAAAGGGACGGGCCATTCTCGTAGGACTGCAGGAGGGAGAGGGAGGCGGCGTGAGTGGGCAAGTGGATGCTGTAGGCAGACACGGGAGCTGTTGGTAGCAGACTGTCGGTCGTGGTGCTCGAGGTGGTGCTCGAGGTGGTGCTCCAGGTGCTGCTATGCGACACCTCGACAGGCTCGCGGTTGGGGTGCCTGCGTCCAGTCCAGCGTGGTTGCTAGGACCGTCAGGACAGTGGCTCAGTGGTGTGGACGCGGAACGGCCTGCTGGCTGTGGTGTGGTCATTTCGGCCTGCATCGTGGAGCGTTGGAAAGGCGACAGGGGTTGATTGTTGACAGAGGAGGAGGGTTGAGGGTGCGCCTGAGGCTAATCCGTTACGAGACAAAGCAAAGAAGAAAGAGACAAAAGGGGTAGTTGGGTACGTTTGGAAGGCGCGAGGGGCCACTACTCAAGCAAGTCCCTTGCTAGCAGGAAGGCTGTGAACAGGGGTCCCGTCCGGGCTAGTCCGAGCCAGGGGAAGACCACTGAAAAGTGTGTGCCTCGAGGTGCCTGGTGACCACTGGAAAGAGGAAAAATAGGACAAGGCCGCCGTATTTTTGGTCCACTTTGGCAGATACAGAGGGCGTTGACGGGACAGGGGTGGCAAGAGGCAGCCGGAAACGGGCTGTGACCCCCTGCGCAGAGGAAAGAGCGACTCTACGGGTGTCGTAGGCGTCCAAATCGGAAGGAAGAGGGAGAGAGGGTGAGGCAGAGGCCAGGCGACTGGCGATCGTACTGTGGACGTCCAAGCCGTTGTCGGGAGTAGGGTGGAACGGAAGACAGAGGACACAGGAGAGCTGCAAGGATGGCACGCTTGAACGCAAACATTGAACGCAAACAACGAACCACCTTGACTCGACTTTTTGACAACCGCGCAACTCGAAATAAAAATAGAACACCATGACCAAAGACAAAGAGCGAAACAAGCGACGGAGTGGAACAGCAGAAGAAAGAAAAGAAATGACCAAGAAAAAGAAAACGGAGCACAGCATCTCGAAACAAAATGGACTGGCTACGGTTCGTCGTCCGGTGCCGACCTGCTGCTGCAGGGGCGGGTCGCGGCCAAAGGCGCGAGACAAAACACGGAGACGATGAAAGAGAGAGCATGCAAAAGAAACGGATGTGAAAGACGTATGAAGTACTTCGTACAACATACGGGAGAAAGCTGGCAGGCCTGTAAAGCGGCCTGCACGAGCCACAAACCCACACAGAGCCGCAAATTTGATGAGACAGACACGAACGGCTTGGGCAAAAATCAAGAGACGTGTGCTCACCATCTGCAGGTGCTTTAGCGGGGCTTAACGGGAAAATAAAGAGAAACAGCCGTAGGGGATAGCCTTTTGTAAATAAATCGTCTGCAAGACTGGTGTTGGTTCGTTTTTTTTTTTTCTTAAAAATAGAAAGGAAAGAAAAAAACACAATGAAAACCTGCAGTTTGATCGAGAATTGTACAATATGCTGAAATCGAGACTCACGCAAACAAACACGATCTTCACCTGCATCTTTTCAATCGACGTGGCAGATCGACCGAATGGGAGAACGTTCGAGTGGTCGTCTCTGCTGCAAGTCTGTCCACATCTGCTGCGTCGTCTTCGCACATTAATGCAAGTCATTCCATGACTGTTTGCCCGCCCACGAACCAGCGTCGAGAATTCACAACAAAGGGTGTCCGCCCTTGCTGAACACTGCATGACTGACTCACAGGCAGACGCTTTTTGACAGTCACAGCCGTCTTTGGACTGTCCGACCTGCAGTAGCGTGTTGCACGGAGAGAGTGCCTCTCCAGGCAGGCATGCGCGCTAGAAGTGCTTTTGAGTGGCTGCAGCAGCACGCACAAAGTGCCGTTCACATTTTGATGTGGCCTGTCCCGTTTGCGGACCACCACCCTCTGTCACGGCTCCCACGCTACTGCACGTCGCCGAGCATGTTGTATTTCACTGGACAGTGCCCATGAGTCGAACGGGAGATGTGCCAGTGCCTGATGCAAAGGTGAGCACATACGAGAGGGACGACAATGACACAAGAGCGAGGCGAGAGAGAGAGAGCGGATATGTCTCGTCTTGGACAACAGTTGACAGACACGAGAGCGGTTACTGCGAGGTGCATTGGGTTTCCAACGGATGAAAACCTTGCGCTCATCTTCGTGTCCGATAGTAATTCGTACATGGGGAATGTTACAAACAACCAACAATGGTTTCCAATTCAAGACACGACACCTCACATTGGCTGCGCAGCTGCCGAGTCGACAACTCCAAATTGTGTCGCCTTTTTCTCAGATATGGACACTGGCTTGACGTCTGACGATTTTTGCCACTGGCTTCTTTCCGTTGCCGTGCTGTGCCATGCATGTAAGCAGAAGGGGTGTTGTCCAAAGCCAAGGCAGCTCTTCTTGGTAGTGCGGCGCGGCAAAGGCGTGTAAGTCGAATGGGGGCGAAAAAAGACAAAAGGGTAAAGAAAGGTGGGGGAGCTGTAAGGTGAGGGTATTGTACACTGCACAACCAACCTGCGCACAATCCGTTTCTTCCACAGCATGATTTCCGATCAGAGATGCATCTGCAGCAACAACTGCAGTTGTGACGACAAATCGGCGGATCTAAGAACCAGGGTGCAACACGTCGAGACAGGGAGGCGGAGGACTTGAGAATCGTGTGATTACACCTGACCTTGAATTGCGATTGGAGCTTTCGACTTGGCTGGTTTTGGGTCTAAGACCCTGATTTTGACGTTGCCTATTGACTTGTCAACAAAACGAGCGCACCCAGTCCTTCGTATTCCTCGTTACACTCCATCGTCACCTCGTGTTTTATCTTCGGTTTGCTCGTCTTTGCTTTTAGTCTATTAATTGATTTTATTTTTCTCCAAGTTCCTCCACCGAAACGATCTGTTTAGACAGCCTGACGCCCTTTGAGTTGAAGAAGAGGCCGCCATTCGGTCCCGCATGACTTTAGTGTTCGATAGAGACAAACGGACAATGGAAAATAAAAACAACCCCGGAGTTGGCCTCGTCGCCAGAAGACGTCATAATCCTACCACACACCCCGTCAACCACTCTGTACTCTGTCCATTCTGTCCTGTAGGGTGAGGAGCTGTCTGCACCTGCATGCTGCAAATTCGTCTCTTTGTCTCTGCTCTGTCTCTTGCATTTTGGCCACCAAGGCTAGGGGTCGAGTCGGACGAGGCAACGAAGAAGATCCTCCCTGTCCTTGAACCCCCCGCTCTACAGCATCTCCCTCTTTTGATCCTGCCCCTGCAGGCTGGCGCATTGACCCAACGAGGCTCCGGTGTAAGCCTGTGAGCCTGCAGATGTTTTCTGTCTGTCAGTCTTGTCTATCGTACTCCACAATGCACACATACCCTCCCACCCTCCCTCGTCAATGTTTACCTCGCTCGCCGGGAAGGCCTTCGGTCCAGACCTAGCTCAATGGCGTCTGCATCCTCCCCTGTCGTCTGTGTTCCCAAACCGTGCATGTTGTCCTCTTTACCGGGGGCCCTTGCTGACTTAGGCAACGAAATAAATACCCTTCAAACATCGAGGCAACCAGATACTGTCCAATGAACGGGCAACGATGCTTCACCTTGCGATCGTCGGTGTCATGATGCAACTGTTCTTGGAGGGTACTCTGAGAGGGAGCATCCCCAACAAATCTCACGCACAAAAGCCAGAAATGAAACGCTACCCCCAGCCCAGAGACACATCAAAGACATGTGATGTTGGCAAGATGTGGGACGGGGGAGCATCTGTAAGGCTGCCCATGGGAGGCGAAAAAAAGTAGGATCCTGAATCGCAAACACGACAGCGTCCAGTTCGCCAAGTACAGCTTTCCATGCAACACGGCGAGGCGTCGTCATCAAGGGTGCTGCCAAACAAATGACAAGACAGGATGCACAGACAATGACGACGGCTTGCATGGTCCACAGGTGCAGAGATGCAGGCGCAGGTACAACACGGAAGCCATTGGTCTGCGTCGCACATGGATGTGCACATCGGACAGGACGTCGTGCCTTGTCAAAGGGCGTAACAATACGACAGTGGCTCAAATCAAGAAACGTGTAAAGAACAGGACGGAAGACGGACGACAGCCGACAGGCGACCGATGCCAAGAGACAAGAGACAGTCTTAGAAACAAATGAGTGTCGACGGTTGGGAACAGAAAGAGAAAGAAACGCAAAGAGTTTCGTCAGGTTGAAGTTGAGCCCCGCCGTCGGCGATGTCCAGATGCAAACAAGCGACAGGGGCGGGCCAGCCCTGCGAGGCAGATTTTCAGAATTGGTGGGGACGTTTAGTGCTCCGTGAGACATGGGAAAGAAAAAAAAAAAAAAAAAAAAAAAAAAAAAAAAAAAAAAGTTACTAACATCAGTCCGCTGACATAATTACATGCAGGGCTGCCTCAGGAAAGTCCAGTGTCCAAGAAAATCGATCCACCTCCTTTGCGCCTGGCTTTCAAGGCGAAGTGAGCACAGCGTCGCATTGCCCTGTGGGGAGAAGGGCAGCACAACTCCATCTTCAGCCTCCTACCTCTCCCAAAGCAACCTAGTCTCCCGAGCCGCCCCCCCCTTCTTCTGTCGTGTTGCGTGGTTGGCCTCACGGTTTGTGGCTCAGGTCACAAACTTGTGCCTTAGAACGTCGTCCTCCGTTCTGTTTCGTGGGCATTCCAAAAGAAGAAAACAGTCGCACGCACTGTGGCTGTGTCAAGGTGAAAAGGTGCTTGGGGACAGGGAGGTGATCCTTCGATCATGCGCCGCGAAGAAGTGTGGCTTTCATTGTGAACGCGCGCCACTGGATCGTGATCGTTTCCTCGCCCACAAACTACGGTTTGTCCGGCTTGCTGTCCAAAACCGCGAAAAAAGTACACCTGTCAACACAATTTGTTGTTCTTGCTGTTCACTTTTTCTTCAAGTTCTTTTTTTTTTTTTTATGAAAAATGACTTTGTGTCGTGTTCTTTACGCTTGCCTTGCCTCGCCTTGGGTCGACGTTTCACCATCGATGCAGGGGGCTAGCTGTGGCTGTGATGTCTTGTGCGGCTGTTTGAACGCGTCTAAGGATACGACAAGACCGCCAGTGTGAGAATCAATGCAGATGCAGACAGAGGGCATTGCAAAGAGCACAGGCCACCCGACGAAATTTGTCGCAACAACCGCCGACCCAGCAGCACGGCCCTGGGTTGACGTCAAAAACCAGCTGGCCCGGCCGCTGCAGCCCAACGGGTCTCCCGTGAGGGCCAATCCGTAGATGATTGGCAACAAAGCAATTTTCAAGTCCGTCGAGAAGGCGTGGGTGCGCTGGCCGGACCCGTAGGCCAAGGTCGACGATCAATAGCCGCCGAGATAAAACGGACAGAGAGACGGAAACACCACTTGACAACACCATCAGCGTCCTTTTGATGGAATCACAATGTCATTTTCGAAACGAACCGCTCTGTGGAAGTGGGACATGAGAAAAGACGGCGGCTGCTATGCCACCAAACGGCTAGAAGAAGATACATTCAAAGGATATCGAGTCAGTTGACAGCGTAAGCTGCAAGTGAAAGCAAGAGCATGTAGGCAGAGTGATATATACACAATTCGACAAAAAGGAATATGAGTTACACCTTCCAAGACGGGAAGAAAACAGCAATGTTTCCTCGCTTTTATGCTGAGGAAATCAACATTGTATGAAGAACAGAACAAAAAAAGGAAAAGAAGAAAAGGAGACAAGACGAACACAACCACGTCCGTTCTAACGCTCATCGTGGGCCGGCAGCTCCTCAACCTGCCGCGGGTATGCAGACAGCTCAACGAGTGGCTGCTGCCCGTCGGGGTACGACTTGGTGCCGCTGCTGTTGGCGGCATAGACACCAGCAAGGCCGCCGTTGCCAGGCGAGTTGGACATTGGCGTGCCCCCCGTCGTGCTGTGCGGAGAAAAGGGCGTGCCCGTGTTGTTCATGTGCGTCGCATCGCCGTAGCCACCCGCTGCGCCGCCGCCTGGACCGCCAGCGTTGTGGACAGGTTGTGCCATGGCCATGCCGGGCGGCGCGGTGCCGTTCATAAACGCCTGCAGCTGCTGGTGGCGCTTGCGGCGCTCGTACAGCGCCCAGGTCGCAAACGTGGCGGCCACGACGCCCAGCGAGACGCCCACACCGGCGCCGACGGCTGTAACGCTGGGCGAGGAAGACTTTGCATTCGACGAGGAGCCGCCCGAGCTGTCGGGCGAGGCAGCGGACGAGCAAGAAGCCGCGTCCGAGGCGGAGGCGGCCGGCACGCTGCTGCTCGACGATGCCGACGCCCCATTGGTCTGCGTGGTGTTGGCCAGGATGGCGACGCCAAACATGAGCTCCGACGCGCCCAGCACAAACATGTCTTCGCTGTTGGCACACGCAATGTTGCCATTCTTGACGGCCAGTGGTCCGCAGCAGTACAGCGGCGACCCGGCATTGCTGGACGTGCCCGTCCAGCTGATGGGCAGTCCGCCCTTGGGATTGTCGTTGATGCCGGCACACTTGGCCGGGCAGCCCGGACCCCAGGCGTTGTCGGTGCAGCTGCCGCGCGAAATCAAGTACGGGGACTTCTCGGCACTCATGCAGTAACCCGTGGACAAGCAGGCGCTTCCGGCGTTGCAGCAGTGGGTGGTGCCGGTGTCGGCGCAGGGGAAGTCGCCGGACGAGACGGAGCCGTCGGGGAAGTAGCAGGTGCGCTTCGAGGCGGCACCAGCAGCGGCAGCCGACGAGGCGAGATGAAGGAATACGAGGACGGTGGCAGCGATGGCCGCATGCCTTGACGGTATCCGAAGACGAGCCATTGCGTGAGAGGAGTCGGAGAGAGAGAGTCGGAGACGAACAACACAAACGGAAGGGCGGAATCAAATAAAGGGTCCAATCGATGCCGTTGACGACAGACGCTAGATGAAAGGCGAAAAGAGCGTGACACGACACACGAGAAACGGTTAGCGGGCGATGGACATTGCCAAGAGCCGAATTTGATTGTGTAGACAACGGTTGACGGGCCGGTGATATTGCGAGGCTGAAAAAATACGACTTTACTACTGTCGATTCGATGCGCCGCGTATTGGTAGACGATCCGCGATGTCAACAAAATAACAGAGAAGATAGAAGGAACAAAGAGAGAGACCACTGGGATAGAGTTCAAAAAAATAAAGGAGCAGATATTCTGTATAAGGGGGAAGGAAACAGGACACCGACCACACAAGACACAGATGGGGAACAGACGGGGGAGTTAACGGACAAAACGGACATGGAGTCCGGTCAATGATTGACACTGAGGGCAGGGAATAAGGCCCAACTTTAATCAGACAGAGAACAGAGCATGGCAAAGCATGGCAGAGAGGCCTATACGGCGGTTACGCATCCTGGCATCCAAGAGCCGTTGAGCCGTTCTGGCCTTGGCATCCATACATCGTAGAGGTGAAGGTTTGCAAGATCCACGTCGTCGCCTCGGCACCCCACTTTAAGTCTCCGCCATGCCATGCTGGCCGCGCGCGGCTTGTTCATGATGCTTGTCCCACACGAAAGAAATGGAACCAAACCTGGGCCAAAACTGAGATTGGGCAGGGGAAACAAGGATCAACGCGCCCTGCGACATCAAGTGGAGGTGACTGGAGACGAACAGAACAGAAAAGAGTGACTAAAGACAGATCAGATGCAGAAGGAGGCGCAGATTGTGCAGTGTACAGAGCAGTGGACAAAGTCTTGCTTCGATAGATTGGCTTTTCTTGAAATCCAACAGAGACGTACGCCATACAGATGAAGCGGTTCCTGATACTCGCACCCAATTTAGTAGCTCTTGTAAATGACAAACGCCGTACTGAATAGATAGAGAGTGCATCGTATGACGTACTTCCTGGAGAGATAACTCCCAACGATAATCACCTTCGACCTGCACTTCTGCGCCCTTGTTTCTTGGCCGAACGTAGACGCACTCCGTATTCCTCGTTTGTTCATCCACTTTCTCCAACACGACAGTTTTCTCATTCACAACCGGGAAAGAGAGTTGGAAGAAGAGTGGACAGGAGCGGAGAAGTCATGATTGAAGCGGAACCCCTGCAGCACCGGGAGGATCGCCCCAGCAGACGCGAGTGGCTGTTATTGGCCGGGATGGGCAGAAGGATTCACCACCGTGACTTGAGGACAATGGCTGCAATGTACCTGCAACACCTGGATGAGAGGAGGATGTAAGGACCTGGAGAAAGGGGAGAGGGGCTCAGGGGCAAGCAAACTGCGCCAGAAATATTGTCGCATTTGGATTGCGTCTGGTTTGCATAGAATTGGCGGTTTTCAAGACGCAACTTGATGTGGAGGATCAAAATCAAATGGGTTGGGGCAACTTAACGACGAAGGATTGCGATGATCCCTGGATCCGTCTCGAGGGCCAATTATTTTACCTAACCTGCAACTCAGGGGTTAACGTCCCGTTTGGCAATAAATCCTTCAGACCACTACCAGACTGCGACATGAGGAATTGCGACGTTTTCTTTTTCTTTTTTTCACTTACATGCCCAAGAGAGAGGATTCCGTCACCATGTTGCAAATTCTGGTTGCATTTGTCAACGAAGCACGGACTGCACCTCTCAAACAATCCTCCTCCAATTTTACCTCGATGGCTGTTTATGTGGCATAAGAACCTGACTTGGACAATGAAACGGACCAATGAGTTCTCTTCGAGCAAGATGTATGAAGTAATGACAGGATGAAGGAGAAGAATATTGACACAGAAAATACCTGTCAATAATACCAAATAAAATAACGGCGCCAAGTCGACCATAATCCGCATGTCCCATACAGCTTTAAGCTTAAATGAAGAGGAAAAAGTGTTGGGGGCGAAACAGCAAGTGAGGCTCCAGTCACCTTGTTACCTTTTTCAGTACGTTAAAACTCGAATGCCGTGCACGTCTCCTCGTAGGGCAGAGCTTTCACACTTAGTCTTGGCTTTTGGTTCACCAAGTAGCAACAATTCTTACAGGCTGTAAATTCACAGACTAATCCAGGAGCTATCTAAGCAAGCTGTAAATACAACTGCAAATACAACTCACTATTCACATATTCAGATTACGGACACTTCTCGGCCTTGGTTGTTGTGTTCTTTCTCGATCTGGGAATCACCACATTGCTGGACGTTGCCAAGAAAGACAATAAAATGTCTGTGATTCTCGAGTTGCGATCGGACTAATAACGCCCGCCTTACGACTAATACTGACACAAGCAAAAATCAGGGCTAAGCTGCGACCAGAGCTCAAGCGCCTTGGGAGCCATGAAGATCGGAGCTCGCGCGAAACAACTGCCGATTTTGTACGTCCAGATTGTCGTAGTTGCAGAGTACGACCTGGACGCTGAATACGTTGTTGAATGTCCAACAAACTCCGTGAATCATTGTATCACAGCATTCGATTTTCGTTATTCATTTGGCCTCGCGTTGTATTTTTTTTTTTTTTTTTTTTTTTTTTTTTTTTTTTAATAAAATTTTTGGAAAAGAGAAAAGAGAAAAATGAAGCGAAATATTTAAATTTCACGTGAACTTCATCGACCCCGCCCCCTTACCCTCCCCCAACACAAACACATTACTTTACGTCCATCTTGTTGGCCTATTACGTTCAACACAATAAGAAAATCTTCATTACGAGGCGGGACAATGGTTCTCCCATGTCGTAGAACACGTTCCTCAAAGTGCACTTTAGAGTGGACAACAAGGCAGACATGACGTTGGTCACTAGGCCGACCACGAAAGGGCAGGTGCGACCGGCCCTCGCGCCGTCCAAGTTGCCGGCCGTCGACAGACGCGCCGTACATCGTTCTTTCCGCAACTTTTAACTCTTAAATGCGTTCTTTCCTTTCCTGTCCTTTACTTTACCTCATGCGACTTCACATCAGCATCCACCCCCTTTCTTCTCGCTCTCCCTCACCGCCACACCATGTCGTACGATATCGACGTCCTCATCGTCGGCGCCGGCCCCACGGGCCTCATGCTCGCCACCGAGCTCACCGCGTTCGGCGTGTCGCTGCGCATCGTCGACAAGGCCCCCGTCCGCTCCGACAAGAGCCGCGCCATTGTCGTGCAGAGCCGCGGCCTCGAACTGCTGGAGCGCCACGGCCTCGGCCGCGCTCTCGTGGCGCGCGGCACCCTTGGCGAGGGCATCGACATCCACGTGCGTGGCCGCCGCGCGGCGTCGCTCAACATGCGCGACTTGGACTTCAAGGACACGGCGTTTTCGGATACGCTGCTGGCGTCGCAGACCGACACAGAAGACCTGCTGGAGACGCACCTCCTCGCCAAGCTGGGGCCCGGCCACCGTGGCATTGAACGGCCGGCCACGATCCGGTCGATTGTGGCTGACGAGGACGGTGTGAATTTCGAGCTCGTGCACGGCACCGAGGATGACGAGGGTGGCGCCCAGGGCGCCCAGGGCACCACCGAAAAGCTGCGGTGCCGGTACGTCGTCGGCTGCGACGGCGCGCACAGCAGCGTGCGCCACGCCGCCGACATTGCCTTTGAAGGCGATGCCTACGAACAGTCCTTTATGCTCTGCGACGCCCACATCCGCAACTGGCCCGGCCGGACGCCGGGCCGCGCACAAATGTTCTGGGACAAGGGCTTCATGGCGCTGCTGCCGTACGCCGAGGCCAAGGGCATTGTGCGCCTCATTGCCTGCCACCCCCTGCCCGCCGATGCCTCGGCCGAGGCCCGCGCGCAGCAGGAGCAGCCGACGCTCGAGACGTTCCAGCGGTTCTTTGCCGACACGGCGCATTTCCACGGGGACGACATGCCCCAGCTGTGCGACCCGATCTGGGTCACGGCGTTCCGGCTGCACCACCGCGTCGCCGCCGCCTATCGCTCGGGCCGGCTGCTGCTGGCCGGTGATGCGGCGCACATCCACAGCCCGGCGGGCGGCCAGGGCATGAACACGGGGCTGGGCGACGCCGCGAACCTGGGCTGGAAGCTCGCGGTCGCCGTACGTGCTGCGCGTTCCGGTCGCGCCACCACGGCAGGCACGCTGGGCCAGACGGACGCTCTCCTGTCGTCGTACAATGCCGAGCGGCGGCCCGTCGGCGTGACGCTGCTCAAAACAACCGACACCATGTTCGTTGCCGCCACCACGGCCACGCCCTTTTACGTCTGGCTGCGCAACAACGTCGTCCGCTGGATCGCGCCGCTCGTCCTGTGCGCCCGTCGCCGCCGTGAACACATCATTGGCTCTATGAACCAGCTGCGCGTGCGCTACCGGCGGAGTCCCGTAGTGGGCGTGTCGCCGGGCTGGACGGGTGTGGTCCGCGGCGGCGACCGGGCGCCCGACGGTAAAGTCGTTGCGGCCGGTGCTGCGACGGACGACGTGTCACATCTCCTCGAACACCTCTGGCAGGGCGGCCGGGGCATCACGTCGTACCACTTGCTGCTGTTTACGGGCACGCCGTCGTCGTCGTCGTGGTTTTCCTCGGCTGCGTCCAGGGCCGCTGCAGCGTCCGCCACAACCAAGGCTCTTGTCACCGCAGCAGAAAACGCGGCCAGGACCCTTGTTCCGGCCGGTCTCGACGCTACCGTCGCACACATTGTTGCCGGCTCGTCCGCGCAGGCCCAGGCGTTTGTCGAGCAGGAGCAGCGGAATGTGCTGATCGACAAGGATGCCTACCTGCACGGTCGCTACGGGTTTGGCCGTCGGCCAGGTTACGCGCTGGTGCGCCCGGATGGACATGTCGAGCACGTCGGCTGGCTAACGAGTCTGTCGGAGCTGCCCGCGTGGATGGACGATCGTGACGCGGCAGCAGCGGCTACAAAATCGAGTCGATCCTGGTGGAAGTGGTGGTAGATTATGATTGTTGACGGTGTTGCTTCACATGTTTTATCGCTATAATACCACTCTTCTTCCTTGCTATCAAATTTTGAAAGCTTTGCGACAGCCCACGGATTCTCCAAGGGACACAATTCACTCCTCTTTTTCTGCATCGTGACATATACCAAGCAATGATGAAGAGTCCGCTTGCGCGCCTCCTGAAACGAGACCACCATAGCTTAACCTAAATTTCGACGGGGAACGACATACAGAAATGCAAAGGCTTACAGGAAAGTCTGCCTTATTTCGTACAATGCAGAGCTCGCCGGGCGGCATTTGCCGAGCCATAACAATGTGGGAGATTACGAATCTATCTGAAAAAAGAAAATAACAGGAAAACAACCCGTATTCAAGCCAATGCGACGACATAGAAACATAGACCGTCCTAAACAAGCCACGAAATTCAACGGTCCAAACAACGGACAGAAAAACGCAACGCAAACAAATGCGCCGATCTTCTTCCAACACGTACGTGGACCAAGCTCCCTCGTTTCGCCAAGGTAGCCGAAAGCAGCAACGGCTATCATTGCTCGTCGAGGGAGGGCGCCAAAACGACTCAGCCCACGGCATGTGTCGTCCGTACGATAGGGCCGTGGCTCGCCGCCCAATCGCGGTGTTGTCCTTCCCTCCCTTTCATTGCGATGCTCTCTTTTCACACAAAATTGCCAGCCCAAAACGACGACAGGGCGACGGCGCCTGACTCGACCGCCCCCCATCTGCTATCAGCCCCATGAATTTGCCGTAGACCCAAACAAGCAACGTCCCACCTTTCAGCCGCAGCTTGGCGGGCCAGACACCGATAAACCGTTTTTGTTTTCTTGGACACTATTTTCGTGCCACACCAAATCAAGGGCGTTTTGTTTTTGTTGTGGACCCCCCTGCCACAAAACCAACAGAAACGTCGGCGCAGGCCACAAGACACAAAAACGCGGCAGCAATGGGAGGTCAGATGCCTCAATATTGAATAACGAAACTATTGGACTCAGCCGTTGCTTATTTTGACCAACAGGCGATCCCAGAGTGTGGTCGATCGTTGTTGGCATGAAATGAGAAAGCTTTTCTGTTTTGTTTTACTTTTTGGGGAAGAGCGAGTTTACAGAAACAAAGAAATAGTATTTTGGTCGGTCTGACGTATTTGCAGGGCGTCTGAGGCTCTGGAGTGTTTTATGTAAAGGATAGGATAGGCGAAATAGGATCGTCTTCAGAGTTTAAGAAAAGACCGAGAGAAAAGGGAAGAGAAAACAGTTCGCAAGAAAAGATGCAAAAACCAAAAGCTAAAACAGAGATCTCATTCCACACGTCCCCGTTTGCAAAGTGGTATCAAATTAATTGTGGTGCAGGGAGCATCACATCCCAATGGCAAAGCGACAGGCAAGAGATTTACTGAGGAGCCGGAGCCGCAGCCGGAGCCGGAGCAGCAACGGGCGCGGCCGCCGGGTAGGCCATGCCGCCCTCGGGCTGGTACTGCTGCTTGACGCCAGCGTTGCCCTGGCCGGCGGCGTCGCGGGCCGTGACCTCCTTCTCGTCCTGGGTCAGCACGCAGAGCGCACAGCAGCACGAGGCGGCAATGTCGACGATGCAGTTGCCCTCGAGGTTGTACTTGGAGCGAATGTCGGCGCGCTGCAGGGACATGGGGATCCAGTGCAGACCGAAGCAGGCACTGCCGCAAAGCAGGAGGCACTGTGTTGTCAGGTCAGTTTTGAAAATGAGAGTGAGAGAGAGAGGTATTCGTCTGCCAACAGGGCCGACGTACCGAAGTGTTGATGGGCTCGTAGCCCTGGAGAGAGCCATCCTTGTGGAGACGGTGATGGGTCTTGCCAAAGGTGACGCAGGGCAGGCAGTAGGTGATGAGGCACAGGTCGATGGGGCTGCAGCAGCCGAAGAAGGCCTCGCTCCAGGACTGGGCGCCGTCGGGCGACCGCTGGTTGATGTGGTCGGCAGGGCGGGCCAGGACATCGTTGAAACGCTGCTTCCACTGTTCGACGTCCTTGTCGTTGACAGCCATTTTGTTGGTGGTGAGGCTGGTGATGCGGACGAGAAGAGGGTATTAAGAGGTGGCGAGTAGAGACGAGTAAAATTGGGTATCAAAAATAAGTATCGTTGAAGAGAAATGGGAAAAGAGCGACGAGAAGTGGTTGGACGAAGAAGAAGAAGGGGGAAACGAGAGACAACACAGCAGGCTGGGATGGGCTGGACAGGTATTTATGGCTTCTTGGGCCTCGTTTGAGACAGAGCAGAAGAACGCCCTGGCAGGATACCCAATACGGAGAGAGATTGCACACTGCAAGCCACAGACATGACAACACGGAGCATGTGGGCATATCGTTGTCTTGGACCCCAGGCCGATGTCCCAGATACCATGCAAACCACGCCCATGCAGCCCAAGCCCAACGTACCTGATTCTTTCACCCGTCTCCAGGCACGTTAGCCTGCCCCATCTTCTCTTTTTCTGTTTCTCTTGCTATCCCTTTTCTTTCCTGGACCAACGACAAGCTGATATCACGGACCAATGAGCATCTTCTGCCTAGCGAGACCGTTTTCATGCCAGATCAAATCCCAGTTTCAGCCGTTCTCCAGTTTCCAGTCTCCAGTCTTCTCAGGGTCGTGCGCTAGGCAGGCTCCAGGTTCAATGACAGACAAAAGGGCAGCGGTCCTTACAAAGCCTGCCGTTGTGCTTCTCCTCGTGATGAAACAAAAAATGCGCCTTGTCCTAGCAATGCCGGGTGGAGCCCCAGCCGGTGTTGGTGTTAGTCCAGGCCCACTCGTCGAAAGGTCAACGTGAAGGACCAGACGGGTTTTGCATCGAGGCAGTTCTTTTACGAGGAAATGCACAAAATAGAGATTGTGCGGTTTAGATATAATGAATGACAAGGAGATATTGAGAGAAAAAAAAAGAAAAAAAAAGTAAAATGAACGAAAACAAAATACGTCGTAGCTTTCCTTACAACGAGCGTGTAAATACACTTTGTTGACGACTTCTTCCCTGCCGGTGTTGATTTGTACAGTTTTGGTTATTCTTTTCCTTCAGCCCTGGATCCTTCTTGCCCGGATACTTTAGGTCCTAGGACGGAACAACACGACAAGACAGTTGCTCCCTCACAACCGCACACCATCGGGGCTCGCAAGTCGAGGTGCCCTGTGCTTCGCTGGGTGTAATGATTGGATCCAAAACGCCACAGAGTCACAGGCAAGCAGGACAGGGGTTGCCAGGAAGAGTGAGAACACGTCCAAGGAAAAGTGTTGGCGTCGTCCGGGCACGAATTGGGCTTGGTTTAACCTACCACAAGATAACTATGTTTTCTTGCCTTGAATTATCCATCTCACTCGAATGACATGTCCGACGACATGATGCAATGTAGACCTTCCGCCGGCTTCAGTGACACCACCCAAGGGACAATGCCGCAACATAAGTCTCTTACCTCTCCATACGACGTGGTGCATGCGGCAGTTGACTAGTGGTTACCGCTATGAGCGGCGCTAAACAAACACAAGCGAAATACGTGGTATTGATGTACGGGGCATGAAAAGGAGAAAAGGTTCAAGGGTAATTACAGAATAAGGGCCAGGCAAAAACATGCAAAAGCCTGTGAAAATCCCCGTCCGACGTCGAAATTAATATGGGCCAGCCCTGCAGAGGGCTGAGTGGGCTGAAACTACCGCCTACCGAAAATAAAGAAATTGCCAAACAGCCAGAATAGGAGTTCCATGCGTTGTGGAGAAGAAACTGTCGGCGTGAGAAGCCTAAACAGAGGGACTTTGTGATGGCATGCCACGACTGCACGACTACTTTTGAATTCCAGGAATTGGATCGCCTCAGCAAGCGAAAAGCGTTTGAAACAGGCACTATAGGAAAGAAGCTCAGGACTGAAGGAGGGGGGATAGAACGGAGTAGCGAATAAAAATAAATAGACAGAGACAACGCCCAAATTTCAGGTGCATGCTGGGAAATTAACAAAGACGTTGACTGCCGGGGTCGAGCCAGCTTGGCGGCAGTGTGGACGGACGCCGCGGAATGACTGGCGGAATCTGCACACTTTCTTGGGACGCTGTCGGCCAATGTGCACGAAGGTTTCCCCATTCTTTTCTCACTTCTCTGCCTCGCTGCCGCACAGTCCGCCGTCTTGGCGCCGACGAGTATTTTCTGGGAATAATTTGTTCCTGAATTGTTTTTTTTTTATTTTTTTTTTTTTTTTTTTTAACCCTTCCCAGTGTTCGTCAATTCATTTCACTGAACGTTATGTTTGCGTCTCACCTGCGTTATTCTCGATCCATCTCCCGTCTCCCCTGTCCTCTCGCTCTCTCGTTCTTTCGTTCCTTCGTTCCACGGCCAATCAACAAATAGCGTTGACGCCCTGTACAGAATGTCAACAGCGAACTGCGGGTAAATTGTTACCAGGAATGCAACACCGTACTTCGTATGCCGTACATCGTGACTTGATACCAAAATAGGAAATGAGATATTTTTCCTGATGCCGCATTGGTAACAAGAGCCTCATCTTTTTCGGCGAAAGATTTTGCCTTGCCCCTGGCGGAGAAGTCTAGGCAGCTGTATGTCGCACAGCCCTCACAGGCCTCCACGTGTGTCTGGCACGTTTGAGCATGTGCGATGCATGCACCGATTCTTGTTCATACTTGGCATGTCTTTTGTTAATTGCGGCCCCTTTTGCAAGGCGTTCTGGCGGTGCCAAGGTGATTCCGTTGTCTTGTGGAAGCGGAACTACGAGGATTAATTCACCGCGGTATTCCGCTTCCGCCATTGTCAGCGAATGTGAATTGCGTGAGAAGAATTCGAAGGAGTAATCACCAAGTTAATGTTCCGCAGCGGACCAGGCGGGCCAGGCAGACTCACTGGCTTTCGGGTCGACTGTTGACGCCGTCTGCCGGCCTCCGGAGTAGACTGTCCCCCGAGCATACCTTGGCCGTTATGCCAGACACCGCTGTCGACTTCATGCTAGCTTCTCGCTGAAGAAAAAAGACGAGTTAGGCGCCCCAGCATCGTTCCCTCTTCCAGCACGGCAGCTGGCACCACCTGGCAGACAGATGACAGACGCTTTTGGCCGGTTTCCACGATACTGATCACGATCGGCCGGGGCAGCTCGGTGGGACCGTGGACGGAACCGGGGCATCTAATACGGCTTCAGGCTGTGTGTTGATACCATAGGAACGACCGGACAAAATCTCACCTTCAGATTCCCCGTGACTTATACGGCTCGAATGATGTTCGTCTCTTGCGCTAGATGACATGAACGTGCGATGCTGACTGTTCTTCATCTGGTTGTTGGAGCACAAAGTTGCCTTGCTGACAAGATGTATCTCTGTCATCACTTTAGTACAATTGTGGCTCTACATCCCATTTTACGTGACTTGTTGCTTTCGTAATCGAGCATTCGCTTTTTGGTCATTTATCAATACGCTATGGAGCGATTTGCGCCCTTTCTGTTTACTTGTATGGTCGCATTCTGTGAACCTTGTTTGTTCATTGCCTTGCATCACATACCAAGGCAAACCACCAAGCACTCATACTTTAAACCTCCTTGTGACTCGTCTTCCTCAATACGATAGAAAGCGTCTGCCTCTGCAGTCGTTTAGCATGGCGCACATCAAGACAAAAATCTTAGTCCTCTCAGACACACACGGAGAACGATTTCCGCCTGGACGCCAACCACCGACGGGTGTTGATGTGGTTATCCACTGCGGCGACCTGACCGAAGAGTCGAAGGTGGCCGAGTTCCGTGCGACGCTCGGCCTCCTCAAAGACCTCGGCGCACCGCTCACTCTGGTAATCGCCGGTAACCACGACTTTACTCTAGATCTACCCGCCTTCCACCGCAAGGTGTCTGAGGCCGGGCTGACGACGGAACCCGAGCTCGTGGCTCGCGAATATGGCCGCGACGGCGAGGCGCGCCAGCTCTTTGAAGGCGCGCGTGTGTCACACAACATCCACTTACTCGATGAGGGCACACACCACTTTACACTCGCCAACGGCGCCTCGCTGACGGTATATGCCAGCCCCTACACATGCTCACTCGACGCCGATTGGGGCTTCCAGTACCGTCCCGAGGACGCACACGATTTTGCCATTGCCGCCGGCACCGACATTGTTCTGACGCACAGCCCGCCCGAGGGCGTGCTGGACCGCATGGCATCGCAGAAACGAGGTGGCCTGCCCGAGCTCTTCCGAGCCGTGGCACGCGCCCGACCGCTGCTGCACTGCTTCGGGCACGTGCATGCCGGCTGGGGCGCCAAGCTTGTGGCCTGGCGGGAGGCAGAAGCGACGAATGCCAGTACAGCATCCCATTTTACGGCGATCGACCACGGCCGATCCACCATGCTCGATACGCTGCAGAGTGTCCGGCGCGGCAGGCTGGACGACGATGCGACGGCCGCGACCAAATCCCGGCGCCTGGCTGCATTTGCAGAGCAAGGATGCCGACCGACAAGCCATGTGGCTGGCGGCGATCTCGCTGTCGACGCAGCATCGCGGACGCATACCCTGTTTGTCAACGCTTCTATCAAGGGCGATGAAGAAGAGCCCTTCTACCTACCGTGGCTGATCGACCTCGATTTGCCCGGCATCATACTGCCGTAATATATAATGTACAACAACACGAAATAGATATTCTGAAACATAATATGGAGGCACAATTACAGCACATGTGTTGCACGAGAAAGGATGCAAGACACCAGGTGAACGTTATTTAATTACTGCCGTTTATTTCTGGGTTAGCTGCACGTGACCAACCTTTACCCACTCATACTAGCGATAACGGCGCTAGTGGTGACCCGCATCGACAACTTACAACGGAGCTTCACGTCATAATTTTCTGAGCACCTTATTCATTTTTTTTTAGCAATGCCGACGACTTGCGCCCCCACCGAATTGCGACCACACCTTTCGTTTGGCAGCAATTTGCATTACTGCAACACAACCGCCCACCCATCCCAGTCCACGCAATGGTCAAGACCCCTGTGATTGGCCTTCTCGGCGGCGGCCAGCTCGGCCAGATGCTGTGCGAGGCGGCGGCGCCGCTCAACATCCCCGTGGCCGTGCTCGACGCCGAGGACGCACCGGCCAAGCAGATCAACCGCAACAAGAACCACGTGGCCGGCTCCTTCAAGGACGCCAGCAAGATCCGCACGCTGGCGGCGCACAGCGACGTGCTGACGGTCGAGATTGAGCATATTGACACGGACGTCCTCGAGGCGATTGCGACCAACGGCGCGACGCCCGGCACGACGCCCGTCCCGGTGCACCCGTCGTGGAAGACGCTGCGGCTGGTGCAGAACAAGTACGAGCAGAAGGAATACCTGGCGTCCAAGGGCCTGCCGGTGGCGAAGCAGGTGGCCGTCGCGACCGGCCGCGGCATGCGCGCCTCCATGGAGCAGGCGGCGGCCGCCTTTGGCTACCCGTTCATGCTCAAGGCGCGCAAGGACTCGTACGACGGGCGCGGCAACTTCAAGGTGGGCACGGCGGCCGACCTGGACGCCGCGGAGGCCGAGTTTGGCCACGTGGCGTGCTACGCCGAGAAGTGGGTGCCGTTTGTCATGGAGCTGTCGGTGATGGTGATCCGCACCGAGGACGACGGCGCGCCCGGCGTGACCAAGCAGCTGCTGCCGTACCCGGTGGTCGAGACGGTGCACGAGGACAACATCTGCTCGTACGTGTACATGCCGCCGCGCGGGCTGGCGGGGGCGCGTCGGCAGCAGCTTTCCCAAAAGGCACAGGACGTGGCGTGCCGCGTCGTCGACCAGCTCTGGGGCCGCGGCGTGTTTGCCGTCGAGCTGTTTTTGACGGCCGACGACGCGGTTGTCGTCAACGAGATTGCGCCCCGCCCGCACAACTCGGGCCACCTGACCATCGAGTCGATCCCCTACATGTCGCAGTTCAAGGCCCAGCTGACGGCCATCCTGGACCGCCCGCTGCCTGCGACGCTCGAGCCGCACGTGCAGTCGGCGCTGATGATCAATGTCCTGGGCGGCGCCACCCCGGATGCGCACGAGGCGCTGATCGAGGCCGCCCAGTCGACGTTTGCCCCCGGCCTCGGCGTCTACGTGCACATGTACGGCAAGGCGGCCAAGCCCAGCCGCAAGATTGGCCACATTACGCTGACGGGCACGAGCCTGTCGATTGCCGAGCTCGAGCAGGCGGCCACACCGCTCATCCGCCTGTCCCAGGCCATCCGCGACGAGCGCCTGCAGGCGCCCACCAAGGCCCTGCGGCCGGCCGCGGCGCCTGCGACCGTCCCGACCGTCGCGCCCGTTGTGCCTGTCGCGTCTGTTTCGTCTGCTGCACCTGCGTCTGCGCCGTCCGCCGGCGTCGCCGCCCACCCGCTGGTCCTCGTCACCATGGGCTCCGACTCGGACCTGCCTGTGCTCAAGGCCGGCATCGACGTCCTCGACCAGTTTGGCGTCCCGTGGGAGGTCGACATCACGTCGGCGCACCGCACGCCGGCCAAGATGGGCCAGGTGGCCACGGACGCCGCCGCGCGCGGCATCAAGGTGATTATCGCGGCCGCCGGCGGCGCCGCCCATCTGCCCGGCATGCTGGCGGCGTACACGCCGCTGCCCGTCATTGGCGTTCCCGTCAAGGCGACGCACCTGGACGGCATGGACAGCCTGCTGAGCATTGTGCAGATGCCGCGGGGCGTGCCGACGGCGACCGTGGCCATCAACAACTCGACCAATGCGGCGCTGCTGGCGATCCGGATCCTGGGCGTGTTTACGCCGTCGCTGCTGGCCAAGATGGAGGCGTACCAGCGGGACATGGAGCAGCAGGTGACGGACAAGGCGGTGCGGCTGCGCAGCATTGGCGTGGATGCCTACCTCAAGAAGTAGACCACGTTTGCGCTTTAAAGATAGACTCCTTTGTTGATCATTTGTCGTTTGTATTCCAACATATACTTTTCTACAGCGCATCATGAATCTATCCGCCTCTATCGTCTATCACACGGCACACGCCTAGCCATGACCCAATACGTACAACACGCCACCTTACGCGTCCTTACACGTCCGCCGCGTCAAAGTTGCGCACGAGGTTGTAGTAGAAGCGCACCGCCTCCATGTGGCCGTCTATGTGCATTGCCTCGTCAATGGCGTGCATGTTCTGGAACGACGTCGGGCGCAGCGGATCCCACCGGAAGACGTTGCGCGTCAGGCCCAGGTATGAGCGCGTGTCCGTGTTGCCGTTCATAATGTCGCCCACCGGCACGACACGGCCGCCGTCAAAGGCAAACGTGTGCTGGATCGTTCCCGAGAACAGGTCCCAGACAGGGCCGGTGGTGGGCGTGATGGGTGCCACGGGGAGCTCCATGGGCGCCGTCACGACGAGCGAGGCGTCGTAGTCGACGTCGTACTGGGCATGGACCGCGCCGTCGGCGCCTACAACGGATGCAGCAGTGTCAGTATCAGCCGCGGCCCCCTTGACCTCCTTGACCTCCTTGACCTCCTTGCCAAAGGCCGTCAGCGCAATGTTGTACTTGGCGACAATGGGCTGCAGCAGCTCGACGGTGCGCTGCTTGACGGTGTCGAGCGACTCGTGCGGCGCCACGCGGTAGTTGACGCCAATCTCGACCTTTTCGGGCATGGCGTTGATCTTGAGGCCGGCATGGATAATGTCCACGGCCTGCGACGTCTGCAGGCGGAACTTGAGCATCGGGTCGTAGCTGGCGAGCAGGTCGGCGAGCGCCGCCAGCTCGTTGTTGGCAACCAGTCGGGTCACGTTGCGGTCCGCGTCGGGCGAGTAGCGCGCGCGGCACACGTAGTTGTTGTGCAGCGGCGAGCCCTCGACCAGCTTGGGCGCGTACGCGTGCGCCTCGAGAGCCGCCACGATCTCGGCGGCGATGCCAATGGCCGTGTGCGGCAGCGGCGTGGACGAGTGGCCGCCGCGGGCGCGCAGCTCGTAGAAGACGTTAATCTGCCCCTTCTCGGCGACGGCCGGCAAGGCAAAGAGCGTGTCCTCGTCGCCATCACCGCGGCCCTGGACCAGATCAAGGCCCGAGCCGCCCTCGTCCAGCAGCAGCACCATCGAGTCGCGGCCGTACACGGCCTCCAGGTGCTTGTTAATCGCACCCGCACCACGCTCGCCCAGCGACTCTTCGTCGCAGCCAAAGGCAAGAATCAGCGTGCGGCGCGGTGTCCAGTCCTCGTGTGCGAGGAGGGCCTCGGCCACCGACAGCAGCGCCGTCACGCTGCTCTTGTCGTCGGCAGCACCGCGGCCCCACAGCCAGGTGCCGTCGAAGTAGCCTGAGAAGGGCGGGTGCGTCCAGGCAGACGGGTCGGGCACGGGCACGACGTCCTGGTGGCCCGTGAGCAAGATGGGTCGCAGGCTCGAGTCGGAGCCGTTGATGCTGAACACCAGGCCGTACTGGTTGATCTTGGTGACGGTCATATGGCGGTGCACGACCGGGAAGAGCGCCTCGAACACGCGGTGCAGGTCGGCAAAGACGGCCCAGCGCGGGTCCACGTCGACGTCCTGCATGTCGTCGTAGCTGACACTCGGCACGCGGACAGCTGCCGCCAGACGGTGCGCCTGGAGCTCGCGAGCCTCGGCACCCCCGAACAGCTCGTCGGCCGAGAGCAGTCCGTCGCTGGCCGGCGGAGCCACGGGCGGCGGCAGGTCACAGGTAAAGCGGTCGCTGTCTACGTGGTCACCACCGATGACGTGCTGGTGACTGGTCGAGTCATCGGAGTTGGAGGTTGCGAGGACGGCCGCGAGAGCAGGCGTTGCCGCCGATAGGAAAAGCAGGCGGAGGCCGTTGAACTTCATGTTGGCCGGTAGTTTAGTCGCTCAGTCCGATCCAGTTGGATGGGTTGGAAAGGATAGGAGAATTGGACTCAAAGAAGGCAGGCCGCGAGCAATAAAGAGCGCCGAGGAGGAAAGCGACTGGACCGGGGCAAGCTGGTCCGAACAAACAACGGCGTTCAGTTAAAACGGGAGGCTCTCCACTGGCGTCGGCTAGTTGCGCCAACGAGAAGCCGCGGTCGCGCTGTAAGCCGGTATCTCTTGCCTGTTTTGTCTGCCCCGGCGGCATGGCGTCGCCCTCGGGAAGGAACACCCTCCGCCCCTGACAAAAGCCCGCCCTAGCGATCGCCGGCCTTGAAAATACGCCCAAATAGGCAGCTGGTCGTGTATTATGTCGTCCTTGGCGATGGCACTAAGGAAACAGAGGATTGAGGCACCAGTTTGTCTCTGCTTGCCTTATCGATACACATGTCACGGATACCTGTCGTTTATATTGCTGCCGCGTCTTACAATTGGTTCCTCTTCTCGTCATGTTCTACTACGTGTCTGGTCGGAAAAGACACAAGACACAAGAAAGCTAGTTTCTGTTCACCGTAGAAATACACAAGTGCTGGCTGGGTGGGGCATATTTAAGAAAAAGAAGTAAAAAAAAAACAAAAAAAACCACAAACTTAAAAATAAAGAACAGAACAAACAGCTTTAAAGGTAAAATGTGCCACATTCCTATGCTACACATTTATTCTAAATATATTGGTGTACTCGCAACACCACGGATGGCCATCAAATATCCTTCAATGATTTTCATCTTGTTGCCTTGTGAGACAATGCCCGTGAGAAAATGCCGTGCACTCTGCATCTCATATTGCACAACAGGCATGGTTCATCGAAGCTGCTGTAGAACACGACATCGGTACGGGAAATCAGCTTCATAAAATGCGAATATGGAAGCGGGATACAGGATAAAGGCTGGCAAAAGCCGTCGAGTAATATGGGCCGCTCCCTCCCCTCTACCAATCATCCTGATATTTACGATATGATCATCAGCACTCTCGAGCTTCCGGACAAGATCACGAGCATCAAAAAAGGCCTCGTAGATATTTTCATTCACAAGTACTCTCCACATTTCCGCTGGACTCACCAGTTGTCCACCATGACCGACAGTCGCTTTACCGGCCCTGGCATCTTCTGGATCAGCTCCAATACTAACGACGAAGCTATCTTTCCCTACGATGACTTTGCCAGCTGGTACGAGGACGTGCACATCCCTGACGTCATCCATGCCGACCCATCGCAGCCGCTGCCCATGGCACGGCGCTACCAGGCGGTCTCCGCGACGGAGGCGCCGACAGCTACGCCTGGCGCCAACCCTTTCCTCGTCGTCTACAAGCTGCCAACACTTGCGTTTGTCGCCAGCGCGGCCTTTCGCGGCATCCCGCTGCGCCACGAAAGACTGCCCGACGGTGGCCCGATCGCACGGTTCGCATCGTTTCGCGGGCGGTTTGCACGGCACATCGGGTCGTGGGCGGGCGGCGGCAGCGCCACGCGGACGCTTTTGCTGTCGGAGGTTTTGGCGCTCGGCGAGGGCGAGCAGGACCAGCCGCCCGGCGACGCCAGGCCGCCCAGCTGGTATCACAACGCTTACATGCCACACGTGGCCGCCCTTCCGGGCTGGCAGCGTTCGACGCGCTTTGCAGTGGTGGTGGAAAACGAAATCGGGGGAGACAAGGCGCCGCCACCACCTGGCGTTGGCCCTCCGTCAACTCTGGCAAAAGGCAGGCCGTCTCGCTGGTTGACACTGCACGAGTTCGACGAGGCCAAAACAGATGTGAACGACGTCACGTCCGAGTTGAAGACATCGTTGATGGAAATGTTGAGTGTCGACGTCGGCTTTGTTGAAGTGTTGCCCTACCGCTTGGTGCGGACATACGGTGATGAGGCCGTGACATTTGCTGACGGCAACGAGGCTGTGGAGTGAGAGAGAGAGGGACTGAGGGAAGTGGGCATAGCTAGGTAGACCGAAAAATCCATGGGCGGAGAATATGGGCGCGGAGAAACATGTGGAGCCCAAAATGGGATAGACGGTAAGTTTGGACTGTGGAAGCGAGTGCATCGGGCGTCTGGCATCGGCCCAGTCGCAATGACGTGCGGCAGAGACCTGTCAACAGCTGATAAAGTTGGTAAAATAATGCGCTACAGGTGCCATGTAACGCCCTACGGGCACTATGGAGAGCTATAGCGGCCCACTAATTTAAGGCCGAACGGGAAAACCAACGATCTCAACTTTGGGCGTGTAGAGGTGGCCACAAAAATGGAGCGAAAAGTAAACAGAGCTTGGAGAAGGATGGAGAGGTTGGAGAGAAACAAGACGTATAACAGTCGGAATACGTAGAACGTGCCGAATAAAGAGGTTGAAAAAATCTTGAAAAGAAGAAGTAACAATAGGAAGTGAAGTAAAAAAAAAAAAGGAAAGAAAAACGGAGACTAGCTGCTCAAATCAGCCCCCTAAGTCCCCTAAGGCCCCCGGAGTGACACCTGAGATACAAAAATAGCACCCTTATAATTAAAGCACCCAAGCGCCTGGAGAGACACGTTGTGGGGGCTCCACGCCCTGCAAATGACATCACGAGACCACCCACCCACCTACGACAGTCTGCAACTGGTAGGAAAGTGACCGGAACGCTGCGTCGTGGCAGCCCTGCGTGCTGTCCCGTTTTGGGAATTGCGTGGGAGGATTGATTTCCAATTTCTGCCCCCTCCCTGATGTGACAGCAAAACATTCGCGAGAAGTCCATTTTGTGCCGAGCACAGCAACCTAAACGGCGCAGAGCAGCGACACGAAGGGAAAGACGGAATACGACCTCGCAACAGCAATCAGGGCTATCTTACCGCAGAAAAGGATGCAGGGTTCCCAATCTCGGTGTCTTGCAACCTTGGCACTTGAGGCTATATAGGTCAGCAGAGTTGAGCTGAAGACGTTCATTCTCAGAGTACGGCCACAGGAACGCTGTCCATCTCAGCGGAGGGCTCGTGGCCTTCGTCGTATACTATTTGACACTTCAAGCGACAACAGCATCAAACTTTGATATTCAAAGGCTGCGAACCCGTTCCCAGCATCCCGGATTCGACATTCTGAAACGAACCGACAGGCCGCGTCGTCCCTGTCGATCGCTGATCTTCACTCACACCGTCTCTGTTTCGCACCCGGCCCGACATGGGTGTACAACAAGACGGGCCGGGGCCTGCGTTGGCCGATACCGTCCCGTCCATGACCATCATTACTGGCCGTTTGGCCGCAACGACGATAGAGGAGCATGCCATGCCCACCTCCTTTCCCCGTTTCCCCGACCTTCCGACCGAGCTGCGCCTCAAGATCTGGAACCTCTCGTTTGCGCCCCGGGTCGTCGAGGTTCACCGCCGCAAGTCCCACTATGCCGACGACTACCATGCCGCCAGTGGCGGCCGGGGCAGCGCTGGTGCGGCTGGCCCGGCCTCGCTCGCCAAGTGGCAGTCCTGGAGCGCCAACCCGGCCGCCCTCGCCGTGTCGTACGAGGCCCGCTCCTGCGCCCTCAAGCACTACTCGGCCACCATCCGCCTGGCCGTCAACACGCCCTGCGAGCGCGCCGGCGAGGCCCGTCTGGACCTGCATCGTCGCCTGTACCTGGCGCCGCACGCCGACACACTCGCCGTGCTGGGCGAGTTCAACGTGGCCCAGACGGTCGAGCTGCTGCGGCACATTGCCAGCCAGACGGTGCGTGCCGGCGGGCGGGGCGGGCATGGGCATGGGCATGAGCATGGCAGTGGCCTCCGTCGCCTGGCCATGTGCGCCTCCTCCATTGGCCACCCGGGCTCTGGTATTCTGCTGCTGATCTACAGTCGCAACATCTTCCGCGACCTCGACCAGCTCGTCCTCTTCCTGTATGACGAGCGCATGCCGCCGGCCGACTGGCACGACGGGCACTGTGCACTGGTCGACTGTCGGGACACGTACACGTTCCGGCGGTTCCAGGCGGGCCAGGGCGCCGAGCTGCGGAGCCAGAGTGGCGGCGCCGGGTGGATGACCGTGGGCCACGGCCCGCTCGAGGTGCTGGACCTTGCTTTTGGCCGGGAGGCCGAGGCGGCATCAACGTCGTCATCTACGGCGACAACAACACTGACGACGCTGTCACACAAGTCCGGTGCACGGTTCAATGATGAAAGCGACCTCGACAAGCGGTTGCCGCATGTTACAACTTTTCCCGTGCAACCGGGCAACCTGGACGACGATGAGAGATGGGTACCGGTGGCGCCATGACGAATGAGTCATCAGCTGCAATTGGGCAGCAGGGTTATATTTGCTGCGATGGGGTATTTCTTTTACTTTTTCTTTTTTTATTTCGTCTCCTCGGTTGGATCATGTTTCCATTTCCATATATCCTTCCTGTTCACTCCTTTTCGAGCCTTTGTTATATAATGTACATATGTTGTAATGGAAATAAAATTTACAAACAACAAAAGAGACTCAACATGCCATGTTTTCAACACCATGGATTTGGTACAATGGATATGGCCTGTCCACCTGCCGCAAGCGCTCTTCCCTAGACGTGGACTCTACGTCTCCCCAACCCCCCTACTGCGCCAAGTAGTTGATGATCCGCTCCTGCACAATGCGGTTCGCCGCCGCCGCGCCGTGGTGCAGCGCCACCACCCCGATAATAGCATACAGGGTCGACGTCATCACCGTCGTGATGCCCGACCCTTCCAGGTTGTCCGGCATCCGCGGCTTCCACCGCACCACGCCTGGCAGGCCCACGTCGCGCGCCAGCATCGTCAGCTTTGCCGGCGTCGCGTAGTCGTGCGGCTGTGCCGTGCTCAGCTTGTCCACGTTGTCGAGGGCAGGGTGCGAGAACGGTTCGCGGCCGTAGGGATCCGCAAGCGCTGCATCTGCTTGTCCCGCATCAGCAACTCCCGCCGCCGCCGCCGCCGGCCGGCTCATAATGGCCCGCGTCGTCTCGGAGGCCAGAATCATGCGACCAAAAAACGCCAGCCGCGTGTTGAACCCACGCCGGCCATTGTCAAAGCTCTTGTGCGTGACGGCCAGCCACTTGAGCTCGTCCGGCAAGTTCCGAGCGAGCTGTGGGCCCAGCAGCTTTTCGTACATGCGGTCGAGGCGGGCCGGGTCCTCGTTGACGACCCAGACGGAGCGGCGCGGGTCCTTGGGCTGCTGGATGGAAAAGGGCGCCTTCATGCGCGCGGGGGTGTGGGCCCATCGTGGGCTGCTCTCGTCCGTCGTCGTCTGTGTCTGTCGTGGTATTGGGTCTTGCGTCGCAGACTCTGTGTTGTTGTTACGCTGCGTCGCGGAAAAGGCTCGCCGGCAGCACACTCCGGGCCTGGATGCGGCCGGCCAGGTGCTCGTGCTGCTCTGCAGCGCCCTTCTTGTTAAGGACATGAGTGCTGCGCATATGTAGGATATGTATGGCGTGGAGAGGCGTCGGCGACGGTGTGCAATGGGAGGAAATGTGGCCGCTCGTCGTGGTCGCCTGATGCTGGTCGTGGCTTTTTGGAGTGTCGATGGTTTTGGCGTTCCGAAACTTTTTTTCTAACAAGCGCCAAAGAGCTTGAGACGTGCGTGATGTGTCACGTGCTACGAACTGAAGTGAGCTAAGTGGGGCACCAAACAGGAAGCTACATAAGAGTACTAGTGCACTGTATGTACTCTCGATGCGTGTCCGCACCAAAAAGGTACATTGAGGCTTTGATTCACTTAACGCGCTGAGACAAAAGTCCGTGGCAGCAACGACACGCGACGGGAAGCTGTTTCTTCCCTTCGAGTCTCCTTCACGCCGTTATCATGTTTCACGGACAGTTTTTCTTTTAATATGTGACATTTGTTTGCGCTTGCATATTTTCTCTCCTTTCTTTTCGATTTTCTCTTTTCTCTATTTTCTCTTCTGTCTTTGTTTTCTTCGCCGACATGGCCGAGGATCTCGCCGCGCGCCTTGCGGCCGTGCTGCCTTCTGGACATAACTTTGGGATCTATCATCTCTCGACTCCGCCGACGAAAACAAACGCATTGTTCCACGCACCGCCCGGCCAGCGTCCAGATCGGACTTTTATCGAGAGCCACTTCCTCGGTGTCACCATCACACACGTGCCCGGCCCCAAAGGGAGCTCAGATGGCGACGAAGAAGTCTTGGCTTTTGCCCTCGAAATCTTTATTTTCACGACGGCCTACTCCAGCACCTTCTTCGTCGCCAAAGCCGACTCGTCGGGCTATCTCCACCTGCTGGGCCTACCAAGGGGAACACCGTCTCCTATCCGGGCGGTCTCGTCGGGCTTCCTCACATTTCTGGTCGAGCAGCGGCGGCGCGCAGGCGTGCCGTCGATCATCAGCCTCTTTGCGCGGGCACAGTCACAATACCTGTTCCCGGGCAGTGTCGACAACCCGGGGAAACATGTCTTGGACGACCGGGGGCTGGTGAAGTGGTGGTGCCGGGTACTGGACCCGCTGTTGTTGGCAGCCAACGACACCGACACGGATGCACAAGTCAAAGGGTGGAAGCACGCTCAGGGCTACCTAGTCGTGCCCGGTCTGGACACGTACGAGACCCGCGCGTTTTTGCCCCGGCGGCCCGACCAGCAAAAGCAGTGGACCCTCGGCCACCCACTCGAGTCCATCTCGCGCTACGTGACCAATGACGCACCACGCCCGCCACCGCGCTGTCTGATCCCGCAGTACCCGGACGACCCGAAAGCACGGTACCTCGACGAGCTGGACGAAGAGGCGGAGCGGACGAGCGGCAAGGAGGACAAGAGTGGTGGCAAGACGACGGCGGCAGGTCACAACGGGGGCTGGAACGGCCAGTGGAAGAGCGTCAAGTCGCTGGACCAGTTCTGGGAGATGATGGCGTTTCGGCAAGAGTGTTCGAGCGGACGGCTGACTGGTTTTTTGTGGATTGTCTTTGAGCCCGAGGGCACGGTGCAGGAGAGGGCGGCGGCTGCGTCCAAGCAGACCCCAACAAAGAAAAAGAAGAAGCGGGCCCTCCGCGGCTACATTGTCTCCCGACGGCCCCGCCCAAAACGCAGCAGCGCTACGCATTGGCTGCACGCCCGACGAGCACGGCCTACTATCGGTGGCCCGTGACCGGACGGGGTCGGCTGCTGGTGGACGAGTCGGACTACAAGCGGATCAACGAGCTGCTGCTGCAGCTGGACTTTAGCACGTTCGAAAAGAGTGCAGCAAGCACGCGACGGTGGGTGCACGAAGCGGGGATTGGGAGCGGCGATTGGCGGGTGCTCGTCGTGGGTACACAGCCATCTGTTGCGTCGTCAAACGGTCAAGACGGGCACAGCGGGCAAAGCAGCAATGGCGTCACGGACCTGAGCAGCCTGGCCAAGAGAAAGCGTGCTCCGAACGAAGCGGATACGGCAGCTGAACCACAAGGCAAGGGAACGGCAAATGAAGCAGTCAACGTTCTGAGCGCCGGCCTCGTTCGAAAGAAACAGAAGAACGTGGAGAGCACACCGGGAGAGGAGGTCCCAACTGGAGCACCGGCAGTCAATGTCCTCAGTGCAGGATTGGTCCGGAAGAAGCCCAAGGCATGAATAGGATTGGATACATGGACAGGTGCATAGCGGGAACAGGGAATTTCCATCGGCTACTTTTACTTGAGGAGTTTGGGTCACTGGCTAGGAAGTAGGGACGAAGAAATGGAAAGGAAATCAAATACAAGGCTTTTTTATCTATCCCGTTCGATCAAGTACAATATGTGCAGAAAACGACCAAGCTAGCCCCTCCGCTGCCGCTTGCCAGACGGCTGGTCATCGCCGTTGCCACGCCGCTTCTCCTTCTCGGCCGCCTTTTCTGCCTTGGCTTCGGCTTTGGCCTCGGCTTTGGCGGTGGCCAGGTCCGCCTTGGCGAGCGCCAAGGCTTCGGTAAGCAGCCGTTTCTCGCCAATGCGCACACGGAGGGCCGAGTGCAGGCGGCTGCCGGCGGGTGTCTCGGCAAACTGGGCCTCGTCAGCCTCCAGGGATGTCGGGTACGCGGCCAGCCGCTCGGCAAAAGCAGCCGCCAGAGCCGCGGCTACGACCTCCTTTTCGGTCTTGGGCGGGTGCGTTTTGTCGTTCTTGCCGTTCTTGCCTGTCTGCTTCTTTGACGCGGCCAGGGCCTTTTCGCGGCGGCGCTGCAGCTGGCGGAGGGCGACCTTGGCAAACGCACGGGCCTGGCGGCGGAGCGTCTGGGGCAGTTCGGTCAAGACCGTGCCCGCCGCATCGGGCGCCTTCAGCTGGCCCGTCGTCTCGTCCTCATCAAAGTCGCGGTCGAGCATGACCGGATCCTCAAATTCGTCGACATCGATCGTCTCGGCGACCTTGGCCGTGTCGCTGGCAGAGAGGTCGAGCTGGCGCGCCAGGTGGAGCTGGACGAGGAACCAGGGCAGGTCGACGGCGTCGAAAAAGGCGTGCTTATCGGTGGTATACCCGTAGCGGCGGAGGAGTTCGCCATTGGAGAGGGGCCCGTAGTAGTTGAGAATCTCTTCGCCGGCGCGGATGGGCCGGACGGCGGTGGCGGTCAAGGCCTCGACGCCGTGGCTGATGTGGGCGTTGCACTCGGCGTCGGCATTGAGCATGTCGGCCATGGGGACCATGCCGAGGGGCAGCTGGTCGTCCTTGTCCTCGACCCAGCCGTGGCCTTCCGAGTCCGAGTCGGAGACGTCGCCGTGGTCACAGTTGGGGCCGTGGTTGTGCTCTTGGTCTTGTGGTTCCGCGTCTCCGTCCTTCATCTCCACGTCCTCGTGGTCGCCTTTTGGCTTCTCTTCGTCTTCCTCTTCGTCCTCGTCGTCGTCCTTCTCTAGACTAAACGAGTAGGCCATAATGGTGCTGCCCATGCGGTGGGCCAGCTTTACCAGCGCGTCGTCGTCGAGCGGCGCGACTCCCTCGCCGAAGAAGATGCTGCTGTGGGCACGGATGACGGGCAGCATTTTTGTCCGGATCATCTCGTCGGCCTCTTCACGGCCCACTCGGTCCACGACGGGACTGGCCTGCAGCGCCTCGATCTCGTCGGCCGTCCAGAACATGGGCGTATCAAAGACTTCCGGCAGGACGTCAAAGTAGGGTTTCCATGGCGAGGCGGGTCCACGCAGAAACTCGTAGATGAGGATGAGGATGAGAGATGTCCACGGGTCTTGTGCGCTGTCGCCGTTGTCCTCGTCGCCGTCGTCGTCGCCCTCATTGTCGCCCTCCTTCTCTGCGCCCTGGACGATGGACGGGATCAGCGTGGCCAGCTCCGACGTGGTGGCGCTGATGATGGCCTTGCGAGGGATAGTGAAGAGAACCGTATCCACAGGAATGTCTTTCTTGGCGACTGCGGGTGTTAGAGTGAGAAGAGCAATAAATCACAGCAGAGGACTCACTGATGCCGCGACCGGCGCCGCGGGCGCGCAGGTCCACAATCTCAATGTCGTCGTGGAACGTGGTACCGGGCCAGGCGCGGAACCAGTCCAGGAAGGCACGTGCCGGTTGTAAGTAGTCGTCAGCCATGATGTGTCCTTTTTGGATACGTTCCAATCCTGTGCTCTGTTTGTGGATGTGGTGTTGCGTCACGACTCATGACATTTCTGAGTGCTCAGATTTGAAGCTTTATGGAGCTTTTTGTAATTTTTTATTTTCATATTTTTTTTCTCACCTGGCTCACCTTGCATTAGCCGTCCAGGACTGGCTTGGCCCAGGCGCTAACCCACTGCGCCGGTAACACACTAACGGCCCGTGCAACAGCGAGGCTCGACTGGTTGTGGAGACGCTGTATTTACAGGAGTGGCGACGGCAGTCTAACAGCCAGCATGTACAAGCATCTCGTCACAGATGACAACCTTGCAAGGGATGTTCTTTCACTGTAACCTGTTTGTGGTTTGGGCGTACTAGCAGCACCACGTTTCCAGAGCCTCACCAAGGTCACCATCGTGAGTGATGTTTTGTGTATCCTTTGCTTCCTTTCACGATGAAAGGCTGCCGGTTGATGACATATAAAACGCGGGACTTCCAAACCCAAATGAGATGATAATGATGAGATGAAACAATATGAAGCGTTCAAAGCAGTCACGATCGAAAATCTTCAGCATCGCAGCTCTGCAACACCAACAATATGCCTTCAAAGTGCCGCCGCGTGGTCCGCTATTCAGTCACCAACAACGTCTGCTGTCCACCTGCAGTGTATTCATATGTAGGAGAAGTAGTCCTCGCAACTCAAATTATTGGAGGTATAGATTTACATTATTAACAAACCAGTACACATGCCCATCCTACTACCTCTACTATCCGCCGCCCGTCGTCGTGGCCTATCCAACCGTCTGCTGGACGCCCACTGTACGTTTCCCTTTCCACCATCGAAAGTTTATAGTTTGAATCTTTGTGTTGTCCCCTTCTAAAATTGACAGGCAGCTTGTGTAGCACGTTCCCATGCTGCCGGTGCTTGCCCGGCACTGGTAGTTTCCGGTGTCGACTGGCCACTTTGTCATCACTGCCATGGTTGTCAACATTGCCTGCAGGACCAGAACACATCCTCGTCCAGTTCGCCAACACCGGCCGAACTCACGCCTCGCATTGAAGATGTGACAATGTCTGGTGCCAATGGCGATGTACGTGACGGCAGCGAAGGTACTGGAGAACCTGCTGGTACAGTTACCTCCGGCACACAAACGCCACAATCGCCAGCCGACGAGGGCGATGGAGGGGGCAGTGGAAAAGGAGCCGAGAAAGTCTTGTCGACTTCCCAGACGAGTGGTAGTAAGATACGGAGCACACCCGATGACGTGAGCAAGAGCCGAAGCAAAACAAGAAGCAAAAGTAGGAGCAAGAGTGCAAGCAGGGCAGGATCTGAATAGGGAAGTAATGAGTTCTGCCGAGTGGTGTCGGCAAGGTATCGATAGGCCTGTAAAAGTATTTTTTTGAGCAATGCTTTAGTTTTCATCCAACTTGGCTTGATTCAACTGTCACTTGTCGATTTCAGTATTCATATTTTGAATATGTCTCTGTCAGTGGCGTATTTGTGATGCGATGTTCGTGTTGATGCACGTAAACCCCTGAAAAGTTGCCCTAATAGCGCCCTAAATAGCGTGCGCCATCCACCAATCGCCCTAAAACGTGGCTCCTTCAAAGTGACCCATATGATCGCCAACATCAAGTTCACACTTGTCAACTGTCATCTGACGACACCCTCCTACCACAACCACTCATCCACGCGATGGCGCGTCCCATCCTCCTTTTCTGCTGCCACCCGCTCACGGGCCACATCACGCCCGTCCTGCGCATCGCTGCCGGCTTGCACCAGCAGCTCGGATGGCGCGTCTCCTTCCTCAGTGCCGCCTTTTTCCGTGCGCGCATCGAGGCGGCCGGGCTGCAGTTCCTGCCGCTCGTGGGCGACGTGGCGGACCTGGACGATGACTCGCTGTTTGACCGAAAAAAGGGCGGCGTGGACGGCCTGTCGCCAGAACAGGCGGCGGCCCTGCCCCAATCGGTCACCGACAACCGGCACCAGGCACTGTGTGCGCTGCCGGGCGAGTGGGCCAGTCTGCAAGCAGCCGTGGACGCGCTGATCCACGAAAATCCGGGGAGCCGTATCTTGGTGGTGACAGAGGCGTTCTTTTACGGCGCGATGCCGCTCAAGCTCGGACTGTCTCTGCCACCGGCGGTCCTTCGTCGGTCGGTCTGCCTATCGATCACTGCGCCGGCCATTCGCAGCGTCGACCATCCGCCCTATGGCTATCCCGACTCCCTGGAGAAGACACCGGACAGACCCGCTCGCTTGGCCGCTCTCTGGAACGAGTGGATCACCGCCAGGGCGGCGCCACTGAGTGCTCTCTGGCGAGAAAAGCTCAAGGAGGCGGGCCTGTCCGTCGACGAACGTGTCAAGAACATCGTCTTCATGGCCGGCGCCAACTACGTCTGCCATGACGCGATTGCCCAGGTCGGTGTGCCGTCGTTTGAGCTTCCCCGCAGCGACATGCCTGCCGGCTTCCACATTGTGGGCGTCGTCCCGCCTGTCGTTCTAGCTGCACCGCCGCCGTTTCCCTGGTGGGGCGAGCTCGTGTCCAACCAGGCGTTGCCTCTCAACGATCGCAAGAAGGTGGTCGTTGTCGCACAGGGCACCGTCGAGACCGAACCGACGGAGCTCATCGTACCCACGATACGCCTTCTGGCGGACCGCACAGACGTACTGACGATTGCCATCCTCGGTGTTCGCGGCGCGTCGTTGTCGGAAAGCAGCGGTCCCCTGCCCGTCAATTGTCGCGTCGCCGACTATCTCTCGTATGACGCCGTCCTCCCGTACGCCGCCCTCTGGGTCCACAACGGCGGGTACGGCGCAACCATGCACGGCATCATCCACGGCGTGCCGCAGGTGCTGGCGGGCGAGACACAAGATAAACCCGAGAGCGGAAAACGCGTGCAGTACAGCGGCCTGGGCATTAACTTGGCGACGGCGCATCCCACGCCTGAGGCGCTGGGTGCGGCCCTGGATGCGGTTCTGTCAGAACCCAAATATGCGGCGACAGCTCAGGCAATGCAGGCCGAGGCTGCGGCCATGGACTGTGTTGGGAACGTCGAGAAAGTGATACTGGAGGAAATTCAGGCATGCACATAGATGGGCATAGAATGCGAATTAGACAGCGAGCCAAAGACATAGACTTAGAGCCATATTCATTTGTTACTCTCGTTTCAACCATTCGTGGCGTTTTTGTTTAAACATTTCCGAGGTGTTAAAACGGATGGCATTGTAAGTGACCGTTGGTCAACACCCAAGGACAATCGTATTTAGGTAAAGGAAGGTCGGTCCTGGTGCGGTTGGTCTTGGAGTCCGTCGAGTGACAAAACGATGTCGGTTGGTACGGTCATGAGAATGAGTCAAAGTGCGATGAAACTCTTTGCTTGCGTCTTTGTTACTTTGCCTCCTGTCTGTTGATTCCTGCTGAACATATCCATTGTTTGCGTGCCTCTCCTTTGTTTCCCTGTGACGTTCAGTTGGACATGCGTCTTTCATGCACCAGTTAACAACAGAGCGAGCCAACAATAACACCCCGCTCCGTGGCCTTCACGGCCCATCACTGCATTGTTGGCCGATTCCTCCTTTGATTGATTTTTCCAGGAGGTGCATCACATGCGATGAGCTGTTTCTTACCTTTGTTTTCCCCTGCTTCGATGTCGAATCCATCGTGTCGAATTCATTGTCGACACTAGCGTGACAAAAGGATTGTCATGATGGCTGCACCTGTCTGCAACTTCCTGCTCCTTCAGAACACGTAATCGCGTCTGTTGTCTTTGTAGACATACGTTTGCCCTTGCATGGTCTGGAGTCATGATGACGATACTTGCGAAGAAGACGCTGCCGCGTGGGCCAACATTGCCACGACCTATTCAAATACATGATGAGGAAGGAGCGATCGTGTATCAACAACAAAGCGCCCTCCTTCCTTGTTCGTCTCTTGTTTGCCCCTTCCCTCCTGTTCATGGCTCTTTCCTTTTACAAAAGAACGTTCATGCCAAAATTGCCGGGTACAAATATATATGACGTCCGTCTCGCCGCTCTTGCCGTTTCCCCTTCCACTCGGCATATCCCCTTTTCTCACATCATATCACGATCTTTTCCAAGCGTAATCCCGCACTCTTCGTTATTATGAAGTCTTTTTTTGCCAACCGGGCTGTGGCTCTTATGTCCACCGCCTCTCTCGCGTCCCTCACCGTGGCCACCCCCGTCGCCAGCCGCCAGGCCACCCCGGCCGTCCACGGCGGCTTCATCGCGCAATGTGATTTTTACCAAGTCACAAGTCACGGCGAGGCTTACGGCCACCTACAGGCCACGTGCAATACTGACCCGGGCAACTCGGCCACTGAGGTTGCGTCCACGCTCGACCTTAGCCTCTGTCTCGGCAACTACAACAACAATTTGGCCTGGGGCTACATGGGCGGCGCCTTCGCGTCGTGCCAGGGCTGCACGAGCCGCATGTTTAATACCCGGTACCTCGACTGCGACTGCGGCTCCATCGACCTCAACGACGGTATTTACATGACCGAGTCGGGTGCCGTGGCCTGCTACGACAACGTCGGCGCGTCCTATTCGGTGCCGTACCGTGACTGAAGTGAACGGCAGATGCCAGGCCAAGAGTTGCCGACAATCGATTGTATTGGTCGGTTGTTCTTCAACAGTATAGCTAGGAAGCTTTGCACGTTTTTATACTTTATATCTTAAACACGGCAACAAGTACAAGTATTGTTCAATGTCCACTGGTTGTCTACTTGCCCTTTCTTTGATCTAACGATGACGGAACCATTGCTTGTGCTTGTTTAGTCATGTACCGTGGTTTGTATGAAGCCGTGGTGATTGCGTTTCAATATTTCTGCTTCGCTGAAATCTTCCCAATGCTGTCACCGCTATTTGTGTCTTTTCTCCGGATGCTGTCAAGACATGCAAGTTTCCCCAATCAAAAGAGTATGATATTTACCAATAGCGAAGGAGCTTGCTGTGCGTATTAGACGACTTTGTATTTGTTAGCGGCTTGTTTGGGAAGTAGCACGGTCTGTCGCCTTCATTCTAATTTTGGGGCCTTGCATCGCAGCAATGCGGGAAGGCGCATCCGACTGCAGCAACAGGCACTTTCCCTCCCGCCCCATTAATCATAATTCTGTGACACCTGCGTGGGCTGGCCTTCCTCCCCTCCCTTCTTCCTGGACCTGTTTGTTCTTTTCTCCCAACTATCTTACGCTCCACAACCTTGTGAAGAAAAGGGGCATCTGACTTGAGGCATATGAGACACCAGCATCTTCCGTGCTGCACGCAATATGCAGCTCTCACCATCGACCTCGTCAACCTTACCTGATACAGGCCATATCGCATCGTTGCATCGAATCTACGTGCCAAGCATTTTCTGGCCCTTTGCCCAGTATCGCAGGCGAGGCAGATTCAGGGACTTCGGACTTTTCCACATGCTCGGGTTGCCCAAAGAGTTGGGTGGCAAGGTGCGCGGAACGGTGAAGATGCAGTGGAGCGAGCAATCACGAAGCTTGCGAAAATAGAGAGAAGATACAACGCTGCATTTGGACAGGGGGGGTACCCATGGCTGTGCTGATCTGGCGAATGGCTCGCAGCCATGTGGGCGGCCTGGGCCTCCCGCAGGAGGAAAAGAAGCTTTACGAGCGAACGGCCAAGGGACAGGGGACCAGACAAGCCTTTTCCGACGTGCGGAACCCTCGAGGCTTCAGACCCATTTCCATTTCCGTTCGGCCTCTCAGCAGATTAAACATCGGCTCGTGCGGAACCACTAGCACCAATGCGCGCAAATGCGCCTCGAATCTATTGGTTTGTTGACCCCCTCATGCATTTCGTTTTTTGTCGCATTTATTTTTGTTGTATCTTTTGCTGCCCGCCCACCCAGGGCGATGGCCAGGCCTCCGTTTGACACATCGCCATGGCAGCCAGTTGGCTACCGCCTGCTCAGCCGCAGTTTGGCCAGGCCACTCCAAACGGGAAGCAATATCTTCTTACACCAGACCAGATCGGTCCCGTACTTTCGTCGGGCTGTCTGCCTTTTGTCGTGGGTCTCCGCAGACAACCTAACCTCGATCGGGTAGACCAGAGCCCAGACCAGAAACCATACCAAGCCATACGAGGCCAGAGTGGCCAGGGTGGCCAGGGTGGCCAGGGCAGTCCACGGTCCCGTACCACAATGGGGTGGGGGCGATGCTGCCATTGCTATATGCCACGGGGCCATTTTTCTCATGGAAGCGAGGGACATTAATACCCCGCGTCCTCGCCCCTCTGTTGCGGTTCATCTCTTGCGGATGAAGCTTGTCAGTCGCCTTGATATTGTATTTTGCCTTTGGGTTTGAAAATAGGACGCCAGGGCTGGTGCTTGTTTAAAACACATCTCGTCACAGTCTACCTACTGAGAAGCACCTTCTCACTACATCCAGCACCATGGCATACCGGCAGCAGTACAACCAGCCGCCGCCGCCGGGCGGAGGATATGGCCAGCCCCAGCAGCCTCCATATGCGCAAAATCCTCCGCAACAATACGGCCAGTACCCTCCGCCGCAGTCGCCTCCGTACTATGGCCAGCCTCCTTATCAACAGCTGCCACCTGGTCAGGATCCGCTGGCGGCTGCCATGTCCAACATGAACATCTCGGGTGGTGGCGCACCGCCTCCCACAAGCCAGCCTCCGTACGGCCAGCACACCTCGCCTCCACCCCAGCAGCCAGGCTACCAGTCGTATGCTCCTCCGCCGGTCCAGCAGCCGCCGCCCCAACAGTATGGCGGTGCATACTCTTCTCCGCCCCCGCCTCCTGCGCCGGCTGCCTACAGCCCAGTCCCGCCTCCCGGCCAACAGCAGCCAGGCTACCCGCAATACGGCTCTCCCCAGCCGCCGTCTGCTCAGCCTCCTTACGGGAGCCCGCAGCAGCCTGTTTCTCAGCCTCCCTACGGTGCTCCTCCGGCTGTCACGACGCCTCGGCCGTACGGCGCTCCTCCGCCAACCACATCAGACCCAGCTACCTACGGTTCTCCTCCTCCGGCCACCAGCCAGCCTCCCTACAACGCAGCGCCTCCGACAACTGCACTTGCACCAGGCCAGCCGCCCAACATCCGTGGCAGTTCACCGGTACCACCGGCATACTCGCCTGGTCAGCCCCAGGCGCGGCCTGCCGGTCCTAGTGGCCCACCTGGTGCTCCTCCTGCAGGTGCACCTGTGCCTTACTCTCCGGGTGGCCCTCCTCCACCCGGAGCTGCGCCTGGTGCCCCTGATGCCCCTGGTCAGCGTGCACCTGGTGCTCCTCCTGGCCCCCCTGGCGCGCCGGGACAGCCGCCATATGCAGGCGCAGGTGCTCCTCGCCCTGGTCCCCCAGGGCAAGCGCCGTATGGTCAACAGCCCCCCTCTGGCCAAGCTGGGCGAGGCGGGCCCCCTCCTCCAGGTGGCCCCGGTGGTCCGGCTCGCGTTCCTGGGCAGCCTCCTGCTCCTTACGGACAGCCGCCGTATGGTCAACAGCCTCCATACGGTCAGCAGCCATATCCTAGCCAACCCCCCCATGGAGCTCCCGCCCCTTACGGTGTTCCTCCTCCGGCCAACTATGCACCGCCCCCCGCAGTGGCTACAGAACCTCCCAAGAAGCAGGGCTTCTTCAGCAAGCTCTCGACGGGCCAAAAAGTTGGCCTGGGAGCTGTTGGTGGTATTGCAGCTGGCATGTTGGCTGTGGAAGGTGCTCACAAGTTTGAAAAGTGGGAGAATAAGGAGGAGAAGAAGTTTGCAGGCGAAGTTGCTCAAGCTGCCGGCCTTGGAGGCAGTGGCGGATACGGCGGTCGTGCCTATGAAGGAGAGACCTTTGTTGGTGCTGGTGGCCCGGCAGTCGCTGGGGGGTATCAGCCCTCGGTGGCTGAGTACGTCGAGACGGGCCCTGGCTACTACGGCAGCACGACCTTTGTCAACGACTCGCGTGTTGTTGACAACAACACAGTGGTTGAGAAGTGAGTTTATTGTTTCAGGAAACATGTCCCGCAAAGGCTACCTTGCTAACCATTGTAGTACCGTGATTGACAATACAACCATCATCGACAACTCCACGGTCATTGACAATACGACCGTTGTGGATAACACCACGGTTGTGAACAACACCGATGTTGAAAACCGGACAGTCGAGAATAATACGTTTGTTGATAACAACTACAGTTACGACAGCACCAGCTACAATCAGACCGACACGGTGGCAGCGTCGAGTTCGTACGACTACGCGTCCGCTTCCTACGATCAGTCTTCTTCGTACCAAGAGACTGACACGTACCAGGCCGCGGCTTCGTATCAGGAGACCGATTCCTACCAAGCCACGGCATCGTATCAGGAGACCGACACTTACCAAGCGGCCGACACGTACCAAGACATCGATACCTACCAAGAGACTGATACCTACCAAGAGACTGATACCTACCAAGAGACTGACACCTATCAAGAGACCGACACCTACCAAGAAGCTGATACCTACCAAGAGACTGACATCTACCAAGAGACTGACTACTCAGCGGCATTTGACGACCAGGACAGCGGTAATTTCTAAGGAAAGGTGTTGGATATCCTTGCAATATTTCTTTTGTTTCATTTGGAAGCAGCTTGATTTTGGTGCTTTGAAGTGTTTTTGTCATGATTTGTTTCGTTTGTCCCTTATCCACGCTACCTTTTAATTGAGCGCCCCCTTCTGTATGGAAACGTTGAAAAGATTGATTAGTCAAAGTATAAATACGAAGATGGGCCATCCTACCAATAATAATAATAAATGCACAAAAAAACGCCTGTACAATGATACGCATCAACGTAGGATATCACAGATCCAGCAGCCCAGCAACGCACAACTAGTCAACCTCCCCCTTGGATATACAACGTGATGTAGGAGATGAGAAGAGCACGGCAAGAGAAGCGGCTTTGTCAGAAAGACTACTTCCGGCGACCACCACGGCCAGCTGCTGGCGAGCCGCCGCCGCCGCCCATGCCCATGCCCATCTGCTGCATCATCGCCTGCATGTCCATGCCGCCCATGTCGGGCATCCCGCCGCCACCACCGCCCAGCATCTTCATGAGGCTGCCCATGTCCGGCATCATACCGCCCAGGCCGCCGCCACCGCCGCCGCCGCCGCCGCCACCGGCACCACCCATGCTCTGCAGTCGCTTCTGCATCGCGGCGAGCTGCTGCTGCTTGTTGGGGCCGGCCATGGCCTGCTGGGCGCGCTGCATGTTCTTCATGTTGCCGCCCATCTTCTTGGCCATGCCGGCCATCATGCGCTGCTGGGTCAGCAGGTCCTCGACCTCGCGCACGTAGGTGCCGGAGCCGCGGGCGACGCGGGTCATGCGGGTCGGCTGGTCGAGGAACAGCTTGCCGTCCGAGTCGAGCTCCTTGTCGGTCATGGAGTCGCAGATGTAAATCATGCGCTTCAGCTTGGCGCTGCCCTCCTCGTCGTCCATGCCGGACATCATGTTGCTCATGCCGGGGATCATGCCGGCCATCTTGGACAGGGGCCCCATCTTCATAATGTTGGACAGCTGGTCGCGCAGGTCGCGCACCGTGAAGATGCCCTCGGTGATGTGCTTGATGGTGTCCTTTTGGTCGAGCTTGAGCGACTGCACGTGCTCGACGAGGCCCGCCATGTCGCCCATGCCCAGCAGCTTCTGCACAAACTGCTGGGGCGCGAACCGCTCGAGGTCGAGCATGTGCTCGCCCGTGCCCAGAAACACAATGGGCGTGTGCGTCGCGGCGACGGCCGAGATGGCGCCGCCGCCCTTGGCGTGGCCGTCGGTCTTGGTGATGATGATGGCGCCGAAATCGGCCGCCTCCTTGAAGGCCTTGGCCTGCGCCTCGGCCTGCTGGCCAATGGTGGCGTCGAGCACCATGATGGTCTCGTCGGGCTTGACGGCCTCCTGGATGTCCATCATCTCCTGGAACAGGGCCGACTCCTGCCGGTGGCGGCCGGACGTATCGACAATAATGACCTCGAAGCGCTCCTTTTTGAACTTGTCGACGCCGTCGCGCGCGACGACGGCGGGGTCCGTCTCGGTGAGGGAGCCGTAGTAGGGGATCTTGGCCTTGGTGGCGTTCTGGCGCAGCTGGTCAAACGCACCGGCGCGGAAGGTGTCGGCACAGACGAGACAGGCCTTGAAGCCGCGGCTCTGGTAGTGGCGGGCGAGTTTTGTGCAGGACGTGGTCTTGCCGGCACCCTGCAGACCCACAAACATGATGACGTTGGTCTTGCCCTTTTTCGGCTTGAAGGGCTCGGCATGGGGGTCGACGAGGCGGACGAGCTCGTCGAAGACGGTCTTTTGGATGAGGCGTTTCTTGTTGACGGCGGGCGGCAGCTCCTTGAAGTTGACGGTGGACTTGATGGATTTGCGCAGCTGGGCGACAAGCTTGACGTTGACGTCTGCTTCGACGAGGGCATTGCCAATCTCCTTGAGCATCGAGTCGAAGGCCTATACAAGACAAGGAGAGGTAGTTAGCATCGCCGTCTGAGCCGCCGGCGCTGGCTTTCTGATCCAGTATGGATGTTCGCGTGCCGAAGCGCAACCCACCTTCTCGTCGATATTTGGCGCCCGTGTCAAATCTGACACGGCCGCATTGATGCGGCGTCCGAGATCCTGAAGAACCATGGCGAAATGGTTCTAGATACTCGGTTGTGTGGGTAGGGCCGGACGGGGAAGAGTGTGTGTTGGGAGGCTGTTCAGGAGTTAGGTCGTCGCCGGAGACAATATTCCAGAACGTTGAAGGCCATGTGGTTTTCCGCCGCTTTTCGTGGGGTAGGCAGGCGGTGACAGACGGCAGAACTGCTTTTGTGCGCAAGGCGTCGCAAACACTCGGGTCTCTTTAGCGGTTGTTAACGCCACAACACAGCGCTACGGGCAAATTGGCAGTGCATTGTTCAACGTTTGAATGCAGCTGTTCAAAATGCTGTGTAAATATGCTCGAAGATACAACTATACGATGGTTTTGTGTCTCGTGTGTTTCCGACTGGTCTTTGGTCTTTTGGCCTCTTTTCTACGTCTCCCGCACATGACACGGCTCTTACTTCTTGAGGGTCGCAACGTACTCCCGCACGAGGCCCTCGGCATCCTTGTCGCGAACCAGGCCCAGCTCCAGCGGCTTCGAGTAGTCGAGGCTCCAGGCCCAGCTGCGCAGAAGCTTCTCGTACGCCGCGTTGGGCTCGTCGCGCACCAGCTTCAGCTTGTCCTCGCCGCCGACCTTGGCCAGTGCATCCAGCAGCTCCTGCACGCTGGCAATGATGCCGGGGAAGTTGACGGCGCGCTGGTGCGGCGGCAGCTTGTCCGAGGGCCAGGCGACGACGCGCAGCAGGTTCTCGATGGCGACGCGCGGGCTGCAGAGCGTGGCCTTGAAGGCGCGGTCGGTCAGGGGCAGGGCGCACGCGAGGCCGTTCATGGGCTCGCGGATGACGCCGGACAAGAAGGCGCTGGCGGCCGGCGCGGGCTTGCCGGGGCGCACGGAAATGGTGGGGAAGCGGACGGAGAAGGCGTCGATCTCGCCGCGGCGGGTCAGGTCGTTGACGAGAATCTCCATCATGTACTTGCAGCTACCGTAGACACCCGTGGGCGTCGGGGTGGTGGCCTCCGTGACGACGTCGGGCAGCGGCGCACCGTAGACGGCGTTGGACGACGAGAAGACGACGCGCACGCCGCGCTGGACCTCGGCCAGGTGCAGCAGCAGGCTGCGCACGGCGTCCACGTTGACCTTCATGGCGAGCGCCGGGTTGGCCTCGGAGGCGCCCGACATGATGCCGTGGAAGACAAAGGCGGCCGTCAGGGGCAGGGCGGCGGCCACCACCCCTTTCATGGCATCCGTGTCGCACAGGTCGGCCTCGAGCAGGCGCGCGTTCTCGGGGTGCTTGGCGCCGGCGGGCACGGAGGGCTTGATCAGATCGGTGAGGAAGACGACGTTGTCGGGGTCTTCGAGCAGGCGCTCGGCCAGCGCAGGACCGACGAGGCCCGCGGCGCCCGTGATGAGGTAGTGTCTCTTCTGGCCCGCCATTGAGAGAGATGCGGTGTGTATGGGTGAAAGTAGACTGTGAAGAGAGAGAGGAGACGAAAAAGTCGCGACGAATCCAGCTGTCTATTTACTGTACAGAGGAGAAGCAGCTATCGATAAATGTGTCGGCTTTGCAGGAGCAGCGACCGCACGACGTATATACAGCTCCGTCACCGGCCAGATTGGTCCAGTGACGATTTGTGCCTCTTTCGGTTTGTCATATCAATCTATGCTGTATTCATGCACCCCCTCACGATCCAGTTTTTGGGGTTGCGACCCCCCCATGCTGTGGAGAAGCAACCGGAAGGACTAGCAAAGTGACCAGTGGTGCTGTTGAGGGCCAATCTCGCGAGCAATGCCTGTATTCACACCAACACCCATAAAAGGCCATCCAATGTCGCCCTTGAGGCTCGAGACGGTGTCGGCGGCCAGAGCTGGGAGGCGCTAATACCCCGCTTTGCCCTGGATTCGGGACAAGCGCGGCCGAGATGCTCCTGCAATCGGCGCTTTCTCCGAATGTGTTTGCAACAGGTTGGACAATGCCACGGCAGTTTTTGCGCCTATGCATCTGGTCCAAAGTAGGAACGCGGCCAGATGTTCATGGCCGTCTTGGTGCCTTCGCCCACTGGGAGGCCGGCATGTAGCGTGCGCGTGTCACCGGTGCCGTTGGCAAGCAGGTTCACCCAGAAGAGTGCGTTTCCAGCCACTGGTCGGAACGCCAGGCCCCCATTTTCGTGCTCGCGCCAAATCGGTAGCGACGATTCTGTAGTCCCATCGTTGTCGTTCTGCGCGTGAGCCGTGCTGCCACTTTGGGTCTTGGCCGCACCCGGAACGACCGCCTGGGGAAAGTAGGTCTCCCCCGCAGTGCAGTTGGCCTGCAACACAACAAAAAATGTGGCCACGCGGTTGTACAGCCGTCGACGCCCGGCTGCGGCATCGGCGTCGGACAGGCGCGGCTGCCGGAACCAGTCGTGGTGCAGGTCAAACTTCTGCCCGTTGTCGTAGTGCACGAGCTGCGCGGCGCCGATGTCGTCACGGCCTGGCACCAGCACGGTCCCCAGGAACGACTCGGCACGGCGAAGGACGCAGGCCACGGCAGCGTCGTCGACGACATCGGGAAGCGGCGCACTCCAGGATGTCCGCGCCTGAGAAGCCGGCCCGTCGCCTCCGTAGCCGGTGACGGGCGACGGCTGCAGGAGGGACTCGCCGGCGCGGATCACGAGATCAGCCTCGCGGGGACTGACAAAGTCGTGGAGGTAGATGAGCAGCGGGTCGAGGGAGACGATCTCCGTCCGGTACCCCTGGTCAGCGGGGCATTCGTAGGGCTCGGAGTTGGATTCGGCTGGAGGGTTTTGCTGGATGTCGAACACAGAGGGGGACTTGGATACGATGCCCTGCAACCGCAGCGCCGCCAGGCTGTACGCCACCGGAAATACATAGGCCAAGCCGGCGCCGAGGGCCGCAGAGAGGACCTGGCTGGACTGCACCATTTCAGACGTGTGACGCTGTTGAAGCAGAATTACTGTGACGGCAAAAAGGCATCCAACCAAGTGAAGCAATCGACAGTTGAATTCAGACGTAAAAGTATGCCAGTCGACAGATACAGACAGATGATCCTGGAGCGTGGTTCTTTGCCGACGTTCCGGATAAATGATACTCGCATCATACAGCGCACAGCTCGTTCCGTGTGCCAGATTCGCAACTCTAATGCTACCGTACCCAGCCTGTATCCTTTCACGACCCACTGAACTTGGAGGCCGTTAGAATCCGGGAAAATCAAAAGGCGTCTCGTTGGGCCGCGGTCCCATGGTCGCATTGGACAGCCCACCCACAAACGACGTGTGCAGCGAGTACAGCTCGGGACTGGCCCGGATCTCCGCCGCGTGGGCCAGCACGTCCTCCAGGTCGTGGCCGACGTCAAAGTACCGGCCCCGCAGCGCGTGCTTGGCCACGCCCGTCGCCAGTGCCACCGACACCATGCCGCCGAGGTGCACCGAGTCGTTGTAAAAGTCGAGCAGGCCCTTGTACTGCGGCGTGCCCACCGGGAGGGCGGAGACGCTCTCGTCAGAGTATTCTGTGCAAAGCGTCAGTGCTGTACTTGACCCTTTTTTGATCGGACGATACCCGTGGACCCCGTGGCATACTCTTCGTGACCATGGTCGACCGGACGCCGCCCGGGTGCAGCGCATACAAGTGGATGTCGCCGAACCCCTCGGCGTCCGCTTCCATCTGGATGCACCCCGTCAGGTTGATCAGCGCCGCCTTGCTCGCGCAATAGCTCGTGCTCCAGGGCAGGACGACGGTGCCCGCCCGCGATGCAATGTTGATCACGCAGCCGCTGCGCTGCGCGCGGAACGTCGGCATCAGCAGCCGCATCAGGCAATACGGCCCGTTGAAGTTGACGGCCATGTCGTACAGGAAATCCCGGGGATCCTGCTCGTACATGGGCGCCAGCATGTTGGCGCCCGCGTTGTTCACCAAAATGTCGACACGGCCGCTCGCATGGCTGTCGTCGATCGTCGCCTCGAGGATGTGATGGACAAGCTTCTCGCACGACGCCAACTCCGAGACGTTGCACTGGACAAAATGAACATTGGCGGCGCCCAACTGACGACAACGGGCCTCGAGAGTATCTGGTGGCGGGGTGCGGTTGTAGACAAGAAAGAGACGGCAGCCTGCGACGGCAAAGCTCTCTGCGTGGCCCTGCCCGATGGCACCCGCCGCGCCCGTGATGACGGCGACCTTGTCCTGCAGGTTGCCACGAAACTTGGACGGGTAGATGAAGGGATACACCTCATTGTGAATACGTACAGTGGGCCCCTCTTTTGTCCGCTGCGATTCGTCGGCCATGATGGAGTCTGGTTTTGACGTAAATGGAGAGCTCATATATTTGCCTCCCTCTTTTTTTTAAACTCAAGTTCGTTATATGCTGAAATTTGGTCAGTTTATTCATACACGCCTCGTGCTCGAATACATCCGAGTCAGGCGCTGGCTGGGTGAGATTCCAGCGGAGTCATTTCGTTGGAGTCTCGGCAGATGAGGAGAACATGACAGGCCGTTTCCCATTTCCCGAACCACTCGCATACACCTACAATAAAGGTGCGCGTTATGGTTGAATCGTTTCTCACAATTAAGCATGGCCAACGCTAACGAGTAAACAGATGCATATGTATTCCAACGCAAAATCGTGGCTTCATCACAACCAAAACTAACCGACAACAAAATCAAACATTGGGTATTAATTATCCAAACAGAAATAAACCAAAAGTGAGTGTCTTCGATACGAGAGAAAAATTATTAGACCAAGGACAAGGCACGTTCATGGCGAAGATCCAACAAACGACTCGACACGAGAAACAACACTCGAATCGTACGAGGGGCATTGGTGGCCAAAACCACCTTACTCGACTGTGCATTTCGATTAACAATATCGCCCTTTGTGTAATGAAGACTCGGAACAAGAGGGCACATCTCAGTTCCGGGCAGTAGGTAGCACCCCTTAAGCGGAGTTCTCGCCCACCTGCTCGTCATTCTCGTCGCGGTACAGATCGGGACACTTGGCGGTGCGCTCCCAGAAGATCCAGCGCTTGATCCACCATGGCAAGACAGTGTTGAGCTGGTACTTGGCAAAAACGCGGTTGGGCACGGCGAAGATGTAGTCAAGCTCCTCAAGCGACTTCTGCTTGGTCTCGGGCACCGCGATGAAGATCAAGGCCAAAGCGACCAGGTTCAAGCCCGCGTAGAAACCGAAGACACCAGCAGGCTTCATAGCAGAAAGCATGCGGGGCAGGGTCAGGGACAGGATGGACGCCCAGAAGTTGTTGGTGGCAACGGCCCAGGACATGCCAATCTCACGATGCGACAGGGGGAACACCTCAGCCGAGTACATGAAGGGGACGGGGCCTTCACCGGGCGAGTAGAAGGCGGCGAAGAGGTAGATAAAGGTCGCGACGGCGGCAATACGGGCGTTCTTGTCGTTGATCAGGTAGCACAGACCAGCGGCTGCGGGAGACCGTTGTTAGAAGGATATATGAAAGCAGACGACACGCGGAATCAACCGCTCGAATACGTACTAAGAAGCGTCCAGAACATGTTCGGGAAGGTGAACAACAGCAGCGTGCGGCGACCCCAGGTGTCCATCGTGAACACCGCAGGCCAAGCAAAGATAAACTGAAGAAAAAACAGTTAGCATTTTGTAACCTGGCGTACTTTATCAAGAGAGGCGCGGGAAAAAGACAAAGTCGTACGTTGATCAGACCGAAGCCAAAGGAAGCCCACAGAGCCGTGTAAGCGCTAATTCCACTCTGTTCAAAGATGGTGCTGCTGTAGAAAGAGATGATGTTGACTGCAGCGTGGTCAGAATGAAATGCATGGTCATATAATTGACGAAACAGTGTGAGAAGGGTGTGACGTACTACCGCACATCTGCTGCGCAATCATGACAATACCGGAAGCCCAGGTAGCACGGCGGACACGAGGGATGGTGAAGAGCTCGATGAAACGAGTGATCATGCCGCTGTTCACGTCCAGACCAGCCTCACGGACCATGACCTCCTCCTGGACCAGAAGAGCATGAATGTAGTAGAGATCACGGCCAGCCTGGAGCTTCGAGTTGCGGAGACGGATCAGGGAGTTCCAGGCCTGCAGGTACTTTCCCTTCTTGAGGTACCAACGAGGCGATTCAGGGCAGAAAAAGGTACCGATAACGAGAGGCACGGCAGGGATGAAGGCAGAGCCGAACTGCAGACGCCAGCCAATGTCGCCGACCTTACCGACAGCAAGATTGGCGCAGGTGCCAAGGAAGATACCAAAAGCCGTCCACACCTGCCACGACATAACGAGACCTCCGCGAATGTTGGTCGGAGCATTCTCAGCAGAAAAGACGGGAACGGTAACTTCTTTCAGACCCATACCGATGCCGAGAAGCATACGGCAGGCAGCCAGCTGGCCCCAGGTTTGCGACAGGGCCATACCGAAGGGAGCGAGGACGGAGAAAACAGCACCAACCCAGATGGTGCCACGGCGGCCGAGGAAGTGGTTGAGCGGGTCAGAAACCCAGCCGGAGCTAGAGTGGCGTGTCAGTATCAGCGAGAGAGGGACAAGGCGGATGGAGCGAGTTGTCTCAAGTTCACAAGAGAGGCTGGCTTGACTTACAAGAGGCAGATGGTGATGTAGGGCATCGAGTTGACGAATCCGATGATCCAGCCGTTCTTGGCGCAAAGGCCAGCGTTGGCGTCGGGGCCGCACGATGAGCCAGCTGAGTCGGGGATGCCCAGAGCCACAGGGAACGCCAGGTTGGCGCCGTTGGAGGCGGTCTGATCCCAACCCTGGATGGCGGCGGCGATGGAGTTCAGGACAATTGTGTAGTACAGGGCCCACGGGTGTCTCCAGCGGTGGAGGACCTCGTTGCGGATGTGCTCCTTGTCGGTCTCATCGAGCTCCTCAAGAGACTCGAAGCGGGCGGGGTTCTTTGCCACCAGGGCGCCCTTCTGAAGGTAGGGAAGAATGTCCTCGGGAAGGCCCTTCTCCTCGCGGAAGCGGGCAACGTCCGCGAGGAGCTGCTCACGGGGAATGTTCTTCAGGGGGTTGCGAATCTCGCCCTCTTCATTGGCAGCGAGCTGCTTCGCAACGTCCACCTTTTGGGCGGCAGCGTCATCGACGCCATCCTCAATCTTGCTGCTGCAAAGGACAGGGAAAAGATAATGTCAGTAAAAAATGTGAGAATCGTATATTGGCAATGTCTCGCAACTCACGGAGCTTCAGCGTGCGCAACGACCTCCTGGTCGTCGGACACAATCTTCTCGGCCATGGTTGTGTGGAGCTCAACTAACAAGCAAGTGTCCCAATCGGGCCAACGATCGTGAAAGGGCGATGCGAGCCGGCAATGGCTTAAGTGTCTAAAACTGCCCGTGTCAATAACTGATAGTCGCCTGGGAGAGAAATGGCACACAAAGGTAAATCAATAAAAGAGGGGACGCCTTGGAGAAAAGGTGGAGCTGATGTATGTTTTGCGGAGAAGAGCAACAAAAAAAAGATCGTGAAATCAAGGAGGGGGGGCCAAAAAAGGAAGAAACGCAGCGACAACCGAAAAAAGTGACAGGCAGAAAAGGAGGGTGTGACGTCGGCACAAAATAAGACGGGTGCATGGTAAGAGGCCACCATTGGGCCCATGTGTAATGTATGGAAAACAATAACAATGAACAGACTTACAAATTCAAGCGCAGAGAGAAACGAAACGAGCCAAACTCGAGTCACCAGAATCAAGAAGGTTGATCAGAGAGGACCAGGTCGTGGATGGGGACAGAGTGACCAAGGTATCGCCAACGAGGAAAAAGTGATGGGCAATCATTTCTCTTTATACGTAGGTGCGGGCGATGCTCTCTCTGCTTGCTATCTTGGGTCTTGGGTCTTGGGTCCCCGTCCCTTGTGCGCGCGGACACTTGCATAGAGCGTAAATTGGCCAATGCAGCGATCTGCGGGCGAAGGAGAGAGGGCGGAAGAAAGGGGGGGGGGGGGGGTGAAAGAAGGTTAGCTAGCTGCTGTTCGACATGGGGAGGTCAGAATGAAGCAATACAGCTAGCAGCTTGTTGCCCACACTGACGAGGCAGAAAGCTACGCTGTCTGGGGACCGGGGGCGACATCACGGGGCATGATGGGGTTGATGATGGAGGATGGGGCTGGGGAATGTGGGTGTGAATGGAGGTGAGGAGAGAGAGTGAGGAGAAACGGGGGGTAACATGCTGGGGGGAAGCAAAGGCGATACGTGCGGATGGGACCGTCATACAAAGGCAGGGCCATACTCCGTACTGGGGGTAGGGCGCGTTGAGAGACAGGGGAGGAGCCTTTGGGTGCCTTAGTTCTTTCCTCGTCCGGGGTCGTTAACGGAGCAGGAGCTTCTGTGCAGAAAGCGCGAGGGACTCTAATTTCTCGGAAATGGCAGGTATCGACGAGATGTCAAAAAAGTAAAATAGGAAACCGACGCGAAGCGTTTATGGCACGCCCTGGCCTGAGGTACCTATTCTGCTCGTGTTTTGTTGCTTCCTTCTCTTCGTGTCGTTTGCACTTTCCTGCGAATGCTATTTTCTGCCCCTTACTCGACCAAGATACAACATACAGCTCGCTCAGGAAGGAGGCCTTTGAACAGTGCCGTCTAAAACAAGCAAGAGCGATGCTTGCACCCGGTGAGATTGACTCTGGAGTCCAACGTGGGTCAGACCAAGCTTTACGCTAGGTTAAGCACAGTTTTCTCTCCTCCCCACACAGTACGAACATCATTTTGGAGTACAGAGTGCATTGTACCTTGACATTCAGCAACGGTGTTGCAACAGTACGAAGCGTGCCGTTGCCGTCTCGTCTTCTTTGTAATAATCGACAACCAGGGTTGGTACATCGTATGTCGTAAGCAACTGGCTCTGCTGATGCGGCGCGGCATTTGATTCGCCCGGGAGGAAGGGCCAAGCCGCGAGTCCTCTTGTTTTTGTTGCTTTTTAATGTACGACATACGGCATGCGACATACACGTACACTTACGAGGTGCGTTGGCCGTTTGATAGAGCTCCCTACTGAGTTGAAGGTTTACGCTTTTCTCGTACTGCGTGCTTTTTGGCTTGCCTGTCTACCTGTTTGTTATGAAGTTTCCCATGCTGATCATCCCTGGGCAAAAAGAAACACTATGTGTGGGGAACGGTGGGCGCACGCGGTCTTGCTTCGGCGTGTCCGCCACCGCCCCGTTCGCTCTTTCCCTCTCCCTGCGGGGATGCTTTTGAGGACGAGGCAAGGAACCCCAAAGGAGAAAGGAAACAACGACAGTGACAAAAACAAAACGGGTGCAGGCGCACATATACGCTACTCGCTGGACACAAGAGACGGAAAGGTAAGATACTAAAACTCCGCACATGACATGCTCGGAGAGAAATTCAAAAGGACAAAATGTAACGACGTGAAGTTGCCGCGAAGCACGCTAGTGGTTGTTTGGAACTATGGACTGAATAAACCCTAACTGGTGGATGGACCAAGACACAAGCTAGAACGGCAAAGGAACAAAAAGGCAAGACAGAATTTGAAATAAACCAAATCAAACCGAGGCCATGGCTAGCGACGAATCCCAGGGTCATTCCAAAAAGAAAACGATGTCGGAGGAAACGGAGCCTAGGACACGAAAAAAAAAAGATAAAAAAGATAAAAAGTGGCACCGGTCTTGGTCAAGCCATGAATGATCCGTACGAAGTACGGTGTACAGCTATGCTTTTTGTCGTATCTTAATTACTGCATGTACAGAGCACACGTCGAGTTTGGCCGGTGGGTAAGCCACCGTGTAGAACTGCAGGCGGACCACGCAGGGCAATGGTGACCACGCAGGGCAATAGTGACCACGCAGGGCAATCCTGGTACGCTTCTTGGAGGGCCAAGCCGGTAGTTTTGGGTGCGCGTTTTCGTTAACGACCTTCTATCTTGGGCCAAACGCGAGCGGGACGTGGCGCCAGCGAGCGGATGCAAAACGGGCAACGGGTTTGGAGCTCGGAAACGAAACAGAGAAAACAGAGAAATAATCAAAACGAAAATGCCCGTGCTTTTCTGTATGTCGGCCTCCGCACACCGAGAAGAGGACAAAGTTCGCCGGGGCTGGGCATGGGACAGCACACTTACGATAGTCGGGGAGGGTCTAGACGGAGCGTGTAAGTCTACGAACTTCCTGAAACGGGACAGGGAGGGAAAGGCTTCGAAGACAAGCATTCAAAAGGTAGCGAAAATATGAGCGAGGTCAGAAATGCCCAACTTCCCCGTGGGATATATTTTGTGTGAAATATATGTCATTTACTATTATGAGAGGTTAGGTGTGGACTCGGCGGCTACTCAGCCAGCTGCAGGAAAATTAGGTTGTGAAAAGTCCCGGGACGGGAAGGGACATAACCATACCTATTCATTTGCAGCATGGACCTCGCCAGCTCGCCTAGGAATCTACGGAGCTCGACGTACAGCGATCGTCTATGGCATGCAATCTCGAACTGAACCTCCACGAGCCTTGCTATCTGTGTTTTGTGTCTCTCACTTGCATTGGTTCCCAGCTCGTGGGACGATCAACATGAACGACGAAACGGAATACGATAAGGACGAGTGGGAGAACGTGTGGTGAGACAGGCTCACAAGTTTGGTTGGACCACTAGTCCCGGCAAGGAAGAGTTGAGAGAGCTCGAGGAGGGTGCCAGGGTGCCTTGATTTCCCTGCTTTCTCTGCTTTTCCCTGCATGGCGTGCCGTGTTCCCTGCCCCGGCTCATTTTTTTTCGTCCATTTACAAAATGGCACAGCTTTTTGTCAGCGGGAACTAACACAAAAAAAAAAACTCAGAGGTTGCGAAACGGAAAGCCTGTTCACAAAATACGTCAGGTCACAAGACTTTTTTTTCTCTACTTTCTGGATGGGGTAACTAGCGTAGGATTCCATGCTGCCTTTCGACTTGAAGCGGAGTGAGATTTCTACTTCAACCGGATCACGGGTGAGATGACGTGAACGGAGATGTCAAGACTCTTTGTCCCTTTTTTGTGTTCATGGCTTCCCCTTTCCTTTTCGGGGCCAAAAGACTCCCTTGTGGAAAAGAAAAAGAGAGTCGCTTAGCGTACAAAGGTAAACAACGATCAAAAAGAGCCAATATGGGCCTCTTCTCTTTCCGGGGACCATGGTTGCGGCTCGTTGGATGATGATGCCTGTTTGGAGTTTTCTTTTTGTTTCTTCCCATGAGGAGGTGCAGTACCCTTATTGTGGGGCCATCGATGGCAATCGGCGGCACCTTTCCTACCTTAGCGCTAGCGCAGTGGAGGATCGTCGGCGGAGGGTAAAGAAGAGGAAAAGCAAATGACCAGAACGGCCAAAATGGTGGGGTACATAGCTCCATGGGGCCATGTCCTACTGCTGAGTACAACACCTGGTTGCAGCACAGCGCACAGCCAAGCAGAGCCAGGAAACGCGCGCCCAACGACATACTTCGTAGTTTCCAATTGGTGTGCTCTTAGCTGTTCAAGGTGCCTTCGCCAGGTTTTCTGCTCTTCCCAACTCGCTTGCAACATCTTGGGCTTCCTTTTCTGGCCGCCCTGTCTGCTCCTCTGTGTCTTTCTTTCCTAGCCGCCGGAAATGCAGGATTTTCTTGTTCCGGCACCCTTCACTCTCCATCTCCGTCTCCCCCTTGCCAACAAAACTATGACTCTGTTTCCCCTCATTTCTCACCCTAGGCACCGTTGCGTTCGCTCTCTCCGAGATGGTCGGATGGCCACAAGGTTAGCCGGTCCAGTCGAATGAAAGAAAGAAATGGAGGACTCTCGCGGTGGAGACGAGACGATGCAAATGGCCATCCGTGGCTTCCGGGGGCGCGTTCGACAGAAACCAGCAACGTCCGAGATGCAGTGACAAAAGTTTGCGCTGGATGTCGTTGTTGAAGAAAACGACCGTCGTCCCCGCATTTTTTTTATTTCCTTACAATTAGCTACGATGTACGATGTAAGAAACGGCTTCCGTGCCGCCCCCACGATATACACCAAGAGACATAGCCGATTATGTATGCAGTACTCTGTCCGTCGTACACTTCACGATGTTAAACTATTACAGGACCCGTAGGGATGTAACCCCGGACTTCTCCGCCGGTGTGATGTCGTGTGTTGGTGTATGGGTGGCGCCCAAGTATGGTGTTTGTGTGTGTGCCGTTCTGAGAGTTTCGTCTAAAGTGAAGCATCGTGAAGAAGCGACAGCCGAAGGCGGCTGCACTAAAAAAGGGACAGTGCGCCACGCACAACCGCTTTCGGTAGTGCCTAACCATGCAAGCCGCATATGGCGCGCATTGCCATCGCATCGTCGATTTCACGATCAAAAAAAAGAATTGGGACAAGGGATCGGATGCCAGTCGAGAGTTTAACGTAATACTAGATATCTAAACTTTGTCAAAAGTCCAGCCATTGTCGGGGAGACTTTCTCCTACAAAAAAAAAAAAAAAAAAAAAAAAAAAAAAAAAAAAAGGTAAAAGCAAATTTAATAAACACTTTTGCGGGCGACCGTGTTGCCGCTTTTGCCGACAAAAGAACTCAAAACACTGTCCTTGAGCAGCGGTCGAGGCAAACAATGTTTCCCTGCACTGTATGGGGCCTCGATGCCCACTGAAGCCTAACTGCCTTAGCGCACCCTGTTTGTGCTTTGGCGGAGGTTGGGGAATGGCTACGAAGGCCCCTGAGCACTTGTGCCCAACCCATCAAGCGTCCAGACCACGGGGGTTTTCTACTAGAAACGCCCGTAGCGTCTGGGGCGGGGCTTTAGGTGGACGAGCTAGTGTCAAAACATCTAGAACTCCACCAAATTGCCTGTCGCTGACCTCTACCATAGAGTCACGAGAAGTCCCAGACAAGCGGACCAAGGAAACAAAAAAGAAAGGAAAAAAGAAGACACATTCCTTACACATAGTCTTGTTTCTAGGACGTTTGAATCTGGACTAACAAATGTTCCAAATAAATATCAAAACAGGTGATAAATTACGAAGCACCAACAAAACAAACAAAAGTTTACCTTGCAAACACTTACCATTCTTTTCTCAGGCCGTTCTATATCTAGTAGGAGACCATGGACGATGCGACCAGTCGCTAATGGTTACTTTGTTGGTGTATGTCGTACAGGGACGGAGAAGATAAGACAAAAAGCCCTCACCGTCATAATACTTGCGGGGACAACCTGGAGAGCCCACGAGGACACCCCATGGAGAACGGCAAGACAACACAGACATACGACGTAAGGGCGTGCGAGCAAGTCTGGAAACGGATATGAGCTTTTCCTGCAGGAATCTCTTCCGGCATCTATTGCGTCCGTCTTCTCTGCAGTTACCCGGTCTGCACACCGAGCGGTATCTTGCAGGAAGAGTTGAGACGGGAGTGGCAACTAGACGGTCTAGATCGTCAAAAGTTGTTGGACCTGTTCATCTTGGTCCTCTGCCAATCAACACATAATCCTAGCCGTTTTAGCTCCAGCTACGTTGCGACATCCATGATCGCTCCATGGCCATGGCGTTGAACTTGCACTGTCAGATGCTTTTCTCGGACAGAAATTTCCACGAGAGTTTTGACGACGGAATTGTCTCCATTGCCATTGCCAGTATCCACTGGCATTTTTATAACCCCGTGCCACCGTAGTCCATAATTACGTCCTCCTGCAAGGATCGAACGAGAGACAACAAGCAGCACACTCACCGCATCGAGTTGCCCAGACGAGATCAGGTACCTCACAAAACTCAGACCGTGGCCTCAGAAAGGTCGAAAACAGCTCGGAAGACAAGGTGTGAGCAGGTGCCATTCACTGCTCCGTGTAGAAAAGCAACCCACCGGAGATTGTTAATGTACCTTTTCCAACGGATATATGGCGAGGATGTACGACGAATTTTGAGGCTTTTTTTGTACATCCGTACGGGCAGCTCCTTTTTCACTTTCTGGATTTCTTATTTAGTTGTATTGCCACATATAAGAGCAGAAATCTGGCTAGGAATGATAAACGGTGCAGTTTGGGAAACTAACTGACACAAGTACACACCCTTGAAAAATTTGAAGAACTTCCGAAAGGAACTTTTACAAAGTAACCGTCCAGCACAAAGCACAGCAGAGAAAAATAACTGTTTGGGTAGCAGCTCATTGTTCTCCATAACCGGCCGGAAGATGCCACTAAACTCATGATTGGGCATTGACAGCGGCATCTTGTCAGTCACATAGATAATACATGAGTTGGCGTGGACTTGGACAAAAGATAGCACGATGCATGTATGAAAGTGTTGCCCATTCAGGCTTCGTGAAACTCGTGGCTTGTCATTGGTTGTTTTCGTTTCGTGGCCGTGTTAGTCGAAAACGTCCCACATTCAAGTGCACTGAGCTTTAGAAGATTGTTTAGGGCAAGCTCTTATCCACGTGAGTGGTCGGGTGGCCTAATGGTAAGGCGTCACATTTCGGCTGTGAAGATTGGGGGTTCGAGCCCCTCCTCGATCGAAAGTTCTTTTTGGGGTCGATAAACTTGAGAAAAGGGGAAGGTTGTTCTCTTTTTTGTTGAATTTTATTCGCTCCTATTTTTATTTTTCATTAATTAATTTTTTATTTCACTTACGGATTTTTTTAGTCTAAGCAGTGTCCCCAAATACAAGGAAACATTCATCGACGGTTTATATATGACGACAAAAGGTTCCATGCTTGCGTACACCTAGAAAGCAACCGAGGTCATTTACACAACCGTCAACGCCTTGACCCGTCTCCTATTTTGTCTGATGTGCAAATTGACGTCACTACGGTCGTTCCCGATGGTCTATATCATATTAGCACTAAAGATGATACAAAAACAGGCTAAGGACACATGTTTCTAGTAGGTACGGATTACCAGCGGCACGGTTGAGTGTGAGGCAGTTGGATAGACTTTCCCACACGCCTTTTGACGATCTTCCGTCCTTGCCCTGCCATGTCACGATGCAGTGTACTCCGCCCTAGCTCAAACGGGCATCTCACAGCCAAGGGCCCCCTTCACCCTCCCACTCCAAACCTGCACGCTGCAGGGATCGTCGTATTTCATGTACTCGTTAAATGCCCTTCATTTCAAGATAAGTATTTCTTGGATGGTAAAAGTGGGGGAATCGGGACCTGGGTGGTTTCAGTTCATCATGTTCCGGCATTTTCGTTGTCCCGGTTGGCTGGTCGGCCCAACTCATCTGTCTGGCCCTCGCTGCAGGTTGTCGCCTTTGTCCTCTTGCCTCTTCCCTCTCACCGTATTGTTTTTCCTTTTCGTTAAACGTTCTCGTTTCCATTTTTGTTCGTCATTTCTCGACGTTCCACCTTTTGGCATGCCCACGAACCAGCTCACGATCCGAGTATCAAGTCAGCCCCGTCTACTGGGCTGCCTGGGCATTTACTTTGGCCCGTTCCTGCGCTTGTGTGGAGGACGCAAGTTCATCCTCGGCCGTCCGCTTTGGCGGCTGCTTGAAGCCACCAATTGGATCGCACATGACGTAGCAGACGCCAACCATGCAGAAGAGGATCGTGTAGATCCCGGCAAGGTTCGTAACATCGGACGCGGTCCACGGTTCCATCGTGTCGGTATTCGTGTGAGGACTGAGAGGGTGGAGGTGAGAGTTGAGGAGGTGCGTATGCGTCTGGAAAGAGAGTGAGAAACAGGCTGATGGTCGGCGTTATGTGTTGGGTTGCATCCGAGGCTGAATGATAGGGACCATTTATCGTATCTCGTACAACAGTCTAGGTCGGGCAAAACGGTTAGTTCTCGTGGCTGCAGTTGGACGTCGTTGGTGGTCGTCGTTGTGATGCTTCTAGCCATACCAACCAAAGAATAGCTTCGTTTGGGGAGTGCTTACCTAGAGAGCGCGATTTTTGATCTAGACCTCTTAGAAGGTATCGTTCACTCGTGTCTCGTGAAGGAGCGCAATGCCGTCGCAATAGGAAATCAACAGTTGTTTGGGAGAATATCGCGAGAACAGTCAAGAGTCAAGAAACGGAGAGGTTGGAATGGAGTGGCTATCCCCAACAATCGGAGCTATCGGGCATGTGCAGAGGAGCTTCCGACAAGACGCCAGTGGTGAATAAGTCCATTCGTCAGCTACTTGGCGGTGGGTCTTCGGTGCGCCAACATAGTGTCTAGCAACAGACACCAATCAAACAGTGCAGCACCGATGCAACGACGAGAAAAGCAAATTAAGAGGCAGCAATTTGTGAACGAAAAATGTGTATGTCCAAAATGAGTTAAATCGCAAAGCAAGAAGGTACGATCCTCGAGTCGCTGCCAATTGAGACTTCCTGGGTACGATGTCGGAAGGTACGATGGGTCTGTATTATGGTTTTGCAATTGGCATGTGACGTCACGACTGCTTGTTTCCCCACGATTGGCACACACGAACCAATGCTGTGTCCTCCACATTTCGCATGCGAAACAGCTTCACACGCGCAAGATGCTTGGTGAACACTGCAGGGGCAACCTCGCGTGGGCTGTATGTCAACGTGTATCAAGTAAAGAGCCTCAAAGCTTGAAGGATGCAAAAGCCAGAGACATTATACTGGGTTTGAAGCTTGATGCTTTCCCGTGTCGAGTGGGGTCGCTCTTTCCACCCCCGCAAACAAGGTCCTTCCAAGTCGATCGTGTCTGCACTGACGGAGTATCAATCCTGGATATCAGATGGAAAGAGCGATGCAGTTGCTTGGTGATCGGCGAAACAAGGCTGGCACAGAGCCCATTGTTGGCGCAGTAGCGAGTTCCTGAGGCCGTCGCTTTGTTGCTGCCCCGCGTGGCGCAACGGCTTGAACGGCTTGTCGGCATGCCGCCGCCAAACCGAGCTAAGACTTTAACGTCTCAACCACCCCTCGACCTTTCTCCACGTTTGAAAGCACGCCTTTTTAATCGACTTCAATCGCCCCGACTCTTTTCTCACGGTTCCTTATCACCAGCGACGGCCGCATGTTCTCACCCGTGTGCTACCTCACCGACGCCGACATAACCATGGCTTCTTCGACCCCGCTGCGCGTCGGCTACGTGCCCGAGCACTTCTCGACTCCCATCCACTACGCAAAGACACTCTTTGGCCTCGATGCCGAGACGATCCCCTACCCTTCCGGTACCGGCCACATGATTACTGCCCTGCGCGCAGGCGACATTGATGTCGGCATCGGCCTGACCGAGGGCTGGGTGGCTGGACTGGGCAAGGAGGAGCCCGGCCAGGGCGGCTACCAGATTGTCGGCACCTACGTCGAGACGCCGCTATGCTGGGCCATCTCGAGCGGCTTTGACCGCACCGACATTGCGTCTGTCGACGACTTGAAGGGCGGCAAGATTGGTGTGTCGCGTATTGGATCGGGCAGCTTTGTCATGGGATACGTGCTCGCGGACCAGCAGGGCTGGCTGACAGCGGGCGATCCGGCGGACAACAAGCCGTTCTCGGATACGGTGATCCTCAACACGTTTGAGAACCTGCGCAAGGCAGTCAACTCGGGCGCGGCGGATTTCTTCATGTGGGAGCACTTTACGTCGAAGCGGTACTACGACAACCAGGAGATCAAGCGCGTCGGCGAGATCTACACGCCATGGAGCAGCTGGAAGATTGTGGCGTCGACGGCCGTGGTTGGGTCGCCAGACAAGGAGGTGCAGCTGCAGGACCTGTTCAGCAAGCTGGACCAGGGCATTGCTCACTTTAACGCCAACCCGGAGGAGTCGGTCAAGTACATCAGCACGGCTCTGGACTACTCGGAGGAAGACGCGCGGGAGTGGCTCAAGACGGTGCGCTTCCCCAAGAACACGAGCGGTGTGAGTCTGTCGACGATTGAGAACTGCATCAGCATCCTGCAGAAGGCAGGCGTACTGGTCAAGGGCAAAGGCGCCGGTGCGAACGCCATGATCACCAAGCAACGATAGACTGATGAATATGTAAATGAATAAAATTTATATGCACAATACTTTGCAGTGGTTATTTTCTCAATAAATTTGGGGCAAATATGTGAAATATGCATACAGACCATTAAGGCTAACGGCCCGCAGTGAGCTTCGCAAAGGGGCAGAGAGTACGGGGTAGAGGACTTTTGCCACCGCTTGTTGGAGAACTCGATGAACCCTGCACTCTTTTTAAGTGTCTTGGGAGCAATATCGACGGCTATTACGTGTTTCTTGGGCAAGGTACATACGTAATGGCCATCTTCCGTCCAAACGCGTACAAAGCTCCGCGGCATAGCACGGCGGCTAGAGAAGCCATATTAAGTTTGCATTCGACTCCCGGGATAAACAGCCGACGGCGAGATTGTATTACCGTAGCCCTTCAGTTTCTGTTATTTTCCCCTCTGCCCCATATGCCATTGGTGATATATGTTTTATTATCGATGCAACCCCACAGATCCGGTATTCGAATGCAGTCTTGGCCCAGGCTACCCTCTTTAACCGAAGATTGGTATCATAAATGGAGTTTGTTTGGTTCCTGCGGCTAATTCAATATAGGACGGCCACATCGGGATGAGGGAGAGCGGAGAAACGACCTCAGTCCTCGCTACTCCACATCTTGAAGATGCGCAATATACCACAGAAAGCGCATGTGTTCGTTGCAGATCGTGGTTTGGCCCATTCGTATATTGTGAGTGTCTTGGCATAGGTAAATGTGTGCCGCCCGCCGGTACACTTGTGTCGTTCAGAGAGCCTTCACCACTACGATACACTCGAACATTGCACAAAATGCGCAGCCATTGGGATATGGTTTGGGCGAATTGCTTGGTTTATCCTAATAGGAAAAATAACTAAACACATAATTTACACGGGCATTAGAAAGCGTGCGGAAATTAGGAGGTGTTCGTGAGGGGCCTGTTGGAATCCTCGCTTGAGACCTCAGTACAAACAGACATAAAAACGAGCGTTCTCCAGGTTCCTGGATTTGACGTCGAGTCAGGTCTGTGTTTGTTTTGTTGCCAACTCCAAAGCATTTAATTCATCATTCTTTATCCCATCCAACTATGAAGTCCACTTTCCTTCTCTTGCTGGCGCCGCTGGCCGCCATTGCCGCGCCCGCGGCCGATGTCTCGCCGCGCCAGGCCACCCAGAGCATCGACGCGCTTATGAAGGCCAAGGGCAAGCTGTACTTTGGCACGTGCAGTGACCAGGGCCGTCTGACGACGGGCAAGAACGCGGCCATTATTGAGGCCAATTTTGGCCAGCTGACGCCCGAGAACAGCATGAAGTGGGAGAGCACAGAGAGCCAGCAGGGCAAGTTTACGCTGTCGCAGGCGGACTACCTGGTGAACTGGGCGACGGAGCACAACAAGACGGTCCGCGGACACACGTTTGTGTGGCACTCGCAGCTGGCCGGCTGGGTGAGCCAGATCCGCGACAAGGCCAAGCTGACGTCGGCGATCCAAAGCCACATCACGACCATTATGACGCACTTCAAGGGCAAGGTCCGGGCCTACGACGTGTGCAACGAGATCTTCAACGAGGACGGCTCGCTGCGCAACTCCGTGTTCTCGCAGGTGCTCGGCGAGGACTTTGTCAAGATTGCCTTTGAGGCTGCCCGTGCTGCTGACCCGGACGCCAAGCTGTACATCAACGACTACAACCTGGACAGCCCCAGCGCGGCCAAGCTGACCAACGGCATGGTTGCCCACGTCAAGAAGTGGCTTGCTGCAGGCATTCCCATTGACGGCATTGGCTCGCAGGGCCACATCACCTCTGGTGGTGGTGCCAACCTGGCTGGTGCCATCAAGGCGCTGGCTGGTACTGGCGTCAAGGAGGTTGCCGTCACGGAGCTTGATGTTCAGGGCAACAATGCCGCCGACTACGCGACGATCACCAAGGGCTGCCTTGCCGAGTCTGCTTGCGTCGGTATCACTGTCTGGGGTGTTCGCGATCCTGTACGTTATTCAGTTTTGCTGGCTTTTGTCTCGTTCAAATTTGCTTCTCTGTTTCTCGCGTCACACCTATGCTAACTCAACTAGGACTCGTGGAGACCCTCGGGCAACCCACTGCTCTTCGACTCCAGCTACGCGCCCAAGGCGGCGTACAACTCCATTGTCGCGGCCCTCTCGTAAACAGGACCCAAAAGAAATTGGTGAAAAGTCTTCCGAATTTGACAGAAAGTGACCGAGACAAAAGAAAACGACCTTTCAAAGAGTGCAGAGTGTACATAGTCGAGCCGCAAAATTCAGTTGAGTTTGTCCCACTATTTACAGCCTGCTGTGGTCCAAGTACGTGAGGCCAGAGTTACTGGTAACAATGGCATCGTAGTCAAAGGGCCGGTTGCGATGCAGCGGAATGTGGTTGTAGCGAGGGTCAAAGACGGCTGCGTAGGTCATGCGGTAGGCGCTGAAGGCCATCGTCGTGCCAATCGCGGCTCCGGCCAGTATGTCGTACCAGTTGTGGAAAGCATCAATAGTCAGTGCACCGCCAATGAGCGTGGCAACGAGAATCGGGGCGTAGAACAGATGCATCTTCCACAGCTGGGTGTGCTGATGCGAGAATATCTTGAATTTGCCGTTCATGTACAGACTGAGGAAGACAAACCCAGCAAACCCGGCTGTAGTGTGACCCGAAGGGAAACTGGATAGAGCGTCATTGATTTGGCGCGGGTCGCCCGTGCAGATCTCGCGGGTGTAGTACATGTTGTTGAAGCCAGACGCAATGTAAGCCGACTTGTGAGGAGGCAGCGTTTTGGCGAGGGACAGGTCCGGCTTGCACACGTCTAAGAAGTGAGGGCGGAGACCGCCGATGAGCCACTTGATGATGACCTGGAAGACGACCGAGTTGCTGAGCGAGTACAGCACGCCAAAGATTGCATTGTTGGCGTCCCAGAACGAACGAACGTACAGCTGAAGCAGCACTAGGATCACCACCGGCACAAAGGGACCAAGGAATATGGCCAACCAAGACGGGATGATTTCATCGCGCAGAGGGAAGGCGAACTGCGGATAGACAACCTCATTGTTGTGGTTGAAGACGGCGAACGAGCGAGACGCCGGCGGTTTGGAGAGGTACAGCTGGAAGAGCTATTTATTAGTGTCGGGCGTCCGTAGTGGGACATTTATAGGTGCAGAAGAGGAATCGATTCCAAGCACATATAAATGGGATACAGGAGGGAACTCACAATACCTGCAGTTGTAGTGGTAGCCAGAATTGTAATAATGTCCACTATTGAGTAACGTATCCATTTGACGGCAAAGACGCCAAAGTCCTTTGCAGGCGAGATCATGCGATTCAGGAAGCAAAAGCAGCAACGGCAGCAATAGCAACAGCAGTGCAAGAAGCAGTGGACGACGCAACAGACGTGATGGCAGAACCAGCAATAGCAGTGCAAGAAGCAGTGAATGACGCTACAGAAATAATGGCAGTAGGAGCTTAACGGGAAGGCCATGATGAAAGCAACCACAATTCGCACAATCGCAATCACGCGGTCGACCGTTGATGCTGGGGGTGGCGGAGGCGGCTCATTGGATGTCGTCGGGCTTGTAGTTTGGCTTGCCAGGGGTACTGTATCAAGCACTGACTTGGATAGCAGCAGTTCTGACATGTCGTCGGCTGAGCTCATTTTGACGACCGGTACCTTGGCGTCTGCCTCGGCCTTTGAGCCCCACGTTGGGAAGTCAAAGGAAACCGAGACCTTGAACCAAGGAGAAGAGTAGGATGTGCTGACGCGTTGAGCGAGCTGGTCCGAGTTCATAGGGCGCTGGCCAGAAAACAGAACATAGGAAGTGAGAACAAGAGAAGGGGAATAAAAGAGAAGAAAGAGAGGAAGAACCTGCAGTGAAGTTGTCTGTGAAAGCTCTAGGATACGGATAAGGATGAAAGGGGCCGGTTGTCGTAGATTGGGCGGTAAGAAACTATGAAGAAAGTTAAGAAGAGATTAGAAGAGAAGAAGTAAAGGAGAGGAGAGTAAACAAAGTTAAAGCAGGAAGCAAGGCACGAGACACGGTGGACGGTGGGATACGTCAGGACGATGATGCGGCAAGACTGTCAGATACCTCTGGTGGCGCTTTCCCTGAGATGCGAGAGAAAAGGTGTAACAGCGGCCGCTCTTTCCTGATATTAAAAGACAACACCACGGAGCTGGGGCGCGCTTGCCGTGAGGCGAACGATGACTGCAAGAGCAGTTCTCTCCGCTTCTTCCAAAATGGCTTGCATCCTGTCCCTTTGAGTTATCCGCTCCTTCCTCGCAGGCCCCAACGTAGCTGCCCAATTCGAATGCTAGAATTTTCCTCACTGTGTGCCTTCCAGATATCGACGTTGGTGCCGGCCGTTCTTTCTCTTGTTGACAGCAGACGTGCATCGCTGCTTCCGAAACGAATTAAATATGGTTTCCTTCCCTTTGGATGCCATTGCAATGTGTCCATGCCCTCTCCTAACAAAAACGATACCATTCGTCACTTGCCTCGTAATACGGACACATTATGATCGCAGTGAAACTCAAAAAGACAGCACCGATTGTCCCTGGACTACTCATTGGTAAAAGTTTGATGACGTTTTCCATTTTCGCTGCTCATCGTTTACTAAATGGAACCAGAATACCACGCCTGCCACGGAAACCTTACCACGGTTTCCGCTCGCCGTCCTTGCCAAAGAAGGCAACATTGTCCTCGTCTTTCAGGCCGTGCAACACCTTGAGCATGCCCGACACGGACTCCGACGGCTCGAGCAGCGCTCCATCTCCGCCCAGCCGCGTCTTGACCCAGCCGGGGTCCATGGCAATAACGACGGCCTGCGACAAGCCGCGCGCGCGCACGTCGTAGCCCTGGTGCACCGTCAGCATGTTGAGGGCGGCCTTGGTCAGGCTGTAGCCAATGCTCTTGCGGGGCTCCATGGTGGCGCTCAGTGCCAGGCTGCCGAGACCCGACGTCATGTTGAGGATGCGCACGGCGGGCGCCAGAGCCTCGCGGTCGACCAAAAACTCGACGACCTTGGCGGGGCCGACAACATTGACAGCCATTTGCTCGGTGAGCAGGACGGGGTTGAGTGACAGGCTGTCCTGGTCAGGCGGGGTGCCGTTGATGCCAGCGTTGACGATCAAAAAGTCAATTTTGGTATGGGACGGACCCGTGCTGCCGGCGAGGACGTTGCGCGCAACCTGATTGGCGAAGATGTGGACGGACTGGACGTTGGACACGTCGCACTCGACGATGTGCGTGGCGGGGGAGGCGACGGCATCGAGGTCGGTGCGGTCGGCATTGGGCCGCACGGTGGCGATGATGGTGTTGTCTGGAGACTTGGCGAGCTGTCGCACAAACTCGAGGCCGAGGCCCCGGTTCGTGCCCAAGATGCAGTATGTAGGCATGGTGCTGTTGGGAGGTGAGTAACGAGGAAGAGGGCGAGGACAATTGTATGGAAAGGAAGAGATGCGGTAACGACGACTCTACGGAACTATCAATGGCAGGCTATGTCTTGAGGAAGGTGGAGGTTTTGAGAGCTGCCAAAGCTAATCAGCCGCGATTAGCTCTGCGGATCGAGCTGCGCATGTCCATTGGCCAGCCAGATCAAGCTTTGACAGTAGCTTTGGTACGAGCTTTTGGTACCAACTGGCAGAAGTGAGGTTGAGCTTGGGAATTTCCGACAACTTGACAACATGAGTTCGCCACTTTGTTAATTTCCAGGTTCTTAAGTTATGTCTTTACTTCAATTCTTTTATTTATCATATTCGATAGTATGCCTAACAGGTCAAGTGCAGCATTTCAGCATCGCATGGTTGAATAACCCGCGTCTCACGACTCCCTCACGATCCCAGAGACACCACCTTTGTGACTTCTACAATTTTCTGGAAAAAAAGAAAGTTAGCAAGGAGTTTTATAGCATAACTACCACCCCCAGATGATTGCTTACCGACGGGCTACCACCAAATCCACCACCACCGGGCCTGCCAGGACCGCCGAACCTACCGCCGATTCGCTTCTGTGGCGGCTCCGGCGCAGTGTCAGCGTCGTATGAGGTCGTCTCAAACTTGATAGCGCCAGGCTCGCCGCTGCCACCGTTTTTGACGTACGCCACATAGTCGGGCGCACCGGGGTAGTCGGTGTTGTCGGCCACGATGAGCGAGCCGACGCGCAGCACACCGAGCGACTCGCACAGCTGCAGGTCGGGCTTGTAGCGAGGCTCCCAGTGGTCGATGAAGACGACGTCGACCGAACCGGGCGGGAGGACACCATCGGTCACGAGTTTGCTGAGAGACACATCGCCGGGGCCTTCAAGCACGGTAATCTGGGACGCCCGGCCGGCCGCTTTGGCAAAATCGCGAGCGATCTGGGCCTTGGCCGGGTCGAGCTCGAACGTATAGACGTGGACGTCGGCATCCCCGCCGCCCTTGTTGACTTCTTCAAGAAGTGTCACCCAGCGAAGGGCAGAGTAGCCGACATAGGCGCCAAACTCAACGAGGATGCGGGGCGGGACGGGCATGGCGGCCAAGGCAGCGGCGGCCTGGGCCATCTTGGCCGGTCCAAAGAGCATGGGCACGCGGTTTTCGCGGGCATAGGCCTCAATGGCGGCAGGCAGAGCTTTTGGGTCGCTCTGAAAGGTGGCCTGTTGGTCAGCGGGTAGGGCGAGGATATGCTGGTGCAAGCCGGCGGCGCGCTCGGCGACCATCTGTTCCTGCGAGAGAGGAAAGGGCATGTTAGTCACAACGAGGAACGCACTGCGTAGAAACAGAAGAAAACATACAAAGTCAGGGTGGTATTGGTGCGACATGATGATGTGGTGGGAGTTTGAGGTATTGTAGTCTGAAAGGTAAGATGCACTCTACAAGCGACTTGAATGGGATACAGAAGAGAACACAAAGGAAAGGAAAGATCAAGACAGCTTCGGACAGAACCAACACTTCTGTCAACTCTTATAGAAACAAATTCCTTCGTCCTGAATCCCACGTCGGACGTCGGACATATGCCCGTTGTCTCTCGGAGCCATGCCCATTTGCCATTATGCCAACCCATCCAGGGATTCAAAGGATCGAATGATATGCGCCCGCCTCAAACCGCATGCATAATAGTTGGTTGTCCTTTGTCAACCGGTAGTGGCCATGACGCGGCTTCGCAGCGGGAAGTGTAAGTGAGCTGCTGTAGGTCGGGCTCTTTGTTAGTGGAACCTGGGGCCTTATTTTATCGCCGAGCCGTCCCGCAGCAAAGACTGCACGTAGGCGATTTAAATCCGAAGACAGGGCGACTTCCGACTCGCAGGACACTTTCATCTGCCGTTTTCTCCTGCTATGCTTCCATAATAAGACTGTATGGTGTACTATCAGCGTCCCCTTGCCGGACAATAAATCAAGGCGGAGCTCGGGCGCATGCATCATAGGGTAATTGTTTTCAGTATATTAGGAAAGACATGATTACAGCGGTGACAACTTGGTCTCATATCCCTTTTGTGTTTACACAGTGCCAGACTCCGGTTTTCAGTTGCCAAGCATCTTTCTCTTCTGTTTCTCCCGCAGCTACACCGACTCTGTACTGCACCGCTACAGAATGTACACGGCCAGCCGCGAGTCATACACGTCGCTCTTGTTGATCTGCACGTCCTTCTTGTGGAAGTCATGAAGCATGAGCCAGCAGATCATCCGGAACGTCAGCGTGAACCAAATGTTCTCAATATCACGCACCGTCGTCGGCCGCGTGAACGTGTCCTTCTCGCGCTCCCGCGCGGCCACCGCCGCGTTGGCGCCGGTGGTCGACTGGCCTGGGGGCGCTTCGCGCGAGGCCGTGGGCGAAGACGGTGACTCCACAGGTGACTCTGGTGACGCAACAGCGGGCGAAGCCGTGGATGGAGCGGTCGACGATGATACAGTGGCCGATATCGAGGCCGCCGCCGACGACAGGGCAGACACAGCAGCCACCAGCGGATTCGTCGACTTGGCGGATGCGGAGGCACTACCAGACTCCGTCTCAGCCACCTCGGCAAGCGCCGACAGCCCCGACGAGTCTTGGCGTGCGAGCTCAATCGCTGTCTCCCGGCCCCGGCGTACCTGGGTATACGTTGACAACGCGTCAGGAATTGGAACCGCCGCGATCCGCTTGCGGATAAAGGTGACGTAGAGACGCATGAGCAGACGGTGGCGCAAGGTCCACGACGCCGTGTCGATGCTGTGCAGTGGGATGTACTGTTCGTTGTAGTACTCGGTGTTGTCGGACGGCGGCGTGTACGTGTGCGGTGTCTGGGCGGCATGCGGCTCGTGCCGGCCGCGGCCATGGTGGGCTGCGGGTGACGACTGGTTGCCGCCACGCTGCCGAGGACCTCCCACGCTGGGCACGGGCGTGTCGTGCGGTTCGTCGTCGGGGCTATATGGGCGAGAATTGAGGTAGCAGAGTACCTCCTGTAGGTGCAGGGCAAAGACGTGCTGCACGAGGTCGTAGTTGCGCTCCAAGAACAGGTCACACCGCTTGATCGCATGGTGCAGTGTCTCCAAGTAGCGCGGGAACGTCTCGCGAGCCTGTACGTCGGGACAAAGTTGGCGCTGGTGTTTTGCGAGGGCCACGGCGTTGGGGTCCGGTATGACGCCCATGCGAATCAGTGTCTTCGTTGTGCGGTGCCGGAATCTCTGAAGGCGACGGGAGAGGGCCGATGGCTGGGCCGGCTTGGCGCGAGGAGGGCCCCGCTTGCGCAAGGCATGGTTGCGAGCGTCGGCCATCTTCTTAACTTCGGCCGTCTTGCGCTGGTCAGCCTGGAAAATGTCATTGCGACGCTTGACGATGGCGTCCTCCGTCGCCGCGGCGATGACAGAATCGATTTCCTTGCGGAGACTGGAAAGACGCGAGCCGCGCGGTAACAGATTTTCCTCCACATTGGCCTCATCCAGCGACCGGCCCAAGGCTTGCATCAAGCCCACGAGCGAAAATGCAGACTTGTTCCACGTAAAATAGGTTGGGTTCGGAAGCATCGTAAAAGCGGTGTGGTGGATTTGCATAGCCTCGCCGACCATGCCCAGCATCTCAAAGGTGACGGGGAACAAATGCGAGTAGCGTGTGTTCTCATTGCCGAGGCGGAAGTAGTTGACCGTGTTCGTGTTGCAGCCAAAGGACACGAGGGTCTCGGCGACTTCGGCGGGCGTGCCCAGCTGCAGCGTGCCCTCGTCTTTCGGCTCGTCCGTGTAGAGCGGTGTCTTGATGCCGGCCTGGAAGATGGTCGGGCAGAAGCCAAAGCACAGCTGCTTGACGCTGTCGTGCGGCACGATGCGGTTCTCCTGGAACCAAGTCTTGCCGACCTTCTCAAATGTAAACGCAACACCAAGGTTCGGCACCAAAGACCCAGTCACGAGGAAGCCGTTGCCCTGTGCGCGGTACAGGTTTTTGCTCCGGTCAAACTCCTTCCAGTAGATGCCAAGCATTGCCATGATTTCGACCATGTGACACATGGCCGTAGTCGCATAGGGCTTCTTCAGGCCGTCGGGCATTGTGTCCCACGACCGCGTCTTCTCCTGCATGCCCACCGCCATGGTGTGGCGGTCTTGCGCTTCCTCGGGCGCAATCGGCACGTAGGGAGTGCAGATGCGTTCCTGCCACTCACGCGATTCACGCTCCATGCGCTGAATCGCCATGAGGAGCGCAAGCCAGGTGGTCATCTCGTTGTCGGCGGTGTGGATCGTATCGCGCGTGTCGGTGCCCTTGAGCTTGGCCCTCTGCTTGATATCAAACTCTTCTGGCGTCCACGTGTGCGTCTTGCGGTAGTTTTCGACGGAACCGTCCATATATACAATCTCCTTTGTATCGTCGTCACCCAGCGGGCCATATGCGTTCTGTGGCGGCGCAACAAATATAACAGGTATCCGGAAGCGGACCTCGAAGCGAAATTGCGTTGCGATGAGCTTGCGTTTGGTAAATTTGGACCAGCCGCCAATGATCTTTTCGTTGCACGACGAGTAACCTTCGGCAGAGCTAAAGTACTGTTGCAGAGCCTGGAGAACGGCAATGATCAGGGCGACGATGGAAATGGCCAGCGCGGCGATGGCGATAATCAACTCAGAGCTGCCACCCGACTGGCCGGAGCCGCCGCCTGAATCGGCTGCCGATGTGCTGTTCGTGCTGTTGCTTGACATGGTCGCAGTGGCTTAAATTGAAGGTGAAACCATACGAATTGCCGGTGGACAGTGTTGCCAGGTGCGGGAAAGGAGGGATACCGTGATACTGTGATGCTGGATGCTGTTTCCCGATAACATCACAATGCCACGGCGAAGAGGAGTTTGTGAAGGGTAGCCTATTTGGGGTTGAGACAAAACGAAGTTCTGAAGATTCGATGTGGGAGAAGAACACTCATGTCGTCTTCTTCTCTTGCTTTTCTATGGTGAAAATCGCCAGGGCCAGACTACCAGAGAGGGCATCTCAGAGAGTTTTGTACGGAGTGCTCCGTACTCGGGCTATTATTTGATCCCCGAACGCGTCGCCATTCTCCAACAGCCGCCTGCCGGCCTCCCCAACCCTGTTTCGCCAACTGCCCACTGATCCTGGTGCCGCGACGGATGGTGGATCTTGTTTACTTCGTAGTGATTCGCCGCGTTGGTAGGTCGAGCAGGGGCCTCCCAGCAAGAGGCTCTGTGGGGAACGGGAAGGGGGCGTGGTAAGAACCTTGGGAAGGATCCCAACCTTGGCCTCACAAATTGGTGCCGGGAAAGGGGGGGAGGGGTTCGAAAATTTGTCACAGCGTGAAGCGGACTGATGACACCCTACTGCTGACAGGCTGCATGGGGCTGAAGACGAAAAGGTTGAAAAACGCGACCCAAAAGGATTTGCACCTGCAAGAGGCGGCCACTTCATTTCCGCATCGAGTCTTGGCACTGCTCAAGGGACAATACATGCTAGTCATGCAGGATCAAAGAGTGGTCTGAAAGGGAATTGCTGATAAGATACGTTTCATAGCTCGAGCCCGCGTCTGTTTGGACGACTGCTATTTGGTGTTTTCGGTTTGTCAAATCTGCACCTGATGTTTTTCCAGATAGTCAACAATAGGCGACCCGCACAGCCCACTGACAGTTCTAGGCTTACAAAACCTGGTGTCCATATATTGCCTTGTTTTGAAAAGGCTCAGGGCCTTTGCTGGCCTGTTAAACGGGTCGCAACAGTTTATTGGCTGGTGTAGAGCTTGGCGTCGAGCCGGAGATTGGAGGAGCTGCGCTTTTGAGAGCACTGCCTCCCGAATGTGCTCAAGTGTCCAAGGCGGCAGTTCGAAATTGGTGGTGTCCGAGGGCTGAGCTTGGCTCTCGAATGGCGCTTGAATAGTGTTGAGACGGCGTCGGAAATCGTCTGGATGGGAAGTTCCGTCCCGAGCCTCATGGATGGAATGTGAAGACAAAAGAGTGTGGATGCGAAATGGGAGAAGCTGAAGACCGGACGCGGGTTGGCCTGTTTCTAATAATAATAATAAAAAGGAGTTTCGCATGTCTCAAGCATAGGAAGGAGCGAAAGACACACCAATGAGGCGAAAATAAGAGACGAAAAGAGAAGGAACAGAAAGGATTAAGAGGTGTACGAAGGCAGGAACGGCACACTACACCTCGTAGCAACCAGGAAGGATCGAACGACAACCATGAAACCAGGAAATAGGCACCGTGTATTCACGGGTTCACTAGGGAGGAAAGAACAAAGTGTGCGCCGAAAACGAAACGTACCATACCCTTGTTCCATGCTGCCGTTCTGCCTTTGATGTTCCCTGAGTGGCTCTTTGGAGTCCTTCACACCAACAACACAAAGTTTAAATTTTCCAAGGCCATTATTTTGCAGCCTAACCCGCGACAGCAGCGTTACAGTCGTAGTCGGGATGCGGCTCTTAACGTTCAGCTGTCCGCTTTGGTCTCAGTGGTACAATTTAGTTGTTTTATTGGTTCTATTATTGGCACACAAATACATTTTCAATAGTGTGAAACCATTTGAAAAGAGAGAGAGAGAGAGAAAAGGAGAGGACAAAAACGCTGAAGTGTCATGTGCTCTGCGCCACCTCGTTAAATAACCTCATTCGCCGTCTCGTTGGCTTGCTGCTGCATCTCTGCTGGTGAGACACCATTGAGCACCCCGTTGGGCAGCATATTCAAGTGGTCCTCCTTCTGGTCGAGGCCGCGGAACGTGAACCAGAAGCCCGTACCTACGACGGCGGCCAGCACGGCTGTGGCACCGTAGTTCCAGACCAGATTGGGGTCTGAGGACAGAGCGACAAAGGCAAAGCCCAGGGCGGTCGAAATGGCGTTCATCGATAGCGAGACGGCCTGGACCATGGACCGCATGTTCTTGGGGGCCTTGGACTGGGCGTACTCGAGGCAGGTCGTGGAAATCAAAATCTCGGCGAGCGACAGCAGTGCATAGGCGCCGCCCTGCGCCCAGACGCTAATGTTCACGTTGGCACAGCGCTCGCCACTGGGCAGCTTGCCAGACGCATACTTGCCGCACTCACTCTCCCTGTAAATGAAGTACTGCAGGGGGGCGGCATAGGCCATGGCAGCTCTGGCAACGGCGTAGCCGACGGCAATCTTCTTGATGGGCGTGAAGTGGATGCGGAAGCGGCGCAGCAGCGGGTAGACGGCCTCGTTGAGCAGCAGGATCAAGACAACGAGCGACACGGACTCGATGGCCAGCAGTGCGTCGTTGGGCACGCCGTCCAGGCGCATCACGGCGGCCTGCGAGATCAGGTTGCTTGTCATCTGGTTGTAGCACAGCCAGAAGAAGGGCATCCATGCAAACACGGCGCAGGCCTTGGCACCACGCGCCACCTCGTCGACCCAGGCGTCGTCAAAGGTCATCCAGCTCGGGCGGTCCGCCGCGGCAATCTGCGACGGCTTGACGCGCTCCCAAAAGGTGCCGTCATTCAGGTTTCGGTAGGTTCTCACGGGGTTGGCGGACCAGCGTCCATGGTTGGCCAGCAAAAACAGCCGCAGAGCCTTGCTCAGCACCGATCCTTGCGGCGGCACACGCACGTACCGTTTGCGGCCGACCAGCACAATGGGCGGGCAGAGGCACAGCATGCAGGTCGGCAGCATAAAGGACAGCCAGAAGCCAACGCGCTTTTCCGCGTACACCATCCCGGCCTGGCCGAAGAGAGCGCCGATGTTGATGAACATGTAGAAATAGTGGAACACGCGCGACGATGTGACGGCTGGGTCGACAATTACTCGCTCACCCGTCTTGGGCAATACGCGGACAAACATGTGGGACGACACGGCCTGCTCGACGACCAGCGGGTTGATATTGGGCTTGAAGCCGCCCGTGCCGACGCCGATGATGAGCATTCTCAAGAGTAGGGCAGCCAGGGAACCCGTGGCTGGCGTTTGCTTGAGGAGTGGCGGCAGCCCAGCGACGAGCAGGATGCCGTGGCCGATGATGTCGATGCCAAGCGCCAGAGCCACGGTCCGGAAGCGGCCCAAGTAGGTGTCGGCGACATAGGCTCCAAACAGGGGCATAAAGTACTGCCAGAAGACGTTGAAGGTGGTGATAGCGGTCGCGGCGCGCTGCCCAAAGCCCATGGCACCCGGCTGGCCATGAAGAGCAGCGCCCGTGAGAGATCCAGCGGGCATCGGCCATTGCACAAAATTTGTGACGACGACCATCACACCATAGTAGGAGAAGCGCTCGCAGAACTCGATGACCGTCATGGTGTAGATGCTGAGGGGAATTTTGTCAGAGATGCGGCGGAGAGTCTTCAGCTCCTCCTCTGTGGGATAGGGGCCGAGCGCATCGACAGGTTCGCCATTCTCGTTACCGTTATCGGTGCGTCTGAGGTCAACATCGACAAAGGACGCATAGTGATAATGTTGCTGGTTTTGGACGCTGCAATCGACGGTTGCAGTTCAGCAGCCGTGTCGCCGGAGGGAATATTTTCAGACATATTGACGTATGAATAGACTGGTAGGTCCACTTAGATAATAACACTAGACAGGAGCAAGCCGTGAACGGATATAATGTGCGGCGAAATGGCACGGGAAGCAGATGGGAAGAAGATATTGAGGAGATGATACGACAGCCAGCCCAGGGCGCTGATGCATTGCTGTTCATCTGACCTTTCTTAGGTCATCGTGAGACGTATTGAAGGCCATGGTGATATCTGGTCTATATTTGTCTAATGTATTTTGTGTATTTCTGTGTTGCTGCTGAGTGAGTGAAGTCGAGTTGGTGACGTTGGTACATGGTGGAGGATTACGAAATACAACACGTTATTAATGACCAGACGGATGAAACCTCTCTTAAAGTAGAAGACGTACTTTTCAACATATGTTAATGGTATAGTATAAGAGAAAAACGTGGGAGAGATGGTGTATGGAGTTGGTCGAAGCAAAAGACTGGGAAAATATTTTATAAGTTAAGTTATAACAAATCAGAAATAATCTAATATAATTTACAGAAATTAAAGATATTACATACACGAAAAATAATAACTTTTATTTTATTTCCCCCGTATCATCCCATTGACATTACAAATATGTTGCTTTTTTCAATCTTCAACTCTTCCACTAAACTCGTTATCTCTTCATATACCAAAGTATCTTGTGGATTTATTGTCGTGACTTGTGCGGAACGGCACGACATACGGGTAATGAGACCAAAGACACAGCAGTGAAGGCATTGTCATTCCTCGCAGCGCTGCTGGGCGCGCCGACCTTGGCCAACTTGACCTTTCTCTTGACGGGCTCCGAAGTAGCGCTTGACAAATCGCCACAGCTTTTGTATATAGTCGCGTTTCCTGGAGAAGACATTGCGTTGAAATTAAACAGGAATCTGCTCTTTCCAAATATATCAAAACAAAATATTGTGAAGAAGGAAGTCGCGACCTGCTTTGCGTCGACGTTGGGAGCAGTGACATAAAAGTGGAGACATCATGAAAGAGTGCACACCGCCTAAGCCGCTTACAGAACTTTGGGCGGGATTCTGCCGTCTGTATCTACACTATCTAAAAAAAAGTTTACAGCAGCCCGTGTACCATCAAATCGCGTAAAAACGAAAGTTGCACCGAGCAGACAGCGACGACTCGACCTAATTCCATTCAATTCAGGCACTTCTCTCTCACGACTACACATACACATACACACAATGTCTGGCGCGGTCTCAAGAAAACGGCGCGGCGACGAGGTCCAGGCCTCCCGGCTAAAGAACGACCGGTTCCAGAAGAAGCGGAAGCGGCAACAGAGTGCCTACCACAGCGACTCAGACTCGATCGAGGGCGGCGACAGCGACAATGACAACAACGACCTCAAGGCACCGACAAGTCTGGGACTCGAGGGAGGCGACGATGACGGCAGCGAAGACGGCTTCCAGGCGGTCGACCTGCTGGACTCGGACGAAGAGAACCTGGATGCTTTGGCCGACGACGGAGCCACGTCGGACGAGAATGACGAGATGGACCTTGACGGTGTGGACGACGACAGTGAGGACGGTGAAGACGACAGTGACTCGCTCGACTCATTGAGTGACGGCGGCAGCGCCCAGAAGACAAAGAAGAAGGAGCCGAAGAAGACGAGTCCGACCAAAGCCAAGGGCAAGCTGGCAGTGTCACAACGTGGCGTCCCTGCCGCACGAGACGCACCAACCGACTCAGAGGGCGATGACGACGATGACGACGATGACGATGAGGAGGATGACAACGCCTATGGCAGCGGCGACGACGACAGCGACAACGTCGGCGACGGCGCTCGTGGCGCGCCCAAGTCGAAGCGCAACGACCCGGCCACTTTTGCCACCTCCCTGTCCAAGATTCTCGGCACAAAACTGTCGTCCACCCGCCGTGCGGATCCCGTGCTGGCCCGCAGTGCTGACGCCCGCGAGTCGAGCCGCCGTGTCGTCGATGCCGGCCTGGAAGAGAAGGCCCGTCGGCAGATGCGTCTGGAGAAGCGTGCCGCGCTGGAGCGGGGACGTGTCAAGGACGTGCTGATTGCCACGGCACGGCCACAGGTCGAAGGTGCGGACGCTGACAAGGTCGACACCACCGTGGGTGAGACAACAACGACCATTCTGGCGACGGAGCGCCGGCTGCGCAAGGTGGCGCAGCGCGGTGTGGTGCAGCTGTTCAACGCGGTGCGCGCTGCGCAAGTCAAGGCTGCACAGGCCAGGAAGCAGGCCAAGGCGGAGGGAATAATTGGCATGGACAAACGCGAGGCCAAGGTGACGGACATGAGCCGCAAGGGCTTCTTGGACCTAATCGCGTCGGGCGGTGGTGGGTTAAAAAAGGGAGGTCTGGAGGAGGCGTAGCATGCTCCCGGTGTTATTTCTGTTATTTCTGTTATTTCTTATTCTTTTTCTTCTTGTTTTTGAATTCTCCCATTTTGCATAGTTCCTGTTGTTCTCATAAAGATCTTGCATGCATGCATGCATGGAATACAGGCATGACGGTTTTATTCATTCATTTGGTTTCGTTTGATTTCGTTTTGCTCGTCCTGTCCGGTTCCTGATTCCTGGTTTTGTTTCCTGGATGAGTTGCGTTTGTCCACGGGCCTGCCCCCGTCGCTTCCTAATCGTCAGGGTATTCTATAGTCATACAAATGCTTTTCCTCCGCTGTCAACCGACATCCGATCGGCCCCAGACATCTCTAACCGACAAAATGACCAGGGGTCTACATGATTCATATCCATATACAATGCTCTCTCTTATACTGTCCACTACCCACTCGCCGACTTGGCCTGGAAGTCGCTCGCCTGCAGGTTCCGTGTCATCGACGGCAGACGCACCACCAGCCCGTCCAGGTCCTTGGTCATCACCACTTGGCATCCCAGCCGGCTCGTCTCCGTCAGCCCAAACGCCAGGTCCAGCATGTCGTTCTCGTCGTCGTCTGGCTCGTTCATCTTGTCAAAGTACGCCTCGTCCTCCACAATCACGTGGCACGTCGAGCACGCACACGAGCCACCGCACGCGCCCTCCATCTCAAGGTCGTGTGCCTGTGCAATGTCGAGCAGGTTGTCGCCGGCCGCCACGGCCAGCTTGTGCTCGTCGCCGTCCTTGTCGATAAATGTAACGTACAGTCTGAAGAGTCAGTAGGGGAATTCAATTGGCCCGGAATCTCTGGAGGGCATTGGGAGGGGCAGACTGACTCCTCTCCCTCTTTCGGCTTGTGGATATGGCCGTGGGCGCGGACGGCGCTGGACGAGAAGGGCCGCGCGCTGCACTGAACGCTGCTCTGTCGTAGTGGCGAGGCACACAGGCTCGCAAACGCTGCCAGTGTGCGTGCCGGAGATCTCGGTGCCGGACGGGCCGTAGAGCTGAACTGGCGCAGAGCCGGCGCTGTGCGCGACGAGAAGGCGCAAGGGCCGGAGGCGAAGCGGGCGACGCCATGAGAAACCAATCGTGCTCTTGTCATGGTGGGAGAGGTTGTGAACGGAAAAAGGGAGGAAGATTTGGAAGAAGCAAGGGTCGTGGCGTGTGTCGAGCAGTTTAAAAAGGAAAGAGCCGTCGTCAGCCGAAGTCGCTTTCTGCAGACGGTTGGATTTGGCTCAAAATTCTGACTCGGGACACTGTTAAAGGAAAGAGCAGAGGATTTGTCCGCCGTTGCGTCCGTCCTTCCTTTTCTGTCTTCTTCACCGTAATTTCGCTCTTTATTTTTCCCTTTATTTTTCTCGTCGTTTTGTACAACAGCAACAGACAATATGCAAATCCCTTGCAGAATGGAGTGAGCTGTCAACCAACAGATAATACGACGTGACAGGCGACATCAATCAACTTTTAGCATCGGTTTTTTTTCTTACTTCCTGTTTTCGCTACTCCGCGGGTTTTACAGGAGTCTTCCAGCCAATAGTGGCAGGGCAATTTCGACCAACCGTTTCCTGCCTAACGGCGCTGTAAATTTAGGTGTTCCAGCCGCCTCGTGGCGCCTGTGAGTGAAACCCTTTCGCTGTCTTTCGCTGGGCACATGCTCTTTATCTCCGACTTATGATCATGGATGGCAGGTGCAAACGGTGGCGTGGGCATGTGTGCCCCTCCTACCGCCTGCACTTTTTTAATTAGCTTTTTATTTTAGCAAAGTTTTAATGACATAATTCTGGGGCAGCAAGGAAGGAGCGGTGGCCAGACCATATTACTCCAACACTTTTTGGTGGGCATCGCCGCCAAACAAAGCATCTCGACACCTCAAAACAAGCTGATATGTCGACAATGTCTTGAGGCACAACCATCCGCCGACAAGACAGACGACATCAATTGCACATCGAATACAATATCGGCCAACATGGCGTCGCACGGCGAAGGGGTCAACCCCCTGCGGCCCTACTATATCCCACCGTCCATTGGCGACGACCTCTACGACCTAAGCACCAACGCGACTGCAAACGCTGCGTCTCCTCCATCCTATGGCCGCCAGCTGCCTCACGGCAACGGCACCTCGCCCTATTCGCACAAGGCGCGCGATATTTTTGCCGATCTTGACTACAAGGATTACCTTTCTGAGCCGTCGCCGTCCGTCGTGCAGTCTGCCAGGGATGTCGTTGACGAGCTGCTCTGGCGCTACACATCCGTGCTGATGGCACAGCCATTCGAGGTTGCAAAGACCATTCTGCAAGTCCGCAGCCAAGCACCGCTAGATGTCTTGGCACCCGAATCGGCCCTGCCGACGCCCGTGGTCAATACCGAGCAAGAGGCCGGCCGCCGGCAGCGGTCATTTGGCTATGATGGCAGCACAGCAGACGACCCGGTGCGTTTCAATTCACCCTTTCCCTCTTCATTTTCCTTTCCGGTCTGCCAGCTAACGTGATCTCCTGTTCCTCTACGTGCAGTTCAGCAACCACTTTGCCGACGACGACTCCGATCCCGACGAGCCCAGCTACTTTACCTCCAACGCCCCCAACACGTCATCTCCTCTCTACCCATTGCCGGCTCAGAGGCGCCGTGCTGCATCGCCATATGCGACCTCGCCCGGTGGTACGGCTAGGACACCTGGCGGGTCTGCTATGAATGGGGCATCTGTGGTTCTCGCCGAGAACCACCTGGTCCTCACCAAGCCCGACTCCATCCTCGAGGTCATTTCGCAGCTGTGGCAAAAAGAAGGCGCGTGGGGCGTTTGGAAGGGCACCAATGCCTCCTTTCTCTACACAGTGGTGCAGTCGCTTCTAGAGAACTGGTCGCGGAGTCTGCTCTGCGCCCTTTTCAACGTGCCGGACCTGGGTCTGAAGGACGACGTCGACCGTCTGATCGACGTTGCCTCGCCCTACCCCTGGGCGTCTCTCTTTGTGGCTGCCGCCGCCGCCGTTGCCACCGGCCTCATCCTGTCGCCGCTCGACCTCGTGCGCACGCGCCTCATCATCACACCCACCAGCCGCCAGCCGCGGCGCGCCTTGTCCCTCCTGCGCAGCCTGCCCTCCTACGTCTGCTCGCCCGTCCTCGTGCTGCCCACCATCCTGCACTCTCTCATCCACCCCGTCCTCACCCTGTCGACGCCGCTCGTGCTGCGCACCCGCTTCATGATCGACAAGGATGCGAGCCCCATGGCCTTTTCTATTGCCAAGTTTTGCTCGTCGTCCTTTGCACTGTTTGTCAAGCTGCCCATTGAGACGGTGCTGCGCCGCGGCCAGGCCGCTCTTGTGAGCTCGCCCGAGTACGTCCGCGCCCTGGGACCTGTGTTGAAGGCAAAGGCGCCTGGCGCGGCCCTCACCATGACCCCCATGGAGGCCATCTTCCCGCTCGGCGTCTACAAGGGCGTCGTCGGCACCATGACGCACATTGTCTGGGAGGAGGGCACATCCGCCGTGACCACGAGCGAGTCGCCATACAAGACAAAGGCCAACTCCAAGAGAAAGGCCAGCGGCGCCAACACCAAGGTCGCCGAGACCGTGTTCCGCCAGGGCCAGGGCGTTGAGGGCCTGTGGCGTGGCTGGAAGGTCAGCTGGTGGGGCCTTGTCGGGTTGTGGACCGCTGCTGCCGTTGGCCGTGGCGGTGACGGCGAGTTTTAGGGGGGCAATGGTTCCCGCGATAGGACGGAAAGGACCATGGCAGGGGACAACCTCGGGAAAAAGGTGATTGCCGAGTGAGGTACGACTTTATGAAAAAGGTTCACTGTTCTTGTTTTGTTGTCCTTTTTTTCTATCTGGCAAATGAAAGTTACGAAATCTCAGCTCTCGGTGGGAACGATACAGGACGTTTGGCTTTTGTTGTCCTTGTTTTTACGTCCCCCCCCCCTTTTCACCTTTTCTTGGTGTTTGATATTTCTCCCAAATCCTTTCCTGTTGGCTTTTGTTTATAGTTTTGACTTTGGGCCTCCATCTTCTTCACTCATCTTTGCATCCTCGTTTTAGATTTTTCAATGTCCAATACCCTCTTCATTTAAGCAAGTACGGTTGTTGATCAATAACTTTACATCCCGATATATGTGGTCGTTGCAAGTCGATGCTATATGTGAAAAATGCCGAGAGCAATACTTTTCAAACAGGATCGACATGGTAATAGCCCTACGCAAGATCGAGCACGGGACATTCCGACATGAGCAACTATTGGGATACGGCATCCATACAGCCAAGGGATGATCAAAATTTTCTCATTTTTTTTTGTTGATTCTCTCGCGGTAAACGCCAAATCCCATTTTTGAGACCCTTTTCCCCAATTCGCAGCACTATGGTACATCCAAAGGGGAGTCTGGGCATATTCATCATCCCTTTCTCCCGTCGTCTGGTATCCGAGGTCGACGCAGATGCAATATCGTGTTCAGTTTGGTCGTATGTTCCAGTATAGCCAGCCAACGCGTACGCATCTTGTGTCGCCTGTGGTGTCATGGTTGTCTGGTTGGAGAAACGGCTCGTCGTCTGTCGTCCGTTTTATTTTTTTGATGTTGTTTCCCCCATAGCAAGAGAGAGAGAGAAAGAGAAAAGGACAAAGGGGAAAAAGAAGATGCATCCCATTATAAAAAAGAAGATATCAACCACTTTATGCGACCAGCTCAACAACGGCACCAGCCTCCTTCAGCTTGCGCTCGGCCAGCTTGCTGACGTAGCGGGCGCGGACAACAAATGGTATCTCGGGCAGACGGCCCTTGCCCAGCAGCTTCGAGTAGCCGAGCGGCAGCAGGTCGATCACGGGGGCGGTGTCCTTCTTCTCGCCGGACAGGTATTGCTCGCGGGTCTCCTCGGGAACCAGGGACCAGAGCTGTGGAGTTGCCAGTTAGCTGTGTGTTCGTTTCCTTCTTTCCTTCTTGGTCGCTTCCATTGGCGAGTCCGAGTTTCCCAAATGGCTTTTGTTGCCTGTTCGCACGTACCTTGTCCAGGTTGATGACGGGGTTCCATTGGTGGTTGCGGAGGAGGTGGAATCTCCGCATACCGACCTTACCGAAGTAACCGGGATGGTACTTGTCGACGTTGGTACGGTGGTGGTGCTGTGAAGGTGACGGTCAGCATTTCGTCGTCTCAATTCGATGCCCCATCCAGTCCGCCTTTCTCAGTCCTCTGTTCGCCTGCTCTTTCGACACAGACGGGACACATGCGATCTGGTTCTTCCAAACGCAGACCTCTGGCCCTTTCTACTGTCGCTGTCTCCTTCCAGCATCGTTCCCTCTCCTCATCGACTTCGTCTCCTTCGCCTCATCGTCTTGGAATCGGGATTGTTCGTACCATGCCACCGGCCATACCACGACCACCGGGGTGCTTGCGGTGCTTGCCGACGCGACCCTTACCGGCGCTCACATGGCCGCGGTGCTTGCGTGTCTTGGAAAAACGAGTCGGCATCTTCGCTGTTGTCGTGGGTTTTGTCAAAAATCCGTTGACTTCGTTGGTTGTCGATGAGAGGAATTACGAAGGGGGGAATGGGAGAGAGAAGCGGGAAGCACTTTTTTCACACTCGTCTATTTTGGTTAGGATTCGTTTGGCGCCAGCCCCAATTCTTTTTGCAGGGCAAAAAATTTGTTCCGCACTTTTTGGTGGTCATTTTGCAGCTCAAGTGCAGAGGAAAGGGCGTGAAGAAGTGGGGCAAGGGCACTTGGTCACACTTTTCTCGAGGCAATGGACTCATCACGTGCTAGGGCAAGCTTTCTTAAACGCTAGGCTGGATTTGGGATTGCTGCTAAAAGTCATGAAATTGGTAATATATTATGTAAATGCCCTCGATTGCCATCCATATGATGTCCTCCCTTTCGCGACTCCCTTGACATACCACATTTTCATCTGCAGACAAGCACGGCGTCCGGTTCAATAGCACCCATTTGTTATGCAAGTATGTATAATATAATTCCACACGCTCAGACTAAACAGACAGCAATATCGGAAAACACACCAAAGTCGGAAGCCCAAAGAATTATGGCTCCCTCGACCGAGAATTGTCATGACCACAACCTTAGCGTCGCCGTTCTAGTGCTCGCAGAATGAGAAAGTGTGCTGAAGCGTGTCAGTATTCCATACTTCTCTTGGTTGGGTCTGGTCCTCGGAGGGGGTGAACTTACATCGTTCATTTCGTTTTCTTGGTCTTTGGTGAACGCGCTGCGCGTCTTCATCAAGTCGGCACGGATTTTTACGGCCTGCTCCCAGGACAGAGGGAACTCGTCCACCAGGTTGATGACGTGCGAGAACAGCTCGTTCGGCAGACGCGAGAGCGCCGGCGTCTCGTGGACGTACTCGGACCACCAGTCCTTGCGCTGCGGCGGGACATTGGCCGACGAGAGCACGCGGCGGCTCGGGTCGATGAGGAACATGGCCAGTATCTTGCGGTGGCCCGGCTTGGTGGCGTCCTGCAGCTCAAAAGAGCCCACGCGGTGCTGCAGGACGTTGGGGAACACCAGGAGGCGGCCGGGGCGCGTGAGCACGCTGCCGAGGTTGTGCACCGCCGTACCATCCTGGTCAATACCCAGGTAGCTCAACAGACTCGCGTACATGCTCTGGGCGGGGATCATCATCATGTCTTCCTCGTCGATGCACTGGCGGAAGGATAGCTGGCTGGGCGTGATGTTCTCTTCGTCATAGTAGTACAGGGCGGAGGCGCAGATGCGCTCAGACAGCGTGCCTTCAATGTGCCAGCTGCCTCCGCCGTATGATGGCTTCTCCGGCGTCAGGTGGATGTTGGCCAGCTTGAAGATGACCTGCAGGCCCTTCGGGAACGGGCTGGGTGTGTCGACCGTGGGCGCTAGGTGGACACGCTCGACCAACTCGGTCTGCTTGTCAAAGGGCACATATTCTTTTGGCTCGCGGAACTCAAGGACGCGGTGTTCATGCCACCACTCCTGGTACTCATCGGTGTACTTATACTCCTCGTCGTCGAATTCGGAGGAGTCCTTGGCGTCCTCTCCGTCCTCGCCTGGAATCTCGTAGACGATGCCATCCGGAAGGTAAAAGTCCTCCTCGTCGTTTGTGAAGCCAAGCTCAATGCGACGGCGATCGCCATAGGGCGTGAGGGCCTCCTCCCAGAGAGGAACCGACGCAGCCACAAACTTTTCGAGCACGCCATACAGCTCCTTGTGGTCGCGCGGGTGCAGATTGTTGATGTAACTGGTAATGCTGGCAGAGCCGTCCTTGGACAGCGTCACGTCGGCCGGGAGCCATTGGTACAGGTCTTCGTGGTTGGCAAACTCGTTGTAGCTATGAGGCTTGATGTCGGAGAGCTCGGTGACCTCACCACGGCCTGTGTAAGCAGCGCAGTCGTCCAGCGGTACGGTGCCCTTTGCCAGGGCGCGCGTGACGCCAAAGACGACAGGGTACAGCGACGGGTGCAGCAGATCCAGGACCTGGTCGTCGGAGCCGGGGTGCCAGTCCTTGTCACGCTCGGGCACGTCCTCGAGCTTGGCGACGCACTTCTTTAGGGCAGCTGCGAGCTCGTCAGACACAGCAGTGTCCGACTTGACGATTGTCACCTCGGCGTCGAACGTCGTCACGAACCCCGTCTTCTTGAGCCGCTCTGCCTTGTCACGGAGCTCGGCAATACACTTGCGGGCGTTAGCAGGCTGTCTGTCTTTCCGTAATTCAAAGAGCTGTTCGCGTACAGCCAGGCAGTTCTCACATAGTCAAACATGTCTTCCGACATGAAGACGTCGTCGTCGTCGACAGTGGGCATCTCCATGGCCTCGGCACGCCACTTGCCCACAATCTCCTCGTCAAACACCTTGCGCTCCCACTCGGGCTTATCGGTGATGGTGCCCATGAAGTCGAGCATGCGACGTTCGCGCAAAAAAAGGCCACGGCTCAGCTTGCCGCGCCCCTCCGACTCGAGAGCGTGCGGGAACTTGGCCTTGTTAGCCACCCAGCCGCTGCTGTGCGGCAGGCCGAAGCCGGGCAGCCTGACACGGTCGGCGTCCTCGACGATGGCGGCCGCCGCTGCGTCGGTGGTGGGCTTGTCAGTCGTAGACATCGTGGCTCCCTGTCGTAGCACAGACGCGGTGCTAAAGATAGAGAGAGGAGAATAGCACGGCCGTTGTAGTCTTTGGTAATGCCGTTCGTCGTGTACAGAAGGGTGTACAGCCCGCAATTGGATACTTCTGGGGAGCTGCGTAAGGAAAGAGCGATGGTACTTAAACATTTCTCTACAATGAAGGAGCGACTGCTACGCTTTTTTTGTGTCGAAATCTCATCACACAAGAGTCCTGCACTCATTGGGGGTTCACATTCCCCTCATTCTCGTCCCATCCTTGTCCAGTCTAGACAGTATGGCCGATTAACGGTCAATTCAACTTCAGCTCCCGTTCTTTTTTGGTTTTGTTGTCCCCATCCCCTGCACTAGGCTAGGCACAGGTAGTTTGTCTTGGGTCTCTTTGGTCGTCGTGGACAATGAGCATCGATGGGAGAAAAAGTGGTGACGATTGCGAAGCGCGTGGACGGTGGTGAGGCTGCTCGTAAGGCAGAACGGAACCAGGAAGAGACCACTAAAGGACCCGAAGTGAAAAGGGTCGACAGATACGACGTGCGAGATACGACGGTTTCATGACGGGGTACCTGAGCTACAGCGCGGCTGTGTGTATTTCGTACAAAGAGTGAATATGCAATCGAATTAAGCAGAAGGTGGGTAGAGCCAAGACATGCCAGGCTGAAAGCAACCTTAGCGAGTGGAGTGAAGACAGGTTTACGGTGCGGATACAAAACAAAGGGAATTTGAAGTAGAGAAGCCTTGAATGGGGCAGCACCACGTGGAGTTCCTTTGTTTCAGTTATTGCTTTTTGTGTTTTTCTCTTGGATGAGAATCAAGGGACTTGACAATAGGTTTACATGTCATTTCTTTTGGCTCCGTTCTATTCGCTTACAAGCTGCTTTTAGCTAGGTGAAACATTTCAGCAAAAGCAGGGGCATCCAATAACAGAAAAGGTAGTAGCATAAATGGTAAAGACGCATAATAGCATGAGATGGCTGCGAGAGATTGCGAGAGATTGCGAGAGATTGAAGAGAGAAAAGTTTACAATTAGTGGAAAAAAGCACGAAACAGATACAACGAGCTCCAGAAAAAGACAAAATATCGGAAACCAAACCCAACAGAACCAAAGACACAAGCCAGTCAATTGACAAAAGAGCAGCAACCAAGGGGTATGACTTGACAAAAGAAGTGAAAACGAAGAGAAAAAACAAGAGACGAATGAAATGGAATGGAAATGAAATGAAAAAAGAATGAAGAAAAAAGGAACAATACACAGAACATGAAAGGAATGAATGACGTGAGAGACGAAAGGATGCAAAAGTTGATGCATCAAGGTATCGCTAGAATGAAAAAGACAGATGTTGAATGCTGATGGATACTACCACGGCCGTCCACCTTACTGCATGACAACGTCGCGGTCGCCCTGTGCCGGTACGGGTGTCGTCACCGCCGAGACTTGGTTGTCGCCCGCCTTCTTCTTGCCCAACCGCTCGCACCACTCCTCGGCGCTCACAATCGTGCCATCGAGCACGCCGCTCACCTGCGACATCATATCGAGGCCCTCCTTGGCAAGCACCAGCACGCGCTGCGCACCTTCGCGGACCTCCTTGTCGGTGGTCGGACGACCGCCGTTGGCTTCGGCGGCCGATGCCTCGGCTTGGTTGGCAAGTCGGAAGCGCGCTGGCAGGCTGGTCAGGTGGCGGCGCACCAGTACGCGGGCATTGTCGGGCAGAGCACCGCCGGCGTACTTGGACACGGTGTCGACGGCGCCGCGCAGTGTCTGCAGGAGGTCGCCCCGCAGCGAGGCAATGCGTGCGGCCAACTCGTTCCGCTGCGCCTGGCTGGCGGCATCGGTGCGGGCGGCGGATCCGTCTTGTGCTGCATCCTCGCTCTCGCCCTCGCCCTCGCCCTGGGCGGCGTGTGCCGAATCGTACTGCTCGACAGCCGTCTTCAGCGACTCAATCACCTTGTCGATGTTGCCGTTAGCCCACCGCAGCCAGTTGAGGCAGTACTTGAGGCTGCGCAGACTCTCGTCGCTCATGGCGACACTGAGACCGGATGTCGACATAATCAGACGCGACTGCCACGCCTGCTGTTGCTGTTGGTTGGCGGGCGATCCGGTGCTTGTCGCGATGCTGTCCAGGGAGCCAGCGGATTCGATCTGCATCAAGGATGGGCCGTCAGATTCGGTGTAGTCCGGCGACCGGTGGTCATCGTAAGCGGGGAGAGTTTCTACCGTGCTCATGGACAACCGGCGGTCCTCGTTGGGGTCGAAGCGCTCGGCGCTGGTGCGGACAACGCGCGCCGGCGTAGCATCTGAGCGCGACCCCGTATCGTTTTTGCTGGCCGCAGACGTCGGGCCGTGCTGCGCCTCGGCGACGTTGGTCGTGCGCCCATGCCGGAGATCCACCTTGCGTCTCTTATAAAAGCTGGGCTTGCTGGACTCGCCTTCCCCGGACGTGGGGTGCTGGTGCCTACGGCGGCCTCCTAGGAACCACCGGACACCACCTTCAACTCCCGTCACCCGGCTGACAGAGCCAATTGTATTTCCAATGGGCGTCAGGTAGCCCTCGACGTACTCTGCGCCCGACTTGAAGCGCGGCGACAAGTTCTTGGAGGTATTATAAGCTGACGTTGTCCCCTCGATGGTCTTGGCGAGGAGAGGGTGCGATGTTGTAAGGAGGGAGAAGAGGGGTTCAGAAGTGTTGCTGCTGTTGCTGCTGCTGCTGCTGTTGTTGTTGTTGCCCGGAAGAGGCGAAGAGCGGGCGGGGGGCGAAGAGACAAAGTCGGCACGCAGGTCGCCGAGCGCTTCGGCCGCCATCCGGACATCTGGGTCTTCCAAGCTGACGCTAGCCGCCCGGACGTCCTGGTACCGGTCGGGCGTCGTCGCTCCGGCAGGGCCGGTACTCGTGCTGCTTGCGTCGACATCCATCCGCAGAGGTGATTCTGCGGACGACTGGATGTGGCCGGGGGTATAGTACGCGGTCAAAGGGTTGAGGCTTGGCCAGTGGTTGGTCAAGGTAGGTGTCGAAGCACCGGCTGCCGAAGGCGTTTCAGCAGGTGAGTCGGCCGCACTCGTCACTGACCCAGTCACGGATCCCGTCACGGACGAGATGGACGGCAACGTGCGATGCCGTGACTCGCCATGCTCGCGGGCTTTGGCTTCTGCGGTCTGGATGGGAGGGAGTTCGGAGTTCAGTTCGCGAAACGGGAGCACCTTGACATCTGGTGATGTCTGGGGTGGTGTCCACTGTGTCTCTTGGGTCTGCTTCTGTGTTGAGTAGGTGGGCGGCGAGTAGGAAGGCAATTCGCCGCGGACCTTCCGGTCGACTGGCAAAAAGTCGACGGTCCCAGATTGGGCGACATCACTGATAGCGGTGTTTGCGGGCGCCATGGTAAGAGGTATCTCGTCGATCGTGCAGGAGGGCAAGTAAGGTCGTTGGGCGATCAAGCCTCGTTATCGATTGACGTTGTCGTCGGGGGGAGGGGGGGGGGGGTTCTAGACGAGCAGCCGGGTAGATGTCCTCGTATTGCAAAGCATGACAATGCGTCCCCAATCTTTTGTCCGAAACGAGTCGAGGTAGGACGCCGTAGGCGTCAGCCAGCGAGCTGAGGTCGACGGCGAGGCAATCGGGACGTTGGGGAAATATAATATAAGTTGGCCGCGTCGTCAAAAGGGAATTCGATGATGTTTCTATAATATTCCTCTGCTCAGACCGAGGTTTGAGGCTCTGTCTGTGCAGGTCGAACCAAACAGGAAGTGTTGAAAATTACAGGGCCTGGAGATGAGTCGAAGCGCCCAGCCGCTCACAGCGTCAGAGTCGTCGGCGTCAATCGTAAATCTTCGCAGTTTCGTTGGAGGTGTGAGGGTGCAGGAATGCGCGAGGATGAGACACCCTATTTTGTCAGATTCTCTTGACTGCTGTTCCTGCTCGTTGAGACAGAAAATCAGAAGGTGCGAATGGGGGAGCAGGAACTGGGACAAGACGGGGTTCAAAAGAGAGGGCAGCCACGAGGAAAGAGCCAACGGTGGTGGTGGTTGTATTCGTAAGAGGGGGATTCTGCCCCCATTTTGACGGGTCTGGGCTTTGTCTGGGACCCAATCCCAATCTGGGAGTGTCGTTTCTCACTTGCACGTGCAAACGCCCAGACAAGAAAGGAAAGACACAAAAAGGTGGGCCTGCCTGGGGCGCTTTGCCGTGGCCTGCGCTGGACTTGGGCTTGTTGGCGAAAACGGGGGCAACTGCGCTGTGGCCCCCCGACTAGGGGTGTCAGGGCAGCAGGGGATGGCCAGGCCTGGCAGTCTGCGGTCGGAGATGCCAAAATCCAGTAGCCGGGCTCACTATTTGTGTTGGGGCACTAGGCCGGATTCAGCGAGGGGCAAGTGCAGTTCTTTCCCGTTTCTTTGACTACGTTTTATCATGTGCAAACGCCCTTGGATGCGACGGAGGACACAAAACGCCACTGAAAGGGCAGGCGCAACAGTTCGTCGCTAAGCATCCCTTATTATTCAGACTCTCAGACACAGCAGAAGCCGGCAAGTGCCAACGGCTTCCCATGTGGGGCCCGCGCCGCAGTTGACGAAGGTCCGTTCGCCCAAAAGTGCCTGCTGTAACGTTCTGGTGGCGGATGGTCCAGCGTACTGATGAGTAACAGCACCATCTGACACGAGCTGGGACCCTGGCCCGCCGAGAGCAGTGAGAAAGTCCGCTGTAAAGGTAAGAGTTTGTGGTAGAAGTCGGCCATCTACCAACCAAAACGTAATAGCGGTAAGATTACCGCGCAAAGATTGCACTGTCCGTATCGGATTGTCCGGCAAGCTGCCCTCAAGCGCTACGGTGCAAGCACTGGCAAAGGCACTTGAGCTGTGTCAATCTGTCGTATTGTGTTTGTTTCTGCCGGAACACGATCTCCTTGTGCCTGCCCAGGCTGCCAGGAAACTGCTTGGCCGCCATGTAGCCCCCTACAAAGTTCTTACACACCTACAAAACTGATAGCGGGCCGCTAGCACACGACGCCCCGCATCCAGTACCAGTCTGCCCTCTTTTCAGCGTCTTAGACGATGGATCTCACGAGAAAAGCACCCAAATAACGGACAACACACGGCCGTCTTCCGGATTCGCTAGGTGCTTTCCGTGATACGAGAGATGCGGACTGAGGAGCGAAGCACGGCTGCCATTTGACAGACATCAATACAGCAATGATACCCAACGTTGTCATGCGTGCACCGCGCCCTTACGCCTCTCGCTTTTGCGCTCCATCCTCAGTTGAGCCAGTCCGTGGACAGCGACCTACGGCGCAAGGGACGAGACGATAAGACGACGACGCATTTGCCTTCTTTGTCTTTGTCCACAGGCGCCAATCTGCCGGCGGAGAGAGGGCAAGAGGCGGGGGGATTCTGTCAGCCAGATCAGCAACTAGGGAAGAGAAGAGCACTCTGGTATTCATCCACAGTAAATGCGCCACAGGGAACAAAGCACATGCAAAATATGCTGGTGTAGCTAGTTGCGTAGCCACGCCCACAATGAGCCCCATGAGCATGTCAACACGAGCTAGTCAGCGATCGAACGTCCTCTCAAAGTTCAGCAGGGGGCCACCTAGGGGAGCAGGTTTTGTGTGCTCTGTACGCCCATTTTGCCTCCGGCATGTGTAAGTTAACATCCGGAGCCCCCAAATAGCCCGTGTTGCCGCTCCCTGCCTTTTCCCACCAAGTACTTTCACATGCCGGGCACACCAATCTGTGTAAAAGCCAATGAGGGAACAATGAGCTCATCAAGACCCAAACAGCGGAGCACCTACCCGTGATATAGGTTTTCCCCATTTATGCAGCCGAATCAAGGAGCATACAGAGAACGGCTCGAAGCGGCGTTTATGCTCTGCGTTATGCTGAATCCAGGTGATGGCTTTATGGTGCGCTTGGCGAGAGACGCGGCACAGAGCATTACGCCGTGCAGAGAATATGCCGTACATCGTGATTAGTATGCTACGCCGTTGTGCTGGTGCAACCTGCCAGAAGCAATCGAAGGACGGAGCATTTGAGACTGGTTGGGCCATCGAGACGAGGACTTTCGGTTCGATCCTTTTCCGTGGCCGCGTCGGTTTTTTCTCGGCAGGACTTTGCTCTGCAACGGAACGCAACGCAGACGGGGCAATGGTGGCGCCGGCACGTGAAATGTACTCCGTCGGGAGCTGACGTGGTAGAGCTGCATTCGTAGCTATCTTGCGGGCGTGGCCCTATCGTGATGGCGATACCTTTCTGACTATGCGATGCAGATCGGTATAAGATGACTTGTAATACAGGCCAGCGATACGCCGATGAGGTCCACGTGCGTCGAGTCGCATCTGATTGACAGTCATGTCCCGATGCTTGCTATCGATGCTCGGAGTCAGGAACCAAAGACCTCTCTTCTTTCAAAGTATTATATCATCGTCCTCGTTCAGATGTCCGGTTCCTCTGACGCCGCACGAAGCAACGGACGCAAAACAGCGTGTAAATGCTCAGGCAGCTCTTAATGGAACCGTTTGAAAATAAATTCTCTCTCCTTCTCAGCGTTGCATTATCGCAGACTACATCCACGACCGCAGGCAGTTTGAACCACGCAAAATGCTTGGTCAGGTCGCACGGTGAAAAGAAGGACTGCACTGTCTAGAGAACGCGTTGAGGAGAAAAGAGAGGGAGAAGAGACGAAAGCCAAAGATTTTCACTGGCCTCAAATATATGCAGGCGGGTTTGTCTCCTGCCAAGCACAGCTCGTCACGTGTACAGCTTCATTGCACCCGCTCAGACGTTAATCCGGCGCCGAGAGGTGGAGTCCGTGCTTGATGGTTTTGGTAAGGGGTCGAGGGGCTTCTTGTGGGCAGGAGCCTGGCCGCCCCAGGGGGGAAGGTGCAAGCAGCAAGTGGCGGCAGATTGGCTGGTTGGTTTGACAGACACGAAGTGGGCTGAAGGGCCAACCATCGCCAACCATCACCAAACTAAGCTGCTTGGGTCCCCTTTTGACGACAAAGGCCCAAACGTCACCGCATCGTGGCCACAACTCTCGTATGCGGAACCCGACTTTCAACGACCATCGTCGACGGCTCTGTTCCCAAGCTGGCCAGACTAATTACAATATAGTCCGACTGTCCTGTGTGCATCTCCTTTGAACTCCCTATTAATAGCCTCAAGTCTATCGACCTCCTCTCCCCTCTTCCTCCTAAATCGGCCCCTGTGCCGTCGCGACGCCGCCTCTCCGGCCCGGCGCTGCCTGCCATCTGCCCACCATGGCGTCCGCCGTCTTCTTCCTCGACCTCAAGGGCAAGACCCTCCTGGCCCGCAACTACCGTGGTGACATCCCCATGTCTGCCGTTGAAAAGTTCCCGGTGCTGCTGAGCGAGGCCGAAGAGGAGTCGTCCGCCGTGCCTCCGTGTTTCTCCCACGAAGGCATCAACTACCTCTACATCCGCCACAACAACCTCTACCTCCTCGCCCTCACCAAACGCAACACCAATGCTGCCGAGATCCTGCTGTTCTTGCACAAGATTGTCGACGTCTTCACCGAGTACTTCAAGGCGCTCGAGGAGGAGTCGATTCGCGACAACTTTGTCATCATCTACGAGCTGCTCGACGAGATGATGGACTTTGGCTACCCGCAGACCACCGAGAGCAAGATTTTGCAAGAGTACATTACACAAGAGTCCCACAAGCTCGAGATCCAGGCCCGTCCGCCCATTGCCGTCACCAACGCCGTCTCCTGGCGCTCCGAGGGCATCCGCTACCGCAAAAACGAGGTCTTCCTCGACGTCATCGAGTCGCTCAACCTGCTGGTGTCGGCCAACGGCAACGTGCTGCGCTCCGAGATCCTGGGGTCCATCAAGATGAAGTGCTACCTGTCGGGCATGCCCGAGCTGCGCCTGGGCCTCAACGACAAGGTCATGTTCGAGACGACCGGCCGCACGACGCGCGGCAAGGCCATTGAGATGGAGGACGTCAAGTTCCACCAGTGCGTGCGGCTGTCGCGCTTCGAGAACGACCGCACCATTTCCTTTATCCCACCGGACGGCGAGTTCGAGCTCATGTCCTACCGCCTCAACACCCAGGTCAAGCCGCTCATCTGGGTCGAGTGCGTCGTCGAGTCGCACAGCGGCAGCCGCATCGAGTACATGCTCAAGGCCAAGGCGCAGTTCAAGCGGAGGAGCACCGCCAACAACGTCGAAATCATCGTGCCCGTCCCCGACGACGCCGACTCCCCGCGCTTCCGCACCAACATTGGCACCGTCCACTACGCGCCCGAGCAGAGCGCCATCGTCTGGAAGATCAAACAGTTTGGAGGCAACAAGGAGTTTCTGATGCGCGCCGAGCTGGGCCTGCCGAGTGTGCGTGGTGACGACGAGCACGGTGGCGGCATGACGGGCGGCTTTGGCGGCAGCATGGGCGGCGTGGGTGCACCAGGCAAGGGCGCCAAGCGGCCGATCCAGGTCAAGTTTGAGATTCCGTATTTCACTACCAGTGGAATCCAGGTCCGCTACTTGAAGATTACAGAACCAAAGGTACGAAACTCCATATGCGCGTGTCGATCGTTTCGCCCTGCCTTATCACATACTAACGTGCTCTCTCCAGCTCCAATACCCTTCCCTGCCGTGGGTTAGATACATAACACAGTCGGGTGACATAGCCGTCCGGTTACCAGATGTGGCATAGCCCGAGTTGTTTTGGTTGTGACGTTTCTTTTTCTCTTTCCTTCTTATACTTGTTATATTCGCTCTTTTACCCTGTCTCCTTTTTCCATCATATCTCAAGATGGTCCTATAGACATTGTTTTGAACAATCAACAAGAGTGGCAGATCAAAGAAGATTTGTGGGAAAGGGCAGGAAAATACAGGCGGAGGACGAACGAGCATTTGGTGTTGGGCAGCCCCCCCTTTTTTGTTGTTGTTTTTTGTTTTAAATGAAGCATTTGATTTTCGATTTGGCTGTCAACAAGGAAACATGGAGAAGGGTGTTTTTATTCTCAAAAGTGCATTGCATTGGAAAATGAAACGTCAAATAATGAGAAACATTTCCTCATTTTTATCACACCAATTTAAGCCGCATGCGATAAGCTGAGGGATGCGCAGCGTGCGTCAAATGCGGAGATTGGACTCCTTGCTATCTTACGAAATACAAACACAACCTAAACTCACACAAATGCAGCCACAAGAAAAATCTCAACGACACTGTACAATGCCCCCGACCTACAAGCTCGAGGCCGTCACCATCGACGATGTCCCGGCCGTGGCCCGTATGAGCGCCGACGCCTTTAAGACCGACCGCCAGACGCAAATGAAGGCACTCGGCAAGGAACAGCCCTTTGATATGGAGCAGTACACACTGCAGACGCTGCCCAGCACGCTCACGAGCCCCCGCCGCGTCGTGCTCAAAGTCGTCGATCCCGATACTGGCCACATCATGGGCTATTGCAACTGGGGCTTCCACGGCTTTGCGCCCGATGAGATGCCCGTCGTCCCAGGACAGGCGCCCAAACCGGCCACCAATACGGCCACCACACCGCCGGCAGCGAAAGCAGATCATGCACCACGAAAAGAAGACACGCCCCCGGCAGACCCCATCAAGCGGCTCGAGGCACTGACGGGCGCCGACATGCAGGCCTGGATGGACGAGGTTATGCCGGCCAACCCACCAGATGGACCACCCAAGGTCCGCTGTCTCTTTGTCATTGGGCTCATCGTGTCACCGCAGTACCAGGGCCGCGGTGTTGGCTCGGCGCTCTTGCGGTGGGGAACGGACCTGTGTGACGCCCACGGGGTCTTCGCCTGGGTCCACTCGTCGGAGCCGGCATGGAAGATGTATGCCAAGTCAGGCCTTGAGGTTATTCGGTCACTGGACGTGGATCTTGATGAATATGCTCCGATGCCGCCGCCCGCTGCAGAAGGCCCTGGGGCGGTTTGGGGGCGTTACATTTTTCGATATATGAAATACCTTCCCAAGGGAGGTGACAAGATAGACAATTAGCAAAGTAGGAGATTTATCGAGGACTGTTAAGGAGAGACATCAGCCATTGCTCCTATATTGAGTTTTCTCGACTGCATACTGCAAATAGCCACATTCTCAAAGCTTTTAACAATCTGTATTAATGTTAAATTTAGAATGTGGTTCTTTTTATTTTTTTTTTTTTTTTTTTTTTTTTTTTTTTTTTTTTTAACCTAGTATACTTAAGTATAAATGTAAATAAGTCCATATACTACTAAGAAACTACTGACACTGATGACAAACACCGTAGCAAAGATATTACTGTTATTCGTGAAAATAATGTCGTAGATACATTTCAGTCACACATATTTCCTGCATATTGAACAGTGTCTTGTGTCTTGTGTCTGTGGATATTCCATTCGAAAAACTTAAGACTCCATACGCGAAGTCCTGTGGCACTATCGTGAAAGAACAATGGCAACAGGGTCTTATTCATAAAGAACGCCCTGGGCCGGCAATATAGAAAAATGCGGGCATAAAAGGTCAAAAAACGTGGCTATAAATGAGAGAAAGTGAAAGGTAAAAATGTGCCGTGAATGGAAACAGACAGTTTTCAAAAACTCAAGTCATTGCGCATAATCAGAAGCATATAACAAAGTAATGGCAAAGCAGCAACATGAATGAATGATTCAAACAATGTATTCAATCTTAATGCGGCCCATCACGAACAGAACCGCAAACCAAATAAGCACCATAGAACGGAGCCTCCCCCTTACAGCTCGCCGACGCGCGCCTCGCCGTTGCTGACAAAGCCCTCGCGCTCGAAGAAGCGGAAGACAAGGTCATAGTCCTCAAAGTCGTGAACGATGCGGTCAATGCGGCGGTAGCCGGGGATGCGCTCAAGGCGCTTGCCGGAGGAGCCACCGGGCTTGGTGGTGCTGTCGGCCGTCGTGCCCTTGGCCTCAAAGAGCGTGACACTAAAGCGACCGGGGCGGAAGATGTCCACAACGTGCTTGACAATGTCGGCCGTCTGGCGGCCCTTTTGCCCGCCGGGCACGTTGGTCTCGAACGAGGCAAACGAGCAGTTGGGCTCGGGCGTAACGTGGACGGTGAAGTAGTGGTTGCCTTGGGCGGAGGTCGGGCCGGAGTCGCTGGTCGACACCGAGGCCGTCTCGGCCGTCTCGGCTGTCTCGGGGATCTCGCCGTTGGTGGTCGAACTGGCGACAGAATCACCATCCGCGGGCGGCGCAGGAATGACGCCGTTGGCCGAGAAGCCGCAGGGCGCAAACATGTAGGCATCGATGCGCGCATCTGGGTAGACCGACTGGGGGTACACGTCCGACAGACCGCAACTGTCGGAGACGACCGTGCCGAGAGCGTGGCCCTCGGTGGTTAGGGCCTCCATGTCGGCGGAGTCCAGATGCTCGCTCAGGGGTGTCAGCGAGCCACCGGAGCTGCAGGCGCCGTTGTCGTTCTTGTTGCCGTTGGCAGCGTTCTGAACGGCAATGTCGTCAACATCAAACAGGTCCTCCGAGTCGAGAACGCTGTAGGTGCTGTCAGACATGTGGCTGTCCTGCTGCTTGTGGCCATGGCCATGGCCATGGCCGTGCTGCTGCTGCTGCTGCTTGGAGGCCGCGGCGGCCTTGAGGAGAGCGCTGTCTGTCTGGGACAGGATCCTGTCGTGCGCGACCGCACTCGCATTCGACAGGTAGAATTGCTTCGCGTTCTCCGGGTCGAGGTCCGTCATGAGAATCTCCAGTGTCTCGTCGTGCTTGTCCTCATCATCGGCGGCAGTGGCATGGTCACCAGGGGCACGGTCGGCCGGGGTCGCCAGGATACCGGTGGGGATCTTGTTCGAGCGGGAGACCAGGCTGCCGAGCACAGCGTTGCTGTCCTTGTCCACAGGCGTCTGCGGCGGGGTCGGGTTGAAGGTGGGCGACGTAATGTACAGATACCAGTGGTCGCCGTTCATCTTGCCGACCATGTAGGCGCTGCCGCCTTCAAACATGTCGTCGAGGTACTTCACCTCCTGCTTCCAGCTGCGATGGGGGCCCTGCTGGCGGTCCGGGAACAAAAAGTTCTTGCGGCTGTAGAAGACGCGGTAGGGCGTGGCGGCAGCGCGGATGTCGTTGGCCGAGACAGCGTTGTGGAAGGGGAAACCAGCCACAGTGGCAGCAATGCGCAGCATGCGGTGCAGACCCAGGAGCAGCGTGGTGGTGCCGCAGGTCTTCAGGATGATCTTGTGGGGGAACACAAACATGCTGGACTCGGAGAGCAGGTAGGCATCGACCGTCTCGGAGTGGATGACGGACAAGATCTTGCAGTTGACAAGGTCGAGCATCTCGACCCAGACGTCGGCGGGCACGGACTTGAGGCCATTCTCCTTGACAGAGGGCGCGAGGGCCTTGGGGCTGGGAGCGAACCAGACTTCGAGAAGCTTCTCAGGGCCCTCAAAGGCGTTGGACGAGTCTAGATCGGCGGCGACATCGTGATTGATATGCAGATGCGGCGTGCCGAGTAGATGCGGCGTTGCGAGGGACGGCGAGAGAGTGCAGCCATTGGGGATATCAAGAGCGACCATCTCCGTTTGTGGAAATCGGGTTTGGGGCCGGCTGAAACGGGACGAACGAGGCGAGTAGCGGTGGATTGAGGATCGAGGTCGGCGTTGGGGTGGTGGTGATGCTTGCAGCTTCCGCGGAGCGCTACTAGCTTCCTCTCAAACGAACCTTGCGGTGTCCGTTTGAGGAGAGTAGGCCCACAGGACGGTGGGAGAGGTGAGCAGCGGGCGTGCGATTGTAGGATCTGGGATAGACGTCTCTCGTGGGAGAGCGCGTTATGGGGGGCGGGCAGAGACGGGGAGGCGGAAGACCTGCGAGGAAGGAATCTTGGGCAGTTGGTGTGCAACGAACAACCCGATAGAAGGACCGATACTCGGGACAGAGTACCAGGCAACGATCGAGAAGTGTTGGGATTGGGTCTGGTTTTGCTGCAGGAGCAGACGAGAAAGGATCAAGAGATGCTTGTAAAGAGGTGCTATCGGGGCCTGTGAGAGAAGGAAGAGTCAGCACAGAACACGACGGCAAAAGAGCGTGTCTAGGCGAAGACAAGGGGGGGGGTGCAGAAAACGAAGAGAAAACAAAGCTATATAAGAAAAGCACGATGAGACATACTTTGCGGGCTTGGAGAGGAAACGCAGGAGATCCTTTGAGCTCATGGATCACTGCCGTAGAGACGCAAGATGTTCAAGGGCCCAGACCGTCTTTATACGAGGACCGGGAGGTTGAGGAGGGCTATATGGCGGTGGCTGACATGAAATTGGTCCTGGGGAGGACGAGGGAAAAGGACGAGAAGATTGAGAGAAAGGAGAGGAGGGTGATGACAATAGCGGCGAGGTCGGCGGTGAGGGCTTGCAGTGGTTTCGAGTTGGGCTGCTGCTCGAGGTGACCGAGGTAGGAGGCGGCGATGCGTGACGTTCAGAGTCGCGTGCGTGTGTGCTTAAACAGGCTTAAAGTGCGGGTTCTGACGGAGTGAGGTCGAAGCTGCAGTGGCGATCGGCCAGAATTGGGATGTACAGAAAAGCCAGGAATTGGTGACAGTGGTCTGTTGCTCGAGGCAGTGAGTTGGGCAGACGATGAGATGGGATCTCGACAATGTGAGGCAAAAAAAGTGAAAATAAAGAAAAGGAGAAGCTTGGCTTGCAGAGGAAGAGGAGAAGTGAGAAAAAATGCCAACGACGTCAAAAGTGCCAAAAGTCCGCCTCTAAAAAAAGACTACTAAAAATGTTTTTTACTTCAAGACTAGGGCCCTGGTACAGTACGACGTCCACCAGGTTGGAAGAAGGCGCGCCCCGCCAATGGCCATTGCGGTGACTTGCAGAGACTTGGCAGGTTTTGTGTGTGCGTGCGAGAATTTTGTGGTGGGGTCTTTTTCTTTTTGGTGTGCAGCCGTTTTGTTCCTGCACTTTCTTTTTTCGCCCATTCCTTCACTGTTCCCCTCCAAAAATCGGGAGTGGGTCTGCTGCAACAGTGGGCTGTGGTGGCTGCTTCTCTTCACGATTAGGCCCCATGTAGCGGCTAGACCCACACTTTCGTCCTTCCCGGGGGCGCAACAGCAGCCGTCGTACAGGGCCGGCCCCTGTCGTCATAGCTTGCGAGGCCTGTGATGGCGACCGTTGGGCGCTGAATGTTTTCTGCAGCCATCCGAGTTAGGCCGACCAGGCCAACTGCGAGTCGACAGAATGGTATGGCACGGCGTGATAATATGCAGCCACCTTGGGAGACGGCATCTCCAGTCCAGAGCATACGGTCCAAGGGAGTATGAGGCATATTTGTCGTTTTGCAATTTTTATTTTTTAGTATGAGCTTTATTCTATCATTTTTATGTTCGTTGACCCGTCGCCGCCTTCGTCACCTCTGCTGTGATGCCACGGAAAACGGGCTCGAGAGAACAGGCGCGATACTTTTGCACCAGCAGATCGCGCCGCCGTCCGACGCCGTTGCTGCTCTCGGTGGCTTCTGGCGGCACAAAGGCCGCGCCATGCACCTGTGTCCCGGCCGGGTAGACGGGTGTGCGTCCCGACTCAACCAGCACGACAAACTGGGGGTCCAGCGGCACGCTGCCCAGATACGGAACGTTGAAGTCGGCGGCCATGGCCTTGCCGCCGCCGCGCATAAACACGTCCGTGCACTCGGAGCAGTTGGGGCACACAAAGCCGGCCATGTTCTCGACGACGCCCAGCACGCGGATGCTCGTCTTTGCGCAGAAGTTGAGCTCCTTGCGCACGTCCGCCGTAGCTACTGCTTGCGGCGTTGTGACAACCACGGCGCCGGCCATCTGCTCGGGTGTTGTGCTTTGCAGCAGGGTCTCGGCCAGCGAAATGTGCTCGTCGCTCGTTCCCGGTGGCGTGTCGATTAGGAGGTAGTCGGTCTCGCCCCAGAAGACGTCGCTCAGAAACTGGCGGACCATGGCCGTCTTCTTGGGCCCGCGCCACACGACCGCATCGCCGCGCTTGGGCAGCAAGAAGCCCAGGCTGATGACGCGCAGTGAGCCGATGCCCTTTTCCGGGTCGGCCTCGTGGACCGTGACGGGCAGCCAGCCGCCGGGCGCCTGCGTGACTTTCTCGTCTTCAATGGCAAACATGCGCGGGATGGACGGGCCGGTGAGGTCGACATCGAGAACGCCGACAGAATGGCCTGCAAGCGAGAGAGACAGGGCCAGCTGGGTCGTGACCGATGACTTGCCGACGCCGCCCTTGCCGGACAGGATCTGTGTGTGTCAGCATGCACTTCTGTAGACTTTCGGGGGACGTCGACATGCGAATAAAGCCACGAGACGACGCAAGAAGACGTACCAGCACAATGTGTTTGACTTTTGTGAGAGACATGACGCAGTCGAGACAGTCAAACACAGCAGCTTGTCGCTGTAAGAAGAGCCCGTATGAGTCGGTATCACATCGTCGACAAGGCCGTCGTCGGTCAGATGGCGTTGGTCGTCTTAAAACAGTTACAAGACTTGTAAAAAGACGTTTAAGGCGACCGCCGAAACAGGACGCAATTAGTAATTGGCGTGGCGGAATCTTCTGGCGAATGAGCGCTGGCAATGCCTGTAAATCCTTGTAAAACAGATCAGCCCAGAACCCTGGCAGGCGCTACTGCTCAGCAGATACCTCCGGCCCGCCAATGATAGTCGAGTGCCGGTGCCTACGTCGTAATACAGTGAGATTGACACGCCGGCGGGAGCCCGGAGCCACAGCGCTGACGTTTTGTGCATCAGGCCCACCACCATTTCAAGGTCGTAGCGCGTCTTTTGCCCACAATCCCCAGCAAAGCTCCATATGCACCCCCCTTGGCCCCTTTTGCTTCGACGTCCACTTCTCAAGACACGCGACCACGACGCCGACCAACATCGACTCGAAGTTGTTTCTGCTTGGCGCACGGCAGATACATACCGACCATCCCTTTCTACAGTCAACCATGCGCGTCGTCGCCCACAATGGACGATCCATGGGGCTCTCCATGGACTTCATCCGCCGGCCATAGCAGCAGCAGCAGCCACGGCAACGGCAACGGCAGTGGCAGTCGTGGTGGAAGTGGCAATGGTGACTCTACCGCGAATGGTGTGAGCGAAACACTCAAACCACCGCAGGCGGCTGTCCTGGCTGGTGGCCTCAGCGGCAGCACACCGTTTGCTTCCCTTCCGGAAACATCGCCCTGGGCTGACGATGACGACGGCGGCTTTGGCGGGTTCGACGACGACAATGCCTTTGGCGACTGGACGACGGCAACGACGACCGATGCCGACGCAAAGAGACATACAGGAGGGCATGTGGGTGGTGCCCCCACGCCGGATGCATCTGGTTGGGGAGCGTTCGCAGCGGCCGAGACAGCTGGCTTCGGTTTCGAAAATGAATTTGAAAACGGCTTTGGCAGCAGCCAGCACCTGTCGCCGCCACGCAAAGAAAAGTCGACGTACGGCGGACTGGGCCAGCTGAGCCCCATTGCCTGGCCGGGCTCCGCAGCCCTATCACCGTCCGGCTCTCCCGGCGGCAGCCCGCGACGACGGCGCGCTCTGTCGCGCTCGTCTGTAAACAGCCTCGGCGGCCGAAAGGGCAGCATCAGCGGCTTTTCGCGCTCGCCCAGTGTCGACCCATGGAGCACAGTGTTGACGAACGAGAAGCGCGGCGAAGCAGACCAAAGACAAGACTACGCGAGGGGAAGAGCGAGTAGCACACTGTCCATCCCAGTCCTGCGCCTCGACGACAGCAATAGTGTTGGCAAGAGCTTGGGTCAAGACGAGGTGAACACCAAGGATGACGTAGCAACAGAAGCAGCAACAGATGGCGTTCCACAAATTATTGCTCAACATGTCGACAGCGAAGGCACGGGGGGTAGTTCTGATGACGACACCGACGATACCCCGAAACCTCCACCGCAACCAACCTTTCCCTCGTTAGACTCCTGCTCTCGCCCGTCAACCTCTAGCTCCGACGGCAGCAGTCACCACCACCATGCTGACAACGACGATCCGCATCAAGACTCGCCGACAACGTCTGTTGAAGATGACGACGCCACCGCCACCAACACCAACAAGGTCACAACGACGCCGAGTCCCGACGTTGTACAAAGAAAGTCTTCCTCCAAGGTACAGGGTTTGGTGGAGCTGTACGACGGTTTGTCAACCAGGCCTGCCGCCACACAAAGTCTATCGGCGTCAGCCAGCACAAGAGACAGCAGCCGGCGTGGCAGCATCGGGTCAGACAAAAGTGTAGACGGAACTGAGACATCGGACGGTGAGGCGTTGGAGACCATGCCAAACATGGCATTGGCAGTCGAGACATCTGAAAGTGTGCCAGAATCGCCTGCTTCAGACTTGACACTACCTGTGTCTGACTCTAAATCGAAAGAGGACGACATTGACGACGAGGAAAACACTGAAAGCTTAGAGGATTCTTCAAAAGCCGACCACGAGGTCACGTCAAAGGCCAGCCCCGAAGAGGGCAAAGGAGAGAGCGTAGAGAAGCCCCCTGAGTCAACACAAGTTGACACCGATAAGCGGCCAAATGAGGGAGGCAAGAAGCTCGTACCAGAAGCGACCGCTCCAGACGCAGACGCGCTCTCGGCTAACCGATTGCTTGCCCTGTTTGGCAAGCAACCGTTTACTATCGACCAGGCCCAAGTAGACGAGCTCTACAACGACAAGGATGCCAAAGTGCGCCCGCGAGACGAGAAGGATGCCGAAGAGAACGCCCCACCCCTCGACGCCTTCATTCCCGACTACATCTTGGACGACAGCTTCACCAGCATCTCCGAGCGCAAAGTCTGGTACCGCATCGCCCGCCACGGCAGCTACCGCAAACACGCGGCCGGCGGCGACGACAATGAAAACTACCGGCCCGTGACCTGGCGCACCAGCGCCATCCGCGACGACACGGTCAAGATTGTGCGCCGCTGGATGGAAGAGGACTCGTTTACGGGAAAGCCCACGCTGGGCGGCGGGTTCGGGCGCGGTGTGGGCGGTGCTGCCGGCGGCGGTGCGCGCAGCGGGAACCTCTTTGGATGGGACTCGGCAGCAGAGCCCGTGGCGCTCGACGAGGTGTTTAAGCGGAAGAAGACGGCACCGAACGGAGGTGCCGGCCACAAATACAACCTGTCGTCCGCCTCGTCGGCATGGGCCAATGAAGGCAGCGGCGCCAGTGCGGGCAGTCCTGCCGGAATCTCGCCTGCGTTTTCACCGGCGCCCGTCTTTGGCTGGGGCAGCAACAGCAACAGCAACAGCAACAGCCACGACCACGTACATGCGCAGCCTGAGCCAGCACGAAACTCCGTCCAGATTGACCGGCCTTTTCCTGTTGCAGCTGTTCCATCGCCGGCCACAGCGCAGCCGAGCAGGTTCAGCGTTGTTCTGCCGCCGCGTGACCTGGCCCCGACCCTTCCACCGTCAACCGAAAAGAAGGACACGGGCGCTTTTGCAGGCGACGACGACGACGACGACGACGACGACTGGGGTGAGATGGTCTCGTCGCCAGTGAAGGAAGAGTTTAGCATTCCGCCCCTGGCGGCGCCTGTGTCTCTGCCTCCTGCGCCGGTGCCAACTGCTCCTGCTGTTACACCAGCTCCACCCAAACCTTCTTCTCCTATACCGGCTCCTCAGCTGGACGACAGAGCCGTGGCAGCCCTGGCTGGCAGCATCATCCGCGGTCTTCCCGACCTGTCGTACATGGCCCTGTAATTTTATGATTTTGTAGTTTTGTATATTTGGCGTTTGATATTTTTTCCGGGAGCATATTGTATATTGCGGGCGGGCGTTTGCGTTGATTCTGGGACGGACTACATATACGACGCAAATACGTGCGTATAATAGATACGGTACACGGCCGATGGCGAATCTATCCAATATGATACTCAGCATATGCGCGAGCACACAAGTGATGCGGTGGCGGTCACTCCGCCTGCAAAATGTTGAACAATGCGCGGCTGGCGACGGGACTAGGCGGCTGCCAAAAACGCAGGGGCCACTAAAATGGCAGCTGCCGAGCTACGAGCCCCACAATGTCGTCTGTTGCTTATTACGGGGACCAGGCAACTTCTCACCGAAACTACGTAACGCCTCTTCCTTTTCTCACTCCAGCCTCGCTCAACACCAACCACTCCAGCTTTCACGGCCGCACAGCGACGAGACAGGTTCTCGTGCAACTGGTCACGGCTGACCAGACCTATACGGCTACACGACGAGCATAGAATCGGCCTTTTTTGATCGAAGGGGCGCCGCAGCCGCCAACAAACAAAAACGAATCGTCTCCTTACTCCGCCTTTGCCCTCCTCCTGTTCCTCCTCCTCCTCGCCACGATGGACCGGCTGCGTCCCTCGCTCATGTCCGCGTGGCATACGCTGCAGGACCGCGTCCGCCAGCTGCGGCGCAACCGCCGCGACCACCTTGTGCACCATGTCGGCTTGGCGTACCTTCTGGTCGTCCCCGTCCTCCTCGCCGTCGCGACCGCCCTCGTCCTCTTTGTCCACTCCGACGTCAACGTCGCCATGCTTTTTTCGCAGTGCCACGCGCGGGCCCGTCTACCGGGCCTCTCACGCATCCCGCTGCTGGGCACGCCATCCTGTTTTCTCGTCAGCTTCTTCCAGGAGGCGCTCGCCCGCAGCTCGACGCGCGCGTTTGCGTCCATGAGCGCCGTGCTCTCGTTCATCGGGTCGCTGCTCACCGTCAGCACGGTCGAGGCGGCGCGCATCTGCAACGGGCCGAGCGTGCTGATTGCCTACCCGACGGGGCCCTGGCTGGTGTTCAACCTCGTGGGCGGCGCCATGGTGTGGGAGCTGCTCATCACCCCGGCCTTTTTCCGCCGGTCCAAGGAGATGCTGCGGGCCCACGACGCGGGCCACGACGCGGGCCACGACGGCGACGGCGACAGCGCCGCCAATCCCAATACGGGCCGCGACAAGCGCCACCTGGCCGTCGTGTCCGAAGTCGTGGCCATCCCCGTGGCCGTCGCGCTCGGGTTTGTCGTGCCGTCGCTCGCCATGCTCGTGACCGACCACCCCGTCGCCATCGCCGTGTGGCTCTTCTTCCCCGTCTACGTCTCGCTCATCCGCCAGGGCGTGCGTTTTGTGATCCAATCGGCGGGCCAGCACCGCCCCGGCCGCACGCTGCACCTCGAGTCGCACACCCCCGCGCTGCTGGCGGTCTACGCTGTGCCGCTGCTGTGCTCGGTGCTCTCCCACGGGCTCGTCCTGTGGCTTCTTGTGACGGGCCGGCCCGACGACCGCCAGGAGATGACGCGCTCGACGCTGCGGTTTATTGAAATCGACGTCGTCTTCATCGTGCTGACGGTCCTGTACTGGATCCTGGTGGAGGCGGGCTGGCGTGTGGTTGCGGTGGTGCTGGGCGCGTCGGTGGTGCTGGGCCCCGGTGCCGGCCTGTGCATTGGCTGGATCTACCGGGAGCACCAGCTCGGGTTTGTCGACGACGATGATCACCACAGCGTCGAGGGCGACGGCGGCGGCGGCCACGACGGTGCAGGCGCTGCTGGGGAGCAGACACCTTTGCTTCGGTGAGGGGAGATGCATGGGACAGGAGGCAACAGGCAAGCGACGACAGACCATTAGGAGACTCTAATACCGGGATGTACATAGTTTTTCGAGGACGTGGCCAACAGCACAGGGAGCCATCAAGCATCGAGTCAAAGCGGACTCGACGTCTGTTGTCTTGGTTTAATATTTGTATTTATTTGTTCGACAACGTCATGGCATGGCAGCGTTCTGCATCAGCATTTTTTTTCTGTGGCAATTTGTCTTTCTCCCATTGTTTCAAACTAAAGCAATAAAAGTCATCAAAGGAATCATTTGGACCGGGCAGGCATGCCGTGTCCTGTCGGTCTGGGCGTCTTGAACCTCCTATGTGACAAAAGAAGCTTTCCGTCTGTCCCACACTACGGTTCACTCCCGGTGGCTCCCCGAGAGGATGCTGCCGCCGTGACGCCCCTGATCGTGGGGGACCCACCGAAAAGCAATCACGACATCCTCTGCAGAAATTACGACAGCAGAAAACGACGACTCCTGTTGGTCAGATCAGCGCCCAACAGGTCTTTCTCGCCCGTTTCAGGACGTTCTGGGACAAGCTCCTTTGGCAAATCGGTTGCACCAAGGTGGCAGACGACGGGTGTACCCCCAAAGTTGTCTCGATTTGGTGAGTTCTTATTACCTGCTGCCAGTTTCTCATTCGCCAATTTGACAAACCGGAGCCGCCCGACTGCCGTTATGGTCCACTGGTCCACTGTAAGTTTGGGGGTCCATGTGTCGAGTCGCGCGCTGCAGAAGGGACGAAATAAAATCAGTAAGTAATCCAATAACATCAGACACACGATCTAGAACTAGAATCGTATCTAGCAGTTTGAATATATGGGACCTGCAATTCACTTCTTCCAAGTCAATTTTTTTTTGCATCTCCCTTCCAAGGCTCTTCCATTTCGACATCATTGCTCTCCTTGTTGTCCAAAATCCAACAAAATACCTCCCAAAATAATACGGCAAAGGCTCCCTCCATTCGCAAGATCATAAACGTGAAATTAAGAAACAAAAATACATTGACAACACTGCTCCCTCCCCTTCCACAGGCTCCTACGTCGAAAACTCATTGTTCGTCACCCAGTCGCCCGAGAACCAGCCGCCAAGATCGGTCGACCCGAAATTGTCCACATCGAGATCAAACGCGTCGAGCGCGGCGCCCGGTTGGTGGCTAGCCAGGCTGGGCTGCGGCGAGCCGGTAGAGCTGACACCGCTGACACCAGCCGGCGTCGGTGCTGCGCCGGCCGTGGTAGGCAGGCCGGTCAGCCCCATGCCACCTGCTGCGCCTGCTGTGGACGCGGATGCGGGTGCACCGGGAAGGCCGGTTGGGCCAGCTGCTGCGGCGGCGGCCGCTGCTGCCGCCATGTGGTTGTCAAAGGCGTCAAACATGACTGGCGGTGCACTGGACAGGCCCGGATGGGAGACCGGCTGCTGCAGCTGGTGTGGGTGCTGTGCGAGCTGAGGGGGAGGCTGCGGTTGCTGCGGTTGCTGCTGTGTTTGGGAGTACGGCGGTGGTCCTGCTGAGGCGGCTGCCCGTTGGCTGAGTCCGGGCAGCACGGGACTGGGTGCGGCTGTGGCCGTTGCGGCGGCAGCGGCAGCTATTGTGGCGGATGCAACTCCGTTGCTATTTCCATTTCCGTTGCGCCCCGGCTGCCGCATCATGGTCGAAATGTCGTCCTCCGTCTCCATGTGCAACACATCCGGCGTGCTGCGCCCGCTCGGTGCAATGTTGGCGGTGCTGAGCCCCTGCGTCATGAGCTTTTGCAGGTTCGCGCGGATGCGGATCGTCGCCGGCGTGGTGACGGTCCGCTCTAGCACCTGCGTGCACACGCCTGCGAGCTCGAGAAACGAGTCGTGCGGCACGGCCTGCGGGTCGTCTGGGTTGGTGCGGCTGATGTAGAAGAGCAGGCGGACGCACTGGTACAGGCAAATGGGCAAATCCAAATCGGTGGCCGGCACACCGTTTTCGAGTGTCAGCACGAGCCGGAACATGTCGGCCATGGCGCTGGCGTGCTCCAGGACCTGCTCGCGGCAGTGGCGCACCCATGTGGGGAACTGGTGCTCGAGCTGCGCGATGCACGGCGCCGGCAGGGCCTCCTGCAGGCCGACTAGGGCAAGGCGGTACAGCTCGCAGTGGCACTGCTCCCACCAGACGTGCGTCATCAAGAACACGCACAGACGTGGTGAGTAGGTGCGCAGGCGCACGTTGCCCTCGGACCAGCGGAAACTGACTGGCAGCCGGGCGGCAAAGTCGTCGAGCTCAGCGGCGATCTCGGCGACGCGGCCTGGGATGGAGGCCACATTGAAAGCGGTCACGTTCTCATCGATGGCCGTCGACGGCGACGAGGGCGGCGGTGTGCTCAGATTCGACGTGACGTCCTTGGTGTACTGCAGGATGCGCCCGCGGATGGAGCGAATGCGCACGTGCAATGCCAAAAAGCCAATGTCGTCGGGCAGTGGTGGCAGGCTGCCGTCGGCCAGGCGAGGTGGTGGGCGCAAGGGTTCGGTGCGCTCGGGTAGGTCAAACTCGAAATTGCGCTCATTACAGGGCAGCTGGATGTTCATGACGTCGGCGCGGTCTTCGGCGCGGTACGCCCACAGGCTAAAGTCGGCATATCCATTGGCCATGCTCGAGTCGATCATATACAGCGCCCACATGAGGCGACGGCGGGACTCGCGCGCCAGGAAACAGAGCCGGGGGTTCTCGTGGTTGAGGCGCAGCGCTGACGCGAACCGCGAGGCCACGCCGTGCAGCATAAAGGCCGACGAGAACCGGCCCGATAGCACGCGGTGGTGGATGACAAAGACAAGGGTCTGCAGGCCGAGCGTCGACGGCCGGTCCAGACGGCTGAGCACGAGCGCCTCGGCCTCGGCGATGCACTGCTTGCCGAGCTCGCGCGTGCCGGGGCCCAGATCCGTCATAAGCGACGTGATGCCGACAAGAGCGAGCAGCAGTGGGCGGTCGACGAGCCCTGCTCGGTACCGCTGCATGAGCGAGGCGCGGTGCAGAAAGGCAAAGGTGGGAATGTGGTGGATGTGGCGAAAGAATTGGTCAAACGTGCGCATGGCCAGCGCCTCGAGCACGTCGCTGGGACACGAGCGGGTCGTCAGCACGGTGGTGTCGACGCCCGCGCCGCCCGTCGACGCCGACGGCGGCCCTCCATGGCGTCCGAGGCCGCCTGCGTGGCCCGTGTGGCCTCCAGGCCCGGCACCGCCCATGGGCACATCGTCCATGTGGTCGGAGGACTCGCTGAGGCCGCGCTCAAAGCCATGCTGCTGTGATGGCGGCTCGCCACGACTGTCGCGGTTGTTGTCTCGGTCACGGTCGCCCGAAATCGATCCGGAGAGCACAGGGCTCATGCGTGTGCGCTTGCCTGGCCGATAGACACACTCGATGCCCAGCGTGCGGCACCGGTCGCACTGCGGCGTGCCGCCGGAGCAGCGGGCCTTGCGAGAGTGGCAGTTCTGGCATGCTTGTCGTGCGCGTCGCCGCGGGATCGCCAGCAGTGGGTCCGATGCGGTAGCTGTAGTTGAGGCGACCCTTGCACTGTTGTTGTTGGCGTCTGCCGAAAGAGCGCCGTCGGCGCCGCCGTGTTGACCTTTTGCATCAGCGTTCACTACGACAGCCGCGTCGTCAAACGAGCAGGGGAAGCCGAGGCGTTCGCAGTTGGAGCAAATGTCGCGGCGGCCGTCGCAGCGCACCTTGCGCGCGCGGCATGTGACGCATGTCTGAGACACTTTTTTGTTGGAGAGGTCGGCGGCGGAGGTTGTTGTTGTTGTAGCCGGTGCTTCTGTGGCCGGTGCCGTAGTCGGGGCCGTAGTCGATATCGCAGCGGGTACCACCGTCGTCCCGGCCGCCGTGGCTGCTGCTGCCGCCGTGGTTGGTGTCTCCATTCACGAGCACAAGTCGACGTCCATGCTCCGGCGGAGATATACCGGGAAGATGAAAACGGCGAGCGGAAGTCGGAGGCAGAAGGCGGGAGTCGGGGCGGCCGAGGACGAGGGCGGGGAAGACTCTGAGAGAGGGGCAGCGAGCAGCGTGAGGCGTGCGTGTCAAAAAGAAACAAGGAGGTGGGCGGTGACCTGGGGTGCTGAGCGGTCAATTGCTGTTTGTGTGCGAGGCTTTGATTTTGTGACGAGGTCCAAGTCGATGAGGAATTTTGGCTGGTAGTCGGCGTTGGTGACTTGCTCTCTATGGAAGGAGACTTGGCAAGAATTCAGCAGCAACGGCAAGAGCGCTTTGCGCCCCATCGCCTGTAATTAGAGCCTATCAGTGGGCAAAATATGCGGGGCCTGGTCCGGTGAAACTAAAGGTACAATGGGTATTCTGTAATGACAAAAGGGAAGGAGCGAGGCCGCCACCCGGTTAGCGCATGTGCGCTTCCACAACTTGCTGAAAGACGGAATCGGGAAGGAGGGGAGCGGCACGCCTCATGGCTCCAGTGGCCCCAACGGCCCCAGCGGCCTCTCACTAAAACGGAACGAGGCCGTTATGTGCATGCACGCTGTAACGCAGCACGAGTCATGCTCGGAAGCAACAGCTGTAAATGGTCGACAGCGCCTGCTAGTTTTCCGCAATATGCTCCTTCCTGGCGCGTTACAGTGCCAATATGCAGGTGCGGCCGGTGGAGCCAGCGGCTGCCGACACTGACACGACACGACTCCTTGACGGTTGCCGCCGATTGACCGAAAGCGGGCCTAAGCCCTGGTCTGGACGGCGTATTGCTTTGAAGACGGCGTATTCGTATGGCCGCGACTTGCTACACATTCAACCAACCAAGTCGAACGACGCCAGCAGATGTCAATTGGCGATGTTTTGACACCTGGAGGCCCTCCGTAATTGATTCAAAAATACGACGAAAACTTCAAGTTTTCCGAGGGTATGATTTCACAACGGCCTTATCGCGAACGATGCGATGACGACATATCGCTTTCCTGTGTCTCCCTTAATAAGCCTGGAATGTGCCGTGCGCCAGTCCCCAAAATGCCGGATGGTATCTCGACGTCTGGCATGTGCTGTTTCACTCCGTTGCCCGGCTGCCAAATCGCACCCCGAAACGACTATGGAATGTAAACGAGATGTCTAGTGAGGGGAACTCATTCGTTTGTCGTGGGTAGGCGTCCTTTTGTCGGCTTGTTTGGTTTGAGCAACGAAGCTTCACCTTTCCTGTGCATCACGAGAATTGCGGCTCTTGTCATCATCACGATGCCCACATGAATACGACGAGACACTCTCATCCAGATCGGGCCGTCCAAACATTGGACAAATCCCGACAAAACCGTCGACAAAGCCGTCGACAAAAGTAGCCGACGATTCTTCTCCGTATGGCGAGAGACGGCATCGATAAGGGTGTCTCCTTCAAATATCGCTTCAAGTGGCCACTCACCTCTTGGAAGCCGTCGGCCGCGGCAGGGCCCGTCACCACGCCGCCATGGCTGCCGCTACCCAAGATTGTCATGGCCTCTTTCGGGCTCAACCTGCTCATGATTCTCATCGGCCTGGTTGTGTCGGGCCTCGAGCTTGGCGGCACGATTGTCGTCAACACCAAAGCCAGTGGTCTCACCGAGAGTCTGGTCATGATCTCGTGCATCTTTGGCCTGGTCTATATGATCTGCTACATGCTGGTCTCGCGCCGGCCGGATCCCTTTGAGGGCAGCAACAACCGCGCCCGAACGCCGCGGCACACCAAGATCATTGTGCTGGGCCGCATCACCATTGTGCTGTGGTCCGTGTCGCTGCTGGCCTCGGCCATTACTTTGAGCACGCGGCCGGCGGCCGGTGGATCGTCTACCACGCCGCTGCAAGCAGGTCTGGCCACGGCCGCCATCAATTGCTTGGACATGACCATTGTGCAGGTTGTGGTAGAGCGCACCTTGCAGCCGTTTGTGCTCCCCTGGATCACGCCGCCCATCCCGGAGGGCCAGACGTCCGCCGCAAAAGCCCTGATTGACGGTATACTGGGTGACGGCATCTCGGGCCACCCTTATGCTGCGTCAAGCAGTGGTGCTGAAAGCGGTGGCGGCGCATTAGCACGCATCCCAAGCCGAACGTCGAGTGAAGAGGAAGCCGAAGAGGACGAGGAGGAGGAAGAGGAGGAGGAAGAGCCCGCCCCGCCCCCTGCCCCTATCCCATCCAAACGAAAACGAAAAACACGCGTCACCATCCGCGAAACCAGCGACGACCTCAACGTCTCCACCAGCACCCTCGGCCCGCCGCCCTCCGTGCCGTCCTACAGCAACGAGCCCTTTGCCATGCCCAGCTCCGGCAGCACCCTGGTTGAGCGCCAGGAGCTCTGGAGCCGCGTCGACGAGGGCGCCGTCAAACCTTCATCCATCAAACTGCCGCCCCCGCCGCCCATGCACCAGAACAGCTTCGCTCCTGCCGCTGGCTCGTACATCCTGCCCGTGCCGTCGCCCATGGGGCACTTTTACCCGCCTCAGCCGACGTATATGTCGTCCACGGCCCAAATTCCGAGCCCCGGGCCCGTTCCCGTGATGACGCCCATGCCGCCACGACCGCCGCTGTCGCGAACGTCGGCCAGCGGGTTTCCCCGTTACAGCGCGGCGCCCATGGTCAACACGAGCAATGCGCCGCCCGCGTTTGGTGTCATGGGCACACGGCCGCTGTACGAGGCGGGGCGAATGCACTCGTACACGGCCTATATCAACAGCCTGCATGGAAACGGAACCATTGCGGAAGAAGAGCAGACCGTGGACGACAGCGGTGTCGGTGGCAGTGGCAGTGGAGGCAGCACCAACGGCGAACGGTCGGACGGGACCCGCAGTGTGCCGGTGCCCATGGGCGCACGGCCACCGCCGCCGCGGCCCATCCGAGGTCGAAAAATGTTTAACAAGGCCATCCAGGACCTTAAAGCGTCGAACAAGCGCGAAGAGCCGATCTGGGATGACTACAGCACCATCCGTGTGCCGGGGTCATATGTGTAATTGGCAGACGGCTGGGGGCGTTTTACGTGTTCTTGGTGTTTCCTCGAGTGGTTTCTTGTCTCATTTTGCGGTAATCGATTGCATAAGCGCGTTCGTTGGTTTGGGTACCTTGACAATTAGCAATTGACAACGTCTGAACGTTAGAGTGTGGGACAATCCGTTTGCACCACGAAGCTTTTCCCCTGTTCTGTGTGGCTATCCAAGCCTGGTTTTTGTTTACGGAAAGTGCAACTAACTTGCACTCTTGCCCAGTCGTTTAGAACGCACGAAGCGTGCTGAAAACAACGCCAACTGCGGGGATCCAGTGCCTCTGTCAGCCTTGTCACTGTTTAGGCACCAAGCCCACCTTTACCCCCGACGTCCCCACCGTTTGCAACGTTATTGCAGGCAGCCGAGCGCCAAACTTCTATTGAGCAAATCCAGTGGCCCTTTATTAATACAAACGACAGAGCTCGCTGCGCTCGCCCGAGGTCAACGTGCAGACATGTTGATGATGGTTTGATGTACATGTTGATGTTCTGCATCCTTCCGTTCAGTGCTTTGTCGCTTCATCTTCTGTCGTCGTCACTTTGTGTTGTAGTGGGACTTGCGAATAGCTTCACTTCTTGTGTCTCGTTGCTCCGTTTTCTTTTCCTTTCTTTTCTTTTCCAAATTCTATATTCGCCAACAGACCGCCATCATGGACATCGCCTTGGACAACTCTTCGCAGCCCCTGGAGAGGCTGCCGATCGAGATGCTCCTCCGCATCACACGGCACCTCTCGACCACCGACCTCTGCAGCGTCCGCCTGGTCTCACGCACCATCGAGCGCGCCCTTTTCCACTCCTTCAGCCACGAATTCTTCCGCCGCAAGCAATTCATGCTCACGGACTTCAGTCTGCAGACGCTCCTGGACATTTCCCAGCACCCGACTCTGAGCCAAACGTTGCAGCATGTCTCCTTTGGCCTTGACAGGTTCCCGAACAAGCTCATCGAGAAATTTGATTCGGAAGAAAAGACAATCGTGTTCCAGATTGCCATGGGACAGCAAATGTCTCTGGCGTGCACCGGCCGGGGCGTGGACATGCTGGCAGCGGCTTTTGCCAACCTGCCGAATCTCCAGACCGTCGACATACGCGACTTTGACTCGCGCACGCGCTTCCGCGACGGGCCCTCGCGGGCCTGGCACAGCTACGGCTATGCCACGGTTCTCAAAGAGATGGGCGAGGGATCGATTCTGCTACGGCACGATGTCACCTTTGCTTCAGAGACGTTTTCGATGATCTTAGCCGCCCTCGCCAAGGCCAACGCCGTGGCCGGCGTGCGGCCATCAAACCTCAATGTGATGCTGCGTGCGCGCCGTTTTGGCCTGACAGCGCGAGCCTTTGATCTGACCGTAGCACCGGGCACCAATCCCGCGCCAATGCTAGCCGTTGTGTCGGGATTGAAGCAGCTGCAACTAGACGTCAACTTCCACACGGATCCGAATTTCAACCATGTGCTAGCGTTCTTAGCTGCGGGAACACGGTACCAGCCTGTTAGCATCGCCAGTCTACCCTTCCACGCCTTTTTGGCACAGGCCATCAACGTCGAGTGGCTGCGCCTCAACCTGCAAAACTGCAAGATGCGCCGCGCCGACGTCTTTATTTCTTATCTAGGCAAACCGTTGCCAGATTGGTATCCGTTTCTTACGTCTCCGTCTTCGTCGTCTTCGACGTCATTGTTCTCCCCGACTCCGTCTCCGTCCGTCACCCTCCCACCAGGGTTGCGGCGCCTCGAACTAGGCCACACGGAGATGTCCGTACCTCACTTGCTCCGCCTGCTCCGCCGCATACGACTGCTCAACTCACTGTCCCTATGGAACATTGCACTCGGCGACCCTGACAACACGACCTACCCGCCAGCCATCTGGACGGGCTTCCTGGAAGAACTGGCTATCGACCCACTGGCCAACAGGCTCCGCGAAATCTCCATTGACAACCCACGCCAGTTGTCCAGTGTCAACGCGTCCTTCTCGGACCCTGTCCTCTTTGACGGGGCCACGTCGTGCAAGCACAACGCCGGGCAGGCCGAGCCTATGAGAGCGTACCTTTTGAAACTCGCAAAGACTGCCAAGGTGGAAATTCCTCCCGCAAACAGCGACATTGAAGACGAAGAGGGCGACTCCGAAGATGAGGAGGAGGAGGAAGAAGAAGAAAATGATGATGGGGCGAACCATGTTGACGACAACGGCAACAACGACGATAACAGCGGCAGCGACGATGACTGACGATAATGACCCTGGTGCCATAACATAGGATGAAGCCTTTGCATTTATTTTTAGAGTGACGCGGCAACCGTTACTGTCCATGGAAAGCTCTAATTGTGGTGGAATTTCACTGCATTTTTGTTCTTCTCTCATATTCCCTGCAAATCATGCAATTCCTGTATTTGTAGAAATCTGTTATGCAAGTCCTTTCGCTATAAAATGTATAACCATACGAAACGTTGACTCCGTCCATATGTCCCTGATCCGTGTTCTCTCCCTCTCTTTTACAGCATACCTTTTCGTGCCAGCTCAATCTTGCGCGCCGCCTCGCCCTCCTTGAATCCACCGCGCGACACACACAGCCGGTTGCCCTCGGCCAGCTCAAACTTGTCCTCGATGCTCGGGAACGGGCACGGGCAGTGGTGGGCAAAGTGGACACACGCTGCAAAGCAGTTAGAAGGCCGTGGACAATAGAGTATATTACAAGAGGGGAAGAAATCGAAAGGCCTACCCAGGGTGTCTGGACACAGATATTTGTCGCAGTGCATCTTCTCGACGTTGCCCCGGTACCACGCCGAGTCGCTCGGCACGTTCTGCGGGTCGTTGTGCTGCTGGCCGCCGCCGCCGCCAAACATTTGGTCGAAGAAGCCAAACTGCGCAAAGGCGACATGCGCATAGAGAAGGGTCAGCGCCCAGGCAAAGAGGGTGGAGCGTGCAAACATGGTGGTTATGGGAGAGGCAGTAACGATGTCCGTCGGTAGGTGCAGGGCGTTGTGCTGAGTCGTGGTTGAGACACGCAATCGATGTGGATGGAAGTCAAATCGAAGAGGTTTGATTGTTGACGTAGCGCCAACGAAGGGCTGAGGTGCAGAAGACCAGCTCAGTGAGCCAGCTGGCCAGAACGGCAGGCGCAAAAGACCCCTGGAAAAGGTGGAGCCCCGCATAAATGGCCAAATACAACAGAGAACCGCTCGGAATAAAAATGTATTAGGTAATCACGGATACCCTGAGTTCAAGCTCATGGCAGGAGCACAGTAAGCGTTAGACAAATTATTTTACTTTGAACAATTCCATTCTACAATATGTCGTACAATGCTGTGAACAAGACGATCCTCGACGTTCATAATAGATATCTCAAGTTGACACGGCCAGAGTTCGAGTTCCAATCACGCTAGTCCAAAAAAGCTCACTGGGGAGTGACCAAAAACGACGTTCCAATTTGAAGGTCACGTGCAGCTGGTGTTCTTTGAAATTTTTACTCTACCCGAGAAAACAAACCTCCGGCGATTGGATTGAACTCTTTGGTGAACGTTTGCGTTTGCGACCACGACGACGTCCGACAACAAGCTCCCTCCCGAGCGGACTCCACGCGACCGATTGGTTCCGACCGCAAAATCAATGCGCCTTATGCAGCTGCGGCTGCCCATCCGGGCAGCCGTGAAGCGGCCAACAGCGACGCCATTAATCACGGCTTCAACGGCGACGGCAGCACCAACTGGCTGCAGCAGTCTTTTGGCTGCCAATACCGCCGTCGAGGGTCAGCGTTTTGCGTCCGTCAAGGCGCAGGGCGCTTACCGGGTGACGTTCAAGAAGACGATCCCCAAGAAGATGGGCGCCAAGCGCGTAGGGGGTGAGTTCCGGTTGTTGCGCCGAGTCGTGATGCCCAACCGCAGTGCTTGTCACCGCTAACCTTTTCAGACCAATACGTCCTGCCCGGCACAATTATCTACAAACAGCGCGGCACGCTCTGGTTTCCCGGCGAAAATACCATCCTCGGCCGCGACCACACCATCCACGCCGCCGTCGCCGGCTACGTCAAATACTACCGCGACCCCCACAAGCACCCTGACCGCCAGTACATTGGTGTCACCTTTAACCGCAACGATACCTTGCCGTACCATCCTCACGCCGCCCGCAAGCGGCGGCTCGGCATGGTGGCCGTGCCCCGCAAGCCCCAACCCACGTTCGAGCCCTTGACGCGGAGTGGTATCCCGCGGCGTGTGATTCGCAGGGCGGGCGTCATTGAGGCCAGTGCAGAGCCACCCGACAGCGCCGAGGCGAAGGAGAACCCCGACGTGGCGGCTGTGGAGGCGGCCGAGGCGGCCGCCAACGGGCCCTCCAGCTCCAGCTCCAGCTCCAAATACCAAAAGGGCGGCGAGACCAAGGCGGCACGGGCAGCACGCCGGTGGAACGCGTACATTCGCATCAAGCGGTCGAACCGCGTGCTGTTCGTGGGCAAGAACTACCAGTACCGCGAATCCAACTTCCAGATTGGCCGTCTGATGGGCACGCACAAGGGCAAGACGCCCGGCACACAGCGCTACGGCAGCCGCCGCGCCATTCTGCGGCACCGGAGGAAGAAGCGAGACGAGCAGCTGCGGATAGACAGAGAGCTGGCACGGCAGCAGCACATGATTTCGGCGGATAAGTCCAACCAAAACACTGGCAAGGCGTCCAAGAAGATGGCCAAGGCCGAGAAGAAGGCCAAGGAAGCCTCCAAGAAGGTGGTGCACAGCGGCCGGGTTGTGTAGACTTTTACGGAGGGTGGGAAAGAAACTGGGAGGCAGATAGAGGTGGCTTGGATATGCCACCGCCCAAAACAAATACGAAGTGTACGATCATGTAGGCACAAAAAAAAAAAAAAAAAAAAAAAAAAAAAGAGAGAGAGAGAGAGAACGGCAATAACTTCCTTTTATTTTCTCCAGTGATAAATTCCCAGAGCATTCGTTCCGTGCAGTTGGGCCAGCCACCGCAGGCTAAGCACTAGAAGGCTCGATATGACTGCAGGACACCAGCCGTGTCCAGATCGGAAAGCGCCATTGTGTGAAGTAAACTGGCTGGTGTTGAGCAACTGTATAAAAACACTGCTGTCTTCTTTGTGACAACGCATAAGGCAATATATTGCATCTGGGGGGCGCGGTTTATGGTTTGTGAGCTTAGGTGGTTTCGGTTAATTTATTCGGCTATGCCTACCAGAGTTGGCGGTTTGGCCGGCTGGCCCGCCGTCTTTCTCACGGCACAGCTCTTGGGCGATTCAGCCACATCCATTAATCAGCCGCCGCCACATCACGATGTCAACAAACAGAAAGCATTAATAGGTAGGAAGGATTTATCGGTCAGGCTGGTTTTATCTTTGAAGGCTGTCTGCCCCTTCGTGGCCTAATAGTGTAAGTATTGACTTCAAATGTCGGGGCCGAACTTGAGGCTTTTTATTTTATTTTTATTTTTGGATTATTATTTCGCATTCAACGTTACTTATAAGTGTCGTGCGCTTTTTTGTAAACACAAAAATAATAAAACCAACTACAATCTTTACAAGATGTATGCCATACCCAACCTCACTATCTTTAGAAAAACCACAGCTTGCAGGCGATGTACCCAATCACCTCACGTAGATGCCCGTTTCATCAATGTATTAGCTGTTCAGCCTCCTCTCTGATGACTGCATCACGTCTTCAAAGGGCTGGCCCGCCATGCCTCGTCTGCCACCTTGTCATGCTCGTCGAGTTTGCCTCCCAAACCAGCTGCATGCACACACATATCTGGTTGTGCTCTTGTGTATATATGAATGCCGATGCTTAGCTCTCGACGAGATGCCATGGAACGATGGAAAACATCCAAGCAACGACAGTCGATCACGAGCCACGAGTACGAATCACGAAACACAAAAGTACAGAGCAACGCCACTTGGGATACCATAACAAGCGAATAAATATAAGTGACTCGAGAAGCCCTCTTTTGACGATACAACAAAGGCCTCCTCGGATACGTAACCACTGCAATTTCTTTTTTTCACGCTCCTGTTCACGATTCATTACTACGATGAGGTCGCTTACCACTTCCGCCCTCCAACTCTTGGCTGCCGGCCACGTGGTTACAGCGTACCCCGGTATGGGCAGGCTGTTGGCCGACTTACAGAAGATGCAGCGCCACGAGAGCCAGCTCGGGGCCCGCGCCCCGGCCGGCTTTCTGGGCTCGACCACCATCCTCGGTGATCTTGCCAACTTGCCCGACTCGGCCCTAACGCCTGTTGGCGCGAACATCAAGGCCGTCCTGTCGGGCAACGGCGGCCAGCCGCTTGGCGACGGAATTCCAGAGTACGATGCGCCAGGCCCGCTGGGATCGGATGCTTGCACAGCCGACGCCTGCTGCGTGCACAAGTACGCCATGCTCGACATGTACTCTCTGTTTAGCGACCCGGCCTCGGGCGGCTGCTCGCCCCTCGCCCGCGGCGCCATCCGTCTGGGCTTCCACGATGCGGCGGCCTGGGACACCGGCGCTGGCTACGGCGGCGGCGGGGCCGATGGTTCGATTGTGCTGTCGCCGGCCGAGCTGGCACGGCCCGTCAATGCAGGTCTGCAGGCCATTGCCAATCAGACATGGGCATGGTACGAGCGGTACCACCAGCACGGCGCGTCCATGGCCGATCTGATCCAGCTAGGTGCCATGACGGCCGTGACGGCCTGTCCTGGCGGCCCCCGCATGCGGTTTTATGTGGGCCGCGCCGACAACACGAATGCGGCGCCGGACAACATGCTCCCGGACCCGACCAGCGGAGCCGACACGATTGCCGCCCTGTTTGCGGCCAAGACGATCTCGCCTGGCGGACTGGCCGCCTTGATTGGGGCGCACACGGTGAGCCAGCAGTTTAGCATGGCGCCGGCACAGGCGGGGGCCGGCCAGGACCCGACGCCAGGCGTGTGGGACAACCTGTACTACAGCACGACGCTCGCAGCCACGGCACCGGCGGGCGTCTACCGGTTCCCGAGCGACGTGGCGCTGGCGCAGTCTGCGGGTGCGGCTTCGTCGTTTCAGTTCTTTGGGACCCAGGCCGGGCGGTCGACATGGCAGACGGTGCGTATTGCTTGCCCTCTTTCCCGTTTGCCTCTTCTTTGTCGGGGACGCAGCTAACGCTTGTACCTTGTTTGCCGTAGGCCTTTGCGTCAGAATATCTCCGGATGAGCTTGCTGGGTGTTTACAACATCAACAGCATGACCGACTGCACACACGTGCTGCCGCAATCGACCTTTCAAGGCTGAATGTGCGTCCGGCGCTGGCGCGAGGTGCTGGGTGAGATCTTTCAGCAGTGTGTCCCTTTGCTCGTTTCCCCCTTCTTGTGCAATTTCAGGCCGCAGCTGGCTGGAATGCACGTTAGCGCTCATGATCTCCTGGAGGACACTCTCCCGTGTTTCTGAGATTCTTCCTTTTTGATCGGCCCTGATCGGCCCTTGGGTTGCCGGTGCCGCTTTAGCGAGGCAGATAGAGCTTGTTGGTCTTGTCTGACGTGCCCTTTCTTTTCTCCTTCCCCCTATTCCATTCTGAGCGTTTTCGAATCGTTCGGGGCCTGCTCTTTGTTTGTTGGTTTCATTCTTCGCCCGGTTCTTCATCTCGGATCGGCACTGCGCAGACTTTCGTATTCTTCTTTCACCTTGTTCCCTCGCGGCGCTCTGCTCACTTCTGTTGGTTGGGCTTCGAGTCCTGCTGCCTGCTTAAGGCCCTGCCCTCATTTTGGCCGCAGTCTGGTTGCATGGAGGCGGTTTCTTGTCCATGCTTGCCCTGTTTCTTCTTTTGTGGTTGTTTCTGAGGCGTTTTAACTGGTGGTCCAGCGCAGCGTATCATTTCCATGCATCATTTTTCGGTTCCGACCTGACAGAACTTTATGATCAATGAATCAATGACTTTCCATATGCTCTGTTTCGTCATCATGTACTCCATACTCGTACTGTGCTTTCCTGCGACCAATCTGGTCGCAAGTGCTTGGTTGCAAGTGCTTCGTCGTACCCTGTATCTCCACCCAGTTCAGCTGACGCGAGGCACAAAACCCATAAACAGGGCCAGAAAGGAGCACGACGCGTTCGATGCCGGGCGGAGTCTCTCAGTACACCTGGAGCCAGTCAGAGCAGGCTACGGGACGGGTAGAAAAGTGGAGTCTGTGGTTGAGCGAGACACACAAGGACACGCGCTGATTGGCTGTAATTGGACACGACGCGCTCTGATTGGCTCATACAGTCCTTTGGCCCTGCAAGCATTTTAGCACTAATGCTGGTCCCAATTTGGGCCGGCGAATGGAAGGGCAGCTTTGTGGCCTCGAATGACACAAAGGGGGCCTCAAAGTGCAAAAATGGGCATACGGAACATGGCACACGGACAGGCTCGACAGGTTCTGGAGGTCGCCCGGCTGCGCGACCGTTCGCCAACGCAGCAGTGCAGGACTCAAGTCGTACTTTCGTAAATTGAATTCTCCCCTCTTTTTGTCTACGTGAGACCTTGGACCATCCCTTGCGTCCGTCTTGCCTGCTTGCCCTCCGAGCTTCCTTGTTCCTCAGCTCTTCCGTCGGTTAGCAAACGGCTCGACCTTGTACTTCAAGCACGGCGGGGCAGTCCACCGATCGTAAGGTATTTTTCTGTGGTTCGATCATCGAGTCCGAGCGCGTCGAGCTTTGATTTCATCTCTGCTTCTACTTTTCTGGCTTCGCCCCGTTGTTCGACCTCTTACAAAGACCTGCAGGAAGGCGCTTCTTCGTCCATGCAACGCATGCCTCCCCTTCTCGTGCTTGCCAGAGCCTTCAGGCATCCCTCGTCGCTGCAAGTTTACTGGATGAGAGACGTTGATTATTGTCTGAGGCTCTTGAGATCGTTTATCAGCTTCTCCGCCTCTGCCCATGTCACTTTCCTGTCACGTCAGAGCTCCTGCACTCTTCGTCTCGTCATTGCCTGATTCTGCCATTGCTCCTGCCTCTGCCAGTAGCCATCGTCGTAAGATCTTTCCGTATTCGTAGTGCTCACAATGCTGGTGCACTGGTCCCTCATGAGCAGGTGCCATGCATCACTCTTTCCTTTTTGGTTTGGCAAGGCGTGGAACGAAACTTGGCCCCAGGCAGGCCAAAACCCAGAGCAAGGTCGCGGCCACATTCATTCGTACGCTCTTGCCGATTGAGCAGTCACTGCCCAGGAAGGAGCCAGTTCCACTGTTCCAGGGTTTGGCCGTTTTGGCTCATTCATGGGCCCAAGACGCCGGCCAAGTGCTGCAACCACTGTCAAATTTTGGACGCCAACACGCGACGCCCTCTTGACGCCCTCGTTCCTCTCGTCGCCAGTCCTTCCTTCCCCCTTTCCCTCCCTCGTCTCCCCTTCTACCCCCCTCTCCTTCCCTTTAGCCCTCCCTCTGTCCCATATGCCCTTGAAGCCCCATCTCTATTGTCTGTCTCTTACTCTTATTCTTTTCTTACTCGGGTCTTTTTCTCTTTTGCACTTTATTTCCTGTCTGGATTCTATTCTTCTTCTCCCTCCCGCTCTCTTATTACGGTTAACCTCTCTCCCTTTCCTTTGCATTCCTTCGTGCTTGCACGTCTCTCTCCCTTTCGTCGACGACAACTTTATTCATAACGTGCTTTATCCTCGACCTGAAGCATATCTCAGCTCTCGAAACCGACATCTCTTGATCGGTCCGGCTTCATCCTAGTCACAACTCGTCAACCCGACCTCGGCACGAAAAAGTCACCGTTTTTGTCTCTTCACTCTTTTATCACCAACTCGACACAATGGCGACGATTGCTCGGCAGCCGTTTGCTCCCCTCGACGGGGCTCGGCTTCAGGCTCTGACGAGCACAAAGAACAGACAGAATGGTACGCTCGAGACGCGTTCTATCTGCATATCTACATTCGTACGTTGGCACGTCAAACTAACAATCACCAGCTGCTCAGTCACTCGCTTCCAAGAGAAAGGCCCCGACGTGGACCGAGGCCGAGGACGTCGAGAACGTTGACCCGCAACTGTCGGCCAAGCGTTCCAAGGGCGCTGATGGCTCAGCTCCGGCCGCCGGCAGCATACTCAAGAAACCGGCTTTCACGCTCACCAAGGCCAACATGAACGTGTCGTCTGTTGCCAACATCTTCGACGTCAAGTCGTCGTCACTCTCGTCTTCGCCCCGCACCATGCTCAAACCCCGGGGCCCTTCCGCCAAGTCTGCGGCCATGAAGATCAGCACCAGCCCCATCCGCATGTCGACCTCACCGATTGGCTCGTCTCTGTCCTCGTCTCTGTCCGGCCGCACCCCCCGCGCATCTCGCCGTGGCGGTCTTCTCACCAGCAAGCGCCGTGCCGCCTCCAACCTGAGCCGCTCGTCACCCACAGCCACCGGTGCCGCCAACTTTGGCTCTGCCGCACCCTTCTCGCTTGACGCCGCCCTCAAGGGCACCTTCTCGTCGTTTGACACGCGCCTGGCCTCGTCGGCTCTTGTCCCGCCCAGCCTGTCGCCCCTGGACGACGCCTCCGGCATGAGCACTTCATGGTTCTTTGACATTCACGAGGACACGCCAGAGCAGGAAATGACCAACCTGCTGCAGCACAGCACCTGTGTCCTGGACATTAGCAGCGACGAGGAGTCGGAGCTAAAGGCACGCCGCGAGCGCGCCGAGGGCCGAGACAAGGAGAACATCCCGCCGCCCAACGATGTGAGCCAGACCAGTGCCGCCCGTGCAGAAGCTACCTCGGCCACAGCCAACACGGATGAGATGTCTGTGGACAAGGCACGCAACCCGCTGTCGCAGCTCAATGCGGCTGACTACTACGCCGATGGCTGTGACGAGGCGTCGGTCGTTCTGGTGGCATCGGACGAACCCGAGGGGGAGGAGCAGCAGCAGCAGCAGCAGCTTGCCCAGAGCATTGATGCTGTTGCCGCTGCCACTACCACGGCCGCTGTGGAGGCTTCTGCGGAGACGGTGTCTGAGGTTGTTGAGGCTGCCACGGCCAAGGCCACGGAGTCCGAGGCCGTCGTTCTGGAGGAGACGACCAACGTCGAGGACATTATGACGAACCGGGAGAACCCTGCCTGTGAGGCCGCTCTGTTGGAGCCAATAGACGGTACTGGCGAGAGCTTCCAGCTGTGGGAGAGCGGCAGCCAAAAGGATGGAGACCTGTAGAGACAACGGACGATCCCTACTCTCCTTGACTGTCTTTCGTTTCCTGCTTTTGTTCCTCTTGCCTTTTATCGTTTTATACCATTCTTAATTTCTGGCTCCCACGGGTTTTGGGGTTTCCTTTTGCCATATTTCTCTTATATCGTCGGTTTTACGGTCTGGGTCTGGCTTGCGCCTCATTGCAAAGGGGAAACTTGGTCTTGGGTTGGATTTTGCTTTCTACTGCAATTTACGGCGCTTTGGGTTTGTCTTTCTTTCTTTTTTTTGGTTTTTGTGCTCATTCCGTCTTTTTCTGCGGTTACGGATCTATTTTGCAACGAAGTTATGCAGATTATGTACGCCAGCAAACATTGAATGGCTTCTCATCAATACAACGGTTGCTTGATTCTTCAAATTTCTTGATCTTCTACTTGGTTTATTTATTTACTGCTTTCCTTTTTTCTCTTTGGTCTCGGAACTTCCCACCTTGTCACCCTGACACTGCTCGCCCAACCACGACTTTGGTAGCTTGGCGAACAATGAACCAGCAGTCTACCGTCTTTTTGTGAAGAACCCTTCTACCTTTTGTCCCCTACTGCTTGGTGGTCGTGCCAATGTCGCCCCAGCGGATGTTGGAGAAGACGACGTGGGTATCTGGGTGCTGCGACTGGATGTTGGACGGGGTGCCCTGGCCAGCGGCACAAGGACCATTGTTTCCCTGGTCGAGCCAGGACATTTGCTGTGCGCCGTCGTTCCAGATGCTCATAGCAAGGACCACTACTTGTGTGAGTAGGAGGATTTCAATAACGAAAAAGGGGTGAGATGAACGACTTACTGCCTCGACCGAGAGCCTCGCCCATGCCAGGCAGACCGCCCGTGCCGCCCTCGGAGCCGCAGTTGCTGATGGTGCCGCCGCCGTCGATCTGGCGTCCGCCCTGAATGTACTTGCGCGTGATGGACGTGAGCCGGCCGCCCGACGCCGCAAACTGCGTCACCACCGTGAACACCTTGCCCGTGTCGACCGTCTTGCCGGGCCCCCAGAAATTGCGCTGCCCGCTCGCATAGGGGTTGTACCCGCAGCCGCCCTTGTCGCAGTTGCTGCCCTTGCACGGGTGCGGCGTCATGGCCGTGGCCTGCGAGTTCGCCTCGAGAATGTCCATCTCGTTGCAGCAGAAGCCCTGGCACTGCGCGTCGCAGTAGCCATACCCGCCCGCCGCACCGGCGCCCGCACCGCCCGTGCCGCCGCTGCCATCGGCCGCCATCTCCGACAGATAAAAGGCGCCGTTCTCGCCGCAGGGCAGCGACGACAGGTCGACGTCGACGGACAGCTCCTGGTTGTTCTGCAGGTTCATGAGCACGTACTTGTTGGTGCTGCTGTCGAGCAGGTAGACACGGGGCGACGCCGACTGGCCGTTGACGTAGTGGTGCAGCGTCAGCGCGTTGCCAGACGTGGTGACGCCCATGGCGGCGTAGTCGGCGGCAGAACGCGAGCCGGCGGCGCCGGCGGCGAGCTTGGAGTCGCGGTCGAGCACGATGCTGGTGTTTTGCTGGACACAGCCGCCCGCGGAGGTGCACTTCCACGTTGCGATAGCGGGATGCTCCTCGCCCGCCAGAGCACCCGTGGCGGCACCTGCAGCCAGCGAGGCCAGCAGGCCGACCAGCGTGACGGAAAGAGAGACGGTCATCGTGTCGATTGCGACTTGGAATAGGATATGGCAAGAACAATGTTGTAAAACGTGCCACGGGATGTGGTTACAGGAGCTCACAACAGACATCAAGTGGCCGAGGAGCACATCGTCGTATATAAGATGATTATAATTTACTTTCGATTTACATGAAGCCCCCAGTCCTTCTTCTTCTCGCCTCCCCCCTTTCGTTGACCGCCGATTCAATCTGCTCATCCGACTTGCCATATTGATTTAGGCATGGACCTGGCCAGCCCTTGGCAGGCACATTGGTTTTATTTGATTGCGCAGCCAAGTCATACCACGGCCCGCCAACCGGTACCTGGACGTAATACCCGGTGCAGCGCAGCAATGGCTGAGATTAAGCTTGTTCTGGGGGACGGGCCAGCGACCACGGCACATGACTGCATTGGATTTATAACGTCGCATTGGGAGCCTTGCCTTGCAGACAATTGACCGAGGTCGAGACGAGATGTCCACAAAAATAAATTGTCGATATAGCTGAATATGACTCGGCAGAGCGGGGAACGGGGTACATTGTGTCTTGGGGGTCTTGGGATGCTCTTTTACGCTCTGGGCGCTACATGGTGGGCGTTGTTAATAGTACGGCATATTGGGAGGTAAGTTGACTATTAACTTTTCTTTATATGCAGACTCTGTCGTCCCACCGCTATGCATTTTGACGCTCTGCGGTACCCAAGGGCGGCCCCACGGCATTGCTCCGCCGCCGTGGTTCAAAGTCGAAGCGGCCGGGTAGCCGCAGACCGTCGGTGGCTTTGAGCGCGAGAGGTCAACGTGCAGCCAGCCATCGTCGGCCTGGGCTGCCAGTTTTCGGGCTGGGCTTGCAATTTGTTGAGAATTGGATCGTAGGCTGGGTCCTTGGCTGGGTTGTTGGCCATGTCTGGATTGGCTTTCAGTTCAAGCAGCTCTTCGGGCGCCACGGAAGACGTGGTTCCGCAAGCGTCGACGGCCAACCATGACCGCGGGAGCGTCGCGTCCGTCGTCGCCGTCGGTGGGCATCCCTGTCTTTTGAGGGACAGAGTTGCCCCAACCGCCCCCTGCTCATCGACACACACAGGTCCGTGGCAAAGGGTAAGGTCGAGGCGCCGGGCGACGATTGCACGTTTCGTGCGGCAGCACCGTCGGCCCAGTCGAGTCACGACGGTTAAATGTCGTTCCACGAGACTACGTTGGGACTGACAACGCTATCCGTTGTTGGCGTGCGGCCGCCTCCGATTGTACGGCGGCCGGGCGCGCCGTTGTCGCTGATGAACCCGACCAGCGTTGACGCGGCCAGCCCCAGCGTCTTGAGCTCATCCGGCAAAAGCCGACGTCTAGGTCCGGCTGAGAGATGGCCTTGCAGTGCTCGACCAGCTCCGTGCGCAGCTCGGGCACGTAGCTGATAAACGGCGGGATCCCCACGTCCTTATACTGGCAGTCTGGCACCTCCCCATCGCGTACATCGCCGTTCGGTCTGTTCTTGTCGGCGCCGCCGTTGCACAACCCGCCAAGTGATTATGAAGATGATGGTAAGTCGGCACCCCTACTCTGCTGCGATGAACTGTATAAATGAAACCACCGACAGCCGACAGGCCTTTGGCGCTATCTTCGACGTCATCACGGCGTCTCCCGTTCCATTTGTCGGGCCGTACGTGGTTCCCGCCATGGGCGTCAAGATAGATTGGCGGCACCTTTGGCTAGGCGGCCGTGTTCTCCTTCATTCAGGGCATCCTCTTCATCCCCGAGATGGACGAGTGATCACTAGAAGAGGTGGACCCGCCAACGGAGGTATATGAGGCTACATGGGCCACTTGGACTGAAGCGTTAGTTTATAAGGCATACTCCCTGCAACTTACACCGCTTTGGGTATGTTTTTTTGTTGTCCCTGTAGCAATACGTCATAGGTACCATATGTAGGGTGTAATTTGTGGTATGTATAAATTTGCATATATAAATTTGTGGCAGGGCCATTTCTATAAAACCAGTGGCCGTCTTTCGTCGTCTAGCGTAAAGAGTTATGAAAAGCAAAGAGACATACAGGTCGAAAACATGATATAAAGAGTACAATACCAAGTACAAAAAATGGGGGAAAAAATGCTGGTAGAAGATATGCAAGGCAGATTGGGAACATCAGAAAAAGGAAACCGTCATAAACAACCGCCCTTGAGTTTTAACATTTCAAAACTTGTCTCGTCTGCCCGAATTTATATTGTGCCGGCAACTTTCGTGCCCGTCTTCTCAACGTCCCAGTCGACAGCCGGTGCCGAGGCAGGCTTGCGCACACTCTCCTGGACGGCCTGCGTTTGCGAGGCCGAGGCGGCATTGGCCGCCCGCACCTGCTCCAGACCCATGCTCTTCAGATAGGCCACGGATTGCTCAAACTCCCGCGCCCGCACAGCGTCGGACCACTTGAGCTCGTCTCCGAGGATGGAAATGACGCGGGGGAGGGCCTCGCGGGCGGCCTGGACGTCAACGAATGCGAGGCGCGTACGGCGGGCGAGGACGTCGACGGCGGTGCATGCGGACTCGTTACGAACACCGTAGCGGATCTCGGCCTCTGTGATGGGGAACGACGGGATCAGGCGCGGCGATGGGGAGGCGGCCGCGGACTCCGACGCAAGAATGGTCCAGGCGCGATCGCCGTAGTTGGCGGCAAGGTGCTGCACGACATCGGCGTCGACGCTGGGGTACACCTCGGCGAGCTGAGCAGGGAGAGCAGGGGAGAAGCCGTGGGCACCGATCAGGGGAATGGACTTGGTGACGCAGGCGCCCGTGGTGGCGGCGGGCGTGAACGGGGTGGTGGTGGCGCCAATGGCCTCGAGGGCGACACCACGGGCAGGGGTCAGGTGGAAGGCACGGATGGCGTCGTCAACGGCGTCCTGGGCCATCTGGCGGTAGGTGGTCCACTTGCCACCGGCGCAGGTCAGCAGTCCCGAGGGCGAAACGGTCACAAGGTGGCTGCGAACCAGCGATTCGGTGTTCTTGGAGTGCGGGTTCTTGACGAGCGGGCGGATGCCGGACCAGGTGGACAGGATGTCCTTGTGCGAGAGCGGAGCGTCGGGCGAGACGAGCTTGCGGACCTCCGTCAGGATGAAATTGACGTCGTCGGAGGTGGCCTCGGGGCTGCGTTCGATGGCACACGGGCTGTCGGTGGTGCCGGCCAGGGTGCGGCCCTCCCAGGGAAGCACGAAGACGACGCGGCCGTCCGAGGTGGACGCATCCAGCAGGCCCATGCCGTTGGGGCAGATGTTACCGGGCAGGATGATGTGGGCACCGGACGACGGCGAGATCATCTCGGGCTTCGTGGGGTTGTCCATGTGCTCAATGCCGTCGGAGAAGGGGCCGGTGGCGTTGATGACACCTTTGGCGCGGATCGAGAAGGAAGCGTCGTCTGAGTTGCTGTCGTCCAGGATATCACGAACGCGCGCGCCAATGATACGGCCGGAGGCATCCTTCTCGAGGCTGGTTACCTCGACGTGGTTGACGACGGTGGCACCGTAGAGCATGGCCGTCAGGGCCAGGGACACGTTGGTGCGGGCATCGTTTTGCTGGCCGTCGTAGTAGACCAGGCCGCCGACAATATGGCCGGCGTTGAGCAGGGGAAACTTTTGCAAGGCCTTGGACTTGCTGATCCAGTACGAGCCGTCCAGGCCCTGGGAGCCGCTCAGCAGGTCGTAGGCCTTGGTGCCAGCCCAGAAGTAGGGCACCTGCCACCAGTGCTGCAGGGGCAGAAGGATGGGCAGCTGGCTGGACAGATGCGGTGCAATCTCGAGGAACGTCTTGCGCTCGCCGAGGGCCTCAATGACCAGCTCCAGCTGGCCGTAGTCGAGGTTCCAGACGGCCTTTTCGAGGTACCGCACACCGCCGTGGACGAGCTTGGTGCTCTTGGAGCTCGTGCCGGCCGAGAAGTCATCGCGTTCGACAAGGGCGACCTTGAGGCCACGAGTGGCAGCGTCGAGGGCAATGCCGGTACCGGTGGCGCCGCCACCGATAATCAAGAGATCGTATTCGGACCGTGAAGAGGAGGAGGAGGCAGAATCAGAAGAATGTGGTAGTGATGGGTCGGTGGGCTGAGGTTGTGATGCGCGCAGGTCGGCAATCTGCTCGGCACGGGACTTGGCGGACCGGAAGGAAGGCGGCTGGATGTTGCCGCGGGCATCACGCTGGACGGGGACGATGGGCATGGCGACACGCGGTGCACCGCGGCTCTTGGTGGTGGCATAGACTAGAGTACCGCCAGTGACGACGGCACCGACAGCGGCGGCCGAGACGAGCAGTGGCCGCCGGACGCGGGGGAGGCGCCACGCCATGTTGTGAGAGCCGGTGGTGGTGGCGGTGAGAGAAGGAGGGAGGGCGAAAGCGGCAGGACGTCGTCAGTCCTGATCGACGTCGATGTTAATATTCCAGCCGAGGTCGAAGTCGAAGTCGATGCCGAGTGCTGGAGTGTTGTAGGAATTATTGTACTGCTGTCTTGCCGGGTAGCAGTATTTATTTCCAGTTTGTTCCGCTGTATTGGGGTATCGTTCGAATATGTCGTCGTTGGGAACACGAAGAAGAGAAAAGGAAACAGGAAGCAAAACAAAAATAAAAGACAGGGAGGCAGTTTCAAGATATGTGAAAACGAAGATGGGTCCGTCCCAAACGGGCAATAAATGCAAACGTCTCAAAAAGACCTCAGGAACCAATCAAGCAGGATAAAATGGCAAACAGAAGGTTCAGACAAAAGTCCCGGCGGATCTATGGCCGGCGTGGGAGAAGATGGGAAGATGACTGGGGGCTATTTTGTATGGGGAGTTGGGTGTGGTCGGGTATTGCTATGAGTGTGTAAGGCGCACTAGTCGATCAAGACGGAGAAATGACGGCCGTCTGGGCCTCTTGGACGGGCGAATGTAGGGACGAGTGAGCGACACGCGGGACGCGCAGATAATTGCCCTGACGTAGTGACGCCAACAAAGGACTCAACCAGGCCCAAGAATAAAATTAAAAGAAAGAAAACGAGAAGGAAAAAAAGGAAAAATCAGACGCAAAACGGCACCACTCTCGTCTGATGATTGGCGATGTATGTCGGGGTGGCTTCTGGCGCGGGCGAAAAGACGGCAGCAAGAACAAACCATCGTCTAATCTCCCCGACACGAGTTGCACGGCTTGTCGTCTTTGCCTCCCACAGGTACAGGAGAACGTCCCGTGCTGCCCCAAACTGGTCGGAGCTGGCCATCTTGTCTCCATTCTCGTCTTCTCATCCTCGTGTTTCTCCACAGCTCATACCTCGCTTGGTCTGCAGCGCCAATCATGTGAGAAGGCCGAGCTGCCCGTTCTCCATCTTTTCGTCTCCAGTTGCGAGCCTGGAGGTGCGCACCATTTTGCACCTTTGATGTGAGCTGGCGAGCTGGTTGGCTTAGTGGGGGTCCTCGTACTCAGCAGACGGCATCTTAGGTCGAGAGGACCTCATCCTCGGTGCAGTTTCGCTGGCATGGCCCGAAGTACGCGAAGGTGTACGGAGGCGATAAATTCCATGAATGGATGAGGAGCGAGGGGGCTTCGGAACGAGGAGGCGGACCTGGCAAAACAATGCGATGACGAAAAGAAGGCACAAAGTGGGGGCAAGGTTCAGCCTCGTGGAGCTCCTTCTCCAAATGACAGAGATGTTAGCGCGAACCTGTGCCTGGGAGCTCGGTGTCAGCATGCCGAACACCGAGTTTTGTCAAAATTCGGTATGGTAGCGCCGAATTAGCGAGGATTAGTCATCTTTCGGTAGTTCGGTGCACGCCCACCGGGATCCTCGTCTACCCTCTTCTGCCAAGCAAGGAGGGACGGGGAACGTAGCCTCGGAGCAGATAATGCAAGTGAGGTCCTAGATGGGCGAAGAGGCAAAGAAAAGGGCCGACACAGCCAGGGACAGAAAGAGGAGAAGAGCTCACCAACATATGTGACCAAAGGACAGGGCGACACGGCGAAAACGATAACAGCAAGACGAAAGGACAGGGACTCTGACTCCAGCTCCCCAGACTTTGAGTGCTTTCTTCCCCTCATTGCTCTTCGAGCGGGGTGCCAGCAGCTTCTGCAATGGCAATGATCTGAAGCCGCTGGATCATGCGGTGATGATGATGTAGAGACACAGTTAGGAATAAGGCAGGGCATTTGAGCCCGGGAAGCGATCCCAAAACGGAAGTCGTAACTAGCCTAGTTAGGTTACTCACGCTTCATTGTGGCCATCGCCCAGCGGACAAGAGCGGACGATGATTGGAGCCGTGGCGACCGTTGAAAACAGAGTTTGGCTTCGTCAACGTCTTTTGCAGAAAGTCCAACGAAGAAGAAAAAGTACAATACAGGCTTCAGTCACAAACACCACGTTACCGGCATCATCCAGGAATCACCAAGGTGGAGAGTCCCTGGGGGTGGTTTTCGCTCTCGGCCTGGCATGGGCTGCTGCCGTTCGTCCACGAGGTTCTTCCACTTTGGTCCCGTCACCTTGTCATCTCGCCGTTCGTCTTGACCTCGTGGCGCCAGCTGTGCCTGGCGGAAGACGGAAGGCGGCGGCGCCCACGGATGTGGCTGCACGATCCTGTGACTCTCAATGACTGGGCCTCGGGCACGGCTTCACCCTTTGTTTCTCGGCTCCTGCTTTTCTTACTAAGAAGAGAAATACCATCGTACGGGCCTTAGAATGAAGGAGTAGGGGGCTTACGAGCACTTCTCTCACGAGACTATTCTGCGCCTCAGACGTCCCCTCTTTTTCTCGCCTCACCTGTTTGTCTGCCATTGCATCGCCTACAACTCACCATGCTGCTCTCCTTGCCCTGCTGTTTCCGCTCTACCTCTCTACAACATTCTGTAATCGTACTTGGCGTGAAGAGCCCATAGTTGGCATTACACGCGTAAAGGATAAGAGATGCCTTCGCTTCAAGTGAACCGGCAGACATGTCTGTCTACCAAGCACGATGGCTGAATGTTTCTTTCTCTTTTTTTTTTTTTTTTTTTTTTTTTTTTTTTTTTTTTTAGTTTTGACAGAAAATGCTTTCCTTTGTCGATGGTGGGCTGTTCGCATGACCCGCCAATTTTTCTGGCACTAAAGCGATGTTGCCCCTAGAACGGCTGTAGAAGGTCGAGCAGGCCTGGCCGAACAGTGGGTGAGTATGCCGAGGAATCGTAGGTTTTCTTATTAGGGTGCCAAGCGAGTGTCGAGTCAGGCCAAGCCAGCTAAACTGCAGTGCTGACAATCGCTACAGCCTGCCTCGGTCAATAACGGGATGACAGCAAATTCCAGTGTACTTTACAGCACACGGCGATCGAGCCTTGGCGGCGAAGGGTGTTCACTCATCACGCCAAGATTCACCATCTGTTTATGGCCAATCTGTCAGATGAAGCGTCCTTTTGCAAGAACTAGACGTAAAACTATGCACCACCAAAGGCAGTCGCCAGCTGGACACGTCGTCATGACTTTGAAAGTACTCTGCACGCCATAATCAACCCACGATCCGAGGTAAGACGAATACATAGTATTCAGAAAGTGCTTATCCCGTAAAAATAATGGCAGAACACCCTGGTAACCTGCTAGGTCCTATACTGGACTTTTGGCCATGGCAAGCTTGCGGTTGCAATTCGGGAGAAGAGCGAAAATGACTGGCACGCAGTGCATGGATCAAGAGTTCGTAGTGATAGTATTAAGGAGGTAGGAGGGTTCCGTGCACGGATCGTACGCGGCTCCGGAATGCGAGCCAATGTCAGGAGGACAGGCGAGACAAACAAAATCTCTTATCCGCAAGAGCGTTTTGTAGAGCAAGAAGCAAAACATAATGGAGAAACAAAATTTAACGACAAAATTGGCCAGCAGTAGATGATGACATGGTAATATATACAAGTGGATAGAATAGATACATAGATACGGTCATGGTAGAAGAGGGAAAATAAAAAAACAACAGCGCATATATGGCTCTTAAAAACAAAAGGGTAGAAAACATGGCAGTAAACGCATGAAATGTACCAGTGCTACAGCATGACCTCTTGTATACTTTTGTGCGTCTTGTAGGGTATTTTTTTTTTTTGCTTGTGTGGTGAGTGAGGGCTTCGACGCTTACACGTTCGACACGACCCAGGGCGAGCGCGTCTTGCGCGGGTGAACCAGGCGCTTCAGGCCCAGCCACGGCGTGTTCATCGGGCTCGGGCCCGTGTAGATGAACGTGTCGTACAGGAAACCGCCAAACAGGCAGCCCAGGAACGGCATCACCATGGGGATCCAGAAGTAGTAGCCGCCAAACGACCAGACCTCGTGGCCGTAGCCAATCATAAAGGTGACCAGCCGGGGGCCAAAATCACGAGCCAGGTTGATGGCGTAACCCGTCTCCCAGCCGAAGCAGGCACCAATGCCGAAGATGAGGAAGAAGAGACAGAGGGGCGTCAACGGGCCGGCGCCAATGTTGTTGGCGTCCGTCAGCGCAAAGATGACAAACTGCAGGATGGTGCTCGCAATGAACTCGGAGAAGACCATGCCGGTGCGGGTCATGAAGGCGGCCGGGTACGTGCAGAAGACGCCGGCCGTGGCCGTGGGGCCGGAAACGGTGCGGATGTTCCGGCCGCCCTCGAACTGGTCAATGGCCGAGCGGTAGTTGCCGTAGACAATGGCAGCGCCGGTCATGGCGCCCAAGAGCTGCCCCATAAAGTAGACGGGAAACTTCTTCCAGGGGAGGCCGCGGTACACGCAGTTGGCAAGCGTGACCGCAGGGTTGAGATGGCCACCCGACTTGCCGGCGACATACACGCCCAGCATGACACCGATACTGCGTTTTGTTAATACGTGACCAAGGGCGGCTGTCGACTCGACTCTATTCTGGATCCCAGGAACAAAACTTACCCCCAACCCCACGAAATACTCTGGTAGTCGCCCTTCTTGTCGTCGGACAAGACGACCTGAGCCACGACGCCGTCACCAAACAGGATCAGGATCATGGTGCCTAGGAATTCGGAGAAGAAGTCCAGCGAGTAGTTGCGGATCCGACTCCAGAGGAGCGGCTGCTCGTCCTCGGACGCATCATCGCCCGCGTACTCGGCGTTGACGGCCTCAGAATTGTTCATGTCTTTTCTCTCGTGGTCGACGGATGTATTCTTTTGGCGGACCTCGATTGTGTCGTCTGAAGCAGACATTGTGGACGGAGAGAAAGGAGAGAAAGGAGAGTATGAAAAGAATTAGGAGAGTGGAAAGGGAGGAAGAAAGAAGAGTAGAGGATAAAAGAAGCCCGCAGGGGCAATGACTGATGATGAGAAGAAGATGCACGTGGAAAGAAGATGATCGAGAGAAATGTTGATCGCTCCCCACGGGGAACAGTTGGTTCTATATATGCTCGTTGGTGATTATATGAGATGCGTGGCAAGCTGTGTGATGACCACAGGACCAGGGGTTTGAGCTCGGCTGTGGTTTAGCTCCAAAACAACGGTACCGGGGTCGTGGAGAGCGAAGCGATGGTGTGGATATAGATGGGCAGATGGGATGGATGCGCTGGTATGGGCAATACAAAAAGGGTGGAAGGAATGGAGAAGAATGGGTCGGGGGGAGAATAAGGAGACGAGAAAATAGGGATGAAGGGGAGAAGAGAGTGAGGAGAAGAACACGAGGGACACGGAATTCAGAAAAGAAAATCATAAAATACCAATTTTGCAAATAGTCTAAAAAATTAAGTAAACTTTTTTTTTTTTTTTTTTTTTTTTTTTTTTTTTAAAAAAAAAAAGTACAATACGCTAAGGACAAAAAGAAGGATGGGGAGATGTTTCCGGGGTCGACTTTGACAGGAAAGCACGGAGCAGCGAGTGTTCTCAGGCCAGGGGGGGAGGGGAGGGGGAGGGTGTACGACGTACAAGATCACAAAGGAGGCTCGTAAGGTGTAAGCGTCTGGAAAACAAGAGAAAAGACATTGCAAAACGGTCGCAGATCCGAGGCTTGTGGAGCACAATTACGAAGGACAAAACAATGGGAATGGGGTGGCCAGGGCAGCTAGTGAGAACGGATCCTGGAGGCAAAAATTACAATGGAGAATTATGGATAGTGGGAGCTGATTGTGAGACGAACTACGGAGACAAAAACTAAGAAAATGATCTCATGGACGGACCACGGGAGGCGTTGACCGAGCGAGCGAGAGAGGGCCTAGAGGGCGTGACCTGGGGACTAGGAGGTTAGGAGGTTAGTAGGTTAGGAGGTTGGGACGGCGCCGGGCTGGCGGCCGGATGCTGCCATAATAGGCAGTGTAGTGCGGTATGGTGCAGTATGATGTGGTGGCCAATTGTTACGTATGTCGTAGGAGGCGACAAACCTGCGGCAGAGAAACAGGAAAGCGACAAAAACGGAAGGAAAACGAGACCAAAGAGACGACGGAACGGAATTGGAAAGTGGCTGGAAATAAAGCAATCCCGGCGCGCAGGGCAAGGAAAGACCGGCGCTGAGGAAAGTGCGCGGTAGACCAAAGGGGAAAGTCGTGGTCGGGGACCAAAGAAGGAACAGCGAGCGACAGCGAGGCACTCCAAATCCTGGGGTGCATTTTTCGGGGGTGGGTCACCGAATATTCGGGATCGGGAAGGAGCGACGGGCGCGTGCAGCGAGCGAGCGAGAACCACGGGGCAGGCCTTGGCGAGGAGGAGCGATGGAGACGGGGGAAACGGGGAAGGTGGGAAGGTGGTGGGAGGGGAAGGCTGCAGCGAACTGAACCCCAAAACGTCGTGGGCAAACACATGGGGTAGCATTGGTTCCAACTTTTCGACTACAGCAGCCGCAGCATGACCTCAGATGCCCTCCGCGCAGCCGACAGTACGGGGTAATTTGATGCTACGCCAACAAAATCGGGGGTTCTCACTGACGCTCCCATCCAATTACGCGGGGAAACAACGTCAGCCACCCCGAGCTGTCCCCGGTTTTATTCGGTTTGGAGACCCCGAGATGTCAACTGGATGGACTGGGCACGCTCCCCCAGGATATCGTCTCGATCGTTCGCACCCCCCTTGATGTCTGACTCCCGAGACGAAAGAGCATGCGTCGGTGAGAACTATCGAATCTGTGTCTTACTGGGGTGACGGCACTCTTACCACGACCCCGGATGGAGGACGAGGGGTAGCAAGCGAGGTGGCAAGGCAAGGGCTGTGACGGAGGAGAGAGACGCTGTGCTGGAAACAAAAGACCCGACTAAAACAAGGACCAACACAAAAAGAAAGACAGCAAAAGTTACCCCAGCTCGCCCAGTCAGCTGGTGTACGACAAGTTGCAACGCCCCCGACTAACATCGTCCGCAGCCGAACCCGTTACTCACATGCCACGCCCCGGCCACATCCCAAAACGATAAAAGAAGACCAAAATAACTAGCCTGCCATGCGCTCGCCCACACGCGGTGACAACTCTCCACATTTCCCACCTTTTGTGGAGGTCTCCGCAATATTTTGTGGTGATGGGATGGATGATATCCATCTTGCCGTCTATCGAGGTGTATTCTTTCCCCGAGGGGTAGCGCGTACGAGGGCGCGTGAGGGGAGAGAGAGGGGAGAGGGGGAGCTTGGCTTTGTTAGACTGGTCCCTTACACGTGCAGACGGCGGACCCTACAAATAAGCTGGCAAGTAGCTTTTTGTCATTGTCCTTGTTAAGCACCACTCGCAAGCCAACAGCTTTGTCTCTCTCTTGTCTTATATTTTGTCAGGCCTTTCTCATCCTCCCCCTCGCCCTTTCTTCCTCTTCTTCTGCATCCTCAAGTGCGTCGCCCATTTTACTTTTGCATTTTGCCTATCTTCGTCTGATCTTTGCGACTATACACCATCCTGTTCCACTTATACCCCTTTTCGTCACTTTATTGCACGTATATCCCACCGCTTCACAATGACTACCAACGCCTCGTCCGGGGCGACCTTTGTCGGTGCCATTGACCAGGGCACCACCAGCTCGCGCTTTCTCATCTTCAGCCCCGATGGCACTGTCGTGGCCCTGCACCAGATGGAGTTCTCGCAAAAGTATCCGCAACCGGGCTGGCACGAGCACGACCCTGAGGAGCTGATCAGCTCCGTCGAGAAGTGCATTGACGGCGCCGTCGAGCAGTTTGAGAAGCAGGGCCACACGCGCAACCAGATCAAGGCCGTGGGCATCACCAACCAGCGTGAAACCACCGTTGTCTGGGACACCACCACGGGCAAGGCGCTGCACAATGCCATTGTCTGGACGGACACGCGCTCCCAGGAGCTGGTGCGCAGTCTCAAGGACCGCCTGGGCTCCAAGGAGCTCATGCAGCTCTGCGGCCTGCCCCTCTCTACGTATCCCTCGGTCTCGAAGCTGTTGTGGCTGCTCGAGAACGTGCCCGCCGTCAAGGACGCCTACGAGCGCGGCGTGCTGGCATTCGGCACGGTCGACACCTGGCTGGCCTACAAGCTCAACGGCGGCACGGCCCGCGACGTCTATGTGACGGACCCGTCCAACGCCTCGCGCACCATGTTTATGAACTTGGAGACGCTGGCCTACGACCACCACCTGCTCGACTGGTTCCGCATCGACACCAAGAAGCTGCGTCTCGCCAAGATCGTCCCCTCGTCCGACCCCAGCGCCTACGGCTCGCTCGCCGGCACCGTCCTCAAGGGCACCGCCATCACGGGCTGCCTGGGCGACCAGTCGGCCGCGCTCGTGGGCCAAAAGGGTTTCACGCCCGGCCTGGCCAAGAATACGTACGGCACCGGCTGCTTCCTGCTGTACAACGTCGGCCCCAAGCCCGTCATCTCGTCGAACGGCCTGCTGGCCACGGTGGCCTTTGATTTCGGCCCTGGCCGCCGCATGTACGCCCTGGAGGGCAGCATTGCTGTCGCCGGCTCGTCGGTCAAGTTCTTGGTGGACAACCTGGGCTTCATCGACTCGTCGTCCAAGCTCAGCGCGCTCGCCGAGACGGTCGAGGACAACGGCGGCTGCACGTTTGTCACGGCCTTCTCGGGCCTGTTCGCGCCCTACTGGATCGACGACGCTCGCGGCACCATCTTTGGCATCACGGCCTACACCCAGCGCGGCCACCTGGCGCGCGCCACGCTCGAGGCCACCTGCTTCCAGACCAAGGCCATCCTGCAGTCGATGGAGAAGGACTCGGGCCAGGCGCTGACGGAGCTGGCTGTGGACGGCGGCATGTGCAACGCCGACCTGATTATGCAGACGCAGGCCGACATCATTGGCATCCCCGTCAACCGCCCCGCCATGCGCGAGACGACGGCTCTGGGTGCGGCCATTGCGGCCGGTATTGCGGTGGGCGTGTGGAACGACTTCAAGGACCTGGACGGCGTGAACACCGAGGGCCGCACCATCTTCAAGCCTGCCATTACGGCCGAGGCGGCCAGCAGCCGGTTCGCGACGTGGGAGAAGGCCGTGCAGATGTGCAAGGGCTGGGCCAACTAAGGTCGCGACGGCGACGGAGGCCTATGGAAAAGAAAAAGAAAGCACAGGAAGGAAAGTCGCTCCATGCTCTTTATGTACATTATCACGTCCTTGTTCAGCTCGCGTTGCAAGTTGTTTATCATTTTACATTTTTCGTTATTTTTGTCGCTTCCATTCTCAGTTTATTTTTTGAATACCGGACCTGCAGCATAGCTTATCATCGATTTTCCACCGCATCTCAATCGATCGGCGGGATGGCATCATCTGCGACATGCAATCTGCGACATGCGCGTCTCCAATCTGTACAGCATAGTGGCATCTATCGGAGCTCGGTGTTCTTGAGTAGTGCGACACCTCAGCTCTACTCGTAGCTCTCCCTTGGGAACTTACGTGCATCCTTAGTCCGTGGTCCAAGTTCGAAAATGACGTTCGTCATGGCCACGCTTCCAGTTTTCTTGGCACACGCCTGATCGAGCCTCCTTTGATGCATGCCGATCGTTTTCGTTGTTTCGCTGTTCTTTTCACAGTGGTCCCTCCTGGTTATTTCCTCGTTTTGTCCGTTTCGGTGGTTTTCCCTTTTTTCTTGCTTTCGCGCTTTCTTGATTTTCTCGCTGTTTCGGTGTTTCCGCCATATAGTCCGAAAAGGGGAGTAGTGTATGACGGCACGGTACGGAGATACAAAGGGGGGGAGGGGACACAAAGAAAATGGGTACTTATTTAGACTGGCGCAGATACTTGACGCTACTTTGCACATAAAGACGCCGATACACATGGATGGACTGCCTCGCACTGCTAAACGAGACTACGTATTCTGTACGGAGTACAAACACTCCCGTAGGACCAGTCGGCAAAGCATGTCTTTCTTAAAGCATGTCAGAAAGCAGACAAATAAAACAGAAAAGAACGGAACACGGGGAAGCGAAGAAAGCAAAAGAGGAGCAAAAACGAAGACATCGAACAAGACAGGGGTGGATTGAGAGGGGCACAACCGACGAGCACCGAGATTCAGGAGAGAATCGCCCGATTGAGCAAGAAAACCAGACGAGGACAAAACATGAACCGTTCGCGCGACCGTTTGTAGAGCCGCCGACGGTCCCCAGTCGTCAAAGCTCGTGTTGTCGGCCAAGTAGAAAATCATGAACAAAGGATTTGTCACAGTCTCCTGGCCGTATTGCAGGCATGCAAGCTTGCAGGCTGCATTGCAGTCTTTCGCAGCCGGCTCTAGGTGCCTATTTGGGTGCAACGTCTGAACTCTTGGCGATTGCCCACGAGCCCACTTGGACGGTACCACTCTTCGGTCTGTTACTGCATGTACCGACTGCAAACGCCCCTTTGTATGTCGCATTTTTCAGTAGCGCCGTTGTGGCGATCCTACGACGTAGTTGCCTCCGCTCGGTGTGGGGCGCTGTTGTGGTTCGTTCTTGCTGGTCGGAGAGTTTTGTCGATTAAATTCCTATTTTTATTTGCATTTGTTTTTACGTCTCTTTCGGTCTTGCCCTTTCTTGCCAACATTTCTCACCTCCTTCCCAATTGGCGTGTTGGCGTGCGCAGACCACCACCGACGAAGCCACTGCGGAGTCCGCCGCGGTATAACGACGGACGGATGATGCAGATGATGGCTGGGCGGAGAGCCGACGGAATGACACGAAGAAAGCACCCCCAAACAGGAAAGAAACGTAATGCAGTCGAGTTCAAAACATCGTAAAGCGGCCGTAGTGAGAGCAGTCAGAAGAGGGGAATCGAACAATAAGAGGGAGCAGTAGGGAGCAGTTGGAATCAGTTGGAGTCAGTGCTCACAAACAGACCCTCGCCGATACATCTTCGTTTGTCGTAGTGTGTATGTCGTACCAATCAGATAGCCTGCGGGACGTCCGGCCAGGGTGACCAGGGGCTGTCCAGAAGTTCAATGAAGACCCCCAGCCGAAAGGCCCGAAAGGCAGGAAAACGCAAGTCTGCTTAGCGGCCGCCTGCGCCACTTGTTCGTTTTGTTACGAGGCTCGAGAGGCGCCCTATTCTTTGAGGGAATCGGCGGTCTGCGGTCTGCGGTCTGCAGTCTGCGGTTCATGGATGCGGCTTTCTGCATCCAATTGCTAATTCCGCTGCTCGCCAGTCGCAGTCCTAGAAAAGTCGGTGTTTCGCCATAGTGGTGGATCTTGAATTGTCGAGGCGCCGTATGGATTCCTTTTTTATTCTACCTCTTTTGTTTGCAGACTCTTTTGAGTCTAGTTTTTTTCTGGATCTTTTCTGGGGCCGTTTTGGGTCCCTTTTGTGACCTTTTTGGGACTTTTTTGGGGCCGTTTTATTTGAGCCTATGACAAAACGTATTTTGCCTCACATCTCGACTACGTTTGTATGGGCTACTACATGCCAAAGAAAATAAAACCATGGACCCGGGACACCGAGCCCGAGACCGAACTTGTCTTTCGTTTAAGCTTTTAACCTCTTGAGATTTACTCTATATTCAAATTATACCCCCCCCCCCCCGAAGACCCCCGAGATTTTGAACGCAGCACCGTGCCGCAGACGCACAAACGGTTCTGCATTTTGCCCGGACAGATACGGAGGCCACAAAGGGAAGCAGAGGCTCTCCGCTCACTTGCAAAGCGGAGTACGGCGTATTCTGAGGCCCCGAGGCGCCTAGGCTTGGCCGGTGTCAACATCACTGGGTCACAGGGTCATTGAATCATTGGAATCACCCATCTCACCCCCCTCTCTGACCATCCAACCTCCCCAGGACTCGTCACAAGGAAAGCATTACGCGGGTGCAACCTTTGGTGAGGAAAACTGCTTTGCTGCGCAACAAAAAAAAAAGAGGGGCCAGATAGTGTCCGTCTCACACCCTGCCTTTCCCATTTCGCATTTGGCTCCTCCTTGGAGGGTGAGGTGACGGTGGCATACGCCCTCGACGGAGTGCATTTGGAACATCGACAACGGACTGCTGGTACCGACTGCCGAGGGGAAACGGAGACGCACACCAGACCGAAGCGGCTGTGCTCCGTATAAGCCTTGTCTAGTCTCGGGCTGGGGGACTTTTTTCGTTGATTGGCTTTATTTTATTTCTATATTGGATTATATTCACGTTATCAATGGCAGGCGACAAGACAGGAGCGACGAACACCGACCTGCCCGACCTGCCCGACCTGCCCGACCTGCCCGACCTGCCCGACTCGCCTGACCCGACGCCCCCGAGACAGCGACAGCGCGTGGACCTGGAAAGACCGCATAAGATACGCAAGACCCACGGCGATATCCACGGCGATACCCACGGCAGTATCCACGGCCACGTGGAGAGGCTGCGTGCGTCGCACGACTTCCACGAGGATACCCGCGAGGCTGCAACAACATCTGAGGCTGCGATAGGCAACGAGGACGGAAATCGCAACCGCATCCCGAGCAGCGAGGACCTGGATCTGGATCCGGACCTGGACAGCCTGGGCCAAGACCAGAGCCACCGCAAGGGCGAGGGCGTCCCGACCACAACGCCGCGCAAGCGGACCAGAGACATGGACCAAAAGATATCGTAAGTTGGTGTTTGAGATGGTTTGAAGTCTGTGCGTGGCGTAAATGTCGACACTTGTCCACTCTCGTGTCGATTGTCTCCTGATCTCAGCCTTGTCTAACTCCTTGCTCTGCAGATGTGAGCTCTGCAAGACTCGCAAGGTCAAGTGTGATCGTGGTACGTGCACCCAGGCAATGTCCTTGTCCTCTCCATTGGTATTTCACATAAACGCGTCCCATATCACGGACGTCCCTGTGCTCACACCGCCACCACAGCCGAACCCGCCTGCTCCTGGTGTGCGCGTCACAACCGCCAGTGCGTCTACCTGAAACGGCAGACACCGGGCAGCCGCACGCGCATCAACGCCGAACTCGAGGCCAAGGTCAATCGCATCGACAGCTTGCTGCGGGCGCTCGGCCGGCGCGTCGAGGAACACATCTCGCAAGACCATGCCGCCGATTTTGAGCGGCGGAGCGCAGCCGCTGGTTCGGGACGGGGCGCCCCCGGCAGCAGCAACGACGATGGCGTCTCGCCCTCGTTAGGATCGCTGACGGCCGCCGGCAGCAGCATTTTCCGCGGCGGCGACGACGACGTGCACTCCAACGCCAACTCGGGCACGCCCAATGCCTCGACGGGGAACGGCAACGGCAACGGCAACAACAACAACCACAACAATCAGACGCCAGGGGCCGTGTCACTGCCGCCGCCCATGACATCGTCCGGCATGAGCATGATCTGGCAGAGCGGCAGCGCCGACTACGACGACGACGCATCGACCGTGGCTGGCGGAGGCCTTCAGCCATACCAGAGCCAACACCGCTATGCACCACCATCCACGCCCTTTCGCACTCCGAAACCGCCGACGGCCGAACTGCCGCCAAACGACATGCTCTACACGCTCGTCGACCTCTTCTTCAAGCACTGCAACACGTGGTGCCCCATCCTGGACCGCAAGACCATCTTCGGGACCTTTTTTGGCGCCACGTCCCTCGAAGAGCCCGACCGCGTGCTGCTGCATGCCATTGTGGCCACGACGCTGCGCTTCTCCAAAGACGCCCGCCTGACGCCCGAGGCCCGCGAGTACTACCACACCACGTCGAGCCAGGTCGTGCGGCTGTACGCGATGGACCACATCACGGTGCCGGCGCTGCGGGCGCTGGTGATTGTCAGCCTCGACGAGTTTGGCACGTCGAGCGGGCCGCGGGCATGGAACCTGCTGGCCATGGTGGCGCAGAACGTGCGGCAGCTCGGACTGTGCGACGAGGTCAGTGTCTACCTGGCACCGTCGCCTGTTGACTTGGAACAACAGCAGCAGCAGCAGCAGCAGCAGCAGCAGCAGCAGCAGCAGGCGCGGGGGACAGCGACACAAGCGCGTCGTCGTCGCCTGGCCCCCGCCCCATCCACCAGAGCAAGCCCGACTCGTGGATCGAGGACGAGGGCCGGCGCCGGCTGTGCTGGGTCGTCTACCTGCTGGACCGGTATGCGACCGTCTGTGCCGCCACGACGACGTCGCTGACCGGCGCTGGTGGCGGCTTTCTGCTCGACGACGCGGCCATGCACCGCTTCCTGCCCTGCTCCTACGATCTCTTCTCCCGAAACGTGCCCGTCGAGACGCGCTCGTCCTACGTCTGGTCGGACCTGGGCAGTGAGTATGCTGCCGCCGCCGGCACGCCACACATGCCGCACATGCCGCACATGCCGCCGCCGACGCCGCTCTCGGAAACGGCCTCGTCCATGGCCAACAAGGCCGAGCACCTCGGCAGCTTCTCGTACCACTGCAAGCTCCTGCGCATCCTCAGCCGCATCCACGACTTCTTGCGCCAGCCCGTCGACATCAACTCGTCGGCCGACATGGCCCGCTGGCGCAACACCTACCAGGCCCTCGACGCCACCCTCGACGGCTGGCTGCGCGGCCTGCCCAGCGAGTTCAGCAAGATCTCGGCGCTGTGCCACTCCGACCCGGCCTCGCGCGTCGCCAACTGGTTCATGCTCCACAGCGCCTACGTGACGGCCGTCGTCCGCCTGCACGCCCCCGCCGCCTACCCGACCGCCCGCTCCACCCTGTTCATGCCCTCGCAGTACGCCGTCCAGCGCTGCCTCTCGGCCGTCCACTCCCTGGCCGACATTGCCCGCGACCTGCGCGAGGCCAACGGCCTGGACCTGCTGGGCCCGCCCTTTGCCTTTTCGCTCTGGATCGCCGCGCGGGTCTTGCTGGTGCATGCCTCGGTCCAGGAAGCGCCGGGCCAGAGTGCGGTTGGGGGGGTCGGAGGCATTGGAGGGGTCGGCAGCGGAGGCGGAAACGGAAACGGAAGCGCTGCCCAGCCGCTCGACAGCCACGCCCGCATCGACTTCTTTATTGAAACCCTCCGCCATGTCGGCCGCCACTGGGCCGTCGCCAACCACTACGCCGCCACCCTGGCCCGTGTCGCCCAGCGCGGGCGCCAGGGCCAGATCACGTTTAGCAACATGCGCCGCAGCGCCTACGACCTGCTGGCCCTGACGTCCACGTCGCGCCAGTCCGGCGCCGAGCCCATGTCGACGCAGGTCACGTCGCTCTGTGAGCTCGACAACATCGACGTCTTTTCCTTCTTTGTGTATCCGCGCATGGTCGACGACGACGACGGCAGCACCACCGCACGCGCATCCATGTCGGCCTCCGTGGTGGCACCGTCCATGGCGCCCAGCATGTCCTCTATGGGCAACACGAGCAACCCCGGCAGCAGCATCGGCGGCCTCGGCATGAACAGTGTTCTCCGGACACCCATGCCGCCGTCCGTGAGCATGCTGCCGGGCAGTCCGCACCGCGGATCGTCGGTGTTTTAAGGCGGGTGGAAGTAGGGAGTGGTGCATGAACCTGTCACGACGATTGATTGTTTTGATTTGTCTCTTCTGCACATGAGACGGTATATGAGCGATGTACATGATTGCATTTGATTTGTACACTATATCTATAATGTATTTATGCGGATCGGGGAACTTTCACGTTTACTGAGCACAAAAGGGTGCCACGCCATGTCTATGAATGGAACAAAAGTTTGACTGCAAAAGAGGAAGGCCAGGTACACATCAACGAGCAGCCGACGGCTGCGGTGACGTCTGCGGCTAGGCGCTCGTCGTTCTGCAAAGCATACATTCTTTCTCTGGCCATAATACTCCTTTGCCAAGTGATTCGTTACAGCTTACTATAGCCATCATGTCGGTCGCCAATTGCATGCAATGCCAGTCCACAATCTACTACCAGCACAAGGAAATGCCCTCCATGCACCTTTCATCCTTGGACAAGGTGTAAAGCTAGGTCTTCACGTGCGCTACTTGTCTTCCAAGGTACCAAAGAAGAAGGCCCAGTGGTGTGCCTCCTACTTGCTTTTTTGAATGTAATTACCGGCACGTAAGACAGCTCCTAGCCTCGTGGAAAAACCCGGCCATGTCCAGTCGGCAATGCTCACAATGCGGTACGTCTTGGGATCAGTCATAAGGATCGTCCTCCCGAGGTCCATGTGGCCAATACAAAAGCGTCGTCCCGGTCACCCTCAAAGCGGCGGGCGGTGTAAAAGCACGTGTAGCCAACGATTACCTTGGCACCCGCTTGCAGCGCTTCAGCTCGTGGACCTTTCTGTTTCATTTGATCGGGCTGAAGCGAACCAACCCGGCGAGAACATAGCTGCAATGTCGTTCGTTGTAGGGGAGGTGCAGAAAGAGGCGGGCGACACGTATCGCCGGCGCATGAGATAAAAGTCAAGCTTTCGCTGCGCCAAGTTGAAAAACTGAAGAGCTATCTACTAATATTGCAAGACCTTTGCAAGCTGCTGCAAACTGTGTCGCTTGCTTGGTTTTCTGTGAGGCCGTATGTTTATTCCCAGAAGGGTGGTGATCAGCTGGAAATATTGGCCAAGGCAAGCGGTCGCCTTGCAGCCTGCCATTTCGTTGCAGTCGGTGCCATGACTCTGCAGCACGCTGTAGTTGATCCGTCCCCTGGGCAGACCGGACAGATAGCGATCGGTGTCATGATGCGCGAATGTAAAAATAATGTCAAGATTAAACAGGAACGTCCGAACCAAAGACGACAGTCACGAGGGAAGGAGAGCGTATTCTTCTGCTCCAGTCGTGACAGTCGTGACTTCCACTTACACCACGAAAGAACGCAACCCGCTTTGGGAAAGAATGGGAGCAGCAACAGTCACATGACTGTACAGAGAAAAACCATTGCTGAAAATACAGCAAATTACTCCGTATACCTCTCTGTACAAATTGTCGATACCCAAAGTAAAGCACAAGCTGATACTCTTTGGCCTTCGGTCGAAACCAGTTCATATGATTATCTCGCTGCCTCGAACTATGCCCGCATCGGGGGACTTCGCGGAGACCGGCGATTTGGCGGGCGTATGATTGGTGGACAGCACACTACCGGCTCCAAGTGGAGATCTTCCATTCACGATTGTCGTGGACGTTGACTTTTTGGTGTCATTTAGCACCGGCACCTCCGTATTCCAAAACTCGTGGATTGTTTTCAGCCAGCTCACAACTATACAGAAACGAGATCTACTACAGCAAATGGCCTCGCCAGGCACAGCAGCCAAGCGGCTGCTGTCTGTCTTGCGTGCCCGCACCCCACGGCCCTCCACTCGAGCTGCAGGTCGACTTCAGCTTGGTCCCTCCTCTTATCCCTCCTCTTACTCCTCCTCCTCCTCCTCAACACCGCGATGCCGCCGGTGCTTCACGACGTCGTTGCCACAGCGCACCGATGGCGTGTTTCGCGGCTTGACCGACACGCGGCTGCCCATGCCGTGGATCGAGGCGCTCCGGTTGCAGCAGGACGGCCAAACAGTCGGATCTTCGGAAACCAGCGGCGAGGAGCGTGACTTGACACCCAAAAAGATGACGGACAGCTACCACCGCGTCGTGCTGCCGCTTGGCCAGGACCCCTGGCTGTCCGATACCTACATCAACTCGTCGGGCCACATCCGCCTCGGCACCATCTTCATGGACCTCGACGCCCTGTCGGGCATCATCGTCTACAAGCACACGGGCGGCGGCGTCACGACCGTCACGGCGGGCGTCGACCGCATCGAGCTCGCGCACCCGCTGACGGAGATCTGCGACCTCGAGTACAGCGGCATGGTCACGTACGCGGCGGGCGGCAGCAGCGCTGAAATCACGTGCAAAGTCGCGCGCGCGCGCGGCGAGGGCGAGCCCAGCCGGCCCGAGGATTTGCTGCTCACGTGCACGTTCACCATGGTCGCCCTCGACCCCCTGACGCGCAAGCCGACGCCGATCCCGCGGCTCGTGTGCGAGACGCCCGCGCAGGAGGCCTTGTTCCAGGCCGGCGCCGCCAAGGCCATGGCCCAGCGCGCCGAGCGCAAGACGTCGCTGCTCGAGGTCGAGCCGGACGACGAGGAGTCGGCGCTGATCCACCGCATCTGGCTGCGCCAGATCGAGTACCACGACCCGCACCGCCCGCTGCGGCAGCCGCCCAACGTGCTGGCCATGGCAAAGACGCAGCTGTCGACGGCCGCCATCATGCAGCCGCAGTACCGCAACCGGCACCAGACCATGATTTTCGGCGGGTACCACTTGAAGCAAACGTTTGAGCTGGCTTTCTGCTGCGCGGCGTCGTTTGCGCACGCGCGGCCGACGTTTGTGAGCGCCGACCCGTGCACGTTCCGGAGCCCGGTGCCGGTGGGCAGCGTGCTGTACCTGACGGCGACGGTGGTCTACACGGACCCCGCCGTGGTGGAGGAGGACGACGCAAGTGGCGGTGGCGACGGCAGCAGAGACAACAGCCCACCGCTGACGCGTGTCCATGTGCGTGTCGACAGCAAGGTGCGCGAGATGGAGCACGGCACGGCACGCGTGACGGGTCAGTTCCACTACACCTTTACGGTGCCCAAGGACGTGCGTGTGCTGCCCAACACGTACGAGGAGTACATGCGTTACATTGACGCCCGTCGTCGTATGCGGGCCGGCGGCAAGCGTCCGCCGGCAGCACGGGACAACCAAGAAGGGGTGAACCTGACGGAATAGATGGCAAAGGAACTGGGCAGAGGACGGTGTTGGCGAATAGACGTTTTGTAGTTTGGGTTGCCAGTGCCGTAAAATGTAATTACCATAACGATGTTCATACCACAGTGCGAAGGCCAAGAATGCCCTGCAAGTAAAACAGGTATGAAACGATCAAAAATATACACCTCCTGTACCAGTTGCGGAATATGAGCAACAGGAGGATGACACTGGCCGTCGTGCCGTCGACCAAGTGTTTTTTGACCAGAACAAGAGACAAAATGCAGGCAATCAAAGCCATAGGGGCGGCCGATTTGCGCCGAAAAATCCTATCGCGGCGCCGAAAGGTCCTATCGTGCCGGTCCCTTATGGCCTCGAAGAGCGCTACAGCGGCGTAGACGACAATATACAGGGGGCCCATATTGCTGGCTGGTGTGTGAGCTGGATTTGGACCGATGTATTTTTTTATTTGACTGTGATAATGTTGATATCCTGCTTTGCATCTGTTGAAGGTGAATCTTCGAAAGTTTGACGGGAAATGACTGGCAGAAATAGAGATGAGATGAATGGTATTTGTAGTGATGAAGAGAATATGACTGTTTTTATTGTCGCTGTTAACATTCGTCTTCAGAACCTTTAACTGACAAACTGTCATCACCGGCGGTCGTTGCAGATTTGAATTTTACTCATCGTAGTCATGTACAAGTCGTGCCATGTCGGACCCTCACTGATGAGTGAGGTAACTCACCAACATCACATTCTCATCACAGCCTTACTCAGTACTGTCATTGCATGTATCTGTCACATGGTTTATTGGTTTATCAATAAATTTCGTCAAATCTTCCATTCTTGTCATTGCAAAGTGATATTTGACAAGGTAATGATAATAATTATTATGTTCATATGTTGTTCATATGCTGTTCATACTTTTATGATGAAGCAAAGTATTTTTGGACGCCCGTATACCCATGTATGAAACCCTTGTAAATGCCATATCCAAACAAAACAATAAAAATCCAATCGATCCCAATGACCTTGTTGTTCCCAAATTCCAAATATTAAACTTTTATTTGATACGTGCCCTTGTTCTCGTTCATTCATGAATGCAGATAGGTGGTCCCCGTTGTCGGAGATGGTGTTACATCCGCGAACCAACAACCGAACCGGCCGGCACGAGGATGACAGCTTCGTACCGCCGTGCCAGATCCGCCGTCGCACCAAACTCGATGGGTGGCGGGAAGTGCCCGCGGCGAGGCGCGTCGTGTTCGTAAATGTCGGTGAGGCCAACACGGCGGCGCAGGACACGACCGCCGTAGCGGGGATCGGCAACGTGGCGCTGCAGGCCCTTCTCAGTGTAGCGGGCCAGCGGATCGGCCCAGCCGGCATGCCCAGCCGACTTGCGGTCGGTCTGGGCACAGGCGCGGCATGCGTAGCCGCGGTCGACGGGGGTTTCGGCCGTAGGCCGCACGGTCTTGTTGTCAAGCGCCCAGTAGGGAGCGGGGATCACAGCGGCATAGCGCAGAGGGTCGGGTCGGGTAGAGTTGCCGGGTGTAGGCGAGACGGAGAGACCGCGCTTGCCAGAAACGACAGGTCGGCCGCGGACGGTGGAGACGCGGTCCACCTCGGGTGTGGTAATGTTTCTCAGGCTCGTGCTCGTGCTGGCTGACGAGCTGCTACCCTCGTCGTCCAAACCCGCGGGCTCCTCGGCCGCATAGACCTCCCGCCGGTCAAAAAGGTCAACCGGTTGTGTTAGGCGCGCCAGCACGCCATACCGGCCGGGCGGCACGGTAATTCTTGTCAGGGGCTGGTTGTCCAGCAAATCCTTGTGCTGCTGGTGCAGCTGAGGCAAGTGGTTGCCGGCAGCGGCAAAGCGGGCTACGGGCAGGTACTCGGGCAGGGAGCGGAAGCAGGAGTAGCATACGCGCTCGGGCGCCAGCAGGTAAATAAAGTCACCGTAGGGGACGTCGCTGCTGGTGTCGCCCGTGGCTTCACGCTGGCGCAGACAGCTGGCGCAGGACGTAGTGCGGAGGCACTTGGCGAGAGCGCGGAGTGAAATTTGTGAGGAGTTTGTCGGAGAAGGGGGAGCTAGGCAGACGAGGGCACCTAGGGCTCGGGGGAAGGCGGCCACGGTAGCAAAGTCGGGGAAGCTGTCAACAACAGCCGCAGAGGCTCGGTTGCAGTTGCGCAGGGCTACGAGGGCGCGGATGTCCGTCTCGGCCAGGTCGTCGACGATCTGGTGCATCAGCTCAAGAGGGAGCACGCTGAGGCGGCCCATGTTCCACTTCGCCGGGAGCTCGTTGGAAGGCGTCAGGACCTTGGCGGTGGCCATGGAGCCGTCGTCACCGAGGAAGAAGCCCGGGCGGGGGCAGCGGTAGCCGACATCCTGCCACGAGGCGACCTCGGGCGTGGAAGTGGACGCGGACTTGGCGGGCGTCGTTGATGCTATTGAGGCGGCCATCGTGGTGGTTGTGTGCGTGTAAACAGTTGGCGGTGTTTGAAGGAGGAGGAGAGGGGAGAAAGGAGGCTATTTGTCGTTATTGATCCAAAGCCATGAAGCGTATAGAGGAAGGAAGGAGGACAACGAGGTAAACGGCAAACGAGGAAGGAGCAAAGGAGTTAATACGGAAGCTGGAAACAACAAAAAGTCAACAACATGCAAAAGACACAAGAACTGAGCTCAATGTCGTCATGAAAACTCGTGTCTTTTCCGGGCACCCATTGCTATATATCCCTTTGGCTTCCTCTCACAAAACATAACACGTCAAGAAGCGAAGCAACAGGCGAGGCAAAAGTCTCGTTTTGGATACACTCCCCCGGATTTTTCGTGTTAGTGGCATCGTGGGCGTGCAATTGTGTGACACACCCCTTGAGCTTTCCTTCTTTGGACAAAGAATCAGAGAACCTACACGCCCCCTCTGGCACACCTGATCCATATCTGAATTTTCTGGGGGTGGGTCTGGCTGTGTCATTTTGCCTTGGCCTTGGCGGCCGGTCTTGGCGCCAGCGTTGATGGCGAGAACAGCGAGTGACCCAAAAATAACTGTTCAGTAGGGAGTAATTCAGTGAGGTTGGCGACTGTTAGGCCTGAAATACAGCACTCGTTTCCTTGAACTCGTTCTCGCGGTGTCTCGCCTCCTCTCTTTTGATTCTTTCACAGCAGAAGAGCCTTCTCGTACATTCCGCCTGTCAGTATTTCTTTCTTGGAGCTCATTTCACCATTTCGGAAACACTGGCCGTGTTCGAGTTAAAGGTAATTGCCCTTGTGCTGTGGGCTTAAAGGCCTGGTTTATCAAGATAGGTGTGTGCCGAGAGGTTGTGGAAGGCTACAGGCGGGTTAACGGCTACACAGACGCTGCAAATACTGGAATGAGCGTAGAACAGAAACTCTCGGCTCTAACATCCCCTTGCGGTGGCCTGTCGTCTGTAAGGTCTATTACAACGCGTTTCTTTACAGGCACTATAGTATACGCTCACCTTCGTCCCGCTTTTCTTTGGTCGTGAACATTTTCTCATGGACTTTCACCTACCTCCTCACCGTTTCTTCCTTGTCGTTTGTGTTGTCATTCCCAATGCAGAAAAATGTCCCATATGACTTCATTCCGGACGCACATGATCGTACCCATGTTCTCTTTCAACGGTTGATTGACCTCAGGGGCTCGTCTTTGGACAATTTCGGGCCCATTGCCTAGCATGCGGGGAGACGGTGAATGGAGTATCGTGTTCAGATTTGCTGTTGTTGTTCTTGTCAAAGATACTTTGTAAGATGTACCTCACTGGAGAGAGACAAGTGCTCATTTGGTTTTCGATCACGTTCGACGTAGAGTGGATTCAACGAGCGGGGCAGCCATGTACCGGAAAATGAAAAATGATAACAAAAAAAACAAGGGAATGACGAAGTAAGAAAACAGGGGCTTGACAGGGCTGGACCTTGCAAAAGTGTCCAGTCTCGGCTTCTTACGAATGTGTTGGGCGGCTGGAGGTCATCCACAGCCTGTTGTGTGAGACATCGTGACATTTTACGTGTCAAGACGTGCTTTTGCGAGTTTCAGCGAATGGGCCAGGACATGGATGACCACAGAAACGTGCTGATCTTGCATTGAGCCTGAAAGAACAAGTCACTGATTGTGATATTCTTCTTTTCATGTCCTTTATTGTCCTCCATCTCTGAATTGTTCTCACATAATGATTACCCCATCGGGGCCGCTCTTCACACAATAATACTTTGTACATTTATGACAATTAGCACGAAATGCACTGTGTGACCATCGGCACGGAAAGAAGATTCTCATCGGTCAGACAGGCGAACCAGAACACGATGAGTCGACATCACGTTGCGAAGAAAAGGGATACAAACAGTCAGAAAAGTCTTGGAAAAGGCTTAGCATCACGTAAAAACAATGCACGAACAGCGACGAACAACAACGGAATGCAGCCAGTTGAGGTCCGGTGCTGGCCAACAAGAGGACGGGCCCAGAAAGCCAAGCTTTCCAAGGTCCAAGAACGTGACGACAGCAACAAACGACGTCAAAGACTGGAGACACTTGAAAGCCCAAAAAATCTAGAAGGACGGAAAGGATGGTCAGGGGATCGAGGCGTTGCCAAGAAAGCCGGTGGAGATGCTAAGGAAGAGCATCGAGGGCAAGAAAGTGACACTGTGCCGAATATGACAGCGTAGTGGCTGTGTGTGTTTGGCCACCACTGAAATGGATTTTTTCAGTGGGCTCCTGGGGCGTGCCGAGAAGCCTAAGCCCTGAAAATTTTGATATTTTGGGAGCCGCTCCATGCATTCTGACTGTGCACGTGGAACCCTAGAAGTTCTGAACAGCGACATGATTACAGAACCATCGAAGCGCTGTGGCAGGGACACAGTCACACATGGTGGGCCCGCTTCAGTCAGAACTGTCGCACACCGCCTGCTCGCACTGTACCACGAACCATGCATTCAGCATTCCCCTCGTCAACACTCGACCCATTTTACGTAACGGTGGCACACACCTGACCTGTAAATTCTGTGCAAGCCGCCGCGAGTCGCCTGCACCGACTGCACCCCCTCCCGCCAGTGGCCGCCAGTGGCCGCCAGTGGCCCGCAATACGGGCGCCTCTTTGTCAAAACATGCAAAGTATGACATGCAATAACCACTTTTTTGCATTCTATTACCCCCTACTTAGGTCATTACATGCTCTTTTTGGCCCTGAGCAGACTTGCATGTCCCTGTCCGTTGGCCATCGTGATTCCGTCTCTGTGGTGCATATTGGGCTTTGCTGACAGCCGGTTGGTCTCGGCATTGGCACGCCAGACGGGCTACGCTTTGCGAATCAATTTGCAGGTCGTTCGAGGCAGGCAGGTTGGCAGGCTGTGTCGTTCTGAGACTTTATTGACGACGTTGAAATTTTGAAGACCATTGTTGTCTATTTTGGATGACTGTTGTTGACCGTCTTGCGCCATCTGACGCCATTTTTGTTTTGCTTTTAGTTTTCTTTTCTTTTCTTATTTTTTTTTTTTTTCTCTTTTCTAAAACGATGCGTGTAGTATTTTATATTATTATTAGTTTCATATTTCTTCTCTGCTCCCCGTTTATCCCGGCTACAGGCACACCTGACACCTGTCCAAACATGACATCCAGTTGCATCTTGCCGAGACGCAGACACGTAAGACGACTCACGGACAACGAGAGCCGTCCTTGAACTTGAGCTTGAGCTCATACGCTTGGCATCTAGACTTTGCATCGCTTCAAAACAGACACAGGTACAGGCACAGTTAATTGCCCATCGTATCGTTTGTATGCACCAATGGTACCGGTCTGTCGTATTATGGTCTTCGTATATTCTTGTACATAATCCAGTGCAAATGATCCTTTAATACTCCCGCTCCATGACGTCTATCAAACACCGGCTGGTACGAAATCTTTCGTATCACTCCAGCGGCAGGTCTCATCAGCTCGCGATCCGATCTCGATCTTTTAAGCTGCCCGTAGTGCCGTCCCTGGGCTTGTCCTCATTTTTTGCATGGTCAAGCTTTTGCTCATCTTGGCTGCACCATCACACTCGTACGTCCCGGATGTACACCCGGACACCGTACACCGTACACCGCAACCACGTAGCATAATCATACATTCGGCGAGAGCAGATCGTACTTGACACAACGCTCCACGTCCTCCACGCTCGCCTGTAGGAACCGCCGCGTCTCCAGTCCGACCCAGATCCGCAGCATGGAGAAGTCGCCCTGCTTCATCATACCGGCGCCGCTCTGCGCGCCAAGCTGCCGCAGGATGGGCAGCGACGCGCTCAGCAGGTCCGTGGCCGGGTCGAGGCTGCGGCCGATGCCCTCGAGCAGCAGGATGGAGATGACAATGTTGACAAAGTCGCCCTCGAGCCGGACATGGTGCGAGCGGACCATGCCCAGCACCTGCTGCAGAATGTCGCCAATCTTGACGTTGCCAAGCGCGAGCGTGCGGCTCTTGACGGACAAGACCAGGTGCTGCATCTTGAGCGCAAAGACTTCCTTGTCGATGACGGCCTCGGGCTGGCGGCAGCGCTCGCACATGAGGTGGCCGGCCTTGTACCCGTCGAACTCGGCGACGGCGCGGAAAAGGTCCAAAAAGTTGGTTCGGTTGGTCTCGTTGAGCTGTGTTACCAGGCCCGTGTCAATAAAAATGAGCTGCGGGTGGAAGCCCTCGGCCTCGATCTTGGCCAGCTCCCTCTCCCACGCGGCCACGTTCTTGCCGTGCCGGTATGGCCGCAGACGCTCCAGCACCTGCTCAGTGACGTCCAAACCGCCGGACTGGCCGGAGGCTCCAGAAGACGAAGACGAAGACCGCGACGCAGACGGAGACGAAGCCGGTTGGAGTGGCCCCGTCAGAGACAGCTCTGGCTTGGCGGACTTATAGAAGCGCACCATAATGTTGCCCGGGTGGAGATCGGCATGCACAAAGTTGTCAAGCAGCAGCATGCGCAAAAAGGCGTCCAACCCCTCCGAGGCAATGTCATGCTGGAACACACCGCCGCCATTCTCCATAAAGTCGGCCAGCGGAATGCCCTGCGCGAACTCCTCCACGAGCACGTTGCGTGTCGTAAACTCCGTGTAGGGGAACGGGAACCACGCCGTCGTGCGGTCGCGAAAGTTGCGCCGGAACATGGCCAGGTTGGCCGCCTCGATGCGCAGGTCGAGCTGCAGCTTCATCATCTCGCCGAACTGCACGACCTCGTCAGGCAGCGACAGCCACTCGATGCCCGGCACCGCGTTGAGAAGAGAAGCAAAGAAGTGCATGATGCGCAGGTCGCGCCGCACCGTGCGCTCAACGCCGGGGTGCAGCACCTTGATTGCCACGTACGACGAGGGCACGCGCTGGGGCGAGCTCTTGAGCAGCGGGTCGACGTGTCGCCGAACGTTGCTCTGCACCTTTTCGCGCACGGCCGCCAGGCTTTGGGGGACCGAAGTGGCAGACGAAGCGTAATCGTCGTCGCCGTAACCACCCCGGCCAATGCCACCACCAGCGCCGCCCTCTTTCACATGCATCACGTCCACGTCGCCAGGGACCGCCAGGTCGGGCCGCAGCTTGGCCTTGTAGACCTGCGCGATCGCGCCCACGCCCAACGGCTCCTCCTGGAACTCGGCAAAGATGTCGTCAAAGGGCCGCCCGTCAAAGGCGGCCTCGACCGTTTTCTTGGTGGTCCGCAGCGAATGGGCCGGCGCGTTCGAGTGCAGCTTGGACATGATCTCGCACAGCTCCTGTGGGAAGATGTCGGACCGCGACGCCGCCCATTGGCCCAGCTTGATAAAGGTCGGCCCCGCGTGCTCCATGCTGCTCACCAACATGCCGTACCACCACAGCGCGCCGGACCGTTCGCCGTCGCGGTCGGCCTGCCGCTGGCCGACCCACAGGACAGGCACGGCCACAATGACGGGCACGAAAAGGCAGCTGAGCTGCAGGAACCGCAGGCCCGTGCATAGCGGCTCCCACACAAACATGTCGAGAATCCGCACGACGTAGTGCAAGGCCGACATGATGCGGCCGTCGCCGTCGTGGACGTGCGCGCGCTTCTTGTCTATTTCTTCGCGGGACACCTCGAGCATGCGGGACTCGGTCGTGTATCCGGTGCCGGCATTGTCCTCTTCGCTGAGTTCGACAAAGGCCGCTGTGCCGAGGGCGGCAGCCGTACCGCCGTGGATGGCTGCCAGGAGTGTGACGCGGGCGCGTCTTGTCCGTTGCTGTCCGCCATTCCACTGTCCGTAAGACTGTCCATTCGGGTTTGGTCCTTTGCTACTATTGCTCTCCTCCTTCTTATCTCGTGCTCTCGAATGCTGCGACCTTGAGTTGACCGCCCTGCTCCGGGAAGACTCCCATACGGCCCGGCGCGCCGTGCTGTGAAGTAATCGTAAATGGTGTCGTGCTGGCGTGCATGCGCAAGCAATTGGTAGTCGAGACGCCCGCAATCGGAGCATTGGCGAGCGAAGAGGGAGTAGTGAGTGAGGGAATCCAAGCGGAAGCGTCGTCAGCCGGGCGGCCGAAGTGGCCTGGGGCAGCCTCATTGTGTGGTGTCAGGGATCCAGGTGAAGCCCCGTGAGGCGGATTGAAGAGAGCGAGACAGAATTGGGGATTGGATGATCACGGCAGCATGGTCAAGCGAGGACGAGAACAGACGCAGAAACGGTTGTCAGCGTTCCTTTGCCGCGAACTGTTGTCGTTTTCCAAAAAAAAAGTGGTGCGTCGTATTTCAGCGAGCGGACATCAACAAAGCGCAGGTGCAGTTCCGGGCATCGTGACGTAGTTGCAGCGAACCCAGCGGGGGCTTACGCTGACATTGGCGTACCTTTGTTAGCGCCTCTTGCCCATCCCAGTCTTCATGTGATGGTCGGGTGGGGCCGGAATGCTCCTAAAGACGAATGCAGCGAGGCAGCCAAAAACTGCCACCAAAAAAAAAAGAAAGAAAAAGGCAATTCGACCGCTTTCGGGCGGTGTCGGGCGGCAAATAGCGATAAGCCCGCGCAAAAGAGGCCTAGAGAGGCAGCGTGTAATACGGCATACAGCGGGGCATTAATAGGGAACAGACACCGAGACAAGGCGGCAGCGTGCTGATAAACAGCGCAGATCCATGGCCTCATTTTTTCTTTTCGACCCATTAAAAAGTTGAAGCTGGCATAGTTGAAAAGACGACGAATGACCACGTCCTGCGCAAATCGACAGCAACAGTGATCTTTGAACCAGCCTACACCCAATTCAACGCCATTTCGCACGCATACCCGTCCAAACAGTCTCGACACTCTCAACATCACAATGGGCTGGTTCTGGGCCGATGCCACGCCGACGGCAGCTCGTCCTTCTGCCTCGTCCTTCTCTGCGTCGTCTTCTGCCTCGGCCTGCCCTGTCAAGCTGCCGGCATCACATCCGCCCGTCGCGGATAGCAATGCAGCAACACCACCGGTAAGAAGATGCGACCTCCCTCATTTTCTGGTCAACGTTCCTCGCTAACCCTCCCAGCGCGGCTGCCCCATGTACACGGCCACGGTCGACGCCCTGAGCGGCAACAACATCGCCCATCCGACCGCAAAGTCGTCGTCTTCTACCTCTGCAGCCTCGCCGCCGTCTGGCTGCCCCGTTCCTCACGCCCAGCGCGGCGGTGCCACATCCGCCGACGAAGGCGCCTCCACCCTCTCCAAGCTCAACCCCCTCAACTACATGTTCCGCGACCTCTCGCAAAACCGCGCCCCCAACCAGACCGTCGCTCTGCCGACCACCCGCGACGAGTCCACCATTCCCCGCGGCGATGGCGACGGCAACTGGGAGTACCCGTCCCCGCAGCAAATGTACAACGCGCTCCTGCGCAAGGGCTACACCGACACGGACGCCACGGCCGTCGAGAGCATGGTCGCGGTGCACAACTTTTTGAACGAGGGCGCCTGGGCCGAGATTATCGACTGGGAGCGCCGGTTCGGCCGTGGCCTGGCCCGTGGCTGGCAGATCAGCCGGCGTGGCGAGGAGAATGCCGAGCAGGCCACGCAGCAGCTGGAGCGCCAGGAGGGCAGCGAGTGCGCGCCGCGGCTGGTTCGCTTCCAGGGCCGCCCCGGCGAGATGACCCCGAAGGCGGCCATGGTGCAGTTCCTCGGCCGCGTCTACCCGTCCAAGTTTGCGACCGAGCCGCCCTTTGACCGCCACGACTGGTACGTCGCGCGCAACGTCAACGGCCAAGAGAAGCAGGTCCGCTACGTCATCGACTACTACTCGGGAGAGCCCGAGCCGACGGGCGAGCCGGTCTTTTACCTGGACGTGCGCCCGGCCATGACGCCCTCGGGCGCCGCCGAGCGGCTGATCCGCTGGGGCGGCGACGTCTGGTGGCGGGCGTCTGGCGGTGTTGCGCGGGAGGGCGGCCGGTCGGAGTAGGTGACGACGAACACCCGCTAAGGGGTCAAGCTGCACACTTGACTCGAGGACGATATGACTTCATCAGCGCATCATTTTTATCTCTTTTTTGTTTTCCTGTCACGTTTGGGGATGGTCTTTTTACGATATGGGTTTGGTTTTGGCTGCAACGGGCATTATCTATAGACTTGGCGGCGTATTTTTGTATTCTTTGCTTTGTTTTCTTCCTGCGTATTTGCATAGTAGTACTGTCGTGATGGCTTTTTGACATACGACGTAATATTCTCTCCTATTCTCATATTTGAATATCCCTATTAACATCACCTAGACTGATCCCTGCTAATCTCTTGCTAATGGCTGGCTGAAACTCCCTGGACGAGTTCTAGAAACCCAGTGCAAATTGCACTAACCTTGTCGCTAGTGTATTGGCATAAGGCTGCGATCGATCAGAACGACGTCAAATGTGTTTGTTTAACGGAACATAATGAGAGCGGAAAACTTTCAAGGACGTCCTTTTTCCTAAAATGATACCAATATGACTTTCTACGAAAGCAGTCTTTACTCTTTCAAATGAAGCTGCAGGGCGTCTTGTATTTTGGACGACCTTTGGAGCACGTGATCCTTATCGACCGTTGTCGATCTACTTTTTTTCCTTAGCGCCCTTTGAGTCTGCATTTCTCTGCCGGATTTATTGACTTTCCCCTTTGTCTTCTACTTTCATGGACGGCGACAGGGACATCTCGTCTTCTTTCTCCCGTCTCCTCCCCACGATACGACCCAACCCCAGCCATGGTTTTTGATCGTCCCACGATCCCGACCCCGTCGAAACTGCCCCCGCCGCCTACGCGCCCATCCATCGCCCAGACTGTCAAGGCCGCCGCCGACCCGGGCTATACGCGCCTGCACATCACCCCCTTTGACGCCGACTTGTTGAGCGTGGTCGTCCCCGCCTCTGCACGCCCTAGTGCCCGTAACGTCTCGTTTCACAGACTGCAGACGTTTCCCGAAAAGCGGTACGGGTTCGTTGATCTGCCGACCGAAGCGGCCGAGAAGCTGCGGCGGAAGCTCAACGGCGCCGTCCTCAAGGGCGTGAAGCTGCGCATCGAGCCGGCGAGGCAGTCGAGCCAAGAGGCGGAGGCGGCAGACGCAAGTGCCACTATGGGCAAGTCGGAACTGACGGCGGACGAGCGGCAGCGCAAAGAGGAGGAGCGCGCAGCGCGCAAGGAAAAGAAGCGGGCTGACAAGGCGCGGGGCAAGACGAGTCGCATCCCGACAGAACGTGAGGAGGTGGTGGGCGTGCAGCTCGAAGCCGGCCGGCAGGTAAAGCGCGGCTGGACCGAACCCGAATCGGCGGCCGAGTTGAGCAACAAGAAGACCAACTGGAGCAAGGACAAGAAGGACAAGAAGGACGAAAAGGACAAGAAAGACAAGAAAGAAAAGGGCAAGTCGACGAAGAAGCGGGCCGAAAAGTCCGAGTACACAGACAAGCCTGAGTGCCTATTTAAAACGATCCTCCCGGCCAGCAAGGTGGCCATGCCGGCTGTTCCCACTCCCAAAGACGGCGAGGAAGAGGTCGACAGCCGGGCGGCACGGCGGGCCCGCAAAGAGGCCAAAAAGGCACGCGAGGTGGTCGTGCACGAGTTTGCCAACTGGACACGGATTCCGACGTTCCTGAAGAGTGGCGGCGCCGGCGGCACAAACGCTGGCAATCCCAACCTCGAGTATGTCGACGGCAAGGGCTGGGTAGATGAGGCGACGGGCGACGTGGTGCAGCCGCTCAAAAGCACGCGGCCCGTGGCAGTGAAAGGCGTGATCACCAAGGAAGCACAGCTCGCAAAGCGGGCCAAGCTGGATGAGGTGGCAGCGGATCGCGCCAGGGCCTGGAAGGGCGATGAGGCGAGCGAGAGCGAGTCCACTGGCTTGAGCTCGGGCTCGGAGACGAGCAGCAGCGGCGGCGATAGCTCGGAGGAGGATGACGATGACGACGATAAGAAGGACGAGGTAGAGGAAGAGCGCGAGGACGAGGACGAGATGTCCGACCCCAAAGACGAGCCTGTTTCTTCAGCCGAGGATGCGGCCCTGCTATCACCAACACGCCCACGCTCATCAGGCTCTGGCAAGAACCTCATGATCAAAATCCCACCGCCGCCAACGTTTGCGACCCCGTCCACCCCGGGTCCCAAGAAGGAGGTGCACCCTCTCGAGGCGCTGTACAAGCGCGCCAAGCCGGGAACTGACGCAGCAAAGCAGGCAGCAACGCCGTCGGCCAGCAAGGACAAGGAGCAGCCGTTTAGCTTTTTTGGCGGCATGAACAACGACGACATTGAGGACGAGGAGGGCGATGCCATGGACGTGGTCACTGTCGAATACAGCAATAGCAAGGACAACGAAAACGAAAACGACGACGCCGACCCCCAGCCGCCCATGACGCCGTTTGGCCGGGCCGAGTTTGAATGGCGGAATGTGCGCAGCGCAGCACCGACACCAGACACGGCGCACCCGAGCCGGATGACGAGCATCTTCAAATGGACGACTCCAGGCGGTGCCAGTGACGATGAGGGCGAGGATGACGGCGCCGCCGACGGTGACGACGACGGCGACGAGGACGAGAAAGTGGATGGCGACAAGGACCGGAAGGAAAAGGCTGCCGGCGAGGGCGACTTCCAGAGCTGGTTCTGGGACAACCGCGGCGATCTCAACCGGTCGTGGAAGCGGCGGCGCAAGACGGCGGCCAAGGACAAGCGGTACCGCGAGAACCGGGCGCGGGCAGAGCGGGCAATTTAGGGTGTTTTGGCTGGATCTCGTTTCCATATCTTGTCGCTTCTTCTTGTCTTGGTTTGTTTTCACTGGTATTTCGTTCTTACAGTGCATTGTCAAGCCTTTAATCCTAGACTGGGCGTTCATTGTTTTATTATTGCATTTACCTACGTCTCTTGCGTATTTCCATTTCCCATGTACCTTTCCATGCATATTTCCCAAAACACCGTTCGAAATGCAAGCAAACGAGAACGAGGGACCGATGTGTCTCTTCAAGACAAAATCAAAAGACAAAGGGGACAAAAAAAAAGATGAATCAAAATAAATGGCCAAGCACTCGCGGCACAAGAACACAAACGATAAAATGGGAGAGCATCAAAATATGTCGTGGCCAGGTAGCGTGATCGGCGAGCAGACCGACTCCCGTGGCAGGACGGCCATTGCAGGCGACCGGACAACGCCGTGTTGTGGAAGGCGCGTAGTCGTGTCGGCTCTGCCAATGGGCACGGCGTCTGGTGTGCCTTCAACGCCGACCCCATCGACAACAGCAAGGCGAGCCTCCAGTGCCTCGACGTAACGACGCAGCCGCACCGGGTCCTGTGTAAACTTGAGCCAGTTGCGGTCCTCGTCGCGGATGCCGACGTGCTCGCCGCTGGCCACACATGTTCCATCGACGCCCATGCCTGTCAACGGCCCGCCTTTGCCCCTCCGCCCGAGCGACCACCAGCGGTTTACGACCTCTCTGTTCGGGTCCTCGCTTCGCTCCTCCATGTCATCCATCTCGACCCAAGCCGCACGACTCTCTCGCGTGTCCCTTGTGATCCCATCAGCGTCTTGGTACTGTGGAGGCTGGTGCGCAAACAGGGGCGAGAATCGGTGGCTGCAGCGACTTTCGGCGCCAGGCCCGCCACCCCTTCGACTACGGCGGCCGCTCTGGATCAATTGAGTGAGGATGGCCTTGTCGGTCGGGGAGTAGGCTCCGTTGTTTCCATCCCGCCGCCGACGGCACCGCGCCGATGTAGCAATGGCCAATCCGGCGGCAGCCGCGGTGCACACCACTAGGCTTGCGACTAGCCAGGCCAGCGTACGCACGTCCCAGATCGGACCCCCGCCACCCGGATCCGGCCCAATCTCCTCGACACCCACCTGCATGGCCGCCTGGGCGGCTGCGAGGGTGACCGCGGCCGTGCACGACAGCACGCCCAGGAGGGCGAGAACAACCAAGATCCAAAAGACGCGGCGCTCGCGGCGGACCGCAGCCACGCGACGGGCGGCGTCATCGGCCGCCTGGACCTCGCTCAGCGAAATGTGGCGGAGGCGGGGGCCCCAGCGGATGGAGATGGAGCGGGCGAGACTGGGCGGCTCATTGTACGTGCTGTTGTTCGCGGTATGTCTAATGATGCTAGCGTCGAGGTCGAGGTCAAGGTCAATGTTGCCATCGGCAAAGGCGTCTCTCGTACCATTTGAGAGGACCCGCTGCGCACGAACGCTGGAAATCATTGTGTTCTTGTCCTTTTCTAGTACGTCGTTGCTATTTTGTGTTGGGGTGTCGTCAAGGACACTCATCGGCCGCGGCCAGACAGACAGTGTCGGCGAGATGGGGTCCAGACCGAGGTGGGGGTTAGCCGCAGCATTGCTCTGCGACTGTTGGGGCGTGGTAGGACGGTTTTGCTCCTGTCCGAGACCGTTTTCGAGGTCCTCTCGCATGATGTCGTTGTCACAGCCATCACCAGCAACGCCGGCATCCATCGAACCAACCACAGTGAGTGCCGGCGCCGACGATGAGGTTGACATGGGCCGTGGCAGATTGCCTTTCGATCGACTCATGACCAGACGCGCGGTATTGTCCTCATCGGAGAACTGAAACAGCTGCAGAGCCGTGGGTGTCGGCGAACGGATGCGGTTGCGCTCGAAGACGAGGTTGAGGTCACTTCCTGGATCACTGTTGTTGTCGCGATCCGCCCGGCTGCGATGCCCGCTGCTGCTTCCGGCACACGGTGAAAAGGGCCGTAGAGTGCCTGAGCGACTGGGCAAGGAGAAATTCTGCACGGCACTGTAGCCGCCCATGGTGAGTATATGACTGTAGACGCAAGATAGTGTTGGGTTTATTGTTGTGGTCCGAAAGCGACCGACGGTAGTATTGGCGACGTTGCGAGAGCGACCAGTCGCAATGACCTTGAGAAACCTCTTTCCTTTTTTTATTATGCTCGCCTGGCTACCTGGTTGTCTGGTCAAATAATTACTCCGAGAGGAAGGCAGGATCGGGGGTGAGCGAATCACTTTGTACAGATGCAAACAAGGAAGGAGCGACTCGAGGTGTTGCCATGTTGGGCAGTCACGATTTGACGCCTCAAACATCGGTTTAATTCTCCATTCGACAAAACTACGTTGACGAATAGATGACCACAAGTGCCAAGCTCAAACCGTAGTGAACTCATGTTCCGTAAGTGCCTTCGTTCAGTCGAGCCAAATGGAAGACCAGATGGCCAAGTGAGGGCATTTTGGCACGGGTGTGAGTGTCTACGTGAATGGGCTCCCATGATGGCAGGTGCATGACAGCCCACGTGACAGCAACGCGTCTGCCATCATAGTCATGATGTGTGTAGCAGTGATTCTGTTTTGAAAATCAGCATTTAGGCAGCCCGCCGACAGATTTCAGTGTCTTGACGTGCCTCCTTGCCCATGGAATCATACAAACAAGAGACCGGAAACGAAACAGCATCCAGTCGACAGCAGACGGAGGATGGAAGACAAAGGGTCCGGACGATGCTCACGGCACAGAAAATAGAAGAAACTGCCAAGACTCTGCTATCCAGGAAAGACGTTGATGATCGCAAACAGAAGAGAATGAGGTGGTGGGTGGACAGCATGAAGGCGATGTTTGGCGAAGTAAGCGTCTCTGGGTGAACATCCGCCTCGCATCGACAACATCACCCTCTCGCGTTCCTGGTAAATACATCGATCATTTGAAGCGTGGAACTTAAAGAAACTACGAGCCGTTGATTTTCATATTGGGGGAAACGATTGGAGTTGGTTCATAGTGGGTGTTGATGCTTGTGGTGCGTAAATCGTTTGATAGGATTCAACCTGAGAGACATCGTATAGACATGCAAACGTGCAAACATGCAGAGCTTCATACTTTGCAGCTGCACTTGTCTATTTCATATTAACGCTTCGGATAGCAAAATAAACAATTGAGAATGGATGGTATCTGTGCCGTATTGCCGTCCATCTCACACTCCTGTCCTTTTCAACATCCTCGATCCTGACAAGCAATGCCACGTCGTGCTCCATCTCTGGTCGGCCGCCACTTGTTGGCACTCCATCACCGACACTGCGACCTCCATTGTCTCTGATTCTTCTCGGAGAAGGCATAGCCGACAGCGAGGCAGGCTTTTTTTCATGGTTAATCGAGTGGAAGACTGACCGACAGCCGTCTGCCGGGCGGTTCATCAAAGTGTGAGAGAGTGTCATATTCCTTCCGCAGTTGGCGCGTTCGTGGTTCACTCGTCACGTTTGCACCTCATGTTTGCGCATCGCTTCATGCCGTGTGGCGGAGGCGTCTGGTTTCTCTTATGAAGGCGGCCGACGAGGGGACCGGCCAGTTGATGGCCGCAGCGTGTCGCCGATAGTTGCCTGTTGTCGTCGTCGTTGGCCGTCGGCCGCAAAGGGGGATCGCCTGCAGGGGTTTTCCTTTTTTTAATGATGCCATCGGTTGGCAGGGGTGCGTGCGCACGGGTCCCAGGTTACAGGGCTGCCCTCATCGGCGGCGCCAGACGTGGCGATCGTTCATGGAGGGGAGGGTGACGACGAAGAAGAACAATAAAATATATGTAAAAATGGACGACAACGTCTCACGCGACATGTCTGTGCAGTTACGCCACAGAGGACACCATCACAATGCAATGCCCGTGAGGTCGTAGAAGGGCCATGAACCCCGACTTTTGTCCAGGATTCCCCAGAAATCTGAACTTTTGAGTGTGACTTTGACTTTGGACTTTTTCTGTCGTATTTCTAGCGTCATTCTACTCACAGACATCATCTCGTGTTGGAAGACAGGGGTCGATATTCCCTTTCCTTCCAACGCTCCCGTCGCCCAGAACATGCACACCATTCGCCCGGATGTGCTCGATCCGCTGGCCGTTTCACCGTGCCGCCTCCAACCTCCTGGTTGCTGGACACGGCTCGACTCGACACACCCACTTTGGACCGCTTCTTGCACCTGTTTTGCCGGCCTTCCCTCTCCATCCTGCCTCCGTCTTCCGGGTTTTTGATGCAACATCCAAAGCATCAGCAGCACATCGCTATTTTTCCAGTGCAAGTCTCTGTTTTCCCAATTTTCCTGCCCATTTAGCCGTCTTGGGAAACGAAAATAGCACCAGACAAGAGGAAAAGTCGGGAAGAGCATGCTGCTCATATTGTTCTCATCCATCAAGACCTGGATTGCAATCGACCTGGTTGAGCAGCAGTTTGTTTGCTGTCGAGCAATGTTTCGATGATTGTTTATGAGCAAGGAGAGGGTGATGATGACAGTAGATAGACTCGTCAACTCGCTATGGACGCACAGCACTCCTGTTCAACGTGGCCAGTCGCCCCGTCTTCCTACTTTCTTGTCTTTGACGGTCGGATTGCTGCTTGTCTCATCCGAGTACGCACATGGCTATGCTTCTCTTTTGTATTATTATGTTTTCTATTTTCTATTTTCTAATTTCAACTTTTATTTTTCTTCTTTTTCTTCCTACTCCCACTATTCACCTGCTCGACCCCTGCCCCAGTGACGTTTTGACTTGATCTGCGTCGTGCTCCTTGCGGACAAAGGCGTGTCGTGTTTCCGACCAGCTTTTGGGCGTATCGTTTTTGCCCCTTGCTCCCTGGCCATCCCAACTCGTCGGCGTTGACTGCAACACTCCATCTCACGATCGCGCTGTACTGGCCAACGGTCTGTGTGTTTGCAGCTGTCCATTGTCCATTGTCGGTGTTCCTTGTCATTTCCCGCATCATTTTCCTTCTCTACAATTTCCCAATTGGGCCTTTTGTTCTGCTTCCGCAGCTGGCCACTTCTTACACGATCCGAATGCCGATCCTCGCCATCGTCTTTCTCCTGCCCCATCTCCCCAGATGTAATGGAACTGTCTTTTTTCATCCAACGACCGCGGTTTCTTGGACGTCCCCAGATTCCAGATGTGACACTCGTCATATCACGGGTGCGCCTGGCATGGACACCTCCTCGCTCAAACCGTAGAGAGCAACATCCGATCCCGTTTCGCGGGCTTGGCTATCCATCTTTTGGTAGCTCATTACGAAGCTCGTTGTGCAGCGCGCTCTTTGTATAAAAGATGTTGCTTCTTCCCACGTCAAGTCTTGGAATCTCCTGTTATTCAGACGTCGTGCAATTCCATATTCTAATAGACATTTATTTCAATCGTTCTCGTTGTTCCTATTTGTTGAGATTCTCTCCTTTCCCACACACTCTCACCCAAAATGAGAATACCATCGGCCTGGTCGGCCTTTGCGCCTGGTGCGCTGTTCTTGGGCCTTGCTGCCGCAGCACCCACCGCTCCTCTGCAGAATGGCACCGTTGCTTCTGCCTCTGCTTCTGCGTCTTCTTCTGCCTCTACCTCCTCTGTCTCACTCTCCGCCGTGCCAGCAGCCTCCTCAGCGCCGGCTGGTCCAGACGTCGCCGTCGTGACCCTACCCGCAGAAGACGCCTCTGCCTTCCCGGGTCTGGGCCCCGACGGCTCGCAGCGCCAAAACTGCAACACGCCGTCCAACCGGGCGTGCTGGCAGCCGGGATTCGACATCAACACGGACTGGGAGGTGAACACGCCGACGACGGGTGTGGTGCGGAGCTATACGTTTGTGATTACAGAGGTGGACGGCTATGTGGGTGCCGACGGCGTATCGAAGCAAAAGGCCATGTTGATCAACGGTGCGTCGTCTCCAGGCGTTCTCTTTGCAGAGTCCCGTTCCTCGCTTGAATTGCTGCTAACATAATTTGTATAGGCCAATTTCCCGGTAGGAGCCACGTCTCGTCACTTTTTGTTTTCTTTTTTTTTTTGTTTCTAAACCACGAACGTGCTGACACTTTCCTCTCTACCAGGCCCAACAATCAATGCCAGTATGTCTTCACTCTTTCTCTCTCCCCTCGCTTACATGCCACCTGCTAACGGCCCAGACTGGGGCGACACCATCAGCGTCAACGTGATCAACAAGTTGCAGACCAACGGGTAAGCCCAATCTGGAGCACATAATTTTATATGCCCGCCCTCTTCATCCTCGTCACCTCCTCACCTCCTCACCTCCTCACCTCCTCAACCTCTTCCTTCACCATACTAATGCTCCCAGCACCGGCATCCACTGGCATGGTCTCCGCCAGCTCAACAACAACATCAACGACGGCGTGCCGGGCGTCACCGAATGCCCCGTCCCGCCCGGCCACAACAAGACCTACACCTTCACGGCCACCCAGTACGGCACCTCGTGGTACCACACGCACGTCTCGTCGCAGTACGCCTATGGCGTCACCGGCTCCATCCGCATCAACGGCCCCGCCTCGCTCGACTACGACATTGACCTCGGCCCGTTCCCCATTTCCGACTGGTACTATCCCAGCGCCGACCAGCTGCTCGCCCGCGTGTCCAGCACGGCCAACCCCTTTGTGCCGGGCCAGCCGGGCGCCTCGCCGCCGAGCGACAACCTGTTCTTCAACGGCACCAACATCAACCCGCGCGACCCCAGCCAGGGCGCCTATGCCACCGTGACCCTCGCCCCGGGCAAGCGCCACCGCCTGCGCCTCATCAACCCGTCCGTCGACAACACCTTTACCGTCTCCATCGTCGGCCACCAGATGACCGTCATTGCCACCGACTTTGTGCCCGTCGACGCCTACACCACGTCGTCCCTCTTTCTCGGCGTCGGCCAGCGCTACGACGTCACCATCGACGCCAGCCAGGCCGTCGGCAACTACTGGATCAACGCCACGTTTTCGGGAACCCACGTCTGCGGCAGCTCGGCCAACCGCCTGCCCGCCGCCATCCTGCACTACGAGGGCGCGCCCGTCTACAGCCCCCACAACACGACGGCGGGGAACAAGGACAAGGGCGGCAGCCACCCGGGCGCCGTCGGTCTGCCCACCGACCCCGGCACGCCGCCGCCCGACTCGTTCTGCGCCGACAACACCGACTTTGTGCCCATCGTGCCGCGCACGGCCCCGCTCGCCCAGTTCGAGCCCGTCGCGCGCGATACGCTGCCCGTCGCTCTGAGCGTCAAGGGCTCCCGCGTCTTTTGGTCCGTCAACGGATCCGCCATCGATGTCGCCTGGGACAGGCCCACGCTCCAGACCCTCAACGACCGCGGCTCGTCCTTTGGTGCCTTCAACACCAGCGAGAACATTATCGTCCTCGACGAAAAGGCCGCCTGGAGCTTCTGGCTCATCCAGAACGAGTCGCCCGTGCCGCATCCCATGCATCTCCATGTACGTGATTTGTCGTCCTCGCTTCGCTGCCCGTGCCCTCATCCCCCATCCCTTATCCCTCATCCCTCGTCGCTCGCTAACGCTTCCCAGGGCCACGACTTTCTCATCCTCGGCCAGAGCCCGGCGCCCGCAAACCCGCTGAGTCCCACCGCCGGCCCCGTCGAGTTCAACATGATTGACAAGAACCAACTCGGCGCCGCCAACCCCGTCCGCCGCGACGCCACAATGCTGCCCTCCTTTGGCTGGCTGCTCGTCGCCTTTGAGTCCACCAACCCGGGCGCCTGGCTCTTCCACTGCCACATTGCCTGGCACGCGAGCCAGGGCCTGAGCGCCCAGTTCGTGGAGAAGCGCTCCCAGATCCGCCAGGCCATGGACCTCAACGCGCTGAACCAAAACTGCCGCAACTGGGACGCCTACGAGCCGACGGATCCGTTCCAGCAGACCGACTCTGGGCTGTGAGCTGTGGGCACGAGACATTCGTGTCAAACGACTTGTATTTGTGCGGCCTGTATTTTACGGCGTTGGGAGTCGTTGGGGGGATTCGTGGCATTTTCTTTTCCTTTTATGGCGTTGCGAGCGTCGGGAGTCTTTGTATTACTTCATTTTGTTTATATAGGCTTTCGTTAGTATCTTGATACTCATACCAGAAGTCATGTTATTCTTTGCCGGGCAAAGATTGCTGGGTTGCCCATATTAATATACCTCACCGTTCCTCTGGCTTCACAACTGTTGATTAAATTTCCATAAGGGCAAGCTGACGCTGATAAACAGACAAACACTGCTTAATCTGTAGCAGACGAGAAGATATGTGAAAAGAAAACGAACATAGGGTAACGGAATCAAAACAACAAGACACGAGACTAACTAAGTACACCTCAAAAAACAAAACCCCGTTTGTCGTGCCCTTCCAACTCCCAAGAAATAGATCAATGCCCGTCGCAACAAATTCAAAAAAAAAGACACATAATCAACATCACGGACCGCCGCCCGCTACCAGAAACTGCACCAGCCAATGTAGTGCTGGCACAGGTTCTCCAGCCGCGTCGCCTCGCCAATCAGCTTGTTGACCTGCATGTCCACCTCCAGCTCCTCCTCATTCTTGAAATCGCGGCCCGTCAGCTTTTGCTGCACACGGTCCAGCACTTCCACCGCCCGCGCATTCTGCAGCTCCACTGGGTCGGGCGCCGCCAGCTGCCCGTAGGCATTGAGGCCGCTTGCGCCGTTCGGGTTGGTGCTGTTCGTGTCGCCGTTCGTGCCGTTCGCGTTGGTTCCGTTGGTGGTCGGCGGGGGGAGCGAGCTGTTGGTGCGTGCGCGGCCGCGGGCGCCCGGTGGGCCGCCGACGATGCCAATCTGAGCGCCATTCACATCACCACCCGCCAGCAGCTCCGACGGTGCCATGTTGCTGTCGAGCACAGACGGCCGACGAGCACGTCCGCCGCCACCGCCTGCTTGCGGCCCAACCAGCGCCAGCTCGCGCTCCGACTGGAAGTTGGGTCCGGCAGGCGATTGTGCATTCGTCAACCGCCACGTCAGGAGAGGGTCGTGGATGAACTGGAAGCGACAAAGAAAAAGAAAGGAAAAAAAAGTCAGTAGGAGCACACAAAGTTCACGGTGCAGAGAAGGGCGACTTACCGCTTCAAGAACAGCCATGACACTGTCCTTGTTGGCACGCAGCACGCGCATGACGTGCACAGAGGTGATGCGGAAGCTGCCCTCGATGTTGCTAACCTCCATGGCATACGTGAGCATCCGCGTCAGCCGGAACGGCACGCGCTCCGGGTACTTTTCGCGCTTCATCGCCACCTCGAAGCAGTCGCCAAAGTCAATGTGGATAATCTTGCCCGTGCCCCGGTCCAGCATCAGGTTCGACGGGTGCCGGTCGCCCAGGCCCAGGATGTAGCCCACCATCGACATCACACCCAGCGACCGCGTGTAGTTGGTGCGCCGCTCCAGCCACGCCTCCGAGTTCTTGCTCTTGAGCCACAGCACCCGGTACAGGTCCTGGCCCGTCGTGTTGTCCAGCGCATACCCAAACACCTCCACCTTTTGCAGGAGCGTCAGGTTGTCGTAGTCCGGCGCCATCTGCAGCATGATGCGATGCTCAATGTTAAGGAGGATCTTGCGACAGTCGCGGTACTCGCGGATCAGCACGTGGATCGTGTCGCTATTCGGCACCCACCCCAGCAGACCAGAGTTCTGCGACAGCGGGATCGCCGGGTACCGCTCAATGTTGAGGTGCCGCTTGTACGACTCCGAGTCCATCGACAGCAGCGTGTTGCACAGCCCAAACAGCTGCATCACCCGCTCGTCCTGCCGGATGTCTTCGTGGCCCTTGAGCAGGAACGTGTGGCTTGCACCGTCGCTGCCGTTGATATTGAACTTGCGCGGCCGCTGCTTCGAGCTAATCACCGTAAACGTCGTCTCAAACGACATAATCCGGATCACCGGCTGTCCACTGCGGTACTTGCCCGGCACCGACAAGTCCAGGTCACGAGCCGTCACCAGCTTCGGGCAGCAGTACGCCAGCTCAAGCGAGGTGATCTGCGGCAGCTGCCGCGTGATGCGCCGGAACACCTGGTAGTACACGTCCCAGGCCTGGTTGAGGTCGCTGACGTCGTGGCTGATCTCGTATTGCTTGCACCACTCGCGCGCCTCGCTGAGGTCACGACCAAACGCTTGTGCAAAGGAGATCTCGCGCAGCGTCTCGGGGCCGCGTTCGAGCATGTCGTGCAGCGGCTGGAGCACAGACAGCATGCCCTCGATGTTGTGGTCGCCAAAGTACAGACGCGACGCCTCCTCCAGCCCTTCGTGCCAGAGCTCGTGCCACAGGACGGCCACCCGGATAAGTTCGTGGCTGACGAGATCGGCCTGCTCCACCAGCTTCGCACTGTGCTGCCGCATGCTGTCCATGATCTGCGCGGCCGACCGCGACCGCCGCGTGTTCTGCCACGACTTCATCGCGACCGTCAGCGGGTACACCAGCGCCTGGGGGTGTGCCCGGCCCACGTCCGCCAGCAGGTTGTGCACCGACTGCTGCACGCGCTTGTTCGGTTGGTTGATGCGCGCAATCAGCTGCGGAATGACCTCGAGCCACGTGTCCACGTTGACGAGCGCAAAGCCGTCTGTCACCGCCGAGTTCACCTCGGGGTGGCCACCATGTGTCAGCCAGAGAGCCAGCAGGCGCAGGGTGTCTTGCAGCGTGCTGCCCTTGGACAGCGCAATCGATTGAAAGAAGCCGTGCACGGCCGGCACAACGTGCTCGAGGACCCTGCTGTAGTCGACTGGGCCGGAAGCAGCGTTGTCGCTTGCTCCGTTGGCGTTGAGTCGGCTGTTCTGCGATGACGACACGCTGCCGTTCCGTGATGACTGCGCGCCGTTCACCTGACCGTTCGGCCCGCCGTTGGTAGCACCGCTGCCGTTGGCATTCGCGCTGGACGCCGTCAGGAACTCCACAACCTCAAAGTTGGCCAGCGCCCACGCGTGCCACGCCTTGTACCACTTGGGGTTGTGCTGTGTTGCGTGCGCGTAGTTGCTGAGCACCTCGCGCACGTGGGTGCGCCGCCACGTGTTACGGTTGAGCGCGACCGTCCAGTCACCGGTGCGGAGATAGCACTTGGCGAGCAAGGTCGTCTGCTCCTGCAGCATGCGCTGGCTTTCCGAGTTGAGCTGGCCGCCACCACCGACATTGGCAATGCTGCCCGCGTTATTGGCACCGCTGCCCACGCTGTTCAGTGCTGTCATGGGGCCCGTGTTGTTCATAACATTATTCTGAAGCTGGTACTGCTGACGAGCACCCTCAAGCCGATAGTTGAGGTCGCTGGTGAACTTGCGCAGGCAGTCGAGCGACTTCTCAGAAATGCCTGAGCCCTTTTGCTTGGCCAGTTGGCCACGGTCCCACTGGTACTTCAGCACGGCATAGATGACCTGTGCGGGTGGTGGCGGCGGCGCGCGGGGATAGTCGTCGTGGAGCGACGCATTCATGGCGCCTCCCATGCCGTTTGGTCCGCCGTTGCCGCCTAGCAAGAGCAACTCGTTGTTGTTGTTGCTGTTATGGCCACTGTTCTCATACAACAAGCGACCGTTGCGGAAGTCGCGGCGGTCGCGGCCGTTCTCCACGTCGCCCAGGCCGTTGCCCGCCATGCTTTCCCGTGCGGCGCGGCGTCGGTGGTATTCGCGTTCCCGCTCGCGCTCGCGCTTCGACTCACGTTCGGCCACGACATCGGCGTCCACCCAGTAGGGGATCGTGTACTCGAGAGGGTCCTCGTTGCCGATAAGGTGCTGCAACGACGTCTCGGCCATGGTCATGCGGGACGACTTGCGGCACAGATTGGCAAACTTGATCCACATCTGCATGTTCTCCATGGGCGTAACGACAAGGCTGCGGAGGCGCAGCATACGTTGCCACACCTCAGCATTGCGCTGGCAGCCAAGCAGGCGGCGGTCCCACGTGTGGCGGAGAGACTCCTGCTTCTTGGTGTCACATTGCTTGTACACGATGAGCTCTTCAAGCTCCGCAAGCATCTGCACGCGCACAATCACCTGGTAGGCCCGAGTGTACGACTCGGTAACGAGGGCACTAAGCTCGACATCGAGACCCTGGCGCGCTTGCTCGACACAGATGGCTGCCTCACGGTACTGGTTGCGGTGCAGTGCGAGGATGGCACCAAAGAAGGCGCGGTCGGTCGAGTTGCGCTTCATAGCCTGCAGGTACATGTCCATCAGGTCCCATTTGTTCAGGCCCCAGGCGGCCGCAGTCGCCAGCGGCGAGATAAGTCGCTTGACCTCCTGCGACGAGTTGGCCCAGGTGCTGCCGGCGATCGTCGCGAGCGCATCCCATTGGCCGAGGGCGTGCAGACAGCGCATCTTGCCCATGACAATATCGATTGGGGTCGTCTCGTTCTCCGGCAGCTCGCGCTCGCGCGTCTCGTAAAAGTCCAATGCCTCCTCCCAGCGCTCGAGCTTCTCGAACCAGGTCTCCCGCAGTTGAATGCCATCGGAGTACAGCTGTGCCTTGCGCAATATGCCGATAGCAGCGTCCGACTGCTGCAGCTGGTTGTTGATGGAGATAAGAGCCTCCACAGAAGACGAGCTCTGGTCTTGCAAGAACTCAAGTTCCTTGTAGTGCAGTGCCTTGGCGTAGGCGTGGCAGCGTCCAGCCTCGCGGCCCAGGACCCGAATGTCAATAGGCAATGCCTTGTCGTCGTGTTCCATAAACTCGGCCAGGTTCAGCAGCAGCCCTAGCAAATCGGGTGGGATGTTCTCGGACTTAAAGGCATTCTCGAGACTAGAAATGAGCTCGTCTTGGTAGTTCTCGTACAAGTCGCTCCAGCACGAGACAAATGCCGAGTTGAAAAGCTCGCGCGCGAGAGGTGGGTATACGTTGCCCAGCGCAGCGCAGGCACGGAGTGCGTGGTTGGGGGACTCGTTTAGAAGTGTGGTGCTGAAGCTCCGCAGCCACTCCTGCCAGTCCTCCTTGGTCGACTTACCCTTGGTCTCCCAAGCAGCGCGGAGGTGAATTGCATTCATCTCGAGCTTCTTGGTTGGCTGCTCGGCGAAGGATACCTCATCCAGCTGATCGGCAAACCGAGTCTCCGAGGTCAGATCCTGTGGCAGCACATCACCCTTTTGCAGCTTGGCGACGAGGAGCTCGTAGTTGGCGTGCTGGATGCCCTGGTGCTGGATGGTCTTGTTGACCATGTTCATAAAGTGCAGGTAGTCCTTGCCGAGTTGGTGGATGAGAGCGCACAGGGTATCGAGAGCCGACACCCGCAGCGAAGACTCGCCGCTCGCGAGAACGCGGTTCAGGGGATGGATGATCTTGGACGCAAAGTCGTTGAGGTTGACTTGACGAGAAATCTTGCCAATTGTCTCAATCGCCATCTTTCGTAAAAACGTCGGCTGGTTCGGCTTTTCAAATGTGCGCACAATCACGGGCACGATCAGATGCATGTACTCTTCACTACTAGAACCGAATACCAGGAACGCGTGCAAGACCTTCTCCGAGGGAAGACGCCGCACAGATGTGTCCTTCTCGAGAAGTCCTAGCATCAGAGGAAGCAGACCAGCCAGATAGATCTTGAACTCGCCTTCCAGAGTCCGTGAGATGGACTCAATCAGGGACAGAATCGTCGAGTGCAACGATGGGGAACTATTCCAGTATTCTTGCATGATCTCGACGAGACAGGGAAGGTAGTTGCGAATGTGCTGGCGGACGATGCTCACAAGCGTGGCGAGCTGGCTGAAGTATGCTTCTGCCTTAGAGGGCGACGAACTCCGGATAACTTGCAGGAACGCAGGGATGATGCGGTCGAGGAATGGCACACACTCGAGACCAAGCGTGCGGAAGATAGACATGATGGCGCTGATGACATCCTGGTGGTACTGTACCAGCGAGTGGTCATTGAGAATACCCAACAAAGCATTGACGACGACCGTTGGGAAGTACTCCTTGTTCGAGGGCGTCAGGCCCGTCATCATCAGCGAAATGTCGGTCGTCTGGGTCGAGTCCACGCGGCGCTGCACCTCGGGGCTGCGCTCCTCCACTTGCTGGTGCCGGTACGGATCGAGAGCACCGAGGATGCCCATGAGCTTAATAGTCTCTTGGCGCAGCATGGCGTGCTGGGGTTCGCCGCGGATGATGTTTTGAAGCAAGTCGAGCAGCTGGGGATAGTCGAGATATGGGTCGATAACGTAGCCCGAGTTGGACGCCAGCTGGCCAATGGTACGAAGAGCGGCCTCACGCTTCATCATAGACGACTGGTCTTGCAGCGCGTCGACAAGGATGGGCATCAAGCGGTCCTTGTAACGCAGCATTTCCTCACCACCGACAGTGCAAATCTCGCCAATGGCTTTGATGATTGTTGCAGCCACTGAGGCTGTTGGGTCGGCTGCCTTGGGCAAGAGAACCTCCATCATGGGATGCACATAAGGTTGGATCAGCATCTGGGCGTTCTGGACCAAGAGGCTGAGAAGCTTGGCGCTCTCCTCCTTGTTCCGAGGCACATCAGAGAACTCGAGCTCGGTGAGCATCTGGATCAGCGTCTTGCGCAGCGAGGGTACAATGTACGCAGGATTCTCCCGTGTCAGGCGGCCAATCAAGCGCACGGCCACCTCGCGGATAGGGAAGTACTCGTCGTTGAGGGCGTAGAAAATAGTCCGGATGTTGTCCGCCTTGCCCAGATGGCGGTCGAAGCGGTCATCGAGCGCATTGAGGACTGTGTAGCGGATGTGGGGAACAGGGTCAGACACGCCGACAGTCAGGAGCCGCTCGACTACGTCGCCGACGACCTGCATCGCGTGGTAGCTGTCCTGGTTGACAATAGGGTCGCGCAGGTAGAGCTGGCAGCACGTCAACGATGCCGCTTCGCGGGTGTCGGCGTCGTCATCCTCAACGTAGCGCATAGCCACGTCGCGCACAAACTCGTTCAGCACGTGGCCCGAGAAGTCAAAGCAGCCAAGTGTGTTGAGAGCTAGTTTGACCTCTGTCTTGTGCTGCTCAATGGCGGCCGCGTCTTTGCCGGCGTCCTTTGATGCTGCGGTTGTAACCGGGGCAGACAGCACACCCGTACCTTGAGGAATGGGTGCACCGAGGTGCTTGTACGGCTCCCCGCTCAAGACGAGGCTGATCATGTTGAGCAGACGTTCTTGGATGGTGGTCCGCACGGCCGGCACATAGAACGCAATGTCCACGAGGGCTTGTGTCAACTTGGGCGTCATGTCACAGGCAAAGACGGGGTCCAGCAGCGCTTCCATGTACTTGGTAAGGGTCTGGCCGACAGCGACAGCGAGGCGGCTGATGCAGTCAAACACAGGATCGACAGACGCCTTCTTACGAGAATTGACGCTCAGCCCTTCCCGGATGTAGATCAGAATGCCGTCAAGATACGGCGCCATGGCACTCTTGACGGCGTTGGCCACGCTGCCAATGGCCACAAAGGCATCGTTGCGCTCCTTCTCGCGCTTGAGCATGGCCGACAGATAAATCATAAACTGGTGGAGATGGTTCTCGGAGAACTGGGTGGGTGCGTAGATGGCGAGGTCGGGGATGAGCAGGACGGACATCTTGCGGATGGCGGCATCGCGATGGTCTTTGTACCGCGAGACGATCTCGCACGCCTCGGTGTAGCGATGCTGCATGAACATGCCACCCTGCTCGAGCAATTCCTTGAGAACGAGCATAGAGCCATGGATGGATTCGACTGTGTTGAGCTTGAAACCATGGCCAGCCTCGTTGTACATCTTGTCCATGATCTGGTTCTTCATCTCCAGATCGCGCTCGCTAATGATCTTGAAGCAGGCGCTAACAGCTTCAGCAGACGTCACGCGGATAAGGTGACGCTGGTCGCGGAGGCCGACCCAGATCCAGTCGAGAATGTCGGTTACTTTGCCGTACATGAGCGTGGGAGCATTCCGTGCAATCTCGCGCAGGAGCAGCGCCGCACTATAACGCCGCTCCTCGCTGCTGCCGTCTTGCAGGAATTCGAGAGCCAGCTGCACGTCGGTGTCGACGAGCGACGACACCAGCGAGCCGCCGCCCGGTCGACACAGTTTGCCAATAACAATGGCCGCGGGCTGCATGCAGTTGATGTCTTTGCCGGACATCAGTCGTGTGAGCGCCGACGCGAAGCGCGTGTATTTGACGGTCGCGTCGACGCCCTCGAAATCAACAAAGGCATCGAGTGCGTAGATGCCGCCGAGTTTGTCGATTGTGCTGTCGCCTTGCAGCAGGCCGCTTATTTTGGCCTGGACATTGGCCCAGTAGCCTTGGAACATCTCCGGGCTCAAGTCTTGTCTGGTCAGCATTCCGGTCTGCTTTCCTCTCATCGTATCTCCTTCGTCGTCGCCAAAAGGGTTGCATTCGTACCTCGCTGTGCTACTGCTACCAGCTCTCTAAGCTGCTGGGCCGCCCGTCTCCGTGCATCATCGTTGATGGCTCTGTCGACGGTGGGTTCACGGTTAGCAACAGGTCTCATCTCCTATGCGCTCGACACATCCCACAACTCCCACCCTTCCATCCGCCGTCGTTCAGGTTTTCTTTCCATCGCAGAGACGTACTTGGATCGAAGGTCTTTGATCAGTGCATCCGAGTTCAACTCCGCCGACACCTGTGGCGACGACATGGTTGCCGAAGCTGTCTATCGTTTCGGTCGTAGGGCACCCGGACGGGGTGGCCTCGTTAGTTCGTTCGCCTCCTCTTCAAAGCGACGCCACCGCAGAGAATCGCATCCTCGACCAACAGAGAAAAGGTAGATGGCGTCGCAAAAGGGATGGCAAGGATCCGAGAGAATCGGTGATCGTCGAGACGTCGAGTAGGAGGTGGTCGTTTCGTGAATCGAGGAGGGGGTGGTTCGTAGGAAGGCTTTGTCGAGGGCTCAAGGCAAATCGAGAAAGAGTCGAGATCCGGTGCCAGCTCGCAGACCACCGGTGAGAGAGAGGTGTATAATGAAGTCTAGACGAGAGGCTGAAAAGTGTCAATTGTTGAAGCTCAAATCGCCAAAAGGTCGATGCGGGCAATCCAGCTGCAGCGCGTTTTCGGGAGTTTTGAAAAGAGAAAGCCGACACAACAAGTGCGAGCGAAAAGGCGACAGGATAAAATACACTGAGGAGAGAGGGCGTGCAACGTACCAGGTCGGACGTGGCGGTGGTTGTGTGATGGAAAATGCGAGACAAGCAAACAAAGTGAGTTCCAGGTTTCGACTGGGGCTTACTCTCGATCGTGGGCGTCGAAGCTTCCTTGCGATTTGCCGGTCTGTTTGCTCTGTTGCGCTGGTTGCTCCTTCCCGCATAGCGCCCCATTACCCCGTCATGTGCTCTCTGTCGCCCGATCGCCCATTGCGGCAAGAGCGTTTTTTACCGCTACACGTAATACAACGTCCTCCGGTGTCTGCTGCCGCTGGTTGGTTGAGGACTTGGCGTGTTTTGTCTGCAACAGGTGCTGCGCTAGTGCACTACTGCACCTGCCCACGTCGCCTATAAGCAACCGGAGAGACCACTGTTACAGTGGCCAACGGCGCTCAAGGCACTTGGTGTCGCAAGCTGATGTAGTGCGGATTATTCCGTCAAGCTCGTTCTTTCCACGTCTGGAAGCAGCCCCTTTCACAAGCAACAGCAATTCCAAACTGTCCTATCAGATCAACAACTGCAAGTAAAAAGTCACCAGCCTGCCATTCTCGACCTCGTTCTCGTCAGCCAGCATATTGTCAACTTTCGACGAACCCACATTTCCAGGGTCTCGAGGGTCAGATATCACTCTCATCTCACAGCTCGCCAGGTTTTGTTAAAAAAAAGCGTTTTCTACCGCCATTGCAGCTCCTGCCCACCCTGCACACTCCATTTCCGGCTTCTGGCTTCTGGCTTCTGGCTTCAGAATGCCAGCCGCTCCCTGGGACGATGGCGCTGCCGCAAAACAGCTTTTTGTCCTTGTGACAGGAGCGAATAGGTGCGTTTTCTGTTCCTACCAGAGATTCCATTGGTGCTGTTCTCGCGTACTGACCTCCCAGCGGCATTGGCCTTGGCATCGGCCAGCGCCTCATCGACGAGTTCGCCGCCGAGCACACGAGTCCTTCCGAACACCTCGTCTTGATCACGACCACCCGTAGCGCCGCCAAGTCTCGGACCACGACTGGCCTGTTGCGGCAGCACCTGCAGCGGAGCGAGAGGTCGGCCGCTGCGAACAAGGGCACCGTCCACCCGTCCCGCATCCACCTTGCCAGCCTCGAGCTCGACCTGTGCAACCTGCCCAGCGTATATGGTGCTGCCGAGCGCCTGCGCTTCGAACCGCTCTCGATCTGCACAGGCACCGAGGACACGGCTTCCTCGCCGCACACGATTCCGCGCCTTGACAGTGTCATCTTCAATGCTGGCATTGGCGGCTGGACCGGCATTGGCTGGGGCAACCTGCTGACCAATATCCTGTCCGACGGCATTCAGCAGGCGACGACGTTCCCGACGTGCAAGGCCGCAGATGGCGGCCTGCTGGTAGACCCATTGACGGGCAAAGAGGTCAAGCGCGCCGAGGGCTGTCAGGGACTGGACGACAACGACGGCATCCTAGGCCAGGTATTCTGCGCCAACGTCTTTGGTCACTACGTCTTTGCCCATGCGCTGCTGCCGCTGCTGCGCGGGACCGGTGAAGGCACGGGTTCTCCCAAGAGCTCCGCCATCGGCCCGGGTCCCGCTCGTATCATCTGGGAGAGCAGCGTAGAGGCCGACGGCTGGTACCACCTGTCGCTGGACGACTTCCAGGCCGTGCGCACCACTGCCGCCTACGAGAGCTCCAAGCGCCTCACGGACGTGCTGGCCCTAACCACCAGCCTTAAAAGCGTCGCGCCCTATTCGGCACCGTTTTACAAGGACGACAGCACAGATGCCGCCAACCACAAGGACAGTTCTACGGTCCCAGCCACGTACGTCACGCACCCGGGCGTCGTCTGCTCGACCCTCTTCCCTCTCAACTGGTTCCTCTTCGCCCTCTACAACATTGCCATGTACATCTCCCGATGGCTCGGCTCGCCGTGGCACCCCGTCACTGCCTACAAGGGCGCCGCCGCTGCCGTATGGGTGGCTCTGCGACCCACGGCGGCACTCGACGCTCTTGACGGCCAGCACGTCAAGTGGGGCACCGGCACGACACGCAGCGGCTCGACGCTCATTAAGCGGTCCGAGGTCGAGGGCTGGGGTTTCCGTGGCCGTGTGGGTGAGGAGACCACGGTGACCACCATTGACTCGGTGACGGGCAAGCCGTGGGGCGCAGGTGGCGATCCGCTTGCGGCGTCGTTCCCCTTCCCTGCGTACCTGCACAACAGCCGTGGCCGTAAATCTGGTGCTGCAAACCTGACGGCGGAGCGGCGTCAGGAGTTCGAGGTGCTAGGCCGGGACTGCTGGCGAGAGATGGAGCGGCTGCGCGTCGAATGGGACCAGCGCGTCAAGAAGGTGCGGGAGAGCCAGTGAGGCATGTGCCAGTCCGTACCAAAAGTGTCTGGCCATTTTGTTGCAATGTTTTGAAGATTTTCAAGCGAATAATAAACCATAGAATCCGACGTTCCTAGAAAAGGAGAGGCCAAAGCCGTTTTCTCCACATCCACAACCATAATAACTAATCGATACATTTGATTTGATGACAAAATCCGAAGGATTCGGAAAACGGTTCTAGAACGAGTCTAAGATCTCACACGTCGTATTCTCACTACCGTCTACCAGCAGATTAGAACAGGTGAGAAGCTCAGGCCAGTCATCCCAACGACACCTTTTCGCAAGGCTGTGCTCACAAGGCTGCCGAGCATTTCTCCAGAAATATTGTCTCGAAGTCAAGGCTGCCCATGCGCGAAGATGAACGAAGGCGTCTTGAGATGACCTTGAACTAATGGATGGTCTGAGACTTATATGCAGGACTCCGCATATGCCGATGAAATTACATTAGCAGAGAAAATAATTCGTATTACTCTGACCTATCGCATATTACGGATGAAACAAAAAACAACAATAACAGTTGCGTAATGATTTCATGACTAGGCAGCAGGGCCATATAGTAAACTACCAAAAACTCTGCAAAAATCATTTCAGTGTAAGAAAGGTATCTCATTCCCAAAACGTAAGGGTGTCATATGCAAATAAAAATTAAGAGTGCATCAAAGGGGTGCGAAATCAACATAATCATCAAAAAATAAGCATTCCAAAACAGCATGCCAAATACAGTGAAGCTATAGGTCATGCTTCCACGTCGGTCGCTGCAGCAGGCGCCTGCACGGCCGCCTCATCTGACCGCACACGCCGCAGCTTCACTTGCTCGCTGCGGCCAAACAAGCCCAAGCAGAGCGGCAGGGGCACCACAACGAGCGCGACGACGGCCGAGAAAATGAGCGACTTCTTCATGTTGCTGGGCGGGCTGCCATCGGCGCCTGCCCGCAGCGCGTCCGACACGATAATGAAAATACCGCCCAGCAGTTGCCCGCCGCTCCACGCCAGCGTGGATGTCACTTCGGGGCTCGCAGGGTGGGTCACCTCGACAAGGAACTCGACAGCCACGGGCACGAGCGTAAACGACGCGGCGCCAAGAGCGGCGAGCACGACATACGGCCCCGCGAGACCGCCAGAGTCGTGCGTCTCGGGCATCCAGATGAAGATAAGGTAGCCGATGCCGATAATGGGCACACAGATCTTGGTGGCCAGGATGAAATTCTTTGTGCGATCGAGGATGGGCGAGGAGATTGCAGACGACACGAGACCGACGACGATGAGGACAGCGCCGGCAATGCCGGCCTGGTCATCCGAGTAGCCGTACGGCAGCATGATCTGATTGAGCAACGACGAGATGGAATTGAAGAAGCCGACGTAAACGATGAATGGAATGAAGAGGAGCCAGAATTCGACCGAGCGCGAGATGTGCTTGATGGATTTCAGCAGTTCCAGTTTGGGCGTCTCGGACGAAGGCGCGACCGGGGTGGGCGGCTTCCCGTAGACAAAGAAGGAGGGCACAGAGCAAATCGTAGACTGCTGGTCAGCAAGGCTGGACGCATGGCAAATTGGTAGTACGCTAAACTTACAATAATGGATACGTAAAGGACCATATTAGGGATGTCCTTGGAGCTGTAGACCCAGAACGGGATAATCAGCTGGCCGAGGGCAGCGCCGAAGGGATTCGCCAGACTCGTCAGTGCCGTCGCGGCAACGCGGCCACGGTGTGTGAACCACAGGTCGGAGTAGCGCGCAGGCGCTGCCAGTACAAAGGGCTGCGACAAGCCGGTGAGGATCTGGCCGAACATGACAACACCAAAGTGGCCCCCTGTAAGACCGTCCTCGGCCAAGTTCGAGCGCGTGCCGGCGTAGCGAACCCAGTTACCAAGGAACAGCAGCACGGCCGACGTCATCATAGAAGGCCGAGGACCGTGGTGCAAGACAAAGATGGTCACCGGCGTGATGAAGACGAAGGAAAAAAAGAAGGCGGTACTGAGCCAGTTAATGGTGCTCTCGTTTGTGTTGAAAAAGGTGGCGGCATCAGAAGCGACGGGAGAGAAGGTCAGCCACTGTTCGAGAGGTGGATATCAGCAATCTGCTATCAATGCAAAAAAAATACGCCAATAAATTTGACCTGCTCCTATTTTGTGCGTCCTGGTCTGCATGTTTTATGCAACTTACGTCCCAGCTCACAATGACGTTGAGCAGCGTCAGTTGCAACAAGCCGAACCACCGTCGCTTGTACACCTTGTACTCGGTGACCCCAGATGCTGTGTTGTCGCCGTGGTTACCGCCGCTCGTGTGCGCTGTCGCGACGCCGTCGTCGTCTTCAAGTTTTGGCACATTGCCTTGCGATGACCGTTCTGCCAGTTCGACCTCGGCTTCTCGCGAATCCGTGCTGCGCGTGTACGGTGGGCCGACTCTCACTTCCACGTTGCGCGCGCCAGTCGCACCATTACCGCCGTCCGTCTTGACGTCCTCCTTCCAAGTACTGTCGGTCATTTTCGCGTTCGGCGTCGTTCCGGTCAATTTACTTCAGGTTCGGGTCTGCAGCTTCCAACTTATGTCGTGCTGCGGTCGCCGTCGCACAGGCGCCACGCCGTCAGTGGCGTGTGATTTTGCAGCAGACTGGTGGAATTGTTTCCACAGGCGCCAGCACCGTTGTCGCAATATTCGCTGCGCTGCTTTGGTGTCCGCAGAGAGTCGAGATTGTGGCGTTTTCTGGCGTCTGTTCCCGCGCCGTTGGTGCTCGCGTATCGGTTCGTCAAATGGACAATGCAGCCACGGATCGCATGCTGGTGTTCGTTCACAGATCTTTCGGTCTTCCGTGTCTGTTACTTGTCGTGTTTCTCCTTGGAACGTTTATGATATAAAACAAAAAAGAGCCAAAAAACCGATAGAGGAGAAATGATAAACGTGGGGAAGGAGGGGATGACGGAGAAAAGGGAGATCCTCCTTTATAAAGAAGGAGAGCACGAGGGAAGCAATAAGGCCAAATGAGACAAAAGTGCGATGGGGAGAGGAAAGTTTAAGACGTCGATCAAGTATGTCATGCTCCTAGGTCAACGGGGCCAGAAGAGCGGGTTCAGTCAATTTAATAACAAGTCGTACGAAGGTACAAATGGCAGGGGGCGAGTCGAGTCTGTCGACTGCCAAAGAGGGGAAGTCCAGACTACTGCCAGGAAACGGGGGAAAGGGCGACCGGACTACTATAGCACACCGTTGGCGCATGGTCTTTGATAGTCGCTGCTGGTCAACCAACTGGCAACCTCTCGCAGAAGCATGTGGACATGTCCTGATGTCCTAGCAGAGAAGAGATAACAGAGATGGGTGTTAGATATTGTGCGATCGACGACGACAGCCTGTGCGAGTATCGTCCTAGCAAGACAGACGAGTAATAAGACACTAAAATGTAAGATACACAACGAACCCGTTTATCATCGGTCCTTCTTCTTTTGTCGCATCGCATAGCAGATCGCATAACAAGGCGCAAAGCCTTTCTGGCAAGAACCTCTCGTTTCGGACAACAGCTTGCAGTTTGGTTGCTCTTTGTCCCGACAATAAGATTGCAGTTGCACTTCTTTGCTCTCGTTTAACTTTATTGCGCTCTGTCACGCCGGCCAAGAAATAGCACTTGGGACGGAATCAAGACAAATGGACAAGAATATCTAACCAGGGAGCCAGGGATGCAACTTCCATTTGGATATTAGTGGTCCTTTTGAGGGAAGGGGCCATTTATTGGTGCAAGTGCGCACTGGAGACCCTTAGTTATCTGGAAATGGCCCCACACCCCTTTCGTGTTCCGCACCTCCCTTGAAAGAAACCAAAGAAAAGGGAAGGGCCGGGGCTACCTCAGCGAGTACTGCGACGACATTCAGTTCTGTGGCTTCCAGTCGTCCAAATTCTCACGGATTTGGGCGTCGTGAGGCGGCCGGCCGAAGCACCCGGATATACGGATTGCAGGAATTCATAGCCCGAAATTGCAAAGCTATCCAAAACATCAACAGGCAATGAGAATAAGAGTTGTTCGTAACTATTGGAAAACTTCACAGGAAATTATGGCAATCGTATTTAAAGGCCATGATGGTCGCACGTGACAGATTTTCTTTACGTTGCGTTTTTAGGGTGTAAACAGCTATTGATGCAGCCTCCAACGGAGACCAACTGGCGTTCCGCGCTATGAATTCAAGTGACAGAGGCTATTCTATTTCATTTCCACGTTCTCTTGCAAGTTTTCCTAGCTTGTACCTCCTCTCACACGAGGCACCTTTTGAAGTTCACAGCGATATACCAGTCAAACAGACGACGACCGACCTATTCCTACAAGACATTTATGCCTTTCCTTGATAATGTGCTGTCGATCGGGCGATCGGGCGCTGCCTTTCCAATGTAGAGGATGGAATGGCACTATGGTGCTGTACGCTGTTATCAGAGTGAGGGACATCTACCCGCGACCAGGGGGGGATAGGCTGCCCATCTGCGACAGTTTCCACTGAGAATACGAACAAGCCACTCTCCGTCGATTCGAACTCAGATTGGCACAGGGCACAGGGCGGAACGGAAACGGGAAGAGGTCTGGTATAACTAGCGAGACTCTGTTGTTTAAGGCGGGTGGGGGAGGAGGGCACCAAACAAGTGCTCCTTGCGAGGGCATTGACCATCGTGCAAAAGAGCAGCAAAGGCAAACGTAAGAGGAGAAACTACCTAAACTGGGCAATGGGAGTAGGGTGGGCATCTGGTCGGTAAACGTAAACGAATGCGGGGAGGAGAGAGCAAAAACTAACATGTGAACGGCGGTCCAACCGTATCGGGGCATGCACTCCGGCACGGTGCAACGTTGGAGGCCGTTATCTCACTCCGGTACTGGTTGCGGAACAGAAAAAGGAATCAAAGTACACGTGGAAGACGAAGATTGAAAGAAAAAGTAAGAATGAAAAACGAAGGTAACACGACGATGTATAGAAAAAGCAGTGGATATCACACAGATTAAGTACTGACAAAAGTCGGCGAGGGCAGACAGCATGGCGCGACGGTTGAAGAACTATGTGGTCTGATTTTCATACGCCTTCTTTCCTGAGACCAAAAACATATAATCCCACGGTTTGGGCTTGATCTTGGGCGGCAGCTATGGCCCGTTCCTCCACGTAGCGGAAAAAAACACAGCTTGGAAGAATCGCTTAATACGGCATGCTCGCGTTTGTGTTTCTATCCATCCTGCAAGCAACCGGTTAGAATAGCACGAACAATATTCTTAACACGTTTTGTGTGTGGAAGAGATACGGTTTTGATTGGCCACGTAGGATGCAAGTTGCATCCATGAAGACACAGTAAGAGAAGTTCGTTATTACTGCTTTTGTTAATCCAAATAAAACTTATACACATATTGTGTACGTATGTCTCTTTTACCTTGGTGAATTATTTTAATAACAAAAATCGCAATTAAAAAAAAAAAAAAAAAAAAAAAAAAAAAAAAAAAAAAAAAGAAAAACTCCAAAACCCCATCAATGTGAAATACAAAATCCACCTCTTTTATTTTAAATTTTTTTCTTCTTTTCAGCAGTGTTTGATAATGAGAACGATCGATACTTTTATGTTCCCATGGTAAAATGATATAGTGACAGCCATCCAAGCACCCATGAAACGTATATATGACGTGTAAATGAGAAAGGAACATCGCGAACATGTGTAGCGCAAACTCTGCCACCCGTACCAATTACTATCTCAAACCTAAGACCGAAGAAGGCAGCCTCTCAGAGCGGGATCAATAATGGGAGTTCCCACCCGTGGAGCTTCGTTGTGACGTCCTGTACGGCATACCTTTCTCTAAAGTTACCTTTGCCTACCTGATGGGACCAGCAAGTACGGTTAATTGCTGCTCGTCGACAACAATTTCAAAAACAAGCCGATATAATTCTGTTCGTCTTGCAACGTGAACGAGCCGGCCTTGTTCATCTACGTGCTCACTGGTCCATCGTCAGATCCAACTTCAAATTTGCTGTCCACCAAGAAAGTAACAGAAAGGCTCTAAATTTTTGGGTCTTCTTCTAATATAGAATTATCATACAATTGGATTTTAGGGAGGAAGAGAGAGAGATATGTGAGACTGTGTTCAGAAAAAGTCGTACACTTGAGGACGTGACATCCCCAGATCCGTGCCTTCTGAGATGCATGTGGATTTTGTTCTTTTAGTGCGAGTGGTCCGTCATCCGCTTGCTTGTCGTGAATACTCAAAAAAGGGAAGAGAAACGAAGCCGCGGCGGCGCCGAGCCGAGGACTTCTAATGGTCGGAGTTAAAAAGGAGGATTTTGATACTGGTGTCGAGAGATGCAAAGTCGAGGGGACGCATGCCGTGGAAGAGTCAATTGTTCGCTGCCCATCTGCGATGTCTCGCCTCGTCAAACCGTCGGTGGTTCAGGGTCAGCGTATGGGCTGCCATGCTGCTTGATTCCCCGGCCTGTATCGCAAACCACCCCAATCCGCCGTTATTGTCATCTGCCCGTCGTCATCGCGGTCACGCTCTTCTCATTCTGCTTGGTTGAATATTGGTGCTCTTTACTTGAGCTTGGCCCACAGCTTGGGGGCAGCGCATTGGGTCGCGCAATGCGTTAGGTGGAAGACTGAAGCTGTGTGTTAGACACGATGTCTCCTCGCACGCGTGTCTCGCGTCGTCTTGCCTCGACTTTTGTTCAATCTCGGGGTACATGGGGCTACTTACACTCCTCAACGCAGTCCTCCTTGCTGCCGTTCTCAACGCGCTCGACGCACTCCTCGAAGTGGTGCTTGGCCGGTGCGCACTCCTTGGAGTTTCTGCAGTCTAAAATTATTGTATCAGCATCCAGAAGTGTAGGGTGAGGATAGGGGGCAACGTGAATGGCTGGCGCCTCGCTCGACATCCCACTCCATCGGGAGCCATATCCGTGTATCCGTGCGTTGATTCCAGGTGAGGGGTCTCTCGTTGCGTTTACTCACCCTCCTCGAGCTGATCCTTGGGGTCGACAACCTCGTCCTCGTCCTCCTCGTCCTCCTCTTCCTCCTCACCATCCTCTTCATCCTCGGCCTCGTCCTCGGCCTTGGCGTCGTTCTCCTCAGGGGCCTCAGCCTCCGCATCGTTGGCAGCGGCCTCGGCCTCGGCGACGCTCCATGGCGCAGCGGCCTCAATCAGGTCGGTGATCGTGTCCCAGACGCCCATTTTTGCGGTTGTGAATATGTCGAGGAAGGGTGTGGCTGAAAATCGAGATCGAATCCGTTCAATTGGGAGGAGGGGTGGTGGGTGACGGGTTGCCCTTTGGTCGGTTTAACAGCTTTCTGTACGAATTTCGTTTTCGCGATGGAGAGAGGTTGCGTGGTTTCGAGCGGCCGGACCAGGAAAATAAAATCGAAAATTCCACCTACCACACAGCTTTCTGACCTCTTGCTTTGCTCTGGGGCGGGCCTAGTATGGTAAATTGCGCGATTCTAATTGGTCTGATTGACCGCACCAATTACCATCAAACCGGCCGCATCCGACTCACGTGACCGTATTTTCAACCCGAGCAATTATCGGAACAACGTGTACAGCGAATGGCAGCTTCAACGTCCGCAAATGCGAATCTAACAACGGCCAGTTTCTGAGTTGCTGGGCGACGTTGCAGCTTCAACTCGGCGCAGAACTGGTCAAGCATTATAAAACACCACTGCAGACACGTAAAGATGGGAAAAAAGTAGTCGAACTTAGACGGACGAGAGATATAAAAGGTCGACAGACACTGACCATCCGCGCAAAAGGCTGAAGGAAAAGAAAAATATCAGAAAGCCAACCTCGATATTACATGCCCACCATGCTCGAAATGCAATATAAACAGAAGACCGGCCTAAACAACCACGCTAAATCATGAGGGTATCACCAGGCTCCCCGGTCCCATTATCGAAGACTCTGTGGTATCAACTGCGTGGCGAAAGAGTGAATAAACATAATATTGCCAGGCCAGGGAAAGCAAACACTATTAAAGCGTGTCCTACTGCCGGTCCGCAGCGTTGCGCGCGGTTTCTTCGACGCGCATGCCAATCGCCTGTGCCTGAGCCTCTTCGTAATCCGGGGGCGGCTCGTCGGGGGCGACCGGGCTCGGCTGGTTTCTCGAGTTGCTGGAGTGAAGAGCAGTCCCCAGTTCGGTTGCAGCACCTCGCTGCGCTTGATGCTCTTGAGACCGGGAGAAGTTTTCCAAAGCGTCTCTCTCCTTTGCGTCCCGGGAAGACGCCCCCGCTGTGGCGGCACCTGCCGACTCTGGCTGCGCCGGGGGACCACTTGGCTTCGGCGCGTCGGCCTCGTACCGTGGCAAGTCTTCCCCGGTCGGAATGACCTGCCCCGTCTCTTGCTGAAGCGTTCTGGCATAGCTCAGCCGTTCCTTCATAACCTCGAACTTGTTTTGGAAAGCATCGTGACCGCCCTCTTTGAATGTCAGCTTCAGTTCCAGACGGGGCACGTCTGACGGGATACCGCCGCCGACAGTTGGTTTTACAATGGCATTCCAAGACCAAGGGCCGAAGAAGCTGGATGCGACACGCGTATCATCAAAATCCAAGATAGGGGCCGAGAAAGATTGGAAACTTTCCGTAGGGTGGGTAGGAACATAAATGACCTGAGACAAATAGTTATCAATCATCAGTACAAAAATATGCTCCAGAGAGTATCAGGGGCCGTCCTAAACGGAAAGTCGACAACGCGATAGGAACATACCCGGTTGTTTGTGACGTAGACAATGCCACTATCGCTCTTGATGGAGAATGGCGTAGCATTCGGCAAAGATTTGGGCGTCGAGACGTCGAGGGCGATCCTGGATCTCACTTTGTAATAGATCTTCTCGCCAGGGAGCTTAACCACCTCGCCGTCCCGGCTCATCATCACCCAACTAGCGTCTTCGTCAGAATCGCCACTATTGATACCGGCGTTGATTGCAAGCGTGTAGCTATGTTGTTCCTGATAGAAGTCCATGGTGTAAATGGGAAGGAGTACGCAGGTAGGCAACAGGACAGGGACTGGGGTGAAAGAATGACATAGGTAATGTGTTCCGTGCGAGGTCTGGACTAAACGTGGCATGCCTCTTGTGCGGGAATTCGGGACATGAGAGAATGAAAATCGAGAAGCAACAAATCCGAATAAGAACGAGACGAAAGCAAGTGCAACAATTAAGAGTCAGAAACGCGCACGAGGACGTGACAATAGGCCAGAAGGAGGCTGTCGGTATACAGAGAGACTAACAGTACGGAAACAGAGGCGACAGACAGAAAACGAATGGATATTGGTTGTGGGGGAGGAGGACAAGAGAATGGGGACGAGATCAGGAGAAGGCGGGAGACAAGAAACATGAAAGAAAGTTGACTTACTTTATTGACATATTGGATGCCGGTTCTAGAGTTCGACACTCCGCACTGTGTTCCTCGTTCCTTTCCTTTTCAGGCACTCCTCAAGTTTGCAACAAAGATATATCGTTGGCGAGGTAGGATGGGCAAACCACAAGTCTACCGCAGACAAGGACAAGAAATGTGAGAGTTAACTGGTAAGGGCCTTGAGCTTCAAAGTAGAACTTCTGGACCCGTCGGTACAACACTGCAGGTTCTGTGGAGCCTAACAAAGTATTTGTCCGTTTACAGCGACGCGACTCTTCTAGGCGAGCAAAGCGAATCGATGCAAAGACGATCTGCTTGTCCGAGTGAGGTTGGTTGGAACTGTGGACCTAAAACCAAGTGGGATAGTGAGCGGTTGCCTTTTCTAAACCGACAAGAGGAGAAGGTAAGACATGGACTAGTGCTGTTGATGGGATACGAGTGGGAGAAGAGGACAGGTGAGGAGAAGGGAGCACCGCTTAGAAGGCCCTGAACGGGATAGCCAGTTCGTAGTGTGCGCGGGCTTATGTATGTCGTAGGCGGGACAGAGGGGATTTAGGACGGACTAGATGGGTTGTGGGAGGAGGCAGCTGTTTGCATGTGGGAACGGGAGGGGTCAAGAACAAGAAGGGACAGGTATTCTCTTACGTTTTGGGAGTAGCAAGGTCTAGATGGCTGGTTTCGCATGCGTATGAGAGTTAGTGTATGATTGTGGAAGGAGAGGCGGAGGAGAGGAGTAGTAAACAAATTGGTGGCGCGCGATGAAGAGGGAGGTCTCCGTATTTGGGGCTGCTGTGTTGCACAGAATGAAAGAGACGCCAGACATCCGACTGCCGACGTGGGATGCAGCCGAGGGACAAGAAATGAGGTGAGCTTCCGACTTACAAAGCCCAGGAAGTAGAAGACCACCGACGAAAGTAAAAACAGCGTCTGGTAGAAAACGTACAGGTAGAGAAGTTTCGATGGACCAGTGATCGGAGAGCGCGCTTGGCAGAAGATGGAACAGGTGATTGGCGCGAGGTGGGCGTTGTGGTGGCGGCTTCAAGCGAAGTCGTCGATGAGTTCAGAGCTGTGCCGCGGTGGTGAAGTCCGGGTGGGGCCGACGACGTTCGTTGGGGCTGCGGTTGCAAAGCACCAGAAACACAGCGCAAACTGAGGTTGTGAGAATGTCGTCGTCGGAGATCAAAGGGAACGGCAATTTGTCGCTTATGTGTCAATGAAGAACCTAGGCGAAGGAAGGGGACCTGATGTAATTTGGCGGCGCCGATGGCATTTGGGAGCCAAGAGGCTTCGTTAGGCTGGTAGTTGCGTCAGCTAGCAAAAGTCACCTGCCTTGGTTAATGGAATCCAGTGCAAAAGGTGAGCGAGGTCCGGCGTGCGGATTGGTGGATTGTGCCTACAGGACCTTCTCCCTCTATTTTGGGGGACAATGCAGAGGGGTATGATGGACCGCTCGTGCCTTAGGTCCGGGCCTGATGTTCGCCCGATTTAACGTTGGTTGGCCAGTCGCCGGGCGGGCCAAAAGAAATCAGTTGGCAGAGTATGCCTTGTCATCGTCCAAATTTAATGGGCTGTCTTACGACCTGGCACCTGTTCTGCCAACTCAAATCATTCAAACGAGGCGGAAATCATATCGTCTCGGTCAGGCTCGTGACCAGCCTCCATTGACCCTCCTTGTGTACATCGTACGACGCACTTTCTGGGTTTTCCAGGCTGTCTTGGATTTGGCGACACCAACTTGGCTTATTTTGCCCGATAACAGGCGTGAAGCGGAAGACTATGAGATCTGCAACATGCCCAACCAGTCCGCAGTAGTGCCATGATAGGATGCATCGTTCTCTTTTCGTGCCGTATTACATCGCTAATATCTCTCAAGGCTCCGGTCGTCTTGTCCATCCGGAGGTTTGTCACTTCGAGGGACGATGGCGTGGGAGTATGGAGCCGCGGAAAGAAGAGGAGATGCTAGGGCGAGCTGTCGTTTGTTTAAACCAAACTTCGTCTGAGTTCTTGGGACGGGCGTTATTTCCCCCCCTATTTTTTTGGCATCTGTTGTGACGAGGTCATGAAACGACCTCTGGATTTGTTATCGAAGGTGGCCACAAACCGCTGGCAAGTTCTTGTGAGCTAAGAAGTCTTCTCGTCGAAGCCATATGACGGGGGCGGAGAAGAAAGGGAGCAACAGAAGGAGGGGAGTAAGCGTGCAGAGATCGTGCAAGGAAGAATGACAGGCTGTTTGGAGTGAGAATGGAACTTCGAGTGTTGTCGAGTGGGAAAAGTCTCGAGAATTTGGGAAAACAGTTTAAAAAGTGACGTGTCACCTCGACAGAAGAAAATGGCGATGAGCGAGTGCCGTTGCAGAAAAGGCAGCTGCGAATGGCCATGGTGCTGGGGAAAGTATCCTTGCGATGTGAATGCAGGGAATGAACGATCGATATGGCTCCTTTGCCCCTTCCTGTCACGTTGTGGTTGGCAGGTGCAATGCTGTCTTGTTCGGAGTAGCCTCCGCTATCTGATGCCTTCCTTCCGAAGTTGACGATTTGTTTTGATCGGCTGTTTTGCACTTGTCAAACTTATCCTTTTCTTAATAACCGTAAGGCTTGCCACTCGATCTGACTATCCTCCAGTTTCCTACTTCAACTTTACGGTAGCAAAGACAAGTCGCCTAGGGGATGAAAACCAACCTTGGATGCGCATCTTCGTGTCACGCCTGGCCGTCTTTGTTCCTTGTATAGGGACGCTGTCTCCATCAAACATAATCAACCAAATCCGCGCCATGACCATCACAGGACTAAAAATTGACACCCAACAGCGGGTACGAAGCACTGACGAGGAGCACACATAGGCATATGCCTCCACAGGTTCTCTTGGTACCCAGAGACAACAGTCGCTTCCGGTGTCCGTTTTGCACCTGTTGGTTTTTTGAACTCACATGCGTCGTGTTGCGATCGGTCCACGTGGTCACATTGGGAAATGCTTACTCTACAAGCTCCGTTTCCCCGTTGCTCTGATACCTCGATGAACAGCATGCGCTTCTAGTTGCTTTCTCTGTCAACCTGAATCCTTTGGTCTTGACATGCCATGCAATGCAGCCGTTATCGCAAAGAGAGGCGGAGAACCTTGGTATTAGGAAGGTGTCTGAGAGCGACCCCATACCGCTTTTCTGTTGCGGGTGCTTTTCAACGTTGCTTCACCATGAAGATGTGGCCAAGTCGCAACGGTCCACTACGTTTACAGCCACTCAAGACATCCTCCTGCACAGCCTAGGCGCGCCCTGCATGCATCTTTCGGTGACAGCTGCAAGTCTCGACGCACAGTTTGGACGCATGGGCAGCAAATATTGGACTAGCGGTAGCTTCCGGGCCCCCAAAAGGTCTTTCTCGGGCCGTCGTGGGCCAAGAACGTTGAATTTGTAGGTCGTTCTCTCCGTTTCTTGCGACGGAATTCAAAACAGGATACTGTGGACCTGTTTATTTGGCCAGTTCTTGACAAGGAACCCACAGAAACGTACATTTCATAGTCGAGGAGGCCAAGGCACAGCAGAGCAACATGAATTACCAAAGTATGAGGTGAGGGTCCGCTGGCACGGTCTCACCGTGGCCAGGGGTGAATATTTCGGTGTATGCTTGGCTGACCTTGCACACATCAGGCCAAGATTTCCATTGTGATTAGGGCTTCTTTCCAGCACGATTGGCCAGTGGCAGCACAGTTGCTCTACGTCGTACGTGAGTTGAAAACACCGCCAGAATAATTCAGCAGCCACGGTGAACAGCGGCCGTATTTGGTAAGAAACCGTCTTGCCAATGCTGTGAGTATCAACGACACCGTACTGGGGATCAATCAGCCAGGGCACAAGCAGAGGAGAGTTAAAATAGTTTTATTTATCATTAGAACATTTCATCATAAAAAGCAAATACAGTACGAGGCGAAGAAAATTACTAAAGCAGCCCAGAAACCTCAAAAATGGCACCCTGAAAAGAAAAAGAAATGAGGAAATACTGGGTCAGACAACCTGTGCAAATGATGGCGCTGGTAAACTCTTGCTATGCCAAATTCACAGCGAAACAAAGGGAAACCGCCAAAAGTTATAGATCAACTGACTGGATAGAACGGACTGAGGTGCAACCACACAGTATGCGACTCAGCATCTTGCCACTTCGTCGGTGAGACTCAGAAGCACATGCGGCAAAGGGCCGATCGATTTGGTGACGATCCTTCAGCTCCCACCATTTAAACTGTGCGCCCCTGCTCGAGTTTGTGAATTTACTGGCCAGTCAGAGTATCATGAGGCTCCATCACAGCTGCCGCTGCCAGGACCCGTCCCTCCATGCCCATGCTTTGTGCTTCGCACACATTTTCGTGGCAAACCTGTTCTCTCCCACGGCTGGAGACGGAGAGATTGGCTCATTTTAAAGTCCTTCGCCATCCAGAATGAAGTCGAGTTTTGGGATCTCGAGCTTAGGCGCAGGCTCCGCGGCCTTGGGGCCGCCAACGATTGGTGCCCGCTTGTTGGGCGAGTTGCTGCGACGCTCCGTCGTCGGGGTGGCCGGCGGTGGGGGTGGCCCATAGCGAACATCACGGACGTCCCAGCCATCCTCGTATGCTGCGGCAACCCAAACGCGTAGGCCGTCATGAACGGCACCATAGAACTTCTCCTTGCAGAGGCGAAGACTGCTGCCCATGCAGCGTTCCCAGCCGGACATTTGCATTAGGCCCCGCAAATGGTTGCGTTCAGCTGCGGTCGGGGTGCATGCCAGGATGGCATTGACAAGATCGAGGTGCGAGGCGAGGTAGTTGGTGGCCTCCCACTCAACACCACCCACGTACGGGGCAGCCGGTACGGGAGGTCGCTCTTGGGGGAAATGGCGAAGCATGTAAGAGGGCCCTGTCTCAGTGTGTTTAGGAGGTAGCGGCGGGGACACTGTTGTGGATGCAGTCGACGTTGCTTCTGGCTCACGTCTGGAAAAGAACTCGTCGTCACCATTAGAGGCGGGGACTATGCAGTCCTTCGCGCTGGTGGGCAATGACACGACGTTCAGATGGTGAAGAAAGATCCAGAATACCTCCTTTGTGACACTGATGACCTCCTTACACCACACGCGGTAGGGCCGCTCCTTGCGCATATCCATCACAAAGCTGACTGGTTTCTCATCGTCGCCGCACTCTGGGTCCCTCAGGTAACCGAGTACAGTCTGAGCGCGGCCGGGACGTTCGTCAATAGGTGCGTTTTGGATATACGTGAAAAGCACCCATGTGACAATGTTGCGGGTCGTAAATTCGCTTGGGCCCTTCTTTTCGGGATCGAAGATCATGTGGATCAGCGCCGGCAGCAGGCTTGCGTGGATCGAGTGAAGGTACTGCAAAGCCAATGCCGTGGTGCATAGTGCCTTGAGACACAAAAGATTCTCGTGTAGCAGTGCATCTTCGTGTTCCTCCCTGCGGCGTGACAATCATTAGCAAACCAGTGGCAACAATACGAGGACGGGGAAGTACTCCGGGCTACAAAGAGGGTGTGTCCTTTCCTTTACCCGACCGTTTGGCAATAGGTACAGGCGGGGATAGGTGGGAAGAGAAAAGAAAGGGTCATGACAGTCAACCGAACTTACCTCCATTCAACTGCCAGGATGCGGTGCAGCAGGCTGACAACCTCTTCCATACCGCCCTGGCCGATGAAGTCCTCAATCCAAGTAACAGTCTCGTTACGAAGAAGCAGTCTCAGCTTGTGCAGTTTACCGACTTCCATCTTTTCTGGGGCCTGCACGGTGCGGAGATATGTCACAAAGTCACCAGGACTATTTTGCAGTTTTGCCTTTGCAAAAAAGCCTGTGATGGGATTACTCGTTGCGGCCGTGGTGTCTGGGCTTGTCCCTGGTCCGCTTGTTCCCATCTTCACAAAACTCTCGGTGGACTTGGACCGGAGATGGCGACCCAGCGTACCTTCCGTTTTCTTCTTCGGCGATGCAGCGGGACTCTTGGGCCGTTTGGTGCTGTCATTGCTTCCCCGGTCCCGGCTGCGGCCCCGAGCGACCTTCGACAGGGTCAGGCTCTTAACACGTGAGTGCTTCGACTTTGTGAATATTCCAGCAGAGCCATCATCTGTCGGGGTCGGGGTCGGCGTGTTGGTGGTAGTTTTGGTGTCGGAGTTATCGTTGGTGGACCGGCTGCTGTTGTGGCTCTCGGGGCGATCTGAAGTCTGCTGCAGCTGGCGCTTCGAACGTTCTTCGGCCCAGTCTTGGCGGATCAACTCCATCTTGATCGAGTTGGCCAAGTTGCGCATCTTGTACCGCTGGTGTTCGGGGATATTGCGCCGGTCGAGAAGAGCTTCGAGGTGAGAATCGACGTCGCTCGGGTCAATGGCGAGATTGATGGAAGACGGCGTTTCGACTGTCGGCGTCGCCGAGGTCGGCGTATTAACTCCATTATGCTGAATCTGTCGAGTGCTGGAGAAGGCGGTCGTCAACGTCGGCCTTGCTACCGGTGTGCTTCCATTTCCCACGCTGGCCGACACAGGATGAAACGACTTGGGGCGTGGTCTGGTTGCAGGGCCCTGGTGGTTGACTGCTCCTCCCAAGGCCGTATCATCAAGCGACGGCAACGGCTTGCTGGCCAGGTCACCTCTTCCATTTCCCTTGCTTGCGCTGCAAAACTGGGCGTAGATAGGTGTTACCTGTGGTGGAGTGGCTGACGTGGGGATACCGTTGTCCATCACAGGGTTCGGCAGAGCCTTGTTTTCCTTGTCTCGAGCGTCCTTGAAGTTCAACCGGGACTTGCTTCGCTTCTTTTCATCACCGCGGCGTCTGCCACGGCCACGCTCTTCCTCAGTTTCCGCTTCTGCTGCGGCTTCCTTGGCCATCTTGTGCAGATTTTTGAACGACTTTGGCCGTGAGAGGAGACCGACTAGGTTCGTCGTGGACCGAGCCCGGTCCTTCTTTGTCGGTGACAGGGACAGTGGATTCGTGTTGTCGGCGTCGTTCTCATTCGTAATCTCGGACGTATTGGTCTCAATCGGGGGAGTGTTGCCGGCAATCTTCGTCTTCTTTGTGGGCGAGTTTGAGGCATTGGATGTCGACTTGCCGTTTGAGTAGCTGCTAGCTGAATTGCCACGGGACATGGGGTGTTTTTCGGCATGAGCCATCTGTGGCTGTTGGCGGTTATGAGAGGTTTCTTCGAGAGGACCGCCTCCTCCCTGATTGGGAACCAGAGCTGCGGCAGTCAGATTGCCGCCTTGAGAGTTGTTTCGGCGGTGCATCATGAACGACCGCAGAACTGATGACTTGGCCCGTTGGTGCTGGCCGCCAGCCGATTGCGCACCCTGGCTGGTAACAGACGCCATTTTGGCAGGCTACACACACGAGGGCTCGCGTGGATAGGGAGGAGATATGATGCAAATGACGTGAGAAACCGAGCAACAAGCTGAACGAGAGGATCGAAGAACGGTCGCTGGACTGAAATAGCCTAACGGCCGTCCAACGCTTGAGAACAAAAGGGCTGCCACTTAGACATCTAAGCCATAGCAAGACTCGTGCGAGCTTCTGGCCAAAAATGTTTAAAATGAGAAAGACTGGTCGTGTCGAAGACAAGTAAAGAAAGGCTGACGTCGAAAAAGAGAGAGAGCAGAAGGAAAGAAGAGAGGAATGCAAAAGATGTCAAGGACGATGTTCAGCAACTTGCACTCGAATTAGGAAAGGCCGGTTTTGTCGGTTGCTCTTTCTCCTCTTTTGCGGGTGCAGATCGTCCAGCGCATTTGTGGTCTAGACAACCGAAAGGAAGGAGCTTGGATCGTGTAAATACGGAGGTCGATTTTGTATGGCGGTGGGAGTTGGCCCAGCAACGGCTGCCGAAGGGTGTCTACTGATTGGCGGGTGGCGTGTTGGCCCCAAATCGTCGCACCAGCGATTCGCGGTGAGAGGGGATCGGGCTATGACGAAAGTTCGGATAAGAAGGAAGGAGGCCCAGGCCCCTCTATTTTTATCCAAGTCGTTTTACGACGTTAGTACTCTTCTGCTCTCACGACTGGCCTTTCGACGACCACCTGCACAAACCAAAACGACGCACATCCCAGCCTCCGACCTGCTTACAAGAGCTCAGCGTTAGTGTTGGTAGTGTTTATTCTTGGTCCATTATATCGAATACCATGCACTTTTTCCATCAAAGCGCATCTACCTAGGCAAGTCCAAAGAACAAGATAAACGAAATGTAAAAAAGGCCTATAATTAGCTGGCCACTTTGTTGTTCTACCATGTAACGCCAAAGCAAAAAAGTGCTGAACGATCATCTTCAATCGCATGTTCGTCCGCCTTGTCTCTACCAGCTCAGCAAGCCCTTCTCCCGATCGAATCCACCGCGCAGCTGGCTTTCCGGCTTGACCACCTTGCCCTGCAGGATCGTGTACTTGACAATGTTCTCGCAGTCCTCGGGCGTCACGCGTGCCAGCCAGATGCATTGCGACGCACCCGCCGCCGACGTGTTCAGTGCGCCGTCCCCGTTTGCCTCATCCTCCGCGACAGGCTCGCTGTCGTCACCGGCGCTCTTCGCCTTCGCGCCCCGCAGAACCGCTGGCGTGACCGACTTGATGCGCGCTGGCAGCGCGTCCTGCTCCGCATCGGTCAGCGAGCCCCTCTTGACGGTATCGATGCCAAAGGCGTCCGGCCGGCGGTACACCATCATGTTGGCGCTGTACTTGTGGCCACCAACGTGCGAGATAAAGTAGATGCCGACACCGCCGGGCCGCTCATCGTCGAGGTCGCGAAACAGGCCGAGGGGCCGCAGGTGGCGCTCAAGCTCTTTGCGGATGAGGGGTGCGGACTGGCCGCAGCGGGCGTCGCGGGTCTTTTGAGAGCAGAGCAGAACAACAACGCTGTGGGGACTCTGGTGGTAGGTGAGGGGCGCGGGCAGCGAGGATGGGAGCGACGGCGAGGCGATGAGGGGCGTTGCGTTAGTGGGCGACTTGTTCACCAGGTTCTTGAGTACGGAGGGAACGAGAGCCGGTGTGACATTGTCGACGACGACAAAGGCGGGTAGGAGGAGGACGCGGGTGGGGTCCGCGTAGTTGGAGGAGTGGTTGGGTGTCGGAATGTTGGAGGCCGAAAGCATCATGCGCTGTTCATGTGAGGAGAAGAGTCAGCAAACGAGCAAACGTAACGTAAGTGTAGTCCAAATGCGCATCAAAGCGCTCAGGAAAAAACCCTACCCCGTTTGTTGGGCTGGAAGCGGCGTTGACAGCTTGCATGACACTGCCTTTCTCGTCCGCCACATCGCGTACCCAATCGGTCTTGCCGGTGGCCACAATCATGTGCGTGCTCCAGCCCTTGACGAAGCCATAGAGCCGGTCGTCGTGATCGATCTTAAAGTTGCGCGGGTAGTGGATGGTACAGCTCGAGCAGTCGTGGCTGCAGTCATCGCCGTCAATAGATGGGTCGGCCTTAGCAAAGAGCTCCGTGATCGGTGCAGAGGACGAGTTTGCGCCGTTGATTGCGAACTTCTTGGCGCCGTCTATGAGCGACCGGAAGCCGAACGACATGGTGGGAGGCAGGACATGAAGCAAAGGGCAGATCGGGGAGTCTAGAGGCGCAGCAAGAGGACGGCACACAAAATATTGTGGTTCTAGTAACAAAGCGCAAAGGAGTTGTTAACTGGAAATGCGCAAGCTGAGGCAGACAGAGGCAGGAACGAATTAAGACAATGGTAATAAAATAAGGAAAGAAAGAAAAAGGAAATAAAACTGCACGGGAAGGAAGCAAAGAACGACAAGGCCAGTTCAAGGAAGGCACGGATTGGCGGTGCGAACGTTACGGGACAGGGAAACAGTAAAAAAAAATGCGATTGCGAAATTAATCCCGTATCTCCGTTCCGTACTACCATGTTGCCGTACCGTTTTTGGCCCGTCGATGTTGTTAAGAGCGAAGCTTGCATTGTGCCCGCTACTTTCCCGCCTCTACATAGTGTCTTGAACCTTGCCACGTGCACACAGAAAAATAGCTCTGCGCCGCATCCTATTAAACTCTGCCACAAGAGAGCACTGGGAATCGAAAGCCATTCCTTCATGCGAGACCTTGACGACAAGACCGTGAGGCAATTGGAACCAGCAGGACTGGAAGAGAACAGGGGTGACGCCAAAAGGGTATTCTTGGCGGCAAGACCGCTTCAGAACAGCTCGGTCCGGCTCGGTGATTACACGAGTTGGGGGTCCTCGTTTCTGGCCCAACGCTTAATCCGTAGCAAGAGTGACCACAATTTCCATCAATACGGGACAATAGTGGATACATACTACCGGTGAGGAAGGCGGCGAGTTTTGAACGGCTTTCCGTTTTCCACGTCACGTATATGGAGGCGAGAACAGGCAGCAGTATGAACTCGCAGGAACGAAAAGCCAGAGACCTCCAGCGCATGCCAACCCGTGTCTGGGACATGCTGCAGTTGCTTTGTTATCCCCGAGCTTAGTTGAAGGTTGAGCCTCAACCGAACATCGTTGAGGGCCATAAAGCGTGACAAAAGAAGGGACTCCAGACAGCTCGGCCGAGCAATAGCAGGGCGGACCAAAACGGTCGAAATGGAACTCAAAACTGACAGAATAATAGCATGGCAACATACGCCAGGCAATTGGGACGAAAATACATCGCGCAGGCAAGGACACGGTACGTTATTTCCTTTACCTCCGTGATTGAAGTCTCGGCTGTCTAGTTAGTTACCATTGTCTTCGTACAGAATATTGGCAAGCAAAACGACGTTTTGTCGGTTCGGATTCCGTCGTCGTTCCCGAGCCTGTCTTCGGTGTCCCGCCAAAATGGCCAAAATAGCCGAGTGTGGGGCGTATCTACCCCTCTCCCATCTTATCAGATTGCGCGACAAAGGCATTTTCACTTGGCCCAACCAAAGCATCGCTCTCCACATGACAAGATTGACGGTCGGCATGTCGTGATGAGGCGTTACCTGTACGTCGGTCATGTCTGGTACAAAAGGCATACTATCTGTAGTTTTCAACTACCTACTGTACTCAAGACTAGGACAGGATTGTTATCTTATTATCGTATTTTCCTTTCTCTTCACTTTTTTTTTTCCAAGTGAAGCGTCAATCGTCTCGAAAGCAATTATTCATTATTTGTTATTCGGTCCAAAATTTGCAGAGCTACATACTTTGTAAAACGCAGCCTCCAATGGCTTCCAGTCTGATTATGGAAAGGAGAAAATGGAAAAGATTAGAAAACAAACAAGCACGCCGTACACGCTCGCGTAACACGGTATTCATATTCCAAAACAGAAAAAAAGAGGTGCCATCTAGAACTGGAAAAGCCACAAAAATTCGACTGGGCAAAGCTTGAACAAAAAAAAAAAAAAAAGGACAAAATGGAGAAAATACATTTCCAGACACATCCACAAATAAATCAAACTCGGCACCCGCAGACTTTTTGTTTCTCCTGCCTCACCCCTACACATTCTTCTTCGCAGTCTCGCTATCGTCGCTCTCCTCGTCCTCATCGTCTTGGATCAGGGTGAACCCATGCGTCGTCTGGCTCTGTCGCCGCCGCAGCTCGCCCCGCTCGCGCATCGCCGCGCGGATCTTCTTGGACGCCTCGTCAAAGCCCTCCTTCGAGTCTAGCGTTGTAAAGGCGCTCACAGGGAAACCACCCGAGCCAAAAGCACCGCCGCTGCTGCTGCTGCGTGACCGTGAACGAGACCGCGATGACGGCCGCGTCGCAAAGATGCCAATCTGGCCAATGTTGCTGAACGACTCGTTGTGCGGGATGGCACGGCCGTACAGTGTGCCCGAGGCGCCGGAGCCACCCGCTCCGCTGCCGGTCGAGTGGTCGCTGTCCGTGCGGCGGCGGCCATCCTTGGTCGCAGCCGGATAGGATACATGGGGGCCAGGCGTTGTCACCGTCGGTGAAGGCGGGCCCTGGGGCGACATGGATACGGCTGGTGAGGCCGAGTGCGGCAGGTCGTCGGACGACGCGCCGCTGCCTGCCAGCGGCATCTTAACGAGGCGCTTCTGGTCAAAGTCGGGGTACATCTCGGGGCCGAGGGTGTTGATGAGGTCCGTCACCTGCTTCTGCAGGCCAGCGCGCCGTTCGCGCAGGCGATGGATGTTGTAGCTGGACGACGGGTTCATGCACAGAATAAGGGGACGAAGGGACTTCACTATGTCCATGCCGACCTCACCGAAGCGAAGAGAAGCAAACGTAATGGCGGGGAACACGATCCAGCCCGTCAGGAACACGAGCCACCAGGGCGCCTCCGCCGCCCAAGCCGGCACGTAGCCCCACAACCGATCAGAACCAAACTTGATGACGAAGAGCACGCAGTAGAAGTTGTACAGGAGTGGAGCCAGCGCCATCGACACGAGCAGCTTCCAGGTGGCCATGACGTCGCGGCCCTGGATCTTGACCGACGAGCCTGCAAGGGCCTCGGCGGCCTTCCGGCGACTGTAGAGCTTCGTGGCCACGAAGATGGGCGAGAACAAGAGCAGACCTGGCAGCACAGCAATAGAGAGCACAAACAGCTGGCTAAGACGGAAGATAAACAGCGCCACAACCTTCCACCACGGCATGCGTGCGTAGTTGACCTGGTGGTCGCGGATGTTAAGGTATCGCAGCTGCTTATTGTAGTCTTTGACTGCAGCCTGCACCTTGCGCAGACGCTCGTCGTCCTTGTACTTGTCGAAGCCCATGGCGAGGCGGCGGTTCAGCTCGACCACCACGGGCAGCGGAAGCTTCTTGCCGGTCGGGTTGTACAGGCGGCGGGCTGCCTGGATCATCATCAGCGTGTCGTAGTCGGGCGTCGACACCGTCACAGCACCCAGCGCATGATGCACAGTGTCGAGCAGCTGGGCCACGGCATCGCGCCGCTGCCCGGCCTTGTACATGGCCACCAGCTCGCTGGGAACCTCAAACGGCGGGCCAAACTCGACGACGGCCCGCGACCGGAACTTGTGCGCGTGGAAGTAGTTCATGCCGACAGGCACAATCTTGAGACCGCAATCCGGCGAGTCGGCAAGCGTACCCAGCGCCATGATGGCCACACCAGCCTTGAGCGGCAGCAGCCCAGGACGATCATGGCTACCACCCTCCGGGAAGATGCCGACACAGCCCCCATTGCGCAGCCGGTTGAAGACTGCGTGATAGACCTTGGTCTGGTCAATGTGGGGTGCGAGCTTGAACTTCGTGCCCTGGTAACCCGGTACCGGACCGCCCGACTTCTTGACGGCCTCCTTGTCGATAAACTGGCCCTCGTCGTCCATCTCGCTCGAATCGCGGCCCGTCAGCTGGGTCATAGCCGCGCGGCCGGAAAAGGGACGCTTCAGGCGCAGCTTGTCGGGGCCCAGGATTTGTGCAATATCGACGCTCGACCCGCTCTGACCCTTAACTGCCGGGAGGAACACCATGCCGTTTACTGCGGCGTCCTTCTCGAAGTTGGTGCCCACGCCGTGGAGCAGAGTAGGATCGCCGATCGGGTCCGGCAAGTAGATGGTGCCGTTGACGGGTTTGGCCGAGTCTTGGGCACGACCGACGGGAACAGAACCGACTTGGCGCGAGGCCCAGCCGATAAATCCGTGGACGGACTTTTGGGCCACAAGAAGGGACACGCGACGCTTGGACTCGGTGCGCAGGGTGCGCTGCAGGATGAGGGCGTCGACGAATTGGTTGGCGTGAGGTGCGGCGACAAAGAGCACAGGCCCCTGGCGGGGTACCTTCCAGGAACCGCGGGGATGGACTTCGCGGAAGAAAAGGTCGACGAGGACCGACATGGTCCACAAGAAGGTATCGTACTTCCACTTGCTCATGGGATACAGCTCCTTCTCGGGTTTCGCGGGAGCCTCGCTCTCCGTGTCCTTGCCGGCCTGTGTCACGATCTTCTGGCCGCCTTCCTCTTCATCCTTGCCCCTTTTCTCCTTCTGGTAGCGTTGTTGGTTCGGTGCCGATGCCATGGCGGCGACGGCGACGCTCGCTTCGTCCTGTGCCATGGTGGCCGCGGGGATTCTTATCGCTCGACTATAGGAGGGGGGTCGCAGTAGCGGCTTCAAAGGAGAAGTATCGTCGACACGACGCTCTTCGTATCGATAATAAATCCGGGTTTCGATGCTGGAAAGTTGACGTCGCCTTGTCCAGCTTTGCCGGATCCGAAGTTTGAGTTTCGTCCTTGTTGCCTTGTGTAGCAAGTAAGGCCTCTTTTTTGTTGGGGGACGAAGAGCTCTTGCAGCAGCTCCAGAGGTGGAAGGCCTCGATAGTATATAAGCTGCGACAGGCGACTGGCAAACGGGCGCAGCAAAAACTCCGTTCGGTTGGGCCTGTCCACCGTAGTCTCTCTGCGGTAGCGACGAATACTATGTCTGCGTGAAAGAGGTGGTGAGACAAAAGCACCCAAAATAAACAGGACAAGGTGCCAGAAAGTGACGTTATCACATAGCTGTGTGGTTGGGATTCCTGTTTTGCCGGGGGAGGAAGGAGGGATGGGAGGGACGGGAGAGAACAGGAAAATCGGCTAGCGCGAGCATAAAATAAAAGGGCAAAAAAACACACAGGACAGATAAAGGGTCCTATCAGTGACAGATAGTTGACAGCTCCAAGGGCCCCGAGAGTAAGCGTTTGGGACAGCACCTCATATGGACTAGGCAACGCTCGCGCTTTCTCTCGCTGTATGGCCACTGGCACTCCGCTTTTCCCCGGAGTCCAGCACTCTCGGGGCTAGCAGCACAGGGAGAATTAGTGGAGGATGGTATGGAGGATGGAGAGGAAGAGATGGAAAAATGGCTAACGGGGGGATGAGCGGTAGAAAAGCGTCCTAAAAAAAATAAAAATAAAAATTGACCTTCACAAGACTGGGGAGGCAAAAAAAAGTGAAAAAAAAAAAAAAAACCGAAGCCGAGATACGGGGTTCAGAAGAGTAAGAACCCAAGGCTTGGAAGTCTGGAGTAAAACAGCAGGAGCGAGACAAGTGGCGTCAACCAACTGTGGGGTTCCATCAACACTGGTTAGCCGAGAATTGGTTGCCAAACCAAAATTGGAAAACGAAGCAAAAAATATGAGGACGGACTCGAAATGGAAAAAGCTGTGCACTCACAAAGTGTCTAGGCGGCGTGTTTTCGACAGCACGATCCGGGGCCCAGGGAGAAGGCGCAAACCGCAGGCGTCGAAATTATCACACGCCAGCGATACGCGCCGCCATTGGCAGGCAAGCCAGGCAAGAACTCCGGCGAGACCATGTTGCGGGGCAGGAATGGCAGCGCCGTAACTGGGGAAGGAACGATTACGTTTTTAATGAATTCTCGCAAGGCTCGCGCTGCAGACGGAAAGAGCTCTCCGTAGAAGTGTCGTGTCTGTTTGTTTTGTTTCTTTGGCCTGCACTGTCTCACTCTGGCAGTAGCAAGGAGCGCAGCCACAAACTTCTTTCGCCGTTATTCACAGGTGCATTCTTTACGTCTGTCAGCACGCGTAATTGAGACAAAGGCCTCGGTTGTCCTCGTATCTACCTACGGTCACAAGAAAGGCAAAAGGCTAAGAAGTAACGACCGAGAAGCATGCAAGGCAGTACGTCGTAACTGGAATTACCAAAATTGGCACATCAAAAATGTTTACAATGTGCAGTTCCAGCACCCGCTAAAATCAAACTTGATATCACTCGAAAAGCAGTTCGGCCAGGGAAAATCAGAAGAAGAAACGGCCCGAGATTACGAGCTAAAGGACGTGGCGTTCTCATTCGATTCATCGCCAGCTCCGACAAGAAAATAAACCGTGAGATTTTTTTTTAAAAAAATAATCCAACTTGACAACTGCAAATTAATGTAAAGAAGTCTCCTTGTGACTCTATTACATCTCCACAGATAAAGCAAGACAATCCCATTCGTTTAAAATAGTAGTGAGTGGTCCTTGGACGGCGTCCTTGACCGGCCCATGGCCCGAGATCCGATGCAGAATGCCTTCTGCAAGGCAATGCCCTCATGCCGTATTGCACAAGAAAAAAAAGTTTTTGCTTTTTACTAAGTGAAAGGAGCTCGGTTGGACATACCCCGTAACGCACTTTTGTTGACAATGTTAGCATTGTGACGTGATTGATGCTTCAACATGTGAAAGAGTCCACATGGGCCCCACCCAGCGATGAGAGAGCGAAACGAGAAAGTAAACTCACTTCAACAACACAAGGGGAGAATAAAGCAAAACTTATAATACATGCAAGCCTTTAATAAAAACTGAACAAAAAAAAACCTCCTTGACGCCTCAGTTGTATCCAATAAAAGACAATACGAACATACACTTCTCTGTTGCACAGCCTACCGCCGCCGTCCCTTGCCCTTGTTCTTGCCCTTCTTCTCCTCTGGCACACTGGCGGTTCCGGCCTCAACTTCGCCCGCAGCAACTTGACCCTCTGCCTCCAGCTCGCGCAGCTTCTCCTGGCCAGAGATAAACATGGTCAGGTCCCGGTTTGTCTCCCGGAGCTCGGCCGCCTCGGCCTGCGCGGCCGCCAGCTGCTGCTGCTGGGTGGCGGCCTGTTCCTGGACATGCTTGATGCGCACCATGAGGCCCTCTGAGACGCGCTTCTCGTCCTGCAGCGACTTGCTCAGTCCGCGCGCGAGCTCGGCAGCCTTGTCGGCACGGCGCCGCTCGCGCTCGACGTCGCGCTCGAGGGCGGGGACCGTCGTTTCGGCCAGCGTCGTGTGGGCGGCGCGCAGGGACGCGAGCTCCCGCATGGCCTCGGTAGTCTGGGCGGCGGCAGACTCGGCGGCGGCGGCGGCTTTGCTGGCCTTGTCGGCAGCCTTGTTGACCAGCTCTTCAAAGTACACTCGCTGGCTCTCGAGCTGGCTGGTGAGCAGGTGGGTGTACTCGAGCCCAATGCGGTCGAGCTTGGCACGTGGCACGACGTCTTCGTCTTCTTCTTCGTCGTCGTCGTCGTCGGCATCATCATCGTATTCATGACCACGGTCATCGTAGTCGTCGTCGTCTTGCCGTCGGCGCCCGTTGCGTGGGCGCCGGCCATGCTGTCCTTCGCCCGCATCGTGTCCATGGTCATCGCCGCCTTGAAGATTTCCGCCTCGCCTTGTGTTCCGCCCACGGCTGCGCCCGGGTAACTCGACAACCTTACCGTCGCCCTTGTCGCGGATTAGGCGGTGTACCCACATGTCGCCTGCATAGTCCCAGACATGCTGCGTCTCGAGTTCGAGGCTGAACGAGTGCATGGTGTCCTTCCAGTGCTCCTTGGCGTGTCCGCCCTTGTAGCGGCCGCAGCCGACATTGCCGCAAATCAGGCAGATCCACAGGTCGTCCGCGCAGTCGCACACCGAGCACAAGTTGGACACGCCGCCAGCGGCAAATGGTTGGGAATACGGGTTGGATGGATCGTAGGGGTTCGTAGAGCCGGACGATGAAGGGCCTGCCTCGCCGCCGCTGGCAATTTTGCTGGAGCTGCCGCCGGGGCCCACGAGTGCCGTGCCCAACTGTGAAGGGTTGGTGGCGCGACACACGGGGCAGCCCGAGCCCTTCCACGTCTGCAGGCAGGTGCAGTGGAAGACGTGCTGGCACAAGATGGTCATGATGCCTGCCGTGTCGTCCATGCGCTCGAGGCATACAGGACACGTCGGAAGCTCAATCAGGTTGGCTGTCGGCGGTGGGTGTGGCCGCAGCGAGTTGAGTGACGCAGGCTCCTTGCCGCTGTGGCTCAGTCGGTGCGGTGGTAAGCTCGGCCGGTTGTCGTCGGCTTTTGAGTTGGGCTGTGTCCCGCCGTGCGCCACGGCCGTCACCTTGGTTGTATGTGTGGAGCCGTCGGCGTTCTGCATCTGCCGCTCCCGAATGCCAAGCGAGTCGGGCGTCTCAATGGCAATCGACTTGACAAACGCCACATGGCAGATCTCGGACTCCATGCTGTTGAGGACGCGGCCGTCAAAGGCGGCGCGCCAGGATTTGGCGTGTTTGCTGTCACGGAACTTGATCAGGACCATGTAGCGGTTGGTGCGGCTGGTCAGGATCATGCGGTAATGGCTGACGTCGCGGCTCCAAGTCTCGCCAACAAACCCCAAGAAATCGCGCGGCGTGATGTAGCTGGGCACGGCCGGGATGCACAGAATAGTACCGTCGCTGCCGTCACTGCCGTCGCCGCCGTACTCGTCGGCATCGTCGCTCAAGTACGTCGATCCGCCCTCGCGGTACAGGTGTACGATGCCCCAGCCGGCATCGGTGACCTTCGTGGCCAGTGGATTGTAGCGGCCGCGTGTCGACTGGCCAGCCCCGCCGAGCACGGGCCCCAGTGACGCAGCCGGTATTGCCTTGTCGTTGTGGTCGCCATCTGTTTGTGATTCTGCAACCCCAACATTTGGTCCGTCTTGCGGCGCCTCCATATCGAAGCTCGCGATGCGCACGCGCCCAAAGCGCCAGTCACGCGCGGCTGTCTCTGGGCCCAGTCCGGCTGTATGTCTTTGTCTCGGTGTCCTTGCGTAGTTTGTCGTGTTTGTCTTTTGTTTCGACGGCCCGTCGTTTTCGCTGTGGTCTGAGTTGGTGCTGAAGCCGCTTCTTCCTATGCCGTCTCGGCTGTCATTCTTGTTCCGTTCGGGCAGAGCAGCGAGAATGTCGTCCTCTGTCGCTGTCCCCTTGTCGACGCCGCCGTTACCGTCTTCCTCGATGGTTTCTGCTGTCGCGTGCCACGGGAGGTCGTCAAAGATGCTTGCGCCCAGTCCAGGACGCCAAATGTTGGGCGGTAGTGCTGCCTCGCCAGGTGCAGCACTCGGATCAGGCGTCGGGTAGAGTTCAAAGGTCAAGTGGTAGGCGTGGGAAGAAGGCATGGGGATCGGCTCGGAGCGGAAGTGATGGTTCGAAGAGGTTGTTGTTCTCGGTGGCCGCTGGGGCCCTTTCAGTTGTGGGAGAGTCGTAGAGCACGATGCAGAAACACGGCGCAGAAAAGAAGAGGAGGACGCTCAGCCTTTCGCATGCCTGCTTCGTTGCACATTGGCGTTCCCTCGGGCGGGTAGGCCTGCCGTCGTAGTTGTCAAAGTGGGAGGATTGTCAATCCGCTTGTTGATGGCGACGAAGCTTGAGCTATCAGCCTCTGGTAAAAATAGTCAAAGAAGAGCCGCGAGTCTATTGATAGCTGCACGTGGGGAAAGGCTGCCCCGCTAGAGAGGCGATAAGATACAGTGGCTCTAGTGGATGCCAGGCCTCCTTTGTCAGAGGCGAGGAAGGCGCAATGGGGCAAACCGGTGGCGATCGCAACTGCCCAAAAAGCGAAGATAGTTGTGGTCATTCAAAATGCCACCCGCCGCGGCTTCATTACGGAGGCTCGGAGAGCCTCGCGTTTGTAGTAATTTGTCTGAACCTGAATTCTCGCTCTAGAAGCACGTGAAAGGGCATACCGTTCTCTGTCCAGCCCGTAGGCACTTTGGCAGCCTTGCCACAATACAACTACGGCGCTTGTTGGATTCGGCCACGGAACTCCACCGACCGCTCTCCACTGAGAATCCGCTTTTCGCGGCATCGATGATGACGTTTGGCTTTTCGTGCCACGGTGAGTCATCCGAAGGCAACAATTGTAGTACTGGACACGGTAATTTGCTACGATTTTAGTTTTCACCTGCACATTGCAATGGAAAGATAGTTGTGTGTTCCGACCGCGAATGGTGCGTGTCGAATGGGGTGATGTTTCATTGAAGAAGGGAAAGTGCAGTAAAAGTGCTGCGCTGTCCGTTCGTCATCGGGATATCTAAATCAAACAGAAGAAAGCTAACTAAGAAAGAAGTCGTCTACCCGCCGCTCACTGGCCACCGCGCAGACGCAGAACCAAATGGAGAGTCGACTCCTTCTGGATGTTGTAGTCGGACAGCGTACGGCCATCCTCAAGCTGCTTGCCGGCAAAGATCAGGCGCTGCTGGTCAGGCGGGATGCCCTCCTTGTCCTGGATCTTAGACTTCACATTGTCAATGGTGTCGGACGACTCCACCTCCAGAGTAATCGTCTTGCCCGTCAGGGTCTTGACGAAGATTTGCATGCCACCACGCAGGCGCAGCACCAGGTGCAGTGTGGACTCCTTCTGGATGTTGTAATCAGAGAGAGTACGGCCATCCTCAAGCTGCTTGCCAGCAAAGATCAGGCGCTGCTGGTCAGGCGGGATGCCCTCCTTGTCCTGAATCTTGCTCTTGACATTGTCGATGGTGTCGCTGCTCTCCACCTCGAGGGTAATCGTCTTGCCCGTCAGGGTCTTGACGAAAATCTGCATGCCACCGCGCAGACGCAGCACCAGGTGGAGCGTCGACTCCTTCTGGATGTTGTAGTCGCTCAAGGTGCGACCATCCTCCAGCTGCTTGCCCGCGAAAATCAGGCGCTGCTGGTCTGGGGGAATGCCCTCCTTGTCCTGGATCTTGCTCTTGACGTTGTCGATGGTGTCCGAGGACTCGACCTCCAACGTAATGGTCTTGCCAGTGAGGGTCTTGACGAAGATCTGCATACCACCGCGGAGACGGAGGACGAGATGCAGGGTGCTCTCCTTCTGGATGTTGTAGTCGCTGAGGGTGCGACCGTCCTCCAGCTGCTTGCCCGCGAAAATCAGGCGCTGCTGGTCTGGGGGAATGCCCTCCTTGTCCTGAATCTTGGACTTGACGTTGTCGATGGTATCCGACGACTCGACCTCAAGGGTGATGGTCTTGCCGGTAAGGGTCTTGACAAAGATCTGCATGGTGACGGATCTGTAGTTCGGTTGTATGTGTCTGAGTGGGTAGTTGATGAGGTGAGGAGGTAAGAAAGACGATCAAAGAGTGGTCGACGCGAGTCGATGATGGATGATGAAGAGTTGGATGTGTGAATGGGAAAATAAAAAAAGTAGAGAAGGAGGGAAATGGAAATGGTGAGAAGAGGCGAAACACGAGGTCTTAAATATAGGCTGCGAAACAGGAGGGGAAGGAGCGAGGGACGGAAGAGGGGGCGTGGAAGGGCCGGAGGCGAAGTGAATGGGCAGGCGGTGGAGCAAACCGAGGGGGTTGTGGTGGCTGGCTTGGGCGCATTCGGAGGGGAATGGGGCGAGAGCCGCCTGACGCTTTCGCCTGCTTTCTCAGCAGAAATGGCAGGCAAAGAAGGCCAAAGACGGCGGCAACGCCGCGGACGCAGCGAGCAATTACTGTGTAAGGGCAGGCTGGAAAAGAGGGGCGCAGCGCAGCCTGGCCAGCCCGTTTCGAGCAAAGACCCACTGTTCTCTTCATCAATATGGTGGCTGAGCCAATCATAGTGCGTTAAACGAGGCAGCCGACCGATAGAAGGTGCTGGCACGTAGTGGAGCCCACTTTTGTTCTGGGCCGCCGACGCCCTGTGAATCACTCACCTCCCATGGCGACTTTGTCGCACCTACCCCAGTATTCCCCTGCAACATATGACGACACGAAGTACCCACTACCAGATGCGCTAGTAAGAATGCGGCAGTCTCTCACTGTGACTGCCCTCTCAGTTACATTTGCTGTCCAGCCTTCGCTCCTGTGGCTCTAAAGGCAGACAGTGAGGCCGACGCCAAAACGCCAATACTCGACGCCCAACGGTTCCTGGAATTGACAGGGTTGGCTGCAAACACCGCAGGATAGGCATTACGGAGATGGACACCCAAGAATATTCTGTAGAGGGGCCTGGGTGAACTGTCTGCCCTGTCTCGTCCTCGTCAGCCGATTTCGTCTTTTCGCCGGTGAGTCGTCGCGCGGACGAGGCCAATCATTTCCTTCACAGGCAACGAAAATTTTCTCGTGTGCTCGGGTCCGGTAATCACCGCGAATTGAAGGGTGGTATGTCGAGGAATATGCGAGGTGAAAATTTGCGACAGGTCATGACATTCTTCCGTTTGCTTTCGTAGCCACCGGTGAAGCCCATTGAGGAAGGCGTGCTTTTTGGCTGGGAAATCGACACGTTTGGCCCGGCTTGCTCCGTGGCCATACCAGTTTGGCGTGCGGGCAGTTCCTTGCGCCGGGCTAAGGCCTAAAAGGGACACCTAAGTTCTGTCCGCTGGTTGCTCAATTGGCTTACGCTGCGCCTTTTACACTTTTGCAGGCACTGCCTGCAGCCTGGACATGGCCTGCGAACAAGCCTGAACCTGGTCCAGTGTTTGACCAGCCACACAACGGCCGGTCGGCGGCCAGCTGGCTTGTTTTCTCGAGTTCGCATCACAACACACATTTGCTTCTCATTTTTACCCACGTCGGTCGGCAAGCCCTTGCAATTCTTCGGAAGTGCTGGCCGACGCGAGTTTGATTTGAATTTTACTTTTCCTTGCCTCTTTTCTCATCATATCTTCGTCGTCATCTCCGAAGTCGCTCTTGTTTACTTTTCGTTTCCTTCGTTTCTTTTAGGCGCCGGAGGCATTTTCTCTTGCGGCTCGTTTGACCAGCGAATGGCTTTCTGCAATGGCACAGACAAAGTCGTATAAACCCGTATTGAAAGACCTGAGTAGCGAGCATTCACCGGTCTCAGAAAATGTGATGTAGGGCTGCATGGTTTGGACGTCTCGTAGCGTTCAATTCTTCGTCTTTTTCACTGAAAATGATGCCGACAAAATTTCGCAATTATGCAACACGACAGGGAGGGGGGAGAAACGACGTCATAGGGTATTTTCAGACGTAAACCGCGCAGATTTCTTGAAAGGCGGCCGGCCCGTTCGCGTGTCTTGCCGCGCGTGCCGCGCTCGTTTCTCTGTATCTACGAACCTATGCATGTTTTTTTTTTAACGAAAGAACAGTTTCACTGTGTGCCAATGATATGTTGATGCTCCATTTTCTTCGGCCCTTTGAATATTTTGGCAGATTAATGACCAGTACTTGCGATTTGTAAACTCTCAATTTCGCAGTAAGCTTTATAGCAGGCGTTTTACCAAGCTCCCTTGTCAAATCGGATGACCTCATCAATAGTAAACCGCTTTTGTCATAGGAACGAGCTCGAAGTCAAGATCCGTTTACCTCTTTTTTCCCACGTTGTCTTTGTAGTACAAACAGATCGAACCCAGTAAAGTATGGAGGCTGGTCCCGCCCAGTTTGCCACTCCCATAGCACGTTCCTGACTATCCTTCTGGGGTTGCAGGGATAACATCTACTGAGTAAAACACTGCATGAAAGGGGCAAGTAAATGAGGACTAATGCCACTGTTAAAACGATTCTCCGGGATATGAGAAGTTTACGTAAATTCGTAATCGTAATGTCGTAAATACAAGCAAAGAATCTCTCGAAGCCCATCTGTAGCTCTCGTCTAACGCTCTATGGGAGAAATGCAAGTCGCTTCCTGTATGTTCTTGACATAGAAAAGAACCACATTCCCGGACCTCTCTCTTCAAAACACAGTGAAGGCGTCATCCACCACGCCGCCTATCGCGACACTCTTGTACGAAACATGAGAATGACAATGCAGATGTTATCGCGGAACTAAGCATTGAAACGCAGCAAAAGAGAGCACAAGTGTTTAAAGAGCAATCGCATTGTCAGTCACGTCGTTTTTCCCACCGCGTTAAAGAGCACGCAAAGAGAAGCAGCAGAGTAGTGAACCAAGGAAAAGGCAAGTAGTATTTGAAAACGAAGATAGTAGGGAAATTTGCAGGAAAATAAACAGAAATAGATTCAATAAGAGGACGTTATCGTTTCAGGCTCATACATCATTTTGTTGCCTTCAAATCATTGTCATGAAAAAACGTCGAGGAAGAAAAAGAGAAACTAAAAGAGAAGAAAAACACGCTATCAACAAAATAAAAGGTAAAAACAAAGTGAAAACAACCATCATTCAGAAATCGATCAAATAAAGGCGTTATAACGTGGCAGGGCGTTCCGACGTTGCTAGGTGTCGAATATGTGTGAAGGTTTAACACGTTCTGTAACATGAAAACGGAAAACGCCATCGCTGAATGATCATAAACAAGTAAATAAAAGGACAAAGGAATCTGAAAGGGAAGAGAAACTAGAAAGTCTTAAAAAAATGAAATCAAATGTCGAAGACCGGCTTATTGTTATAAAAGAGATGTGCGCGCACTGGCAACATCAAAAAACAAATGGTGGTATCATAAATCGTCGTAGATTTTGGGTTGCTATAGCTGGAAGCAAACACAGTAAAGGCGAAAAGTTGCAAGGTCATGAGCACAAAATAGGAGACAGACATGGGGGTCCGTCGTTTAGTTAGCCCGGATCACCAGCTTGGACAGGAACTTGTTGGACAAGCAGTCAAAGTCGTGGCGGTCAAACTCGGTCTTCACCTGGCGCTCGCGCAGGTAAGTGTCGTGCTTGATAATGTGTTCGCGCATTTCGGTCATGACATTGCATACGGCGTCGTTGTTGTTGAGGACCTGGCCGTGTTTCTCAGTATCCCAGTCGGTGAACGAGGGAAGCTTTTGGGAGATGGCGTGGAAGAGGCCGACAATGACACCGACAGGTGTCGACTCCATCTCGCCGCAGAACTTTTGCACCGAGTTCTGGTCGGGCACGCGGTAGTGGCAGTCGAACTGCATCTCCTCCCAGACCACCAAAAGGATGGCAGCAAGCATGAAAATGGTGGGCCAATTCTTGAGGCGGTCGCCGCTGTAGACACGCGAGTAGAGGCTCGAGAGCTCCTCCAGGATCTCCTTTTGCAGCTCACGCCACATGTCGGCCATGGCGCACTTGATCTGGAAATTGATCATGACGGGCGCAACAACCTTGCCGAAGAACTTGGAGTCCTCGTCGTCTATCTGGCCCTCCATGGGCACCTCGGAACCCTGCTGCTCAACGAGCGTGATATGCATGGTCAGGTTGTAGGCCAGCACCAGCTTGAGCGCCTTGCCGATAACGGGCAGGCCCTCCTTCATGTAGTAGCGGTGAGCCGTCTTGAGAATCTCCGTCACAAATGGCGTGCCCTCAAAGTGATCGTCAACAAAGTTCTCAAAGGTGCCGTCGATGTGGCGGTCGAGGTAGGCCGACAGCTTCTCCATGCTGATGCCCTCCTCACCAACATCGAGCTTATCGGTGCGGATACCAAAGTCAATGGGCTCCTGGTCTGTCAGACACGACTCAACCCAGTCGACCTGGAAGCAGCTCTCGTCGGCGACGTGGACCTCGCGCACCATGATGGGGAGGCAGAAGCCGTAGCCGTGGGTGATCCACATCAGCGACTCCTTCTTGGAGAAACCCTTGACGTTGAAAACGGACATGCCGAGGTCCAGATGGCGCTCGTAGTCGGCTTTCCAGTCCTTCATGAAGAAGCCAACATCCTTGATGTCAATACGCGTGCAAGGCACCTGCCAGAGACGAGCATGAGAAGGCTGGCAGCCAGCACACGGCTCGCCCTTGTCGCAGGTCTTCTTGAGGAACTTGCAGCGGAGGCAGGCACGCAGCTTGCGGATCTCACTGGCTTGCTTGCGCTGCTCGGGTAACAGGGGTCCGCGCCGGCGGCCGACCTTTTTCTCGCCGGGGATGATCTTGCCGTCCTTGCCAGTCGAGGAGCGGCGGATGACGGCCTTAGGGCCGGGTTTGGAGATGGGGCTCTTCCGCGGACCATTGGATGAGCGGCGGACAGGCGGTGAGGAGGCGGAAGACGCAGACGAGATAGAGCCGGCACCTGAGCCGGACGTGGGGGATTGGCGAATGACAGCGGTGGACGTCGGCGAGGCAGATGCGGCAGCAGTCTTAATGGGCACGGGCGATACGGCGGCGGCCGGGCTGACGACAATCTCCTGGGAAGCGGATGCGAGGTGCTGGGGGTGAGAGTGGCCGTGGCCGTCGCCATGGACGAAGTTGTGTGGGTTCGAGGAATCAGACTCCTGGGAGAAGGGCGAAAACGGGGCGGTGAACGAGACCTCTTCGTAGCTGCCAAACTCGAGCGAGTTGCCTTCGGACTGGGAAGAGTCGGAGTTCGTGCGGAGGTGCAGGGTCTGGCTCGGGTTGAAGATGGACGACTGCTGTGTGACGGGGTGCTGGAAGGTGTCATAACGGGGGAAGAGATCGACGGTCGACCAGTCGACCTCACCGCTTGAACTACCGAGCGAGTGAACCTCGATACAGGTGCCGGTCGGCGAGTTGCTGCCCATGCTGGCCATGCTGCCGAGGCGTTCTTGGGGCATCACCATCTCAAAGTCCTGCCAGTTGGCCATGCTGAGGGCATTCCATTGCTGCATGGCCTGGGTGGTGGCGGCGGCGGCAACATTCGCATCGGCGGTGGTGACGGCAGGCATGGCGTTGAACGCAGTGCTGAGCTGCATGCCAGCCTCGAGGCTTGCAGTGGTGGTTGGGGTGGCTGCGAGAAAGTCCATGGGTGTTGGCTGGAAACTAGCGGTGAAGGCATTCGGGTAGGCCATCAGGGCCACGCCGGGATTTTGCACAAATGGTTGCAGACCCTGGGCGGCCCGCTGTTGTTGTTGTTGCCGCTGCTGTTGTTGATGCTGCTGGAACTGACGCTGTTGTTGTTGCTGCTGTTGCCGGAACTGGCGCTGTTGTTGCTGCAGCAGACGGTGATGGTGCTGGAGAAGCTGTTGCTGCTGGAGGTGCTGCTGGATCTGTGCCTGCTCGAGTTGACGTTGGCTCTGTTGCAGGGAGAACTCTGTGAGGGGGTTCATAGAGGTTTGGAAGGGCGACAAGGGCGACAGCAGCTGCTGGAGCGGGCTAGACGATGCGGAGTTGATGTGGCCGGGGGACATGCTCTGGGGCGAGTCCTCGGGGGACGACGACGGCTGCTCGACGGGAGAGTGGCTGCCCACAACAGGGGCCACGGCGGCGGCGTTGGTGTATTCAAAGGGCATGTTCCAGGCGATAGCCTGCGGTTGCTGCTGGTGGCTGCTGGTCGGCGGAGACATGGCTGTCGGCGGGACAGAGACAGGGACAGATGTTGACGGAGACACGGCGGCGGCCGGAGACGTGGTCGGCGACGTTGTGAATGGGTAGAACTGCTCGATAAACGCCTCACCAGCTGCAGCGTTATTGTTATAGTCGAAAGACATGGTTGCGTGAAAAAAAGACAGTCGATGAGATGAAAGTTGTTGATGATATGACGGGAAAGGAAAAGAAGGGAAAAGAGAGGAAAAAGGGACAAGAAGAAAAAAAAAAAAAAGTAGGAGAAAAGGGGAAACAGAAAGAGACGAGGGAAAGGGTTTCAGAGAGGATGGGCGACACGAGGTGATTGTATGTGATACTTCGACACCGCTCTTTTGGCGGGCGGATCTCTCTCAACGTAAGATCTGGCTGGGGAGAGTAATTTTGTGGGCTTGCTCGAAAGACTGACCACTGAGTGTGCAGATAGATGGCCTGAGATTTTGATATGCCTCCTCACGATGGCGATGAGTGGTTCAAGCGAGACACGATGGTCTCAAGAAAGGGATATGGTTATGACAGTGAGGTTGGTGAGAAAGACAAAAGCAAATAGAAGAGAAGAGTGAAAAAGAGATGCACCTGGGTGCACATAGGGAGGAAAGAGAACCACAGCCGGCCAGTGAGGGAGGTTGGCGGTGACGAGAGTTTGTTGGGTGAGAATGAGAGGGGCGGTTGAGAGGGGCCAGGCCGGGGGAGGGATTGAGGTGGGTGGGTGAAGTGGGTGAAGTGGTTAGCGGTAGAGTAGCGGAGCGGGTGAAAGACGAGTGGAGCTTGTGAGGATGGGAGGGGTTCGGGCAGGGCGCAGAGCTCGGAACGGCAGTCTTTTGGTTCAATCGTTGTGTTGCTTTTGAGTGGAGATGCGTGTTTTGGTGGGATTGCCGTTTCTCTTTGGCTCTTGTTTCTGAGGATCGCGGGTGTCTTTGTTGTGTTATTTGCGGTTTGTGAAGGCCCCTCTGTGAATAGCCGGCGCCGTGAGATCGGCTGGCAAAAGAGCAGTGATAAGACGGACAGGACAGGCGACCAAACAGGCCCAGACAACCGACCAGGATGAATGGGGGCCACTGAATGAGATGCCGTCGAAAGAGCGTCCCGAAATGAAGACACGATGCAGGAGGCACAAGAAGCAAGAGAAGAGGGGACAAGAGTAGACGAGAGAAGGCGAAAAGGGATCTCCAGGGCCTGCAAAACAGCCGAGGGCCGCAAGCGATGAGAGGGGAAAGCACGACCGGAGTACTCGTCCACGCAAACAGTATCACGCTATACAAGGCAGGAGCGGTGCCACATCTGCACCTTCCTTGATATACAGCAGCACAGCCCCTACAAATGCTCTTTCCGTGTGTTCCAGCAGCGATCGGCTGTCCTGCTCGCTCTTTCTCGTCTTGTTGCTTTTCGTCACTCCATTTTCATCCTTGTCCTCGTCATTCGTCGTCGTGTTCTTCCCACAATCCGGGCGTGCCTTCCTCTCTCTTGCAAATGGCGGTGAGCAAACCTGAAAATGGTAGTAGCTAACCAGCCACGGCGCGGGCTCCTGCATGTCCTTGGATCCGGCCAATCACAGAGGGGATGGACCCCCTTTCGGGATGCACGCACATGGGGGGACAAACGGCAGGCTCCACTATTTCGCTGCGCATTTTCCTCTCTTGTCTCGCTCGTCTCGTTCATTTCTTGCTGGTAGATTTTCCCATTGTCCACTGGCACTTTGGCCGTTTTGGTGGCCAGGCCGGGCCTTGCGGTCTCAGATCCCCTAGCAGAATTTTGACGGCAACGGCATGAGTTGGTCCTGGCGTTAGAGGACGGGCCACCAAGTGAGCCAAGCCCAGAAGCGTTAACCAGCCACGAAAACTGGGGCATCAAGACACAAGAGGCAGGGAACCGGATTGAAGAAACGGCGAAACGACGTGAAGGCACGACGGCCAGCAAAGAGACCACGAGCAAATTCTCCAAGTCCCATAACGGAGAGGGACGCGCCACAACGCGAACTTGTCACCCCATTCAGTGTGGTCGAGAACTGAGTGTCGATAAACTCTGGGTCGTGCATCGGCCTTTGCCCAATGCAGCAATTCAACGCGACAGGGTTTGCTTCGTGCCTTTTGTGCCTTTTGTGCGCGTTTTACTTTTGTGCGTTTCTGCAACAGCCGGAGGTGGCGTCTAACGGCATTGGCCAGGGCAGACAACGAAGGACAAGACGACAAGGCAACATGAAAGCGAAAACTGACGTGTGCGTCAGATCTGACCTGTTGGGAGTCCCGGGAGACGACAGAAAGTCGCAGAGATACGGAGGTCAGCTGGTATGCGGTTGGTTGGCACTGCCTGGACGTGCTTTCTGGCTGTACAGAGTACGTTCGTACATTCTTTGTTTTTCTCCATACTCCGTACACTGTTTGGCGCCGTGAGTACACCGTTTTGATGCCCTCATTTTCTTCTTTCCATCAGGGCATTGAATTGCGGTGACTAAGAAATGCGGAGCCGTTACTTGGCCTTGGACAAGCAGTGGATGAGACACCAAACGGCCGTGGCCAAGACAGTTTTGCAAGCCAGACGACGAGCGTATCGCCTACAACTTGCGGTGACGATTCATGCTGGCATTCGTTGACCCGTTTTTTACTGTGGCACGGGCGTCCAGCTGTCAAGGCTGTCTGTCTCGTAGTTTGGTTGTCTGCAGGTTTCCGTCGATGCGTGTCTAGACGAATGTCTGTGATGTCTTTGCGTCTGTGATGGTTGTGGTGGCCGCATTGATCGGTTACTTCAGCCTCTTTACTTTCGTGTTTTCCCTTTCTCTCTTTCTTGTCACTTCCTACATCATCTGCCGTGCGATCTGCTTGGCTCGGCGAGAAACATGATTCACCCCTTGCATCCATGTGAGACCAAGACATGCAGCGACCAGACAGTCAACCAGCAGGCGAACAGAGACGTATCGAGTGCGTTGTCCGTGTAAACGCAAAAGGAGGTGTAATGGAGGTCAAGAGGATGTCACACTGGGAAAACAAGGCCAGTTTTGAAGCCTATCGGAGACAAGATAGTTACAGTCAACCTATCAACGATAATGCAAAAGTTGATCAGCAGGGCAGTCTGGGAGGTGCCTACGTTGCTTTTCTTGTTGAGGGCGTCGTCAGCTGTGCTTCCCCAAGCTTCTGCTGTGCGAGCTGCATGTCCTCCAATTTTCTCCTCCGAGGTGCAATCTTTCGCTCATAACTCTGTCATTATCCGTCTGCCACTTTGTCATTTGTTTCCATTTGCTTTTTGTTAGGAATCTAAAATTATTATTGCCCAAAGTACGACACGATTACGCATGTCCCAAGTTAGCTCTTACTCTTGTCCGACATTGCTCTGGATCTCCGTTCACATCATGTCCCCAACTCGCTCTCCCTCACTCGGCTCGCTCTTTTGTCTATTTTGGTTCGGGTCCGACGTCAAGACGCGCTGGCCTGCAGTTGTTTAGTTGGCCCTGTTGCGTTGCGGGAAAGGCCTGCCTTTTTCAGCATGCCGAGCTTGCCCGCTCTTACAAGAGATATTAGAAATGATAGCCTGGCCCCCAAACAAAGTGAGATCGTTGACCAGACAAGGGCCCCCGTCCATTTTCAGAGAGTGTGCCGTGCCATTCATTGAAACGCGGGGCACAAAGTAAATAGGAAAAAGTGAAAGAGGGAGAGATGGCAGACCAGGGTTCAGCGTAGCCTATGCTCTTTCGAGAAAGACATCTAAATTGAGAGCACAGACATAGTGCGTGTGCCACGTATTCTGTACGAATATGCGTTTATGCACAGGACGAATGGCGTCGTCGATCCTAGTGAGCACAGAGAATGTTCAACTGGACAACACGCTTGGTGGCTGGCAGATGGATGACCGGAAATGAAAGACAACTTTGGCACCACGGCTCAGAGAATATGATCGTCAATATTTCGTGCTCCCGTCGTACCTTGAACACGGGCATCGCCTCGTCTCGCTATGAAGTATGTCGTGCCTGTTCCAGTAAAGTGTTAGTGGGCAGAGGGAGAGCCAGATGAACATCGAGACTAGCGTGAGCAATGAAAACCATTCTGTGTTGAGAATAGTTCAGGACAAGCAAGCAGAGGATAAGACCGGAGCCAGGCAAATGTCTTGGCCGGTACCAAACTGTTCCTGGAAAAACACCGCAACCATTGTTGAAGCGAGTAGTATTAAGCTCGCAGGAGGCGAGTGGAAGAAAAAAACGATTCGATCCGTTGGCATTGTCCGAAACTATTTGCCTGCCACAAATCACTCGGGCGGATTCCTACTCGGTCGACTTGCTGCCAATCCACCCGCCTTGGTCTTCTTGCAGATACGATTCAAAAGACAGGCCTGCAGACGACTCGCGAGAAGGTCTCACGCTGCAGATTCGTTTGGCAGGATCCACCTCACACAGTGTTTCCATTCCCAGTGCGAATCAGCCTTCAAGCTGTGTATCGTACGAATATTAGTACTCCGTACGGAGTACGGAGTATGTACACTTTCGATGTCGTACTCCCACATCGACCATCGTTACTAGTTTCATCCGTGCGGGACTTTGTCAAATCCACTTGCAGCGTTACAACGCGCCGTTCTTGACCGCTGATTTCGACGGATTGGTCCGTGCCCTTGCGTCAAGGTTTTGCAAGGTCACGTTGCGAGACCAGAGTGTGTACGAAGACGCGAGCGCGTGAATCTCCCACATGGGTTGTCAAGAGGCCATCGTCACGGTGGTGCATGTCTCTTCTACCGTCATTGCAGTAGTGTGTGCGTATTTGGCAGCAATATCGACACTCAACACATCTACAGTGCATACGGAGTAGGACGAGGGGAGACGGACGGAGAGCGGTAGCGGCAGCGGAAACTGGAAGGGCAGCGAGGGTAAGAGAGAGAGAGAGAGAGAGAAGAGGAGAAGGATCAAGGTGCATCGGTGGCCAATCCATTTTGATGCAAGAGCGGTAGCGCAGACGGAGTGCATAAACGCTATTGCTTTAGATGCATCCGGGAAAGGGCAAAGAGACGAAAGATACGAGTGTCCGGAATAGAAAACACTGAAGACGAATAATGAATAAAGCCACGAATCGACAGAAGGCAGAACATAACTTAAAAAAAAAAAAAAAAAAAAAAAAAAAAAAAACAAGAACCGATAGCTGCACAAATCGATGAGTAGCAACTGGATACAATGGCGACGAAAGCCGAGATGTGCAGCTCGGATGTAGAAAAAGACGTCCTGCCCGTGACGGCGAAGACATGCCTCGAACGAGAAAACAACAGCGGTGACGGAAGAAGGAGCCAGGAAGCGACGGACGCGGGCCATAAATAACGCCATCAAGACATCCTTCACTGGAGGACCAGTGACAATCGTCAGAGTCCATCGTAAGAAGTACGCGGATCGGCGCAGGGATTTTAATTTCAATCGAATGGGAGACAAACAGGCACCAGTCACCCTCCCCCCCTCCCCCCAAGAGTCACCACCGTCTGTTTCGTTGTTTAGTTTGCCGCAGTGAAGCCCTTGCCCTCATTGCGACGCACAAATTCAAACGAGCTTCTATATTTACATGCCGGCGAGCAGTGTACTGCCTGGTGCAGATGATTGCTCTTTTGTCTCGTCGGTCTACCGTGCAGTTGATTTTGCTTTTCTTTTCTTTTGTCGGCTTCTGGCAGCGGTCAAGAGTCGTATGGCGTGTTTTGTTAACGACGATAATTCTCTGGACGTAAATAACAGCACACCGGAGCATAAGAGGCCTTTCGAGGCCAGACCAAAACAAGAAAGAAAGCCCGCCGGTCAGTCCACATACCAAGCTCCCAAGTTGTTCATCGCTTCTGATCGCTCCATATCGCAGTGGATTCTCAGCACCACTGCGCAGCGGAAATACACTTTCGTTTTGGCTTGGCCTCTCTTTGGACATCAGTTCTAGGTTTGTGCCCCTTTCAATTCTCCACCTACGTTTCGCCTTCCTCGTTGGACTTCTGCAGGCCGCTGCTGTAGCGCTTCTGCACCGCTCCTGCAGGTCTGCAGGTCTGCTAGGTCGTGATCTCCACAACCCGTAACACTGCTTCTGGCTCCGCGCAGCATCTTCACGGGGGAACGGGGTGAGGCACAAAACAATAAAGCGAAAACGAAAGAGCGGTCTCCACCGGTCGCCTTGTAGAAAATGTAGGCAAGCCTGGGGGCAGTTTTATCATTCTATTTTATATTATGTATTTATGTTTTCCCCTGCTGCGGCTACTGCAGGCCAAGCCGGTAATGTCCAATGGTCAACAGGGGCTCAGACGCGTGACGCTTCTCTTTCAGCTGGACGTCACCCTCGTTTGTCCTTCTATCAACCCGAAACCTGGTCTATAACAGACAACGAATCTGAATAAAAAGGTCAGACAACAGGACATGCAAGACCGAAAACATCGCCTACTCGCGATGAAGCTAATGTGCTACGAGGTCAAGCAAAAGCACTGTATGTATGTCTTACTTGGGGATTGGAAATCGAATACGTTGAGCGCCGGGTGATTGGTCGTTGCCTGAGAAAGAAGGCCGTGAGCTATCTAGAGAAGTCGAGGGCCCCGTTTGTTGAATATAGAATGGAGACTATGAGACGGCGACGGAAAGACGAGAAGGGACGAGAGATCAAGATGGAGAAAATAGAGAGAGCCGCTCCCCCGTTCTCAGCTAACCATGGGATGGATCCGTATTCATGGGGGACATAGGCGCAGACTGCGGCCGATCAGGTATTTCTTTTTCCTCTCTTTAAAAGTGTCGGTGTCGGTCTGCATCTTCACAGAAACGGAAAACAAAAGCGCTGCATCGCCATGCCCGGGGTTGCTTTTGGTATGCGTCTCGTTTCTTTCATTGTTCTTCATCTTCATCATCTTCACCACTTGTGTCGTCTTCAAAGCGTAATATATTCAGAGGCATGCATATATGTGCCAGTGAGACATGCCTTTGCTTATTTTTTTTTCTCCTGTGAGTGCTTTGTGTGAGTGGTCTTGTCGTTGATTTGCCTGTCTTCTTTTCTTCCTCTGCTGCTCGTGCATGGAAGGGGAGTGGAGGTGGGAATGAGCTGGCAAATGGCCTTGGCCCTGTATCGTGCGTTTTTTCGTGAATGCGTCTTACGTCTTGCGTCTGTCTTCCCCCCAAAGAGATGTGTGATGCGTGTGATGAACGTATGTCGTGTTGACAGAGGGGTGCGTGATGAGCCGCATGCTGCAACAGTGGCCGTAAAGTGTACTTTCTTTCCTTTCCCACTCGTATCTTGGTCTCGCCATCGTGTCTCGTCGTGACACATAAAGTTTCTCGGTTGTAAAGTGACAAACGCGACAAGATTGACAGACGTCACAAGACAGGGGCATCGTAGAAAGACGAGAAAGCAAAGACAAGTGTGAGACACATCACTCAGGGATGGATGCCTGGACACGTCCTTTGCGGATCTGGGGGCCATTGGGCAGCATTCACCGCTTGGTATTGCCAGCACGTCCCTCCGCATGCATGTACGAAGTGCAGTATTGGGGGGGAAACAAATGCGAGACACAGCACAGATGCGTTGAAACATCTCCGGCCACCCCAGAAGGCGACTTATCAAGAGGAGGCTCTTCGTAAGGCGTTGGCATCAAAAGCCCAGCCACTTTCCAAATCTCCGCGTCTGCAAATGTGCTGCTGTGTCCGGCCTCGTTGCCGTGCGTCATACGGTCGGTCTCCCGGATGAAGAGGATCACATTCGTAGATACGACGGGGAACGAAGAAGAAAAATGCACGTTTCCGGAGCATAATGCACCTCTACGTGATAAACATCAGAGAGCAGGTGGCAATATATGCCGTACTCCGTAATACTGTGTGCTCTCTTCGTTCATTCGCTGGCACATATCACATAATGAGCACTTGCATGGTAGGCAGACGCACGTCTGCGCGGCATGGACGGCCAAGATGCACGAAATATAGAAATAAATCCAGTCAGGTGGTCATCAGGAATCAAAAACACCAAGACACGAGAAAAGGCACCGTAGCACATGGAATGAAACAGGATGGGCACAACCGTAGAGGAGAGTACTGATCATGGACGTAAATACAACTTTTAAGGTAATGTAAAAGAGTGGGAGCTTTTTCAGAAAAGACTGAATCTTGAGTTCCTCTCTGCTTATATTCATGAGCGATTCACATTGATGAAAAAAGTTATAATTGAAATAAAAAGAAGCTAAACAGCCCGGTAAATAAAACTTGTAAAAAAAACTCTTCCGTTCGTCCTTTTTTTTTAAAAAAAAATAAAAATAAAAACAACATACATTGTCGAAATTATAAATTCAAATTAATTATGAAATAACTAGTTAAAATATTACAGCCCGACCTAACGCAATCCTAGACTGAATGGCAACGAAGACAAATGACTTTGGAATTATTATGAGCCTGGCTAGGAACACCAAACTGGAAGATTAGGTATTAAAAGGAACGGTATGATAAAGCCTACAGAAACAGTGCGATGCAATTGAGTAACCAATTTTGAAGGAGTGGAAGAGAGATGTGCGGTAGACACGAATGATGTCCTAGTCCATCTCCACGTCCATTGCATCACAAACGCTTGTTGTGTCGCTGGACTCGGTTAGTAGCATCTGGAACTGTAGGAGTGACGTTGCGGCTGTGGTATCGCCAGGTACATGGACGGATTCTACGTGGGCCGCTGGACCGCCGTGGTCAAATGTGTAGTAGCCAGCCAGCTCGTACAGTCCATTGCTGGCAGGACCACCTCCGTCCCCAATCCTATCTCCACTCATCACCCGCCGCGGCCGCGGTCGGCTTTGTGTCCGCTGCCGCCGACGCCGTCGACGTGCTGCCATGGCGATCGGGTCAATAGTCAACGATGAGGCTGCGGGCAAGTCGCTTGTGTCGTCGTGGTAGCCCTCGGCCGAACCGGACCGCGACGGACAGTGGCTGCGCCGGGAGACCGGCTTGGCGTGGGGCCGTGGTGGTGCTAGTAGGGCACGGTGCGTGTAGTGCTGCATCATCATCGCGTGGTCCGTCTCCATGGGCGTGCGGTAGGCCGTCTTGCGGCGTGGCGACGGGGAGTCGATACCGCGTCGAGCGGCGGCAGAATCTGCGACAGAACCCGGAACAACACGCCGCCCTTGGCGGCCGCGGCTGCGACTGACACTGCGGCGCAGCCAGCTGCTGCTCTTGCCGTAGCCATTGCTGGAGGCAGCGGCAGCGCCAGAGGTCGCGCCCCACCACTCGTGCGGCGAAGATGGCCGAGAGATGTGATGCATGGATGACGCCACAGACGATGAGCGTGTGCCTGGTCGCGAGGACCGTGAGGACGCCTTGCGGAAGAGTGTCGGGGCGGTCACAGCGGCAGAGGCAGCCGTGGCGCCCACAGACGGCGACCTGTGTCGACAGCGGCCCCGGAACGTGCCGGAACTGCCTGGCGGCGTCTGCTGGCGCGGATGTGGATTGTGCCGCGTGCGGGGCGGGTGAAACGGACGATGCATCGGCTGCGGTGTCGTCATGGCAAGCGACAGAGGCACATTGTGGCCGTCGTAAGCGGGCATCGGCGGCGGACTGCGGCGCCGACGGCGTCCGCGCTGGTGGTAAAAGGGATAGTGCAGCTCTGGATCGTCTGAGGGTGCGGACGACACCGGTATGGCCATGATGCCGCTCGATCCGCTGCTGTCCCGGGTGGCAGTCCTCTCGTCCGTGGGAAGGCCGACAATAGGTTCAGGACTGTGGCAGATCCTTGCACGGGGAAAGAAAGCCATTCAATGGGGAAATCCTGCCCTGGCGAAGAGTCGGTTCGTCGTTCGTATCACACTGAGAATAGGTTATGGGCGACCCGGGAAGAATGGTAGTTTCTGGAGGTTTGGAACAACAAACACGTAGGATGCTCTTTTGCTTGTGGTCAGACTTGCGGCTGTTGTCGCTTTCTATGATTGCAAGCAGGCCGAGGGCTTGGCTGCCTGGTGCATGTGTGGTTTAAGCAAGTCGCCTTGATCAAGGTGTGCACACCCACTCGTGAACATGGCGCTCCCCTCACTGAACATGCGTTTGTACGGGATACAAAACACACACTAGAGTTACGACAAAGCGAGGAAGTGCATTTGTGTTGGTAGCTCCCCAGGGACATAAAAGTCCGCCGGTTTAGGAAGTGCCATGTGCGAGCTTGTGTAAATAAGTGCGGCAAGGTGTAACCGTCTCGTTTTTTCTATTGTCTCTCAGCCACGCGACCGCCGTCATTTTGCTCTATTGCCGTCACTAGTGTTGGTCTCCGGATTTCGACTAAAGCGATTCTAAGCGAACAGCAAGGCAGAACCCCCAGGAAGGGATCACAGGTGAACAAACAGGAGCAAAAACAGTGTGGAAATCTAGAAAGATACTGTTTAGACGTCGTTATCATGCAAGTGGACAAGTCAGAAATGGAGATAGACTGTGGTGAAGTGAGGGGAAGCCTTGCCGAAAGCCAAGATTTGCCTGGTCGAATCTTGGCGTACTCGTAGGCCGCCTCTATTCTCTCTCTGCCACCCTCCTTTGCAATATTGCGGTGCCTTTTGTCCACCGGGGCCATGATCCGCGCCCATGAATTTGTTTCAAGGCAGACCAGCGACACCATAAAGTAAATGGGCCTATGTTGAATCGGAGGACATCGTCCGTGTCTTTGTTCTGATAAACAACACTGGTCTTGGTGGTGTTCTGCGGCACTAATCAGCCGCATGTTTTGGTTAACGTCGTTTCTGGACGCCAGGTCAATTTAATCCACTTTCTGTCAGGCTAACATCGTGCCTTGTGACCGTGACCAACAAGGAGACCAACAAGAGACCAGCGGCGAAACGGTACAGAATAAAGACTGCTGCAGAAGATGCGCCCGAAACACCACCGATGCTCCGATGCGGATCTTATGAGGATATGTTCTCAGTGACGCGGAATCGATGGTTTTGTGATTATGCCGGGGTCGTTTAATTTTGTCGTGCAGCCTTGTCAGTAAACTGTCGCACAGGCTTCTTAGCACGGGAGTCGGCTGCGAGCAGAACAGAAATAAGTCGAAATATAAGATCGCATCCGTATGGCGTTCAGCCTCTCTGTTCGCAACCGAACCTCGGATCATTGCCCATCCATGGCAATGATATCTGCCTTGCTCGAATACTAGAGGAGCCTTTGCTTTGTGCCCGAGGTTGGCTGGCTCAGGTCCCCAACGAGAGGCTGCATGCTATGCACGTGGCTGCAAGATGGAGCAGAATGTTTTCATTTTCGTAATACTCTCTTGTGTCTCTTTCGTGGGCCATGGTGCTCGTAAACCAGGCGCCGGGCTTTCGTCTCCAAACTCGCTTCTGTCCTCCGGACCACTGATTTTCTAGGCAACCAAGTTCTTCACCGTCCGTGCCATCTCAGCTCTGTCAACGTCCTTGCCGTCCAGCGGGCCACCAGGTGCCACCAGGATCTTGATCACATCGCCGGCCTTAACAGTAGCTCCGCCGCGCTCCTCCTTCAGCTTGGCCAGGACCTCCTTGGCCACCGCCTCAACCTCGGCCGGATCGATCTTGACGCCGCCGCTGTCTGCGTACTCCTCGAGAATCTTGATCTGGTTCTCTTCCTGCTCGGCTAGATCCTCCCGGCCGGCCTGACGGAACTCAGCCACAGCGTCCTGCGACGACTTTGCCGTTTTCCGGAGCAGCGCCACAACCTTGGCATTTGTGTTGACCGGGTTCGCCGTCTTGCTCGCATTGAGTGTCGCGGCCATAATAGCCCGGAGCACTGTCAGGCGGTTCTTGTCCTTGGCCTTCATTGCTGTCTTGAGGTCGCCTCTGAGCTTGGCAAGCAGAGGTGGTGGCGGGGCATCCTCTTCCGACGAGTACGTCCGACGCTGCGTGCAGCACCGTGCTGTAACCGAGGCGACAAGGGGTGATGCGGCACTTGGGGAGAGCAGCCGGGAGGGCGCGGTGGCGGTAAGCCGCCCAATGCTGAGTCTGGACGTCATCGCGTATTGTGGCTTCGTGGGGCGCTGTGTCGTTGGAGGGAGTGGAAGAGCTCAGGCCGGGTGGTGGTTTGTGATATTTCGCAGTTCGGTCGCGTATCGTGCGGTCTGGAGGTGATCTAGACGTTGGTGCGTGGTCAGTCTCGTAAAGAGTGAGTTGCTGGGAGTGTTGTGCCTGACCCTAAAATTTTGCTCCAGCTGCGGAAGGCTGTTGAATTGGCCGGTTAGATTGTAGCGTTCCCCCCTTCCCCAGACTCCTCAGCCAAAGGGAAGGAACAGGCTGAGCATTAGCGGGCCAAGGTTCGTTGAAGCTCCACCAGGCGCTACTCTGACAGCAAAGAGGCAAAGGTTACGAATGTACAGTACTCAACATCGCGCGGCAAGCTCACCAAGATTGTGCGTTAATGTTCGTCGATGTGGATGGCTTTTGGTTTATTGTCAATGCCTTTTTGGGAGGCGGGAAACTCCAGCTATGAGGCGGTGAGGGCAAATGCCTTTTTGGGAGGCAGCGTAATAAAGTCTATCATACATTCTGTTTTGCTCTTGTTTCACCAGTGTGACTCACGCCCCATTCTTACGGAGTACTTATTCCTCCCTCTTTGCGCGACAACTACGTCCGCTTCTTGAACATAGTCAGACATTCAGAGACCATACCGACATCATGAGCATCAGCTTCCCTAAAACCGAGGAGGCGACAATTCAATTTTGGAAGGCAATCGATGCCTTCCAGACACAGCTCCGGCTCACGGAGAATGGTCCACGCTTCACCTTCTATGATGGCCCGCCCTTTGGTAGGTCATGGCCTGGTCGTCTGACCTGCTGCCGCCGCTACTTCTCTTACATGATCCTTGTCTTTGTTGTTTATACACGCTTGCTAACCCTTTTTTTCTGTCGTGCAGCAACCGGTGAGTGGGCGGGTGCAGCCGCCTCCTGTTTCCCTGTTTCTGTTGGATTCTTGTGGCTAACAATCATGCAGGGCTTCCGCACTATGGCCATCTTCTCACATCCACGATCAAAGACATCATTCCTCGATACTGGTCCATGAAAGGCTATCACGTAGTCCGCCGCTTTGGGTGGGACACGCACGGCCTGCCCGTGGAGCACGAGGTCGACAAGAAGCTGCACGTCTCAGGCCGCGAAGCGGTTATCAAGATGGGCATCGAGCAGTATAACGCCGAGTGTCGAGCTATCGTCATGACGTATGCGGAGGAATGGCAGCAGGTCATCGAGCGCCTGGGGCGCTGGATCGACTTTGAGAACGACTACAAGTCCATGGACGTGACCTTTATGGAGTCCTGCTGGTGGGTTTTCCAGCAGCTACATGCCAAAGGCGATGTGTATCGTGCCTATCAGATCATGCCCTTCTCAACGGCGCTTGGCACGCCGCTGAGCCACATGGAGGAGAGGCAGAACGAGAAGACCACCGTGGATCCCGCCGTCGTGGTGTCCTTCCCGCTTCTCGAGGGGTATGGGCACGAAAACACATCGCTGCTCGTCTACACAACAACCCCGTGGACCTTGCCGTCGAACCTGCTTATTGCGGTTAAGCCGTCCTTTGAATACATCAAGATCTTGGACGAAAAATCAGGGCGCTATTACATACTCCTGGAGGGATGCCTGTCGACACTCTACAAGGATCCTAAGAAGGCCAAGTATAAAGTTGTCCACAAAATAATGGGAAGTGACATGGTTGGATGGCGATACAAACCCCTCTTCGAATATTTCACGAGCACGTTCGCCGACTGTTTTCAAGTGATCGGTGCAGAGTTCGTCGAAGCCGGTGAAGGTGTAGGACTCGTCCACATGGCCCCCGCGTTCGGCCAGGAGGACTACGATGCCGCCATTGCTGCTGGTTTCATTTCGAAAGATCGGCTGCCGCCATGTCCGGTGGACGACGAAGGGCGTTTTACGCATGAGGTGGCCGACTATAAGGGACAGCATGTGAAGGCCGCAGACAAGGCTATTATCAAAGATTTACGACCGACCGGGCGCCTCGTAGTCGAGACGCAGGTAACGCATGTGGACAAGTTCTGCCCTAGATCGCAAACGCAACTTATTCGCAAGGCCGTCTCAGCTTGGTTTATCAAAGTGACCAATTCGACTCCAACCATGCTCGGCAACCTCGAGGGCACAACGTGGGTGCCAGAAACCGTGAAGGACAAGCGGTTTGCGAACTGGGTGACAAACGCGCACGACTGGAACGTCTCCCGCAATCGCTACTGGGGCACGCCGATTCCGCTGTGGGTCAGCGACGACTACGAGGAAGTGGTATGCGTCGGGAGTCGAGAGGAGCTGAGACGCCTTAGCGGATATAACGGGCCGCTCGATGACATTCATAGGGATAAGGTGGATCATATTACGATTCCATCACAGAAGGGGAAAGGTGTTTTGCATAGGATTGATGAGATTTTTGATTGCTGGTATGTTCTCTTCGCCAACGCTCTTTTACAAGTACGCGACTGACCATGGCCCTTTTAGGTTCGAGTCCGGGAGCATGCCATATGCCTCGAACCACTATCCGTTCGAAAACAAAGACCGGTTCCAAGGAGATCTCTTCCCAGCGGACTTCATTGCTGAGGGCCTCGACCAGACGCGCGGCTGGTTCTACACCCTGACGGTTCTCGGGAACAAGCTCTTTGGCGTGTCACCGTTCCGAAATTGCATCGTCAACGGGCTTGTGCTGGCCGAAGATGGCAAGAAGATGTCCAAGAGCTTGAAGAATTTCCCAGACCCATCTCATATTCTTGACAACTACGGGTCGGATGCACTTCGCCTCTACCTCATCAACTCGCCCGTCGTCCGAGGCGAGCCGCTGCGCTTCAACGAGGCTGGAGTCAGAGAAGTCATAAGTCGCGTACTGCTGCCTCTTTGGAACAGCTACCGTTTCTTCTCGGAGCAGGCCATCCTATTTCAAAACACGACAGGGAAGGCTTTTATTTCCACATCATCTGCAAGCGACAAGATCTTGAATATCACAGACCGATGGATCCTTGCCGACTGCCAAAGTCTCCTGCGGTTCATGGACCAAGAAATGGAAGGTAAGTACAAGTATATTATAAAAGATAACCCCAACCCTTTTTTTCCCATACATTTGTCTTACATTTTCCCAGGGTATCGCTTATACACAGTTGTTCCACGACTGCTGCAAGTCATCGATAACTTGACGAACTGGTACATTCGCTTCAACCGCAAACGACTTAAAGGCGCAGCTGGCCTGGGCGTGGGAGATACGACCGCAGCGCTCAACACGCTCTTCCAGGTCCTCTTCACCGTTGTACGCTCTATGGCTCCGTTCACACCGTTCATCACGGAGCACATTTATGGTCTATTGAAACCGTATATCAGCGACTTTGACGACGGACGCGAAAATACAGCGAGCGTCCACTTTCTTCCTTTCCCCGTGGTCCAAGAGGCGCTCCTAGATACCGTGGTGGAGAGGCAGATGTCTGCCATGCAGAGAGTCATCAGACTCGCGAGAACAGCGCGAGAGCGCCTTGGCATTAGCCTCAAGTCCCCCCTCAAATCGTTGGTGGTGATTGGAGATGCCCAGTTTCTTGCCGACGTTGATCGGTTACGGTCGTACGTGGCAGAAGAACTCAACGTTCGGGACATCGTACTCACAGATGACGAAGAGGAGTACGGCATTCATCTCAAGGCGAAAGTGGATTGGCCAACGCTGGGTAAGAGGCTCAAAAAAGACGTCCAGGTTGTTCGCAAGGCGCTTCCTGGTCTGACGCAGGAGGCACTTCGGACGTACCAGCGCGAGAAGCATATCGTGGTTCAGGGGATACACCTCACAGAAAATGACTTGAGCATCGTGTGGGAGATGCCTGTTGAGAAACAGAATGCGTCCTCGCCAACAGATGGCCCCACCTGGGAGCCATCCTTTGACGAAGATGTTGTGGTGCTGCTCGATGGCACATCCTACCCGGATCTGCTCGAAGACGGTCTAGCCCGCGATATCCTTACGCGGTTTCAGAAGCTCCGGAAAAAGGCCGGCCTGGTCCCTCTCGATGATGTTCGCATGCAATATAGCGTTCTGGCCAACCCGGAGGGGGTGGATGTTACTACTCTGATCTCATCTAGGCAGTCCATGTTCACGAGTTCACTTCGTGGAAAATTGGAGGAGCGATCAGGAGAGAACGGGTCTGACGAAGGTCTAATTGAGGAGGACCAGTCCCTGGGCAATCTGGTTTTGCGACTTCGCCTCGCCCAGGTTCACACGGAACTTAATTAGATAGAGAGAAAAACACACCTGTAGCCTTCTTCGCGCCTAAATTTTTGCTATAGTTACGCGCCGAGAATCTCTGCGCCGCCCCCACGTTAATACTAAAAATACACCATCACTGTAACGACGCCGCTTTTTCCTAGGCTGGCCGCTGCCCCCCTGGCCTCTCCTCTAGGCTTCAGCGGAGCTGTCTATCCCTCTTAGGCCAGGCGACTTTCTTCCAGGATCTTCCCCTAGGCCCCTTTCCCTAGGCCTTTTGCCTGACCTCCTCCAAGGCCCCCCCCCTGGGCCTCTAAGCCTGCTTCTGACCTCCCCCGATCCTCCCCCCAAAAATCTTCTTCAGTACTGTGACGGCAAATACCGAAGCATCTACCAGACAGTACTTCGTTGATAGTGCACCCATGACGCCGAAGGAACCATGGACAAACTCTAAAGACAGCAGTTCCTACAGAACATGGTAGCCTGGAACTAATGTGCGGACAAGATTCTGGATTTTGGTGATGCTGATGGGAAGGGAAACAAAGGCTTGTGGGCTGTGCGCCACATGCTCTATGGATCTCGTGTATAATACAGCTATAAAATCCGGCAGCTGCGCTGCATGTCATATCTGGTTCCGAACACGTCGTGTAGTGTGCGTTCGTGTATATTTTTCGCTGTGTGAGCTGTGTAAGCCGCGCGCCTCCCAAAAAGCAAAGGGTGCGACCTGGCGGACCTATCTACTCTGACTTCCAGGGAGAAGAGTTATTGGCGTGTCGATGGATTGCTAAATGAGTTGGCATGGTCTGGCCATTGCACTAAGTGCGGCTGGACGTGTGTTGTGGTAGACGACGTCGCCTTGTTGTACTGTTTAATGCTGCTTTGAAAGCTACTCGCCATACAGGTCCACGACCTACAAAGACAAGCTATTCCTATGTGAATGACTATCCCTCTCTCTGTCCCCACGATAGCTGCCAAAGACGTCCTCCCTGGGCCCCGCGTGCGTGCCTCGACACTTCGACAAGACTGACTGCCTCAAGCCGCTGTGTACGGCCGAGGTGAAGGAGAAGAAAGTGAGACGAAAAACAATCGAGAAAGGTGAAAGGATATTCATTAAAATCTACTCTCTGTACACGGAGGTATATTTTATTGTTTCCTTGAAGCCCCGTAGGAACAACTCTTCACCGTACGATAATATGATTATGCACGAAAGTCCAAAAGTTGACCGACGGCGCGGACAGAATGCTCGTCTCAGTCTCGGCCGGTCATTCCACCCGCTCCACCGACCAAGCCTTCCTCATCTGCCCCAGCGTGTCCGTTGCAAACAGATCAAAGACGTGTGTGTCCTCGGTCGGCCGGTCAAAGTCGTTAGTCGTCGCGATCAGGAACATAAATGCAAAATTAGGTGTCATCGACGCCGTCCACAGCGTAGTGCGCAATGAGCGGCTGCCAGCCGCATAGACAGCCCTCGGCCTAGGCCAGACAGTGCACGCCCGTGGTCGCCAGATGCTGTGTGGCGTTTGTTGCTCGTGGTGGAACACCACACGGGCCTGGGCTAAACCAGTATGACATGTCTCGTCGAGGACGCGGTGCCGACCTTAAACTTGCCTCTGGCAAAGGTGACCAGCCCATTCAGTCGACAAACCTCACTGGCCGTCGCTATCATTTTCTTTCTTACCACGAGAACTTGACTTTCCACAAACCTGGACTGGACACCTCCTCGACCTTGTGGGTTGGGGTTCGGTGACAGGAACGTGGGGCTTACTTGACCAGCACTCGTCGGATCCGTTCTGTGATAATCCCAGGGCGCGGCGTTCGTCCGATTTGTTGTGCTTCTTCAGAACCAGTCAGAAACACAGTTAGCTCCACCCACACCAACACCCTCCAACTGGAGATCAACTTAATTAATGGCCAGTCAGACAAGGATGTGCTGCGGATGGGTTGATCACCGCTTGCAGCCTTCCTTTTCCGCGTTCAAACGCAAGAAAAAAAGCTCGCGTTGTCTTCTGGTGAAACTCGTTGGCCCAACCGGCGGTGTCAAAGAGGATGGAAGATAGGGAGGGTGACGCGAAGGAAACAGCAGTGTGTACATGAATGCACCTGCTAGTTGGGCAGGAACGGGCTGGACATCATCCTTGTTCCCCAATGTAGGATATGGAACTGGGCTTGTCCAAGAGTAGAAGACTGGCTCGCAAGTAAACTCCCGGTCATGCCAGGCAATAATTGTCAATCGACATCCCTCCAAGCTAAGCTGGGGTTGGCCAACACGTGCGTTGGGTGGCCCTCTGATGAGTTGTCCCGGCCGGAGTCTATCTGTAGTTGTAAATAGGGAAACAAGGTACTCATTGTTGTCAGCACTGTCGTTTTCGTGGGAAAGGTGCGGTTGGGCGCTACTTACCCTGCTATCAATTCCTCCTTTTCATTTCCTAGACCCGATACTGCCGTTCGCGGAGAAGCTGGTGCGCCGTGCATATGCTGTTGCCGAATGGTAGATTCCGAGCGGATATCTGTGGTCCATCCCATTTTGTCGTCTTCCATTTTCCTTGTGTCCCGGGTGTCTCTTGACGTTTGTTGTCCAAAGGACTTGAAAATGGCGAGAGGTGGGTGGATGTTGCTCATCATGGGATGTACCCTTCGCCCACTCCAACGTGCGTGATTCGCTCTTTCCCTAAAGCTCCCAACACTCGCCCTTTCCCCATGCCTGATTTACACACTCCACCACCGTTGCTCCTGCCTTGATCAACTGTTAGGGCAGCTTTTCGCCGCCAAACTCGACTGCCAAGGCAGGCAGGAATCTGCAGGTGAGGACCTGCCTTCCGCAAAACTGTCTCACAGGCTTAGCGAGTTGACTTCCTTGGTAAGAACGACTGACTCAAGCTTTGTCAGCCGTCTAATATTTTATCCCCCCCTCCCATATCGCATTAACTTCGCGCGGTCCATCTTCAAAACAACAATCTTCTTGTACACGAAACGGGCACTCCTTTCAATAGCTGCATTCATATCACAGACAAGCCACACTCAACTGTTAATAGTCGGGCCTCGACGAACGGCGTTTTCCGAAGTGCTGAAAGTATGGCTTGTCCATATTCTAACAGCAAATGGAATGATATTTGAGTATTTGATATGCCAGCTACCATGGAAAGTATGATGCTATACAGAAATAGGGCAGGAAAGTCAGCTAACTGCAGGTTAAGGGCTTGCTCTGAAATGGCCATTGAAATTGACATCGAAAACGAGTTAGCCATGCAGTGAACATGGAGCGGCAAAGGACATCGTGAAGCTCAATGGTTGGCAGTTGCTTTTTGGGCTCGTCAAAGAGTCTGTCAACGTGCTTCACGCATTGAGACAAGACGAACACAGTCGGCTTTCATACATCGGCAACACAGAGGGTACTCGAAACACCGACGAAAGTGCTCCAAAAGCCATTGTCTCGTCTCATACCTCAAGATATTGCGAACGAACCCCGTCATTCTATTGGTAAAGAACGGCTTCGGACTCGGACCAATCTGGACCAGCAACTTGCACACTCATATATGTGACTCCCCGTCTTCTCAGTGACGCTTCCGACCAATGCATACATATCTAGGAGGTGGGTTTAGTTTATCAGTATTTGGCCCTGAAGTTGAATCTGAATGAACTAGGGTTGGACAAGGGCTCAGGGGGATACTCACAATGGAAAATATGCCTAAAACGAGAATCGAAAGGATATGTTAGCTAACAATATAGCGGGGAATGACTTTCCGACAATCAAGCTGCTTCTCTCATTACACGGTCTCGGGCATCTATCAAGTTCAGTATTAAGAGCATTTCCATACCTTAATTGCCGGGTTGTTTGCTTCTAACCGTGCCTGTGCGATGAGCACCTGGGCTTGGTCGTAAGGCATTCTATGAGCACACAGTAATAACCGTTAGCCAGAGATATCAGACCAAAAGCACGAACAACATTCGATTTCACCCGGCCGTCGAAACGAACATCAGAAAGCTTGGACAGTGAAACTTACCCTAGTTTCTCAGTGAAGATGTACATCGCCTGCGATGACAACAATCTCTGCACATTTTCCCTATTTATTCGTCCGACTTCGTTCATTCGGGGATCTTTAATGCCGGTGTTAGCAAAGGCAACAACTCAATGGCCAAGGAGAAACGCAGTCATACCAGTTGGCCACCCGCACATTGGCATCTGCATAACTCGCGACTCAACTTCCGTGAAGCCGGCATGGCGAACAAGGGCATCCATCCGGACTGGTGCTCTTGGGTCTTTCAGATCGCTGACGCCCTGCATGTACAGCTTGGACCACTGTCGAAGTCCACTGTCTGATTTGCCATGGCCTTGGTTAACATAAAATGGCACCAAACAAGACCAGTGACGACCTTCCTGAAACTTACCGTCCGTCAGAGACCCGTTGTCTGATTGTGCTTGGTAATATATCTCGACGATTTGACACCAACCGCCTGGTCGTATTACTCGATACATGTCTCTCAGGTAACTTTTCCATCGTCCAGCGTTTATCCCCCCTGCAACCATCTGACTGTGCACCAGATCGAATTCGCCTGTGTCGAATGTGAATCTGTGAATAAGTTTGTCGTCAGATAAGCTTCACTTGGATGACAGATGTTTCCACGGCTATGCTTCTTAATAGTAGTGGCCTGGCTTACCTCCTATTCAGGTCATCAACCTGAAAATCAAGATTTGGCAGATCATCGTCTTGTGCCATGTGAGGGCTGACGTCGATTCCGAGGACCTGCAATTGTTAGTGAGTTAGCGACGACTTTGTGGTCTTTCTTAATTCTAGCGTATGATTCGAAAACGCAATCGTCAACTGCCTTCTGCTGTTTTGTCTTCGAAGCCGGAGACGCAGTCGGATTGAAATCGTGATCTTGAAAAGTCTCACTACCGATATTATCCGAAGGCACTGGTGGACTCGAATAAAGACTTGGAGAAGTCGGAAAGTACACACCTCACATCTTGGGTACTCCGCGGCAACCTCGGCCGCCCAAGCTCCTGTGCCGAAACCGCAGTCGAGAACCTTTCTCAACCGATGAACGGGCGGGAAAATCAAACGGTTGTCGAATACTTTTCTGAACGCCTCATGGGCGACCTGGAGCCGTTCAACTTCGTCCTGCCTGGGAGTTAGAAATGAGGTTTTGAATGGCCTGTCATTGTTTCCTGTCGTTGTTTTTGACTTCTGGGGCTCTCTAACGATGCACATATACAAAGGCAAGAAAGGGATGGGTCAATTTACTTCATCTATGGGAGAGAAGTACACATTATTCTGCAATGAATATTGTTGATATTCTCTCCCGTGGAAAGTGACGGTCTCTTTGAGGCTCTCGTCAAGAGGTACGGTCGGATCATAACTGCTTCTATCAGTTTGAATTTTCTTTTCTTTGACGAGATCAATGTGCTCTGCAACAAAACAACTAAAGCCAAACCCAGGTATCCTTACCTCTCGGCTGCCATTTCGGTAAAATTGGGCAACTTTACCGGATGTCTGGTTGGCACCGGTGCTGCTTTCGAAAGCCGAAAATTCACAGAAATAGTTTCTTTGTGATGGAGACGGAAGAAGCTATTGTCAAAAGTCTAAGAAGCGATATTTTGAAGGCTCTTTGTCAACTGCCAATATGGGCGTGTGGCCAGTGACCAACACACGTCACGAAGAATCCAGATTGCTACAGGGCAGGCTGGGTGCAAATGCCTTGGAGTCATTTCTAGCACCTGTGGCTTTCGAATAGCTGTCTTTCTAAAGAAATGCTGGCAACATTTCTCCTCCCCTATTTCTTTGGAGGGCGTATTGCCGCCTGAAAAACCAACACAATTTTCTCGAAGTGGACCCTCCTTAACCTTTAGGTTGAGTGACCATTGCAGAAAGCTTTAACTCCCCATGATATCGCCGTCGATCTTCACTTAGGGACCATTGCGGACAGGACTGACGGCAAACCGCCCGTGGTAGCTTGTATTGCGCCTCCCTGTACACGGAATGTTCCAATGAAAGACATAGAAGTTCACCTCCCAGGCCTCAGCCCCTACGCGAGTCATTCGCATCTTCTCTCAAGGTTTCTTCTGGTGGGTTTGTTGCTTTTCCTGGATTTGCTCAACTTTCGTCACCTGGTAAAGTTGAAGAGCTAACCACGCGAGATTCTACCAGAAGTTTCCTAGGTATTTACCTCCCCTCATAACAAGCACGTTCGTCACAATTACACCGCCCACAGCACCATGTGCCCCCCCCCCCCCCGACGCTTTTACGTGAAGCCATAATCCTCTGCCGATAGACCGAAGGGTCAAAACAGACGTCTGTTTACGTGCAAAGCCTAGCCAGGCCGAACAGCAGACCACCTCTTGCTCCGACCACCAGGCCAGTGGCACCGGAAATGTATAGGTGCATTGCTGCCTGAAAAGGAGCCAAGTCGTATTTCATGATAATTCTGGCGTTTGCCATCAGTCTTCCAAGAACGGTCAGCATATTTGCGACGAAGCCGGCGTGTGGGTGCCACTGCTGGGACTTTCTTCGCAGCATGTGCGGCTTTGCACATTGGTGGCGGCATCTTCCCATCCAAGACCAATGGGGGTGTGCATGGTGCCGTGCTTTGCTTTGCTGGCAGCAATTTGAAGCACCTCCTCCTGGACCTTGTGCTGGTTCATCTGCAGCTCCTGTTTAATGGAAAGTT